ACTTCATGGCAAGTAGTCCTTGTCGTGGACTGGATAGTTCCGTTCGGCTGCCTTGAGCTGCCTGGACTGGAACGAGATGACCCGTTCGCGGCCTTCATCGTCGGCCTGCAATAGCGCACAGCCAATTGCGTAGTCAGACGCATCACAGACTACGCTGAAAGGCTTCGTCTCGTCCGGCAATGCGAGGACTGGCGCGCGCTGTAAGCTCGCTTTGATGTCGTTAAAAGCATCTTGATGGCGACGCTCCCAGCGCCAGTCGACATTCTTCTTCAGGAGATCCGACAAGGGCCGTGCCAGCTCGGCGTAGCCTGCACTATACTTGTGCAGGTAGTTGGCGAGGCCCAACCACTGTCGTAGGTCCTTCTGCGACCGAGGTGGCGGCCAAGCCGCGATGGTTTTCACCTTCTCCGGGTCCGCCCAGACCCCGGCGCTGCTGACGAAGCAGCCCAGGACCTTGATCTCCTCAGCTGCGAACACACACTTGGCGTACAGCTTGTTCGCCCGCATGACTTCGAACACACGTCGAAGGTGCTGGAGATGCACCTCCATGGCCGTCTGGCCTGCCACGGCGCGGCTGTGGACGAAGATGTCGCCAAAGTACGTCTGTGTGAACGCACGCAAAGGTCGGAACAGTTGTGTGGCCAAGCGATTGAACGTTGCCGGGGCGTTAGAAAGCCCCTGAGGCATGACCAGCCACTCCCAGAGCTTACCGCTCGGCGTGCTCACAGCCGTGAGTGGGATGTCGCTCTCGCGCATCAGGATCTGGTAGTACCCGTCCACCAGGTCCAGCGCGCTATACAGCGTGCAGCCAGCCATGTTGTTGAGCAACACGTCCTTGCGCGGGATCGGTGTCTGCGCAGGCACTGTCGCGCTGTTCAGCTTGTTATAAGCATGAACCAGACGCCACTTTCCATTCGGTTTGCGAACACAGAAGGTAGGCGTCGAGTGCGGGGACTTCGACTCCCGCACCATGCCCGCCTTCGCCTTGGCGGCAAAGAAGGCATCAATGACTTAACACTGCTCCCGGGGAAAAGGCCATTGCCTCGTGACACAGTACTTCGTCCCCGGCACGAGATCGATCTCGTGCCTGATTCCCCTGTCCGGAGGGCGATTGGACGGTGGATCCTTGGACACCACGTCCTCGAACTCCTTCACCAAGGGGTACACCGGGTCCCGGGGGTTCTTAAGAATCTCAGAGTCCATGCGCGACGCGCGCTGTCTCTGGAACTCCTCCAGGACTGCCTGGTCCATGACCGAGGACGAGTTCAACACGGCCGACGTGGACTCCGGTCGGAGGAGAACCAACTCTGCGATCTCCCCGGCCTTTAGCTCGGCCAAGAAGTCCTCCATTGAGAGCTCCTCAAGGTTCAGCAACTCTGAAACCTCGGGCAGAGCTGTAAGCTCGACAGCTCCTGTCTTGACCCGACGACCGGTCACGCCGTCGAAGATGTGATAACACTCTTCGGCGGCTGGAGCCTTGGCTGGAGGCTCGGAGTCGCTGGCGACTGGCGTCGTCGATCACACGACTAGGCCCGGCTTACGACGTGACTCTCGGGTGTCTTCGTCTCGTGGCGCCGCCTTGACGGCACCACCGGTCTTCTCGATCTTGTGCGGAACTACGTTACCCGCCTTGTCCTTGAGCGGAACTTGGTTACCCGCCTTGTTCTTGAGCGGAACTTGGTTACCCGCCTTGCTGGGTGGAACTATGTTACCCACCTCGCCGTGTGGAACTTGGTTACCGACACCAGGAGCGCTTCCAGCGACTTCCGCATCAGTGATGGTCTGAGCGACCTCCTGTGGAACTATGTTACCCACATCAGAAGTGCCTGCAGTGCCTTCCTCATCAGTTACGGTCTGAGTGACCTCGCGTGGAACTTGGTTACCCACGCCAACGCCAGCGGCACCTTCTCCAGCAGCCCTTGCTGCCTGCGGTACTTCGTTACCCGCGTGTGGACCTACGTTACCCACCTGGTAGGTGCTGTCCGGCACCTCCACTCTCAGGCCTTGTCCGGCCCGGTCGGAGTCGTCGTCAGTCTCGACGGACCCCAAGAACTCATTAGACGCTGCTGCGCCCTGGCGGCCCTCGCGGGCGCTCCAGCTGCTGCCAGAGGTGGGAACATGACTCACGAAAGCTCTGTCAGAGCGTGGGGGACGGCTGGCCCCGATGGCCTTGCCGCGCCAGTCGATCCAAGGCTCGTGTTTCTCCAGCCACGGCATGCCAAGGATCAAGTCGTACTTGTCCATGTCTAGGACCAAGAACGGCTCCGTGCTGTCGAAGTCCTCGAACTTGACAGTGAGGTCCATGTGGACCCGAGGTACTTCTACCACCGTACCGTCGGCCAGTCTTACCGAGACCAGCCCGTTGCCTTTGCTGCCTCGTAGCGCATCGGCGTACTTGTCGGGATTGCGTGCGACAGTCTGGCGGCGCGCAAAGTTCTTGGACGCCCCAGAGTCGATCAAGATTCTCAAGGGATGATCGTATCCCGGTACACTCGCGTGCACCACAAGCAGCCCACCGCTGCCCTTCTCCGCTTCGAGAGTACAGAGACTCTCAGGGGCTAAGTCCCCATGGCGTGCGCCACCCGCACGCCCCTCACGAAGACTTAGTGTTTCCCCAGTAGGGCGCCCCGCCCCTACTGGTGTCCGGCGTTCCCCTGGTTCCTGGGGCGCGGCTTCTGCCAGCGACCCCTAGAGCCATAGGGCTTCGAAGAGAACTTGTTCTTCAGTCCTCCCGCGGGACAAGCACGTTTCATGTGCCCAAGCTTACCACAGCCGTAGCAGCGAATGTCGCTCTGCTCGGCCATGCCCAGATCCATGGGAACCGGCCCGTTGATCGCTCCATTGCCGGAGTTACCATTAGGCGCACCGCCAGAGGCAGGGTTGCTCTGCCATACCGTGGCGGGGGTACGAGCCTGCTTGTGGCTGTACTCCTCCTGGAGGGCGATCTGAATCGCCTCCTCCATAGTGTTTGCTTGCACACGGAACAGTTGCGTGCGGGCAGGACCGACACGCAGACCGTCCATGAACACGGTCACCTTGATGTGTTCAGGCAGGGGGTTCCCCACCAAAGAGGCAGTGAGCACTCGCATCTCCTGGATGTACTCATGCAGCTCGCGCCTTCCTTGTTTGCAGGCGAGGAAGCGCGAACGCTGGCGGTACTCGTAGTTCGCCGGAAGAAACGCGGCCCGCAGCTGCTCGCACAGCTGAGACCATGATGCGAAGCATCCAGGCGTCGTCGCTTCGCGGGTATACGCCCAACTCTTAGCGCGACCACTAAGGTTGGAGAGCGCAAAGGCGACACGGAGTCGCTCGTCCGAGACGAGAGCCGCGTCCATCGCGAGCTCAACCTCTCGAACCCAGAAGTGAAGGTTTTCTCCTTCCTTCCCTTCGAAGGGGTGAACCTTCAGCCGCAGGGGCTTCGGTTGCACCGGCTTCGGCGCGGCCGCAGTGGCCTGAAGCCCTTGAACGTGGCCGATGAGCCCTCGCTCGTAGGTGTCGAACGCGTTGATACGCTCAACCTGCTCAGCCGGCGTCGCCGCCGCTAAGCTACGCAGGGCATCTGTCCCAAAGATGCCTGCCATCTTACGAACGGACTCGTACTGCGAGTTGTTCAGATGGGGAAACTCCGTACGATCCATCTTGGCTCACTCGATGAGACCACAGAGGATTCAGGTAGTCCAATCTACCCGCGTAGGCGTAGGATTGACTACAAGTGCTACCAAGTGTGACGGGGCACACAGCACTTCTTAACAGAGGAAGCAGGAGTATACAAACTCCAAGTGAACAGCCGTTCACGTGTCCCTGGTCTGAAGGGGACGACTTGACTTGAAAAGCGGTAGATCTAAGACTGAATGTATTTATAGGTTGGTATAGATTTGGCCTGCATACAAATCCTAAGTTCCCTATAGTTTGTGTCATACAAAATGTATCTGTTGGCTCTGAGGCCACTTGGGTCACTATCCAGGGGAGTGACCGATGTAGCCATCCCGGAATAGTGACAGGGTCACTATTCCATATAACCCCGTTACAGTGATGGTCACTCACAAATCAAGACCCTGTGACGAGGCGCAACTTCAAGTTGCACTTTCAAACTTGGCGCCACTTGTGCGTCATCGTCATCCTGGCGGAGATCGCTATCGTCGACCGAATCTCTGCGCCAGGAATTGACGCGAAATAGCCCGTGGTGGATCTGATCGTGGCCACGCGGACTATTGTAGAGCAACGCAAGGCGTCTCCATTCATGTTGGTGCCCACGAGCTTCCGAACATCCAGCGCACCGCACCAGCTCCCCATTGCTGTCTCGGAGTCCGCGTACATCGTCAGCGGACAAGTTGGAGACGCTCGAGTCGACCGCACGTAGTCTTTGGTGCCTTGATCCATTGTGTCGTCGTGATCGCCCACGATGCGCCTGACCCCCATCTTTATAGTCCATAGGCACCAGCTTGTGGGTCGCCACAGCCAAAGCCAGGCAGGAGATGTCGCCACAGCCGAAGCCGGGTGGGGCGCCGCAGTTGAAGTCTGGAATATATGAGTGGCCAAAAACGATAAATACGTTCTCCTCCCTTTCTCGGATTTCTCTAATTCTGCACTCTCGTTCTTTTGTTGCTTTCATTCTTCATTTCACCATGGTGGCCTTGGTGGTCTTTGATCTCCTCCGCTTGGTCTTTTCGAGCAGCTCGTACTGGGCGTTTCTGCTCTTGAGGTCCAGCACGTCGGCCAGGTAGAGCGAGATGACCTTCTGCAGCCAGGTGGTTCTTCGGGTCGTAGTCCCAGACCTTGCCCCAGCGGTTGAAGCGCTGCTTGACCTCGATGACTCGCGAGACGCGGCGCTCCTCCTTCTCCGGGAAGAGGAAGTGCCTGAACACGGCGAAGAGGGACTTGGGCGACTGCTGCACGTAGGCCACGCCCTTCTGGATGAGCAGCGGCACGAGCATGCAGAGCAGCGTGTCGACCAGCACGTTGTGCGTGCGGAAGGTGTTGATGAGTCCAAACTCGATAAGCTACAAGCACTCCATGTGACGCAGATTCAACTTGTACACCATCGGGATAATAAACAGGATAGCGCCCGGCTCCACCATGAGGGCACTGCGCGACAGCCGCTTGGCGAAAGCCGCCACCGTGTACGCCGGCAAGTGGGTCGGCGAGAGGAAGAGGTTCAACAGGCCGAAGAAGCGGCCGCGCTGCTTGGCAGAGTACAACGTGGTCGTCCAGCAGCGCATACAGCTTGTTGTAGAAGTCGGGCGAGTCGAAGTTGTGAGGATGAACAGACTGTTCAGCGCCAGCAGACTCGTGACTGCACCGATGCTTACCTGGTATAAGGAAGTCGGCGAGCAGCAGCGGGTTTTGGTCAGGTGCGGCATGATTCCGTCCGGCAGCTGCACCAGCACCTTCTTGTACGAGGTCTGTGGCAGCTTGTGGCGCAGCACAGCAATCCACGCCAGTGACGGTGCTGCTTTCCGTTGCGCAGCCCACGAGTCTTCTGCGAGAATTCGGATCGTGCATTATGTCGCGTATTCTGATTTGTGTATATCGGACTATATTTAGCGCCATGTCGTCTGATTTTGTAAATTGAGCAACATTGAAGTTGTTAAGTAGCCTTTTTGTCACTAATTCGAGTCCATTCAGACACTAAAGTGAACAGCTCTAATTCATCGGATGGCGATGGTGCAGGCGACGTTGGCTCATGTCGCCGTGGGCTGCAACGCCGCCACGAACGCCCTGTCCGTGCGTCCCAGTAGCTCCTCAACTTCATCTAGGTCTTGCAACTACTGCGGCGCGTTTGCAGCCAGGAACGTCGTGTGTCTGCTGCGCAGCAGCGTCGACGATGACACAAACTCCGCCCCAATGGCCATTGCGGAGACGTTGAAGCATCGGGACGCGACCTCCGACGCCTCGAGACTCACGAGCGTCATGATGCAATACGATGCACAATCGGAGAGCGTGCAGGTGCTCGCGGGGGACTCGGACGGGCGCGTGTTCCTCTGGTCCAAGGTGTCAACGAGCGGTTGGCAGCTCCAGAAGGTCACGCACGAGAGTCAGAAGCTGCCGGCGGTGACGGTGGCTGCCGTGACGCCTGCCGAGACGCATAGACGTCGACTCTACTTTGCTGCGTTCTCGGACGGGACGTTGGCGGTTTTCGGTCGGGGTAAAGGGAGCGAGGAGGAGGAGGAGGTGAAGCTGCTGAGTCGACTGGAGCTTGGCGTCAAGAGTATCATGGAGACAATGGATGCTCTTGTGGTGAAGGGAGGAGAAGGAGAAGTGGAGGAGAGTGTGCTGCTGGCGACGGGTGGGGTGGATTCCAAGGTTCATTTGTTTGAAGTAGCGGACGGGAGTGATCAGTTGACGGAGTTGCTGGCGCTGGAAGGACATCAGGGGTGGATCCGCAGTGTCGCGTTTAAGCAACAGGAGAAGGAAGACGTAGGGAATGTAGTGGCAATGCTCGCGTCAGCGTCGCAGGATCAGCGAATTCGTGTATGGAAAGTTACTGCTCGATCGAGAGGTCAAGGTGAAGGAGCTTCCTCTGGTGAAGTTAAAGACGGATTCCTTGCGCGTGGTGCCCGCACGACGTATACCGTGAGCTTTGATGCGCTACTAGTCGGTCATGAAGACTGGGTCACGTCGGTGCAGTGGACGCAGTTACCGCGAGATGATGAGAGTGAAGATCCTTGCGAGACAGCGCTGCTTTCCTCGTCCATGGACAATACGCTCATTGTGTGGACAAAGTCTGCAGACACTCGCAGCTCGTGGACCCCGTCCCTTCGTGTTGGTGAAATGGGCGGCAACGGGTTGCTGTCGGCAGGTGTGTTACCTGCACGTGGTGGCCGTCTGAATCTCCTGTCGCTGAGCTTTGGCGGACAGTTGGAGCGCTGGGAGCAGCAGCCAGTGCCATCGAAACTTTTCCTGCCAGCAATTTCGATTAACGGCCATTGCGCTGAGGTCACGGATCTTTCGTGGGCACCGCGTGGCGATTACTTAGTGTCGGTTTCGCTGGATCAAACCGCTCGCGTCGTGGCCCCGTCAAAGACCTCCAATGACTCGCTACCGAATTGGTTCGAGATCTCTCGGGCGCAGGTTCATGGATACGACATCAACTGTGGCTGTTTTGTGCTTGGAAATCGCGACGCAAACGACCAATTCGTCAGTGGAGCTGATGAAAAGATCTTGCGCGTGTTCGAAGCTCCGGATGAGGTGAGGCAACTGGTGGGTCAGTTGAGTCCCTCCGACAAGAATGGCGGGGTACAAGCAAATGCAGAGAAGCAGGTCCGAAGCGTGCAACATGCGTATCTCCCAGAATTAAGTTTGACGAACAAGTCAGCGACAACGGAGGAATCTGCCAGCGACTCGGACAATGGCTACGCGAAGTTGAGTTCCTCCTTGTCTTTACCAGTGGGGGACACGCTGGGTCGCAAAACGTTGTGGCCTGAGCAGCGAAAGCTTTACGGTCATGGAAACGAGCTTCTCTGTGTGACGTCGTCCCACACTGGCGATTTGATCGCTTCCGCCTGCAAGTCGCGTGAGGAACGATATGCAGCGGTGCGCCTATGGAATACTGCAGACTGGAGCGAAGCCCAACTTCCACTTGCGGGCCACAAGAGCTCAGTGGTGCAGTTGGCCTTCTCCCCGAACGACCTGTACTTGCTCTCAGTGTCTAGAGACCGACAATTCTGTCTCTACGAGCGACAGCCGAATTCAGACGGGAAGTTTGCGCTCGTGGAAAGTGTAAAAGCTCACCGCCGCATCATTTGGAGTTGCTCGTGGTCGCCAGACTCGTCCCTCTTCGCCCTCGGTTCTCGTGATCAGTCGTTCTCGCTTTGGAGCCGAACCAGCGGAAAATGGGGTCGCATTTGTGACCCCGTGGCGTATGATGCTGCCGTCACGGCTGTGGCCTTTTTACCATCTGCACTGTCAAATTCTGGAGGCTATCTCCTGGCCGTCGGTCTCGAAACCGGTGCTATCGAACTGTTTACAATGTCGAAGATTGATGAGGATGTTGCCGAAGTGACTTGCTCGCGCATTGATGAACTAGCGTGGGAAATTTCCCCATCCGGCGCTGTCTCGCGTTTAGAATGGTGCCCAGCTAAGAACGAGGGAGAATTCGTGTTGGCAGCAGCGAGCAGTGATAGCTCTGTGCGAGTATACAACCTAAAGATCTAAATGAATGCCGCAATCAAAACGAAAAAAAAAGCGACGGAATTGGATTTTAATTTACACCAAACGAACGCTGTGAGCCCGACTTTTGATTGTGTTTGTACTTGGCGATCTCGTTTTCGAGAATCTCGGTTTGCGTGGGGTAGAGCTCTTTAACGTAGTCGAGATCTTGCCGGCACAGCACGTGGATTTGGACCCACGTAAGCGCCACCGCTGTCGCCGCTCGCTTCGTGCGCTGAAGTAGAGCCATCTCACCAAAGTACTCCCCTAAACATGCGCGATCACATTAGCGAAGTGACAACAATGTGCAGTGTTTCTCAACTAAAAAAAAAGAAAATGAAGCAGTCACCTTTGCGGAGGATTTGTATCACCTTGATCACCTCGGAATTGGGATCGAGCACACCAACACTTCCTGATGAGCCCAGAAAGCCCATCCAGTCTCCGAATTCCCCTTTCCTGATCAGCACGTCGTCTTGCATGTAAATGACGGTACGCAAGTGTAACACGAGGACTTCGATCACAGCTGGAGCGAGGGTCTTCGATGACAAGAAGGGGATTTGCTTGAGCATATCTCGATAGAGCTGGAACTTTACCTCACAGATTAGCGCTGGCGATAACTCTTCGATGAACGAGTCCGCGTCACTGCTCACACTCTTCGTCTCGCGCCACAAGTTGTCGTAGTATCCTCGAATTCGCTTAGTCAGCTCGTCTGGGATGCCTAAAAAGTGACAGCGCTCCAATACCGTGATAATCTTCTTGCTGTACGCAGCCTCGTTCTCGTCGATTGATGCGATAAGCGCAGCAACAGAGCCGAATACGCTGGCTTGGAGCACGTTTCCTACCAGCATGAAGCACGCGACTGAAATTAACTCTGCTGCCGAGTACATTATTGGTGGACTCGCATTCACGCTTCCGATGACCAGCGACCAGCAGAGACTGTACTCGTCAAACAGCGACCTCGGCACAAAAGTCCCTTCATGCATATGTGCTCGCCAACCGACAGCCACCCAGCTCCAGTAACAGGTCAAGAGATGTGATATTGTTATCACCAGCCCGAGCAGCATTATGAAGCGCACAATACCCGCCTTTTTGGCGGAGTTGAGGCGGTGGGCGAGGTGACTCACTTTAGCTAGACGTAAGAACTTGAAGAATCCGATCACGTTGCTGTGGCTTGAACTCGAGAAGAGTTCAAATGGGAACCAACTCAAAAAGTCTGGCAATGCCCAGCCGCTAACCAAGTAATTCCTTATCGTTTGTTTGGGCCCCGAGATGAGATTACCATGTTCATCGAGGTACGAAGAAAACATCCGAATGACGAAATCAACGACAAAAATCACAGACTCGGCGGTGTCGTAGTAGTCAAGAAATGACGATTGGTAGTTGAAACCGAGGGACAGCGGAGTGAAGACGAGATCAAGCAAAACAATGGCGATAACCCCCAAATCCCACGCGGTTCGATACGGAGAGTCATGTCGAAGCGTGTATCGACTCATTTCGCCCTCGAGCTTACGAGCAGAGATGATATCTTGCGGAGACACCAGGTGATCCTCTCGTTCCTGCTCGCTCGGGTTATTTCTCGATTGCCCTAGAGCGATGCTCTGAGCCTTGGCCAAGTTGATAGCGCTGACTGAAAAGCGCCGAACCAGGTTTTCGTCTTCGTGCGATGCTACCTCGATATCCTTTTGTACTTTGTGTGAGGGTAAGATCTTGGTTATGTTCAACGGGACGATTTTCGTAAACCCTTTTTGAACTGGTGACCACAACTTGGACAACAATCCGGGAGGCTTCGCCACGCGATCAACGTTAGTTACCTCGATCTTCGACAACCACTGAGCTGATAGTGTGGGGTCAGGCGCAGCAAGTGGAATGCTCAGCTTTTTTTCCCCTGCATGAGAAAACGGGCGTTGAGCTGGAGACGCAGATCTTAAATCTGTAGTTTTTAAATCTGCGTCTGTGATGTCCATGATATCAAGAGTGCCGGAGGCGATCAGAGCAAACGGGTTAAGTCCTGCCAGACTGATGCGTGGGGCACCTTCTGCAAGCATGGGGTTGTTAGGAGAAATTGAGGTATGACTGAACCGGCGGCTCCTTTCGTTTGCCGTGGTTGTCTAAGAAAAAGTGTTAGAAAGCATTATGCTGCAAGGTATGTAAACCAGAAACAATTCGCACCTGGAGGTGTTGATGGACATGGCTGCTCAGCTCATGCAGCATCCGAGTTGTTGTCTGAATATCTGCCTGCATTTGGTCAAGCCGCTCCTCCAGTTTGTTGTACTGATCCTGAGTGATACAGCCGCAGGTGCTTTCAGGGGGTGCCGCGGGGCAAGACGACTCGACCTGCTCCTCCATGGTCAGAGCGGTGGTGATAGCCGAATGGGGAGTGACAAGTGAGCATGGCGGAGGGTGCTAAAATAGTTTTGGTGATCATCGACATCTCATAAGCCGAAAAATAGTTTCATGGTAAACTCGTGTTAAATATAAACCTTCGGAATGATCTGCAGGTTGATCATAAGGGAATGGGTTGACAGCGCGCACTGATACGCTCTACTTGTATCGAACCTTGGACTGCATGTACTTGTTGATCTCGCGCTCGAGAATCTCGGTCTGGGTCGGGTATTGCTCCTTGACACTGTCGAGATCGGCTCGGCAAAGGACGTGGATCTGCACCCAGGTAAGCGCGACTGCAGTTGTTGAACGCTTGGCACGCTGCAACAGTGCCATCTCTCCGAAGTAGTCGCCTAGAAGTCGCGGCGCGATCGATCGTATTAGCTATGTCAGAACATTTCAAAATAATAAAAAAACGAAGTGGTCACCTTTGCGAAGAATTCGGATGATCTTGCGGGTGTTCGTATTCGGGTCGAGAACCGCCACTGAACCTGTGGAATGAAGAGTGCAGTTAGCCATCAGGACCGCAATAAATCAAATTAAAACACACAACTTAACTTTACTCCCGATGAAAGCCATCCAGTCTCCGTATTCACCCTTGCGAATCAAGACATCATCTTGCATGTAAATGACTGTCCGCAGGTGCAATATCAGCATCTCGATCACAGCCGGAGCCAACGTCTTCGACGACAAGAACGGAATCTGCTTGATCATTTCTCGATAGAGCTGGAACTTCACCTCACAAATAAGCGCTGGCGAGAGTTCATTGATGAACGAATCAGCGTCGGTGTTCACGCTCTTAGTCTCGCGCCAGAGATTTTCATAGTATCCGCGAATTCGCTTGGTAAGCTCGACCGAAATACCCAGGAAGTGACAACGCTCCGACGTTGATATTAGCTTCTTGTTGTACGCGGCCTCATCTTCATCGAAGGAGGAAATAAGTACCGCCACAGAACCGAAGACGCTAGCCTGGAGGATGTTACCTATCAGCATAAAGCATGCTACAGATATTTGTTCGACGGCGGTAAACATTGGCGGTGGACTTGCATTCAGGCATCCAACCACGAGCGACCAACACAGGGCATACTTCTCAAACAGCGACTGCGGCACGAAAGTATTTTCCTCCAGATGAGAACGCCACCCATGCGCCACCCAGCTCCAGTAACAGGCTAGAAGATGCACGACCGTCAATACGATACCCAGCAGTAGGATAAATCTCAGAATCCCGGCCTTCTTTGCAGAGTTAATCCTCCGCGCAAGCTGGCTCACTTTGGCAAGTCGGAAGATCTTGGTGAAGCTGAGAACGCGACCTTTACTAGACGACGCAAACAGCTCGAAAGGGAACCAACTGAGAAAGTCGGGTATAGCCCAACCACTTAGCAGATAATTCATTGCCGTCTTTTTGGGTCCGGAGATGAGGTCGCCACGTTCGTCTGTGTACGATGAGAAAATGTGCACGATAAAGTCGATCACGAAAAGAATAGTTCCGAGGATATTCAGCCCATCCATGAACTTGGGGGTAAAGTTGAAGCCCAATGACAGCGGAGTCAGAATAACATCAAGCAGGATCATAGTCATGATCAGCAAGTCCCACGCATAACGATATGATGAATCATGACGCAGCGTGAATCGCCCAAGCTCACCGTCAAGGTTCCGCGCTGATAAAATATCTTCCGGCGAGACCGTCGCATCGGTTCGCTGGGTCTTGACAAACATGCTTTTCAATCGCTTTCTGGGGGGAAGGACCTCCGGCTTCTTCAGGTTGGAGGAAATCGAGAAGCGACGCGAGACCTCAGCCTTTTGATCCTGCTTGTCAGGGTCATTGTCGAGAGTATTGCGCTGTTTGGTCGGCGTTGTCTCGACTTGCTTCGTCTTCACAATTGCCAAAGGCTCCTCGGGGGTATCAATTTTGCTCCTGCGACTATCTCGGATCATGGCCCAGCGCAACTCGGCAAGGTTTTTCTTCTTTAGGTCGGAGGGCGATACGAGCGACATTGCAGACTCTGGACTTGTATCGATTCGACTTCGTCGCTCGTCAGTTTGTGTTGCCGGTCGTGTGTCCGTGCGAAAACTGGCAGTAGAGTCGAGACTACGGAGAGGAGGGTCCGACGGCAAGAGGTTGAGCGGGTTGACTCCATTCGGCGCCATCGACCGTAGCGATGGTGTTTTGGTTAGGAGCGGGAAGTTGGTAGGAGACGAATTTTCGGGGTTTAGACTTCGACTCCTGCCTTTCGTCGTCTGAGTAACAAGTAATTAACACCATTAAAAAATATTCCCTACGCTGTTAAAACGATATTTTACCTCAAGCTGGCGCCGGACAAGTGCGCTCAAGTCGCGCATCATTTTATGCGTAGCTCGAATGTCGGCTTGCATTTGGTCCAGTCGCTCGTTTAACCCCGCGGTTTTGCTTGATCCTCGATGCTCACCGTTTTGACCCGCCGCCATTGACGCAGATGGATCATAGCGCTGATCCTGCTCCGGTAGTGTCGGTCCCAGGTCCATGGCGCTCGCTGAATTTCTAGCGAGGCCACAGCGTCGAGCCTCAATGCAGCTGCACTGAATCACCTATAGCAGCGAAACCAACGTAGCAGGTATGAAAATGGACTTCCGTCTTTCAAAATAGCTGTGTATTTTAAGTTGGCGGGCCCCATTACGAAATCTGCCTTACATTTTGTTACACTTTGTCGCTTGATGTCACTCGCCCAAAGCGAATTGTAAATACAGCGCAATAGTCTAAGTTCTCGTATTTTTGACGCTGCACATAAGGGGCGGCATTTATATGAGACGGTTTCAAACGAAAAGATGCTTACGAACCTAAGTACGAATCGCGATTTAACCGCATCAATCGAAAGAGGCGTGTCTTGTGCTTCGTTTAAGCTATCGAATGCATTGAAACGTTAAGAACTCCCGGAGTGACATCGGTCTAGAAAAATTATCTCCATTTTCGGACCCCCTAAATTCACGATTTTATTTGGGGCGTGTGACCTCAATATTTTTTCATTTTTTAACGTACTGTATATTATCGGAAAGCTCGCGCTAAAAGAAAGTAAATCAGAGTGCTTTTACGCTTTTTACGTGTGCTTTTCACTTTCAAAATTTTGATGTCCGGTTATTTCCGAAAATTGATCGGTCAACTTCAAACGCGATTATCTCGATAACTCCAAATGGCGCCTAAGCATCATTTCGTTTGAAACCGTCTCATATGCGAAATCCCAATGTCGTATAATACGACATAGCTCAATTAACAATAGCGTTAGCCTCGAAACGAGATTGCTATACTTTAATCAAGTGTATTGTCGTCAGCAAAAGTATAAACAAGAGAGGTAAAAATCAGAATTGAACAAAAACCCGGATATGGAGCTGTCATCAGAGATGTGTTGTGCATAAGTGAGAGGTAAACGTTTTGATTGGCTAAATATTGATGATTTGACGATTAGAGTCTTGCTGTCATCTACACTACACGACAAAAAGATATGGACACCACCAAAAGTGGCTGTAACTTCGTCATTTTTTATCGTTTTAAGGTGCGGTTTGGACTTGAGTTGCAAAACACGCTGATAAAGATCTGCACGCTACTAACACGCGCGCTTTTGCGCTTCTTCAGGTAGCTCACATACAAATCACTGGTTCTGCCCAGGTGACAAAACTTATGGACAGCTAATCCCCATACAAAATGCTATATTAACCAAAACCCCTTACAAATGATACAACTTGGACTTTGTATGGGGCGACAAAGGAACCAGCCTCACGGCGATACTCGCGACGTTAGACAAAGATCTGATGGCATTATCGTGTACTAGAAGGTGTGTTTAGTAACCTGTAATAAATACATCGACCATCGCACAAAACTGAGCAAGTAGTAAGCGACTGAAATTTCGAGTGGTGGCTACCTTGCATTATCTGATGATTTGCGAGGCACGTTCAGTTGCATCCTAGTTAGTGCCAATTTGTAGCTCTGTATGCTGCTATCTCTTGGATATACGATTGTCTTCTCCATTTTAAACTGTTGGTCGATGATATATGGCTCAGTACTAAGGTAGAGTGGAGAAATCATGGGTTCCAATGTCGCCCCATACAAAGTCCAAGTTGTATCATTTGTAAGGGGTTTTGGTTAATATAGCATTTTGTATGGGGATTAGCTGTCCATAAGTTTTGTCACCTGGGCAGAACCAGTGATTTGTATGTGAGCTACCTGAAGAAGCGCAAAAGCGCGCGTGTTAGTAGCGTGCATATTTTTATCAGCGTGTTCTGCAACTCTAGTCCAAACCGCACCTTACAACGATAAAAAATGACGAAGTTACAGCCACTTTTGGTGGTGTCCATATCTTTTTGTCGTGGAGTGTATCAACATCGCGAAAGCTGGACGTTTTGTGTATTGTACCAATCCTATGAGGACGCGTTACTTTTACCAAACCGTACAGTGGCTTCACCACGAATCTGTGGCAGCACTACAAAGCTCGCGAAAACACCCAGCAGTGCCGTGAATACACCATAGATTTGCTATATGTGTGTGTGCTATGCAAGCACACAAGACAGGGGCGCAGCGTATCGCACCGTACGCATATGGGCAGGCTTATGTGACTGACGGACGCCACAAACAAGCAAATGAGAGGGTGGGATGACGAACGGCATACATACACTGTGGAGCGCCGAGTTGAGCACGTTAAGCGCGATGGCACCTCGCAAGCCTTGGAGCGAAATTGCCGTCTACGTCACTGAAGCTGAAGGAATCGATATTCTCGAGAACATGAAGTCGTATCAGATCCACAGGAGCGATCCAGTCATGTGCACTATCTGCGCCTACAGCGGAGACCAAGACATGCGCTATCCACTGCTCAAGTTCGTATCTACCACGTGTGCTTTAGCTCTGTCGCAGGCGTGCCCTTGGCGCGGCAATCTACTGGTGTGCCTGAAAACACGCAGGACTACAATCCTAGAACAAGAAGAGCATTTCAGCCAGGCCTCCTCCCCAAAGCGGCTCAAGCTAAGCAGCGCCCAGAAGCAATTCTGTCGAGAGCTGACGGAGGAACGTTTGAGGCCCATGCGTATCCGGCACGCCCTGTCCAGGCAGTTTGGTGTAGCGCTGGATTTGTTGCCGAGTCTAACGACAGTGCAAAACTACGTCAACAACTACTCGCGGTCGATGCTGAACAATCATGATCGCGTTGATGACATCAGAAAGTGGATCGGGGACAGAGCTTACACTGGTGAAGAGCCAATGACGCAGCCATTTACATTTTCGTGGGAGATCGACATGCATGGGAGACCGCTTGTTGGTGATGGATCCGACGAGAACCCGTTTTTGGTGGGCATCTCTTCAAAGGCGATGATGTTTCGACTGGCGGCCCCACCCGACAGTTTCATCCTGCACATTGACGCAACTTACAAGCTTAATCGGCTTGAGTACCCAGTCGTGGTTGTCGGCATTTCGGATCAGTCTCGCGGGTTTCATTTGGTGGCTCTCTTCATTGTTTCTCAAGAAGTCCAAGAGATCTATGAATCTGCTCTACGCGCGCTGGACCGACTGTTTACATGGATAACCGGGCAAAAGCTAGTGGTTTACTTCTCCATGGTAGACGCGGACCAAGCGCAATACAACGCGCTCAACGCCGTATTCGGAACAAACGCTCAGTTCAAGTGTCTGATGTGCTTTTTCACGTCATGAAGAAGGTACATGAGGCACTACGCGGCATACCCGGGGAACTGTGTGCTAAAGCAATCAAAGACATCTATGATCTACACTTTGCAACGAACGAGACCGAATTTGCGTGGATGCGGGAGAATGTGTTGCAGTCGTGGTCGGGGCAACCGCTACTAAAATGATTCGCGTCATACATTAAGGCACAGTGGTTGTATGGGCGATTCAGCAATTGGCAAAATTTTTCGACCGCCAGTGGATTCGCAACAACAAACAACCCCGTTGAGACGTTTAACAGCGTCTTGAAAAGAGACTACACGATGAGGCGGCGTTTAACGATGAGCACCCTGTTACGAGAACTAAGTGAATGTTGCCATCACGACTCCGGAAACCTGCGCCCCTTCCTCTATACGATCATTCCGGCGGCTGCTTTGGTGCGGCGAGCAAAGGGAATGGCTCGTGGAAACTTACTACAAGTTTGGAATCTGCCGAGTGCAGTGTACATTACTCAGGAAGGGCGGTTCGTTGTGAATGTGCTGTCGTGGCCAGCCTCTCGTGTGCAAGTCAATCCGACCAAGCGTAGTGAAATCGGCATTGCTGTTTCGGCTCAAATGGGGTCGAACTACGCACGAAGGGAAGTGCTCAACCAACCTTTGACAGGATGGCTAGTTGATCTTCAAGCAAGATGGTGCCCTTGCAAGTTCTGGTTTGTATTTGGGGCCTGCGTGCACATCATACATGCGCTTCACGTTACTGGACGAGTTGATTGCGAAGGCAGACAAGTGCTGGTGAGCCGAAAGCGTAAGCAGCCTGGTATAGCGACAGGGTCCGTCGGTCGGCCTCAGTTCGTTGGACCCGCGCTCACTTGGTAGTTAGCCCCAATCATCACAGTGATCTTCAAGGACCAGACAGAGTAGGTTGCGTAGTCACTTCAGAAGCGCGACAACGAGTGGAACACAATGATATACTTCATGTTCGCATTGCACGAATATTGTGTCTGAGGGACACAGAGATATTCTTCAGTATTCTCTTCTGCGCAACGGTGTATCTTGGACTTAAATAGTATTCGATCAGCGTTTACGGTACTTGGGCTCGTGGGATAGCACCGAATTTGCTCAAATCGTACCGTGACCATATCCTAGTATACCGTAAATGCTAAATTAGTATCGTATGACATCATCTATTACCTGTGGTGATATCACAGTTGATTTCGTAGGTATTGACCATTCATTTCGTATACTGTCAGCTCTATCTTGTCACTTACACTTTGTCCGCAAAGATGCAAGGTCGATTTTGGATTTTCTGCAGACTCCAAGGAGACGCAAAGGCCCAAGCTTATTCATGGTCCCGGAAAGACATGGCCCCGACCGCACGTACAGCCAATGACGAAAAGTTTTTGCGCACTCAGTCCGGTAAGACAATGCGTGGACGATACTGGCAGTCTTCGAGAGATGGGAGTTTGATCAACAAGCAGGAAGATGAATATCCAAGGGATGAAGTCGACCTGTTGGTATGATGCCTACGCCGAACCGAATTGGAAATATGCGGTGCGCCAGACTCCAAAATCCTGGATATCTTTATGAATAGTACAAGAACCGTATTGCCGTGGCGCGGCATCAACGCAAGAGAGACCGACTTTGGTCGCAAAGGCAGGAACGCGCGGAGGCTCATAACAAACATTTGCTGACCCACCAAGACGATTTCCGGAGTCTCGTATCCTCGCGTAACACAACCTCGGCTGAAAGGGCGCAGGGGGAAAGCGTGTAGTTTCCTTTTGACAGCGGAGTTGCACGCAAGCTAAAGATCAGCTAGTTTTACAAAACAATCACAACGTGAAAGCTACAGGGTGCGACCTTTGAAGTTGTATAGTTCCTTGTCTCAAAAGGTATATACGCTACTTTAAACGTTAACGTAACTTCATCTCTGGATACGAGGTGTGGTTTCAACTTGTCCGCGTACACCAGGAACCTTCTTCAGGGCATCTATAATAGGTTCTATGCAATTAAAGTTGCTGTTCTCCTCACTGATTCTAGGTCGTGGATCACAACTAAACATACATTTAAATACGAGCTTTACCATCAAGTGATTTAACGCAGTCTTTGCATTGCTACTCTTCAACACTACCTCCGCGGCACTCGTCACTCTTACACGAGCATGCAAACCATAAATCACCATAATCCACAGTGATCTCTTCATCTGGGGATATTTCCTGCTCCGGCATCTCTAAAACCGCCACATTTTTGCGATTGTAGACTTCGTAGAAGTTGCAATTAGGCTTGCAGGCGTGATTCATGAATCTAGATATAGCTCTACAATTTTTGGCGTCAATGTAAACTCTCTTCCCCTTGATTGACCGCTTGTTCAACTTCAGAACGTAGTCGCTGGTTCGCACCTTATCCTTATTGAAATCGTGCGTAGTCATCACACCGGAGTACTCGCCAATGACGGTATGGCTGGAAAAGAACCGTGTTGCAAATACCCCAACACCTCTACTCGTTTTTCGCAGCTCCAACCCATGCGGAAGTTCGCGGAGTCGGTTTCCGGAAAACAAACCAACAAGACAATTATTTGGCGCGCAGAAGATGTCCGTTCTGGAATTCGGGCAAACGTAAGCCTCGCAACTCCCCTCGCACCCACACCAGTCAACGGCACCTTCGTCCCTGAATCTGATGTCCTTTGAAGTTTTGACGTGCGGTACCCACTGGATATAATCAGGCCATGGAACCATGATGTCGCGTTCCAGTTCGTAGTCGATATCGATTTTACGTTCACAGCCGCTATTAGCATTGTCCGCACTGCCGTACGGTTCATCTCCTTCGTGGCTTTCCTCTCGACAGTCACAAACAGCACAATCGAAGCTATCATCGCGCGGTTCTGAACATTCGAAGCTGTCTTCGCGTGGTTCAGTCGAAAGGTTATCACCGCCCCGCCCATTATGTTCTGACACGCTTGAGACCAAGTCGATTACTCCGTTCATTTTCCCAGACGTATCATTATCAACCTTACTTTTGTCACCACAGTCTTCATCTTGCACTTCATCGTATTCATCATTATGCCGATCACTAAGCCCTCCTCCGCGCACTTCATTATACCCTTCATCGCACGCTATCCCGCTGCCTTCGTCTCCAAATTCACCGTAGTCTTTGTCTCGGACGTTACCGTTCTCCTACTCCAAAACTGAATGCTCCTCTCCACGTTTACGTGGGGACTCGAGTACTGAGCCGGACGACATTGACATCAAGTCAATTACACTATGCTCATACGCACGTTCATCGAGGCCAGTAGCGCCGTATGTAGGCGCGCAATATGGCTTGTCATCCGAGCCTTGCATCTCGAAGCCGTCGGATATGTTGCCGTCCGATCGGGCATCCGGCGACACCGACTCAATTGATCCTGTGGGTAGTGACAGGAGGGTCCCCGTTGGAACACCAAGGACAAGCGGTTCCCCACCATATCCCAGGTCTTCGCCGTGGAAGTGAACCTCAGCTTCGTTTAGTCGCTTGTCTTCAGTCTTCGGTACCCGCTGGACTCAAGGCCCGCTATTGCCGTGCATCGACTCGCTCAACTTGCGTGGTAAAATCGCTTTAGCGACCCTGTAGATCTGCTTTGAGTCTCGAACAGCACCCCGACGACTTGCGCGCCATTTGATGCGGCTTTTTGGTACGTGGTAGCTTGTCCGAGTAGTCCGTCTCTTGTGGAGGCGAACGTCCGCTTCGTCGTAGGTGACTATAGATGTAACTTCGACACCTTCAGCTGCTGCTGCAACACAGAACCCTTTCATTTTGTTGTATGACTAAGTCTCGCCAATCAATCCGGTCACTACTGCCGTTGGTGTCGGCGGTGTCGCTTTTACCGACGGTCTCGTCGGCCTTCGCCGTTATCGGCGGCGTCGATGTTGCTACTACCGTCAGCGGCCTTGGTGTTCTCGCTGCCGTCGGCGGCCTCGGAGGGAGTTGTGGGGATCTGGCGGCCACAGTCGTTTGTCGTCTAAAACGGGAGGGCAGCTCTAAGTTTAAATTTCCTACTGTAATATATACTATGCAAGAAGAATTTGCTAACGTAGACAAACTTTCACAGTTCGTCTTCGACGCGTCTTTCGTGCCGTGATGCCGAAGAAAGCCAGACCGACGAGCGCACGCTGCACACGTCTTTGGCAAGCCTTTTCTCTGTCTTTGGTGTTGGCGAAATGGTGTTGGTCAGATAGTAACAGGTGAAACTAACATTTTATCCAATCCTATTGATCCACCATCTGGGATTAGTATGCACTCGTTCTACGTTCAATGTCGTAAGATACAGCGTACTCCGCGTCGTTTTCGACCCTTGTGCCCCCAGAGATCTCTACAATCTTATATTTCTGGCGGGACTTCTCTTGTTACGGACAGGTCTTGCCTTTACAAAATCGTAGTTATTTTTTTACGTCGTAAGTTACGACATAAAGTACCGTAGATTATGTGTTTCGGAGCCTCAATCTTGGGAACCAAGGGATTAAATCCACACTCGACTTCGAGATCCCACCAGTGCCTTGCTTTTTTAGCGAATGCGCCCCCCCCCTAACGTCGTTTTTTTTTTGCTCATGTTTTTAGGGTGTTCCTTAACACAGGTCCTCTGGATTGAGAAGGACCAAAACTGTCGTTTGGTAGGGTGTTTTCGGGTAGACATAAGTGCGGTAAGTCGCCAAATCATAATACAAATATATATCTAGATAGCTAGGAGTCTATCTAGACGCATGACGCTACGTGAACGGTGCTCAAGACAGCATTATTCGCAAGAACTTTGCCCAACCACTTCACCCCCGCGTAGGTGGCCGCAAGTCCTAAGCATGGTCTTGAAGTGCCTGATATGTATATAACAGTGGACGAACCACAAAAATTTGGCACACTAGTACAAATATCTGTTCTCTTTCTACCCGATCATGTACCAAAGCAATGACAATTTAGGGAATCACAGTGATTTTAGCTACCTTATTTGCATTCCAAGCGCTTGCATACCCATGAATAGTGAAATAAAAGCTCTTTCACGCCCGTTATGCATTTCCGCTGTATATACACCTGGCCTACATTCCTTCTAAGTAAAGAGGGTTGGTGATAAACCACCAGCAGCCACAGTATGGGAAGTGAGGTTCCGCCACGCTACCCCCCCCCCCCCCCCAGGAGCTCCTCCCACCCGCATGGGGATCTCGTCGGTGCTCCTCCTAGAGCAAGCCTCAAGCGTATATCGACGAGCATGGCTGTGTACGTACCGCTGAAAGTTTAGAATGGACCACGCTGAGCATAAGTATGGTCGAATTTTGTCAAGTAGTTTTTATTCCACGGCGATTGGCCGAGAACAATTCTCTAGATTTATTTTTCCGGCGATGGGTAAACGATGCAAATAGAGATAGGACCCAGATGGATGGATACTTAATGTAAGGAGTTTATTATTAATACATGTTTATTGCTCACACTTCTCAAAACAACAAGATGTACACCACCATCAACAAGAAGTTTCTCGCCATGGCCCATGCCAACATCGCGGCTGACCCGAAGCTCGCTGGTCTGTGGCTTCCGGGAAAACCGTCAAGATGCATGCGGAGACGTAGGCACGCTCCCTGCACGACTTGGAGCGGGCGGCGAAAAAAATTCTACTCGCACCGCGTCGCCTCACGAAGCGTGAGGTGACGAAGAAGACCTTGGTCCTGGCAGGGCTGGCGCTACCGTCTAAGCCAGCCCCTGGCTCAGCCTACCCGTGAAAGAATTGTTGCGCACGACGAGAACGAAAAGGGCGGCTGCGTGGCTACGGTCCACTGGGAGGAACGCATGAGCTTATGCGGTCTCTACCGACCTCGGTACGCAAAGCATACTGGAAGGAGTGTGTTGACCAAGGCAGCGCTTTCGAAAAGAGGTATGTGCAGGCGGAGGCTGAGGAAAACAATTACAAGAAAGAGCAGTAGCTGCAGGTAGCTTTATAATAAAGTTACGAGTGCTCCAACATGGAATGAGGTTACTCTGATATTCTATAATTATACCGTAATATACTGATTCAGTGCGACACAGTGTTAATTAATAGCCGAGCCCAGCTGTCTTGATACGCAATTTTGATTGACTGAAAGGTCCTTAGACGCCTCTATAATCTAATAACGGTGAATAAAATGGCCTTGCTAGTGGAAAACCGGTGTCGCACTGAAACCGTTTTTTACGGTATATTTAACTTGAAAGTTCATGTCTTCCGTCTTTATTATTCAAACAACGATTGTTTTTTTTATCGACTCGAGCCTAGCGTTGACTCCCCATTCCCAGTCATAATTTGAACCAAATGCAAATACAGATTCGATCAAGTCGGTGATGACGGTAATTATATACATTTTGGCACCGTCATGATGACGCAGGTCCGTTGCAGTTTCGACCGACCATTCAATCATCGAGTGTGTTTCTGGACATTAGATTGAGTTAGAAGCATTAGGTACAGAGATTGTGGCGACTTCAGGTGCTGGCACCGCGCGCGAATAGCACTAGGGACGAAGGGGGCATCCCCACACCAAACGAATGATCTCGACCCCCTCCCCGCTAGGAGCACCACCCACCCGAAAGGGATCTCGGCTCTGCTCCACCCAGAGCCAGCTGCATGCGCGTTCACTCCAAATACGTACCGGAGTAGTCTGAGCATATGGGCCTATTCAGAGTTGGAGACCTCAATAGAAGAAGAATGATGATTTGTTTTTTTACATGACTTGGTTGGCTTAGAAAAATGGTTTAGATTTCTGAAAAATGGTTTTGGTTTCTTTATGGATAAATGATGCAAATAGAGATAGAACCGAGATGGATGGATGGATGGATGGATGGATGGATGGATGGATGGATGGATGGATGAATGAATGTATGTAAATGTGTGGAATTTAATGTTTTCGCGGTGCAAGTAGTTTTTGTCCTTTTGCACGATTATCAAAATAAGTAAAAAAATAGGCGCAGAATTTAGTTTTATATTATCCGTCCATACACTATGTAACCATGCCAAAACAGTGCCGTGAATTCACAAAGAGATGAAAATATGATCTTTTGAAAATTAATCACTAAGCTTGTATACTATAAATTATCGATGTGGCTTGCGAAAGGGATAATACCGGTCTGTTGTTCACTCTTTCACCATTCAGCGACATCTATAACACTACGCGTTTGATCGCTCTTGTCCACGGCACCATTGCGACCAACCCCCAGCTCGCTGGCATATGACTTCGGCAGTCACCTGGCCATCATGGAATATATTATCACGCGCCGTGTGTTCACGATGAATGCTCCAAACAACCAAGCTACACCCTTTACCGCGTCATCCTCGATCACCTTTTCTGCGCCATCTTGTCAGCATCCGGCGACGTCTTGAGGTCCACCGAGAAGGGGCTCAATCCCGAGAATCCATATGTGCTCTTTTTTCACACTCGCGACACATCGCCTTCTTGAACGCGCTTCCGAAATCAAACGAGGAATCCACGTCCAATCGCTGGTAATACAACATCGACACAGACGCCGGATCTTTGATTTAAACGATCCCCCTTACGCCCTTGCAATCCTTGCACATACCACCCCTCACATTTGGATTCTCGGATTCGCATTTGGCATGGGCGCTGTGTAGCTTACCAGGAACCTTGGTCAGCTTGCTCAAAATATTCCGGAAGTCTTGCATCGCTCACGTTTTCGCCACTTCTATTTGCAGACCACGTTTCACTTTTCGATCCGAGCCTCCAGAAGGGCCACGCTCCACAGTGCAAACCAGAGCCCCCCCCCCCCCCGATCCATGTCTTCAACTTTATCCATGTTATTACTCACCACGGCCAGTGTTGGCTTTTTACGTACCTTTTTACTTAATTTAAGTGGAAACGCCTGTAAAAATGTAAAAAAAACCTGGAAACAGTTGGATATATCAGATCTTTGGATTCCAGTGTCCCGAGTCGGGAGTCCCGACATGCAGCGGTGTGACAGCGCCCATATTGATCTTGCGGGGCATACGCCGGCGAGCGTGAATGGGGCGACCTTCAGGACAGTGCGTATGCTGCGGTGACGAGCGTGAGTGCAGCGGTTTTCATGGTGGTCGGGGGATTTTAAGATCAAGTTCGAGAGCATACCCCGTGGCAGCGTCGGCGGATGGATCGGTCCCATTGGCTCGTCCGGGAGATCGAGCTCAAGAAGCGTGTCCCCGACGGCTTTATGGTGCTGAAGGGCACGGTTTCAACGTTATGCCTCACGTGTGCGGGTAAGCACGTGGTCAACTCGGGCGCCGTCCTGCTGTACTTCTCGCATAGCGATACCCGCCACAACCGCACCATGCCTGTGACGCGTGCGGCGTTGCTGACCGTCCCTGAGGTTCTGCATTAACTCGAACAAGATGCTTTTGCGCAGCAACGACACCCTAAATTCGCCCACATAGCCACGACGGTCCCCAAGCACCCAAGCAGGTACGGTGACGCCCTGCTGCTCTTTCTATGGTTTAAGTACTGGTGTGCACGTTGATGAAGGCAAGCCCCTGTTGGTGCTGAAAGCAAGCGACGGATGTGTCATGCAGCTGGAGGTGTGCTTGTCAGTGCTATGATAGAGGCTGCTGACCTGCGCAGTGAGATGTTTTGTCAACTAAGTGCGCCAAAGCCAAGCAATCGCGGCCGAGCGTCTGGGGTTGCATGAAAGAAGAATTCGAGCGAGTCATATCGATAAAACAAGCTAGTCAGCGGCTATGGTGCTTCATGAGCGACCCGAGAGATTCCAAGCGCCATGGACCTGCTGCACGTCTGCGCCGAGGAGCGCTGCTTCGCCAGCAGCTTGGCAACCGTGTTGTACCAGACTTCTACATGGACGTGGGTGCACATCCAGCATCTAGGACTCTCCTGCGACCCGGTCTGGCCTGCGCCAACGTGGCCGACGACATCTTCTACCAAGGCTGATAGATACGGAGAGGCAGCTTAACGGCCACGCAGACAAAGGCACCACGGTAAACCAGGAGCGTGAATGCTGTGGGCATGCGTCGCTCATGAAAGATGGCGCAAGGAATATGTGCGTAGCAGCTCTGACCCAGCCAAGTTGAAGCACAGCGACGGAGACCCAGCACGTACACGGCTTTGAGCGTACAAGGTAAGTGACGTATATGGTCTGAGGCCTCACCCCAAGCAAATATCTGCGTTTCTGACAGCGTCAATCCTATATATGCTTCCCATCCCAGATTGGGGTGGGTAAGGACAAATTAACAGACGCGGACCCTATCCATGTACCTAAAAATAAAATTTCTGGAGAAACCTCGAAATCGACTCCTGTCACAGACTTGCGCAGAAGCTGAGATGAATACCATTGAAAAGACTGTGCGATTCTAAGCAGAACGAAGGTGCTTACAGTTTCTTATATGCCCTAGACCGTGACGAATGACAGTGCAAAGATTGCGATCCATGCGTAATTTACTGTGACCTTTGAATGTTCGAAAGTTATTTTCGTAGATTACTATCGATATGCTGGACCCTTAACTACACGTGTACCGGGTTACCGGCCCTCTACAGAGTCTAAGGTGATTCACCCACTCGATTTGATATAGAGATCTGTACCCCCCCTCCCCTCCCCCGCCCCCGTCCCCGTCCCCAAGTTTATGATCGTTGTGTACGCTTGGTGCTGACACATGAGGTGGCCCTACGGAATGAAAGGCTGTTCCACGACAGCAAACGGAATAAGACAACACACCAACGAATCAATTATTCATCAAACTGACACCACCGCTCGCCTAATACAGAACAACGAATCAAGTTTCCTTACATCCGGTGTTGATCATCCATTAGCAGTGGAACCGAAGACAAACGATTACCAAACTCACTGGAAAACAATTCTGGAGCTGCAAGTGCTGCTGTCACTTTTTTCAAACCACTGCATATATGGTGTCGATAGAGTTAGAATTATGCCTGGGCGTTAGAAGTTCGATACACAATGGAAACAGGACAAATACACTTTTTACTTGCAGTCGGACGAAAGCCCGCTATCGATAAGTAAAGTCTCACTATCTCAATCTTGACCTACTAAAGATATTTGTAAACAAGAAATGTCTGCATTCAGCACCGGGGTCCCAGTCGCCTGATTCACCATATTGAGTGTCTTGAATCCGTCGGGCCGTCAGTGACTTCATGGATTTTGAAGGCATGTATGTATCTGGTCCAATAGCCTCGACCAAGGTGACAGTAGTCATGCATTCCCGGACAGGCTCGCTGCCTTCATAAGTTCTCGCAACAACTTTGAGGGGGTGGTCACTCTTTGTTGCAATCAGTGATCGTGGAAGTCATAGTTCAAATAGCGCTGCAGGTAGCGTTAGTTAAATTGAGTAGTAGTGGGACCAGGCATGTACTTACCTAGTATTTTTCTCGGCTTGCGCAGATAGTGATTGGATGCCCTGTTTGGGGCTCAGCTTTACTGTCGCCCTCGCGCGAAGAGCTGGTTTTGGCCGAGGAGACGGCTTTGCGGTAACTTTTCTGGATTTGTTGCCCTTACTTTTCTTGACGATCGACGGTTGCTTTTGCTTAGATTGTTTTTTTACCTTATGTGTCAGCGTTGAAAGCTTGGCTCGTATCTCGTTTTCGCCAGGCAAGTTGGGTCGACGAGGACATTTTCGTGATAGCACCTCTAGCATGCGCGCAGGGCCGAGCTTATTACCAGCATCATTCTCGCCCTGCTGAAACATTTCTTCAACCTCGCCTTTATAAAGATTCATGTATTTTGGGCCGTACATAAAACCTTTTTTAGGCCGCTTTGCCCAGCCGCGACACAATTCTTTTTTCGCACGAGCACCACGCATGCACTCTTGCGCAACCGAAATAAGCTTTGCCGCCAAGTCCAGTGGTTTCACAATTTCTTCGTAGTCTCCTCCACATTGTAATCCAATAAGGCAACGCTTAGCGTAAGACCGTATATCCCTCTCGGAACAGGAAATACTGCTAGGGTTGCTTGACAATACTCGGCGCGGGCGACGGCTTGTATACGGCCGTAGCTTAAAATTATTATATCTGGTGACACGGATTTCAGTGGTAATTCCTGTGGTATGGCTCGACCTGGAAAGATTAACTCTTCGACTACCGGGCCCCTCTCTTATGGACATATATTCTAGACCACAATTTGACCAATTTTGGCCGATAGGACTGTTCATATCTCGTAATGTTGTACGATACTCGTACGTTCATTGTGTGACTATAGTTTTGTGTGTGAGGTTGTACAGAGCTGTGTGGATGTAGTCTTTCGTGGATCAAAAGCATGATTTGCGAGGAATGCCATGAAGATCCATGCGAGTGGGAGCGATACGGAAGCGAGCTTAGTGAAGGCAGGAGCCGCCTTCTCCACAGAGTCCCCCATCCTAGGCGCCTCAACAAAACATTGTATCAGCTCTACTGCTATCTGACGTATGGTCGACTTGACGCCAACCCAACAAATGAACTCCCCCTATGCATCCGAAGCAATCTGTCACGCTCACGCTCACGAAGGTGCGTATTCACGTAAGAATATTTTTTTATATTTATTACACTGATAAATAGTTTTTACGTTTGTCACCAGCGAGCGCGCATTCACGTGAGGACCTGACAAAGCAGTGAATTAGGGGCCGCTAATGTCCACTACCAACAAATCCGAGGCCATTCAAGCACCACAAGACGCCCACAGTACGATTACTACGAATTCCAACACGTAAAATTACATATAATTTTGCATAAAATTCTCTACCATCATCTCTGTGGTATGTCTGGCACATGCTCGTGCCCGTACACCTCACCGTCGTCACGGAGCCGTCCACGCAGTGTAACACTCCGTCCGCCGTTGCCTTCTCGGCCACAAACAGCGCGCAGCACTCGAAAGTGCCGGCATCGCCATACCGGTAGTCGGCATGGAGCTTATCGACGTCGAGAGCATCGCGGTGGCAGACTCCGGCATCGGTACGTGTCCGCCGTCTCGGATACGACGACTCCATGGACTCTGCCCCCCCCCCCTCCCACCATCGTCACGATCTCTTTTTCCGTCGTCATCATCACGGAGTTGCCGGGGGGGAGACGACGGCGTGCGCCTGGTCAAGCGCACCAGCGCCCGCCGCCTTAAACAAGCTGATCGCCAGCGCACTGGCCGTCGGTGTGATGCTGAACTGCGTAGCCGGTGGCTCCCTGGCAGCCTCCTGCGTCGGCGACGTCTCCGCCGTCTTGGGCTTGACACTACGCTGGTCTCCTCCTCTACCATCGCCGCTGCTATCACCTCCTTCTTCTCCTCCTCCTCCGTCGCGCTCAACACTGCCACCTCGAGGAAGCCGATCACCGCCACAAGGGCGGTCTCAACTCAACAAACTAGTGGACATCGGTGGCGGGCATACTGTCTCATCTACAGTACAGTACAGTACTACTATTATTTTTATTTTTATTGAGTGGTAACTTTTAGTATTGAGCTCACCGGCTGGGCTTATACTGTATTTTTGTGTGTGTATTTGTTAGTGGTTTGGATGCACATAAATCACTTCCATCTGGACATTATCTGGTACACTAGCGGAGCATCACGGTCGCTGCGCTCATGTTGCTTTAGGGGTCGACCCCCAAAACTATGCTGACCACAGAGTTTTGGACGACGTCCCCACTTGAGGAATTTGAGCACAAAGCCGCTTGCAAATTCTAGCGCTTTATTTCCCCTTTCACGCTCCCCGATTTGCTGGCTATTTTGCAAACAACAGAAGTACCATTCATACGTTGTTATAAACGGTAGACTGATACACCTGACCTGTGGTTCGAATGCCAGAACACTTGTATTTTACTTACTTAGGTAAGTGTAATAGCAGAATGTGCACACTGGCACAACGAAAAGTGAATAAGGGGTTAACTTTCGATGTTTCAGTTTCGTGGTGTGTTCATTTTCAGAGTGAAAATACGAGCGAATTATTCCAGTAACCTTTCGCGATCCATGTTGAAATTCTTCCTCCAGATGTCACCTACACCCAGCCGCAATGGCCAATGTTGCTGCCGCGACTATGACATGCACGGCTGTTCAAAGCTGTTAGTCTGCACGCGTAGGTAGATAACCTCATGCACGTTGAGCGCAATAAGGAAACATATATAGTGAACGATAACTAGCTCAAAATAATGTAGTTGAGCCCGATACCGTACCATCACACATGCATGTAGGGTAGCTGTGACGCCCGAGATCGACCCAACAGAACTGTAATTGAGTGGGCTAATGCATTTACTTAGTCGAACATCTTTTCATAAGCAACGCAATGAATGAATTAACGCAGACTGGAAAGGAGCAAATAGTCGGCGCCTTTAGCGTGCAGGAAGGACTTGGAGCTGTCTGATTTCTTCCAAGCGAAGTAGCAGGCGAGCTCGAACGGGCCAAAAAAGAGCCATTGTTGCTACCAAGAAGCACCGACACGGACTCCGGCTCGTACACCCCAGCTCATCGTCTAGCTCATCATCCAGCTCGTCATCCGCGCATAGCCTTCAATGTAATTTAGAGAAGTTGCTGCTCGGTAGTACCCGGTCGTCAGCATGCAAAGCTGCTTGCTACTTGGCGTAGCGTTGGCGCTTCCTTGAGGCTCTGCTTGTTGATGCTTGGACTCTTTGTTGTGCGCTGGTCAAGCGATCCCGAAGAGCCGCATACTTCTTACCAACGGCCGCAGAGCGACCCTTCTTACGACAGCATAAGGTTTGAAAGGCAAATAGGCTTAATAAAGGGTCCTTAGAGGGTCCAAATAAGGGTAAAATGTCACGTTTAAGTCTATTTCTGATGTCCTCCATACTAACGGTCGAATTTGCTGTTTCATAACTTCGACCCTCTAGTTTTATGACATCTAGAGATAGTGACGTCGGTTCAACTCAGAAAAATCCGTGCCGATACCACCTTCCGATAATCATCCAAATGTTGTTTAACCGAGGCATTTTTTTCATTTTTTGGTCTCCGTGTGAGCGATTCTTAATTGTGACCCTAACCCATTCGCAGAATTAATGTAAAAAGTAAAGCGGAGTGTATATAAGAGACGTAAAAACTCCATAAAACGGAGTCTCATGATTATAGGGGGGACTTCGTCCCCAATAAGCATTTCAAATCAGCCACTGTTCGCAGTTTTAGCCAATCAAATTAGATATTTTGCTTTGGTATGAACAGCACCATGTCCAGAAGGGCTTTGGCTTCGGGCGGTTGGCAAAGCGTTAATCGGGCTATCAACGAAGCTCTCATTATCTCCCATAACCAGATCATCGCGCTCAGTTTCATTACCGCTATCACTGTCTGAATCGCTATCAGCAGCGAAATACGGTGCCGCATCGCCAATCACATCTTCAAGTCTCAAATCGGCGAGGTCTGCTGCCTGTCCACCAATGTCTTCGTGGTCTTTTGCGTTGACATCTTGATAAATCTCCGTATCACCAGTCAAAACATACCTTCCGGTGACTGGAAAGGCGGTTACCTGAGTACCGTCACCAACACCAGAGTACTCGTATATCTTGAATTTCAAAGCCGGCCAGGATTTCACATCCAAGTCTTGAGCACTGCAGTCCAATGCTACAGGATCAAACCTGATGTCGTTCAACCGTGAGCAAAGTTTGCTCAAGGATCGTGCAATCGGCTCAACACATCGGCTTAAACTCTCCAACTTTTCTCTATCATACTCCACAAGCTCAGCTATACAGTTAGGGCTACCCCCATCGGCGTCCAATGCAGTGATAACTTCGGCCGGTGTTGTGCAGTTGTGGTCTTGACGAGCCCAATTCTCCACCTTACGCGCAGTAGCGAAGTGGGTGTCAGGCATGCACTTACCGTCTTGCGTCTCCGTGTGCAAAAATCGAAGTACTTGAATGCCGTGCGCAGCACCAAGCAGGGGCAGCAATAGCGTCACGAATGAGTTCTGATAGCATGCAGCATTGTCTGACTGGATAAAATCAAACGTTCTGTGGAGAGATCCTAAGACGCCTTCAATCAACCCAGCAACAGCTTCCTTATTCTGCTTGTTGTCTGCATTTGAAATTTGATCCAAATAGACTGTCGTCCCCCGTGAATCACCACTAGCAACATCATAGGTCCAATAGTGAATCTGTGCACCATGCCATGATAATGCTCTTTTACCATAGTGGTCAACCGTTTTTTCGCGAAAGTAAACAGGCTCCATCTTCATCTTATAATCAATGATGACAAGCGTATCATCAGAATATTTTTGCTCGATGCACCTCTCTCTGATTTTGTCCACAGTTTCCTGGTGAGCGCGCTGTTGATATCTGCCACCCTCATTATGTGACCCAGGTAGAGCTCCATTTTCTAGAAGGCATCGTTAAGAACATCTAACGTAGTGGGGTCAGGCTCCGTGGATTCTATTTGCTATCAACGGTCATCGAATATGATGCCCAATGCGTCACACGGTCGACACGAAACGTAGCGCCTGGTTTCGCTGGGCACCGTGAAATTATCACTCACCGTCTTGTCGGTCGTTTCTAAGGCGAACCGAATCAAATGGCTGGGACATGTGCCTTCGTGGAACCAATTATCACGTTCGAACGCTGCGCTACCTCCATATTTAAGCCACTCGCGTAAGATATTAAGTCTTCGGACTTGTTTCAGGAAGTAAATCAGAAACTATGCGCCTGAGAAGGTCGAAATGGCATTTACGAGAAAGCCAGTCACGTAGTTCACAACGGTTCGAGGCTGGCTGGTTGCATGAGTCAGGATCGAAGCCAGTCGATAGAATGTCCGACGGAGTACTTTGCCCTGAGGACAGTCGCTGGTCATGTACGCATCGTACATAGTTTTTACTGTTTTGCGCCGCTGGATTGCAGGTACTGCGTGAACCTCGCTGTCAAGCCTAATATTTTTGTCCCCCACGAAAGAAACGAAACGTTGTCCATTAATAGTATATACCGAACAGCTTCATCAACCATTTGTCTATCGAACTTTTGTCACGAGTACTTCGTTACATCCAATGCGCCCTCATCCAAAAGTATGTCGAAATCATTCCTTCCAGATGAATACGACCGGAGACCAATTGAAAACCCCTCAACGTCGATGCTAATGTTGCGTAGCTGTTGAAGTGAATATGAATCGCACAGCAATGCACGAATACTCCGGAATTCGAGAGATCCCGTGCGGGGCTTCGTTAATGCTTGCATCGACGTCACTAGTATATCATCGCTTGAGGAAGAAATAGAATTCATCCAATCCAAAAAGAGCGCAAGAACTCCGTAGCTGCTACCGATCCACAAATTATCTCTGCAATACTTTGTAACAATCGCAGAGCTACATTCAACGCCACCGTGCTCCGTGGAGCTTCGTGGGGCTGATTCGCACCCGTAGGTAACCAAAACGACGGCGCTGAGCGGTCTTTGGCAGCAGGCATGCGACTAAACACTGCTTCCGGAACAGAAATAAAATGATAGCATACCTCGAACGGTTGTCACAACTGGCAGCACGGGCGATGGCGATAATTGCGGTGCACTCGCATACATACTGGTAGTGCTTTTTGTACAAGAAAGTCGCAGCCGGGGCGTCCTCGGTGGAGTCACGACCATATCAGCTCCAATCAAAGGTACTCCAAAGTTTCGGCCATCCAATTCAGAGCGTTCAGTCCGAAAATGCAGTTCTCCACGTCTGCCGCCATCCATGGAGTTCAAGCCGTGAGCAAGAGTGACTGGTGATACCAGTTCCCGACCTTCACAATTTACTTGACCTCTCAACCTGGTGCCTATGCCCGCAGCACCTTTTTGATTGACGACATCCTTCTTACCATTCAATGCACCATGATCTTCGATAGATTTACCACCAGGAGCTATCTCTAGCCGACGTATGTCGTTCTCTTTCGATGTACAGCTCACGGGCGACCCCACTTGCTCGCGATGTGCACCTTCTCGTGCTGCTACATGTGTGGCTAGAGCACCCAAGTCCAAAGATCGTAGCACGCGGCGGGCGCGTTTCGCCGAAGCTGCATCCATCGCTTGTTTCATCTCGAGATATTTGGCATGCTATACGGCTGCCAGATATTCCGTTAGCCATAATCGCTTCTCGTTCAGAGCGTACTCCAGACACACCAACGCCTACATGCGATTCCTGCATCAGTACATGTTATTAGTCAACTGTGGTCTGGGGAATATATGAAAGAGGAACATTACTATACAGTTTGTAGCCGCTTATCGTGATCATCACCGTCACATACCTCCTCGAAACTATCAGGAGGCTTGCCACAGCGATTCTTCCGCTTGTTGGCACAAGCGAGTGCCTAGCGGCTACCCGCCGGCATAGCTCAATCCGGGGCAGAATCTCGTGACACGGATCAATTTCAGTGTGACCTTTGAAAGGTCACCTTTCAGACCCTTGCTAAGAAAACTCTACCATAAAGCTGGACTATAGATATGAGTATGGTACGATCATCGGTAGCCTCGCCACGGGGGAACGGGTGGTGCTCTCATGCCGTTCCTCATTAATTACCCTCATTAGATGTTAACCCCTTCAACCCGAAGGATTTTGAGGGTGATCTAAGCTGTATATACATCATGATTGTATCTAGAAGTTTGTAAACTCGAGGTTGCGGCGGGAAGGCGGAGAACAAGGCGGTGACGCAGACACTACGTAAAGCTATTCCAACGCTGTATTGGATGTGCTACCTACGGTATATACAGCGCCATTAAGCTGTATAAGCATGTACTCGCACTACTCTTGCACAACGATGGCACGATTCCTCCCGCATGTTCAGTACAGAACACGAGGCTCAAACTCTAAAAGCTGCATCTATGCTGATACTTTTTTTTGAAAATATGAGCGCAGACGATGCGAGAGGGGCCTATACAGAAATCAAGTAGCTCCAAATGATGTACGGATGCAATCAAATGAAGCGTACCTCTAACCTGCATACAAAACTCAAATGAAACAAATCAATACAGTAAGTTTCAACAAGCAATCATTGAACACCAGCTTACCCCCCCCCCCCACACGCTGCCACAAATGAGCAATCAAAAGCTACTTCTGGACGTGCGCAGCCTCACGCACCCCCCCCCCTCGCTCACGCTTCTACTCTCTCACTCACTCGAGTCGCCCGACGAAGCACGGCGGCGCTTCTTGGCTGGGGACTTGCCCAGCCGGATCTTGTTCTGTAAGAGCCTGTTCGCTACGTAGCTGGAGATGAAGACGAAAACCAAAAGTGTGACCGGATTGGTCAAAAGTTGATAACACACAACAAGACAACTAGAGATGGCACTGACTGTGAATTCGTCTCCAGCTCTTTGAGGTGGAGAGGGGCGGATCTACCTAGAGATTTACAGGGCCATGCACAACATGGGAGACGAAGATGCAATTGTCCTCGCTGCGTGCTCCGCCGTGGCACAGGCTGTGGCTTTGTATGCAGACAGTTGCGAACCAGGACCTCCTGCTGGCAAGAAGAACCGTTTTACCGTTACCACTCTGCGCTTCGAGTCGATGCTTCAATCATCAGCCTATTCAAGCTGGTTCGAGACCAATCTGCGCTGTACCAGATCCACCTTCTTCCGTATAGCTAGCTTTCTACAAGAGCATGGGGTCGCTTTTGCACAAGCTAAGGTCAAGAAGCATTCCTACGAAAAGATGGTGGCAGCGGCGCTGTATTTCCTGGGTTCAGCGGGTGGATATCGCGAGGTGGGAGCTGCAATGGGCATGGCTAGAAGCTACGTCATGGAGATCACTACCGAGGTAGACGTTAGAAGCTCCTTTCAGACGAGCCTGTGCTGCTTGCGGTGCGGCCGAGGCTTGCAGACGCTCGAGCATGCGAGATGGAGCGGGAGTAGGATCTGGCGTAGCAGACATCGCCACTGATACTTGAGCTAGCGGAACAAATGTGGACGCAGTCTCGGCGCCTTCTAGCAGCAGACCTTCATCACCGGCAGATGGTGTCAGCGAGACGAGGGGCTAGGACGCTGGCGTTTCGTCATGACGTGCGGGGGGCGCAGGAACCGAAGAGCCTTGAGCAGCGGCATGTGCCGCACGCGTGGCCGCACTGGTGAGGCGAGTCGGCATTTTCTCAAGTGGGGAGGAGAGCCATCCCATATCTGTCCTGTGATTGGCTTAAAATTTGTCTGGAGATGGATACATAGCGAACGAGCTGTAGGTGGAGATCAAGCACCATCTCCATCTCTAGTACAACGCGAACAGGCTCTAAGTGGTCAGGAATGGCGATGCCGTTCTTGTATATGGTGTGCCAGATCTCCCAGCAGCTCATCAGGACACCGTCGATAGTCTTCTTCGGCTTCATGCACAGGTACACTTGCTGGGAGTCGACGCAAGCCTTGCAGTAATATGTCGTGGTCCCGCCTAGCTTCCCATCCGTAGGCATCAAAGAGCCGATCATGCAGTTTCGCTGCACTTGCTTCGACTGCCCCGAGTGCGTTCTCCATTCGTCAATCTGCGTCGGTAAGTGCTGGGTACCTGAAGTACGTTCCGCTCTGCTCGCAGAAGCTGCAGGTGCCGCAGTAGACGCTGGAGAAGCAGTCGAGTCTAGCCATCATGTATATACAGGTTAGCGTGGGTAATGAAAAGCATAATATACAGCTCAGGAAAAGAAGACTTACCTGCTCCGAACTTGTTGTCTTCGTAAATGTCCTCGCTCTTCAAGTGAATCAGCTCCAGGTGCAGCTTGCGAATGTACTGCACGTGCGTCAGTGGTCGTGTGCCCTCGCTCGCATGGTACGCGCGGTGAACAGTGTAACCGTTGACGATTGCGAGGTCTACCAGCCCTAGAAATAGAGACTTGTAGTATTTCCGGAAGGTAACCGCACGTTGCAGGGAGTAGCGCTGGAGGCGGAGTTGATCATGGACATCAACTCCGCCCATGTACTTGTGGTAGTCCTTCACTGCCTTCGGGCGCAGCACTTCGTGCTGCTCCCCCGTCTTCTCGCGGCGCACTACGGGATCCATGGAGAGATCACTCCCCGTGCACAAGAAGAAGACGGGCTTGCTGTCCCACCAGGTGATTACCGCCATCTCCTTGACCTTCGTCGATTGCACGTATTTGTTCGTGCCACGCATAATCTCCTTCGGCCGAGTTTTCTTCTTCTCTTTGATACTTGCTGCGAACCCGATGCGGTTCGTCATGATCGTTCCTATCGTATAGAAGCCCATCAGCAGGAGCTGGATAGCGAGGACCACACTTGTGTAGAATCGATCGGTCACGACGAGCCGGAAGCCTTTGTCTTGGCCGTTCGGGAAAGCGGCTTTCAGGTTGCGTACAACTGCAGCAGGTCCCGACTTCTTGTCAATCGACTTGGAGTCGGAAATGTGTTGCTTCTTGCCCACGTAGACTTCAAACCTGTGTTATACAGCATAGAATACAGCATAGCATGTTCATAAGATGTAATATACAACCTAGCCAACTTAGTCAAACCAAAAGAAGCACGTCCATACCTGATGCAGTACGCTGAATGAGCGCAGCAAAGCATGAAAAGCTTTGTGCCCCACTTACATGGCTTGTCCTTCATGTAGACGCGGGTGGTGTTGAACGACGAGCGTGATGGAAGCATTGCTTCATCAAATGCTAAGTGGGCGGGGGGGATGTAGCCTCGTCGGAATATCCGCTGCAGCACGTGAACTACTTTGCGGATTTTCCACGCTCTGTCAGTCTTCGCCCGTGGATCGAGATTGCTGGAGAAGTGCGCGAAATCTCCATGAATCTATCGCGTTTCATGTAGTTGGTAAAGACTCCTCGGGCAATACCACCTTCATCAGCCTGCTTCCAGTGGTTAGAGATCTTCTCACGGTTTGGTTGGATGGCCCGCGCCAACAGTAGGCCGATGAAGACGCACAATTCGTGTGGCATGACTGGCTTGACGGCCATGAAACTCATGCGCACATCACTCCTCGTCCGAATTGGCGTTTCTTCGTCAGGTCTGCGGCGTTGCATCTTTTCGCGTCGCTCAATGTACGCCTCCACTCGCGATTCAAGCTGTTCATGCTTGTAGTTGTTACAGCAAACGGCAATATGCTGTCATAGAGCCACGGGCGTGAAGAAGAAGAAAAGAGCAAGTGGTGAATCTCCGCACTTCATTGCTTCTGGCGTAGGGCCCAACGGTTCATTCCTCAAGTCTGGGTAGCTATTCTCGTCACCAACGGGCTCTTACGGGGCTTGGAGGTGCTCATACACGTCCGGGTTGATCGGCTCGGACCATCCTGATGTGACGTGTGCTCGTAGATTCTCCAGGGCCTTGCCCACAACGTCGCCAGCCAGCACCTTCTCAGCTCCACCCAGCGACTCGAGAAACTTCTCTGCAAAATGGCGTTCGGAAATAGCCGCCAGGTAGTTGGGGTCTTCATCTTCAACTTCGTCTTCCTCGGCTAGGTCGTCGCAGCCGCGCTCGTCAACATCCGATTCATCTTCATCAACGAGATCGTCTTCCATAGGCTCATCACCGTAATCAAGGCCGCCGAAGTCGTCTGGGTCGTCGTCGTCTTCGACCTGGTTCAGGTCATCTTCTGAATCACTTGACATTATACTGCAGACTGTAGCACAGGTAATACAGCACATCATATACAGGGCAAGTATTGGCAATACAATACACACATCAAATACAGCATCAGCTTACCCTCAGACTGATCGGCTGCTGCATCGTAATCGATGTCTGCGGCGTTGTCCACGGCGCCATGTTCCTCGTCCGATGATCCAAACAGAGAAGTGCCGGAATATGAAGCATCCGCGGAGCGTCTTGGTCGAAGTACTCTGGACGTCGGCGGCACCAAGTGATACTCAGCTTCTTCTGCGTCGTCATCGTCGCTATCCAAGCTAGCACGACCTATTGACACATGAAATGGATGATGAGCACATGAAATGGATGATGAGCACAAACGTTGATACCAGATACAATACACAAACTTACCCCGCGAACGTTTCGCTGGTGCACTTCGCTGGCGTGGGGCTGGAGTTCCTTGGTTTGCTGCTGCCAACGCAAGAGTCGTCAAAGCAGGGCTTGCCGCATCGCTTGCAGCATCCGGAGGCGGAGTCGCCGTTTCGCCCGCAGCGTCCGGAAGCGGAGTCGCCGCTTGACCTGCTGTTGCGCGGGGAGGTGACGCCTGCGGGACTAGCACACATGCACCATCAACCTGGCAGTCTTCTTCTGGAGCTGCAGCATCACCAGCGTCAACCCATTAGTTAGATAACCGTCCACTATGATAACACAATCTTGTCAGCATACCTTTTGCAACGCATGCTGCACTCAGCGCTTGAGCGCCTTCCTTCGAATGGACTGTTAGCAGAATCAAACATAGACAAAATAGATTACATACCACGGGCCTAGTGGGCGAGAACCGCGTTCTCGCCCAAGAAGTAGTTCTTGCCCTCCGTGCCAGCCGCGCTCCCGCCTGGGGGAATGAATTTCCACCGTGTCTCGATCGAGCTAGCGGGGGGCAGTTTGTGTGTCCACCCACTCGCTTTTAGCTCCGTCCAGATGGCCTTCCACATCGTTGTCTCGCCACGCAGGATGCGGGCCGTGCGTCGCTTCTCGCGGGCTCCGGCCATTTGAGCTCTTGGCCGCTGATTTCGAAAGTGAGACTCAAAAAAGCTGCTGGCCACTCAGCACGAAGCCTGCAAGAATTAATTGGTGGTGTAGCATTTGTGTATAGTACCCTGGTAATTAAAACTCCAAAAACTTGAACATAGACGATGGTACCTTCCCGCATGCATCTATGCGCACAGTGGACAGAAACACTGATTTCACTTGACTTAGTCTTTGTATAGCCAGTGATAGAGGCAGGCTCACAAAGAGTTCCGAGCATACAATTTCCAAGTATAACAATTTCTATGCTGTATTTATACAGCTTAGATTTGAAATTTATCCTATCTGGATGATTTGCTAACACATCTTATACAGCGCGGTTTGGCTTTATACGTAATTTATGGAAGATAGATCTGCCCTGTTTGCTTTGGCAGGGCCGCGCTGTTTGCTGTGTAACTGCTCGCGCAAAGCAGACGTCACTCTGTCCACTTCGGCCCCCGTACATCGACAAGTAGTGAAAGCTGCATCTACCATTATGCGGTAGCATCATCGAGTAGCCAAGACCGCGTAGGGCGCCGAGAGCACGACGCTTTGCACCTTCATCAAGGAAGCGAGCGGTGCTGACTCAACACCGTCCTGTGTACTCAAGTATACTGTACGTGAGCTCCTGATAGCCCGGCATTTGAGAATCAATAGCATAGCGGTATTGCGCATGGTGCCCATGTAGGCTTAGCACTTAACGCAAGTTCCAAACCTAGAACTACTTTTAATTTTTTTGCACATTGACTAGGATTGTCCTTCCTGCTCAGCCAGCTAGATCTCGCATGGCCAAAAACCTAGAAGCCGATCTGCAAGTGCAACACGGTGTCTGGCATCCTGCAGCAAAAGAAAAACAAGCTCAGACTGGAATTGTATAGTTAAACCCATATCAATGCACATACTTATATTTTGCTCGCTCCTATTCCTCACGTTGTCATGTGCTGGTATACATATAGCTGTTGTTGGAAGGATTGTTATCAAGACGCTTTTACCACCACTTGGGCTGTATTAGATGTTACTAGAGATATATTGTGTTGTTGGTGGTACATCAGTCTTGAAACATACAATCTAGGTGTGCAGAAGCTCGTTAGTGGTACGGTTGAAGGCCCAAGGCGCGATTTTTTTGCGACGATAGATATTGCGCTGGCGAACACGTACATTTACGAAGCTCTACCAAGTTTACGTCTTTTGGCACTCACTTCAACGTGTAGTACGTCCACGAGACGAAAACGGTAGAGAGTGTTGGGGAAGCTGGCACTTCCGTAAGTTGTTGTTGCCGATTGTATTGCTTAGTACGAAGCAAAAGGAAAAGTGAATAACTACAAGGTTTAGACATTCCTGCTCTCGCTACTGCGAGGAGGAAGCTCTCCTGTGCGCCATGGTGCTCTTCGAGCCACGGCTTCAAGCAAGTATTGCAGTTGCAACTGCAACTGCAACTTGTGTCAGCTGATAAGAGACTGCAACCGCAGTAACTACCAAAGTGCAATGAGGGCAAGGCTTTCAACCTGAGCCCCACGCTACACAACGTCTGGTATGTTCAGTGATTGTATGGGGCTACAGCGATCAACAGAGTAACGTGTATTTCAATACACTAGTTCTTGGTCATACAGCCAGAGTACAAATAGAGTCACTGTATTATTGCCTGGAACTACAGTATTCACGCAAACACGCGCCATCGCAGTGTCGGAGACCGGCACCACGGTAGGTTTTCAACCCAGGTGCAGTCGTCCCCATCACTGTTACTACTCAACTACTCAGATCTTATAGCACTCAAGTGAATGAGTGTCTCGAGAGCGATTTGACTTTGATCTGGCACTAAACACAGGAACGGAATTCGACTCTATTGCTGGCAACATAATGTTCTCGCTGCGGGCACCTTCTTGAGGAGCGAGGCACTGAGACGTCTGAAGAACTACTTACTGGTTCATACTCTTCATATCTAGTTATAATAACTACAAACTCTTCTATACGGCGTTTGTTGCTCGCATGGCTATAGGACCCGCCCGAGGATGCATCGTAGTCTACTTTGCTTGACAAGTGAGTACGGCATTTCCGTCAATGTCTAGATTAGTAATTTACGAAAGTCGCAGCCTTCAAGTTGACAGGATTGGCTATAATTGAACAGAGTTGTCTGACAATGGTCGAAGGGTGGTAGCAAACTCAAAACGGGCCATTTTGGCACGATCTCCGGTGCAACGTCTGGGAAGGCATCCAAACGTGTCATTTTGGTTTGCCGCAAAAGGGTTAAAATAAGAACACCCACAGTGAAGTAGTTTAGCATGGCTACACCCATATTCGCCGATGTTCTTAAAGTCATACCCAAGAGGGACACCACGGCCGAGCGCAGGTCCCACATCCTCTGTTTAGCGACCCGCCCTAGCCCACTGCACTGTCGCAAAGAGAAAGAGAGCTGAATTCCCAAGTCCTTCAATACAACAAAAGTAAAGCCAGGGAGGCCGAAAACGCTGCAGACAAGCTCGCCATGATGGGGCTTCGCCCAAAAAAATTTCAGCGTCTTGCACTCTCTTCACAACGCAATCATAGCGTAAAGCAAACATAGGATAAAATGACATTGCTACCAGCGCTCAAGCCCTGATGTCATGTATTTGTACTTGCTGATCTCGGTTTCCAGTATCTCTGACTGTGTTGGGTACATCTCTTTCACGTAGTCCAAGTCCTGGCGACAGAGGACATGGATCTGCACCCACGTCAGCGCCACCGTCGTCGCCGATCGCTTGGTGTGCTGCAGCAGTGCCATCTCGCCGAAGTAATCGCCTATTGGTCGATATCTTTCGTTAGTCAAGTGACACCAAAGTACCTCAATCACAAAAAAAAGTTCTTACCTTTGCGAAGAATGCACATGATTTTGCACGCAGTGGAGTTAGGATCGAGCACGCCAACACTTCCTTGGTTCCCGATAAAACCCATCCAGTCCCCGAACTCCCCTTTCCGAATCAAGACGTCGTCTTGCATGTATATGACGGTCCTCAAGTGCAAAATCAACAGCTCGATCACAGCAGGCGCCAACGTCTTCGAGGAGAGAAAAGGAATCCGCTTGAGCATGTCTCGATAAAGCTGGAACTTCACCTCGCAGATCAACGCCGGTGACAGCTCATTGATGAAAGCGTCTGCATCGGTATTGATGTTCTTCGTTTCTCTCCAAAGATTTTCGTAGTAACCTTCAATGCGCTTCGTCAGAGCTTCGGGAATGCCGAGGAAACGACAACGCTCCAATGTCGTGATGATTTTCTTGCTGTACGCAGCCTCTCTCTCATCAAGCGATGAAATTAGCGCAGCAACAGCGCCGAACACGCTCGCTTGGAGAATGTTGCCCACTAGCATAAAGCAGGCGACGGATATCAGTTCGATCGCTGAGTACATTACGGGGGGACTTGCGTTGACACATCCAATGACGAGCGACCAGCACAGACTGTACTCCTCAAACAATGACTTCGGCACAAAAGCACCTTCTTCCAGATGAGTGCGCCATTCGACTGCCACCGCACTCCAGTAGCACGTCAGTAGGTGGGCAATAGTGAGAACCAATCCAAGTAGCATAATAAATCGCACGAATCCCGCCTTTTTGGCAGAGTGGAGCCTGTACGCGAGGTTACTCACTTTGGCCAAGCGAATAATTTTCATAAAGCCAAGCGCGTCACTATGATCAAACCTCGCTAAGTATTCAAAAGGAAACCAACTCAGAAAATCCGGTACTGCCCAGCCACTCATCAGGTAATTCATCGCTGTTCGTCGGGGTCCAGAAATGAGCTCCCCGTGTTCATTCACGTAGGACGAGAACATCCGCACGAAAAAGTCGATCGTGAACACCACAGGCTCAAAGTTGTTGTAGAAATCGAGAAACTTGGAGTTGTAGTCAAAGCCCAGAAATAGCGGCGTGAATACAATATCGAGGCAAATCATCACCAGGACGAGCGAGTCCCAAAGCTTCCGATACGGCGAATCGTGTCGAATGGTATAGCGATCCATGTCACTGGCTGGATTGCGAGCGGATAGAATTTCCTCTGGAGACACGCTCGAGTCCGCGTTGGGTTTCTCGGCGAACATATTGTTCTTTCGCTTCTTCATAGTCCCCGTCATGCGAGTCAAGTTCATGGAGCTGACCGAGAATCGACGAGATACCGCGTCATCTTCATACGACGGCGTATGCTCCAACTTGTGCATCTTGCTCAACTGCGCAATTTTCATTATGCGCTTCTGCATCGGCGTCTGCAGTGGTCCAGGCGTATCAGCTGCCTCGCTTGGCTCGATCGCCCCATTCTCAGGATGCATGTGAACGGGTGCGACCGGATCTGGCACAGGTAATCGAGTGCTCAGTTTCTTTTCGAGCGGCGGCTGCGCTGGTGCTGAGCTTGAGTTTTCAGGTCGAATGTTTGTAAAACTCTCGACAGCATCATTCGCCATGTCAGGTACCTCAGGTGGCACAAGCCTCAAGGCTTCAAGCCCGCCTATAGTTCCGAGCGGTGAGCCCTTAGCATACATGTGATAGCCCATCGGCGCCGAGTTCTCACTGAAATTCCGGTTCTTGTTTCGCGAAATCGTGATCTACACAAGAATACATAAATAAGGAGTAATACAATAGCAGTGTCTAGAATATTATCAAACCTGGAGTTGCCGGTGCACCAACGCGCTCAAATCTCGCAGCATTCGGTGGGTGGTCTGCATGTCCGCTTGCATCTGGTCCAGACGTTCTTCGATTATCCAAAGACGATCAGGCCCACGGTGAAGGCTGGTAGAGTTTCCCGATCGCTCCAGGTTCGAGGAGGAATCGTATCGATGCTCCACTATCCGAGGCATCTCTTCGACTTGCTTCCGATCCATCGTGACGTGTTAGTTGTGACCTCTCGAGTGAGAAGCGCCAAAAGTCGGAAGTTCTATACTCGGAAGATCGGGAGCTGTGAACAAAAGCCACAACGGCAAAGCAAATGCGCGTTTTCTGAGAAGACCCGCTTGTTCCGAGTGGTGATCGATGCCAAGTTGCGTGAATAGTAAATGCACGATTTAGTACACTTGAAAGGTAAAAAGACCAATGGTAATGGGGGTATTGGTTGCCAGCCGAACAGCAACAAAAGCTCTGTTGAGCGATGAATAAGCTGCACGCTCAGGAGAAGATCAAATGACTCTTGACGTACTGGAGAGTGAAGTCGTGCAGCACAGTTCAATCGATAGAGTTGGTTCTTCCGTTTGTCCGCGGAGTGCTACATAGCAACAGTAGCGATAAACCTCTGGATTCGGTGCTGTATAGGCCTGCAGCTTGATATGCATTTAGTACTAAGAAGAGAACAAAAGAGCTTGGCCTACTACGAGGTAGAACGAACGACTGATCCACTTACACGGTAGAATTCGCAAATAATCATGCGGTACTGAGCTCGACTGCAATAATTGTGCCTCTGCGGGTTGCGGTTGCCAGAGGTGACTTCAGTGAAGCTACGTTTGTTTTGTTGTACTTTAAAGGTACGCAGATTACCGGTATGTAAATTAATGGAATGCACTCGTTGAAGCTGTTATTTGCTTGCACCCACGGTACAATCACCTCGGAGGCAAGCAAACAGTAAGTTTGCTAATGCGTAGTACCGATGACAAATTAATATTGTTTTGCAAGCACTTATTCCCATCACACTTTAGGCTACCATTCGTGTACAGCAGTATGATTTCAGCTATGGAGGAATCGCTCTCTGGTGTAGGTGAAGAAGAATCAGCTAGCTCAGTTAAGTAGTAAAACGCATCAAGGGCGATGTTTCTGAATGCATTTCAGCCGAGGTTGGTGTCTCTAACGACCGAAAGCTTGCACTGAACGGTGTTCGTGCTCCGCGACGCGATGTCATCGACTGCCTTTGAAACCACCACTTACTTTCCCCTACTTGCAGCCACCGCAGCGCACCTCGCGCGAGAGCGGCAATCATAGCTGCGGGTTTTCAAATAATCATTGAACTTGAACAAGCAATTCGAGTCAAGTTGATCAGCGATATGTTCACTCAGCACGAGGATAAGCTTGTCACCATGTATCACAGCAGCAGCTGCAAAGTCTCAGTGATTTTTTTGTGCTAGCCTACGCGGAGGAATCCGTTAGCGCCGCCACCGTTCGGGCTCACACCATACACGACCCCTCCTTATTAGTATCCATGTCTATCAGGCCCAGGTAGTACTCGCCCAACTTCGTTCGTACTTGGAGCAGTAGTTCACGCCGTCGTTGAACATCATCGGGCAAACACTGTTTCACGTTGCAACGCACCAGAACACAGCATCACTGGCAACAATCTGCTGACTTCGATCTGGTTGGGTAGGCGTGGAAGGGGGAAGCTGGGAGAGCTGAGCATACCGAGTGGGCAGATGGACGGGCCTTGGCTCCTCCATGACCAACAGCAGCTCCCCGCAACGCAACTTAAAGTCTGCACTCTGTCCTCACCAAATCTGGTTCTAGACATCCTCTCATATAATAAATCTGTCCCCACCATATCTGACTCTAGAGTCTAGAGTCTAGACATCCTCTCAAATAATTTACAGTAATATATATATATACCATATTTCGAGGTCCGTTCAAACTTTTGACCTTATAAAGAGGTATGGATCGCAGTGCCCAAACGGCGCGACTCGGGAGCAGATACGAATATGGCCGAACCAAAAACAGAAGCGGAGCCCGTGAGCGAGAGCACCACCGGCAAAGCAATCGCGAATTCGTCTGAGAAGATCCGCTCCTTACGGGCCGCGATTGACGCCAAGCTCCACGAGCAAGGAATTTACGAGCAGATCCGCGACTTGGTGCACTTGAAAACCAAAGCGTCGACCGATGGGAATGAGGATAATGACGGCCAACCCAACAGTGGGGAAGATCGGGTGGCCGACGATCATGCGGCACGCTCTAGAGAAGACCAGTTGATCCACGACGTACTGGAGAGTGAAGTCATACAGCAGCTATTGGCCACGGTTCGATCGATGGAGTTGGCTTCTCGTGCGCGGGATACTGACAAATCTACCAAACACCAAGAAGCCGAAGAGCCAATCAACGCGGAAGACCTGGAGAACGAACGAGACGTGTTCCTCTACCTTCGATTGTCTGGAGGGAAGGCATTCGTCGACCAGCTCGTCGATCTCGATGGGAACTTTGACAATGAAGCAGAAGACGCCGGCTTGGATGAATGCAGGTGTCCTGTTGGAAGTGTCGTGCCGTTTTTCCGCGTGAATTTTACATTCCAACAGCAGCGCCAAAGCTCCGGAGATGTCCGATGCTGCGTTGATCCGCCCTTTGACGAGCACTTCCGCTTCCGCGTGGAGAAAAAGAGAGCTCGAGCAGCTCGGACCAAAGGTGGATCCACCTACGCTGTCGACGTGACTTCGCCTTGGGAAGCGCTTTGTCTCGTGGAGGAGCTTGTACAGCTTGACGTAGTTAAGGTGACCAAGAGGCTGTTAAGCAGAGATTCCGACAGTGTTGCTCGGTGGCGGGAGCTCTCATGCGAATTACTCGCTGTGCACCGTCTGGATTGGAGGCGAGTACTGTGTTCAACGCTTCAGCTGGTTCATTTCCCAGTGCAGCTGGCTGGCAGGATGAAGGAGCCTGTGGGGACTTTAGCCATTCGCGCCGACTTGCTGAACTGCAAACGCACAGCTAGTATTTCTCACGAAGCTAGAGCCTTTCTAAACAAGGAGGCCTTGCAGCGTAATACGAGCAACCACTCCTTCTACAAGTATGCCAAGCAGTGGTGGGAGGAATACCGGAGTGAAACTCGGGAAGCAAAGCAGCTGCCCCCACATCGCTCGAATGGCACAGAATCACCGGGGGGAAAGGAAGACGAATACTCCCAACTGCTGGCACAGATCGGATCTCGCCAAAGACTTGTCAAGATGTTCGCTGAAGACGAGGAAGGACGCTATCGCATGGTGTGCAAATTTCTTGTGCCCCTGCGTGTGTCCACTGCAGTAAGAAGCCCAAGCGAAGCTGCGCGTTTTGTCGGTCTGCTCCCGTACGAATCAAATGCACTGGTTGGAGGGTCCATGGATGAAACTTGGCGATCTATAGCCACCGTGCTATCACTCCGGAAGGGCGATGTTCAAGATCACGCCGTAAGTTCGCTAATGCGTCATGATGATCAGAGTTCTTATGTGCTGTTGACATATTCAATAGATCCTGTTGACCTCACTGCTTCTGGGCTGCGGTCTGGACGCTTACGTCTGCATCGGCACGGTTTCAGCTAGTAAAAGTGCATCTGGATTTGCACGCGGATCGCAACGCAGTTATGATGACCGAGGGAGCAATCGCTCTGCGGAAGTTGGCCATGTGTGGGTGCTCACACGAGGAAGCAGGTAACTAACTTCAAAGCTACGATGTAGTTCGCTGGCAGCCTACTAACCATCAATTCGCTGGTTGTAGTTCTGCGGACGTTCTTCTGTGGGAGTCTGTGACTGGTGAGAAGTTTGCGGTCAACGACTCTCGCGCTCCAAGACGCCGAGGATACTGCGCAATCGACTGCGTGTTCAACCATCGCCAATTCTTCGCAAACTTACAGCCGCGTGCATGGAAACTCTCCGAGTCCTCCTTCGACTTTGACGACGAGAGCTGCTGGAAGCGAATGGACGAGCATCTCATGGCAGATCTCCCATTCGGTCAGCCTCCGACATCCCTAGCAGCTCCAGATCTTGGATCGGCCCCCGCACTCGAGCAAGAATGGTCTGTAGCATTCAAGCGTGCCATCTCCTCCCGGCGACGAGCTGAGGGTCTCGTGACGCGATGGAGCGACGAGTTGAGCTTCTACCTGCTACCAGCGCTCAATTCGTACGAGCTCGAGCGTCTGTACGGCGTAAGTGAAGTGGACAACAACTTCTTCCAGCAGAGCGTCACCAACTTTGTGCAGGAAGGACACACGTTCCAGGGCGTGCCCTCCATGTTCACCACGGAGTCTGCAGACGACGCGTTGGCCACCATGACCTCCAACCCGCTCGTCGTCGACATCTTGACTCTCCACGCTCGCTCCGCTCAATTTGCAGTCGCAGTGCGCTGCTTCCCGTACGCTGAGCACACTGTCGCTGTTTGGGTCATGCTGGCCGTCAGCTACCAGAGCAAAAGCTAGGGGAAAAGTTTCGAGTCCGTGTTTAGATAAAAAGAGAGTACGGTACTACGTAGTAGTTGGCACTTTGTGGTCGTTATGTGTGTTCTGCCGCCGCAAAATGTTAGGCGGCGGCTTCCGCTTCGGCGCTCCATGGCGCTCGGGTGGCCACGTCGCCCTCAGCTCCAGCCGCTGCCACGGGATGCGCGATGGGACTGTCGACCTCGAGCGGCGCGGGGCTCTGGAACTGCTGAACGATGGCCTGGGCCGTGCGCGGGTCCACCACTTGGATGGTGGAGCTCACGGCCAGCAGCTTCTCGAGCGCGTTGAGCAGCTTGGGCAGGCTGCGGTAGCTCTTGTGCGGCTCGAGGATGATCTCCGTGAGCCGCTGCAGGGTGAAGGGCGGGCTCTCGAAGGTCTGCAGCAGCTGCGTGACGCTGGCGCGGCGGCTCTTGCTGGCGGCGTCCTTGGCGTCCATCTCGTCCAGCGCCAGCTGCAGCTTGGCCAGCAGCAGCACCTTGAGGTGCGCCCAGGCGTAGCAGGGCACGCCGGTCTGGCGCATCTCGAGCAGCACCTTCTCCAGCGTCGGCGAGATGCTCGTCACGCTGCCGGTCGCGAAGCCCGCGAGCTCCTGCTCCGTGGCCTGGATCTGCTGCTCCAGCGAGGCGGATGTCATGGCTTTTGGCGGCTGGCTGTTGGAGGTCGGGGAAGAGAGAGAGAGGCTTGAGCCTTGCGCGGTGGAGATTAAAATGCGCCCTTGGGTCAGTTGCTGTGAAAAACTTGAAAAACAAGAAGAGGATACAGTCGATTTACAGAGGTATCGATTCGAGGAGGTAGTTTGCCATACAAGTTTTCTTTAGGCTACAGTCCGATATAACGGGGTATTTTAATTTAGAAGAAAAAGTACCGTTACGCTGCGACCGTTTCGCGTGGCTTTGAGACTGCCGACATGGCTACGCTTTTCGACTGGAGCAAGGCCCGCCAACGCCGCTTGCGTTTGCAGCGGACGCGTGGTGCCGTTTTTGCGGCATGCCACTCTGCGGCTGCGTGTGCCGCAAGCTCGGGCCAGGCGAAGGAACGAGCAGCAAGGCGCAAGGCGATAACGTTGTGCCAGCCGAGCTCGCAAGATGCCGTTGTCCGCGTCGTTGCGGTTGTGGACTATGTTTGGTCGAACGTCCACGTTGCAGCAGACCCAACCAGTTCTCCCCTCTTTTACGGAGATGACTCAGAGCCCATGCAGCACCGCAAGTCCCTTTAACGCGACACCGCCGGAAGAGCAAACACGGCTGCCAGCACGGAGGATTTGATGTTCACGTCCCCGCGGACGTCAACAACGCGCCCTGCATTCGCGCGCATGGAACTTCGGAGCTGCAGCAAGTCATTTGCAGAAATCCTCCCATAGGGGCGAAACCGCCCAAGCGCTATGTTTGACTCGACGCAGCATCTCCAGTTCCTGCTGGCATCCTCCTCGCCAGTCCCGCACGCGGTTCGAGGCGCCTCCGCTGCCCTGGCGGGAGCCATCGCGTTCGCCAACGTGACAGGCAACCGGAAGGCGATTTTTGCGCAGCTGCAGCGCGGCGATCCATCAAAGTTCAGACTAGGGGCGCCGCCACGCACCGGCCTCGCGTTCGCTGTCTTTATCGGTGGGTGCCCGCTCTGTCCAGGACTGTGAATTAGATCTGTCTAACGCTTCCCTGCGTGTTGCCTCTCTTGCAGCTATCTTTCGCTACTACCAGCGGTCAGCTTCGCTCCAAGCCAAGGGCCGAGTCGGCGACACCAATGAAGCGGCGTCAAAGCCGTCTTCAGATGCACTATTCCTACCTAGCCTAATTCCAGCTTCGGCGTTGGCGGCGGCGATAAGCACGCTCTGTATCACCCCCGAAGATCGTCCGGCGCTTCTGTCGCTGTTGTCGACCAACGCTGCGAGCAAACTCTTCGGCGATTTCATGGCAAAAAATTCGGACTTGTCCTTCCTGAAGCCGCTCGAGTTGCTCGTGTTCATGGCGGCGGGAGGTTGGATCTTTTCGTCGGGCTTCTTCTACCCAGAGAGCTACGAACGTTCGCACATGAGGACGATCCTCAAAAGCGTCGTGTTGAAGCAGGACGTCGCCCAGGAGCTCCAAGAAAAATACCGCCAGGGGCTCAATCCGAATCCATGCCCCATTCGCCACAAGGGGCTAAGCTGTTGCCAGTTTGCGACTAGCGACTTTCTCCTCCGTGTAGTGACGACATCGCTGCGAGTGTACGTCCCCGTGCACTTGACGACGTGGTTGCTCGCTCAAAGACACTCACGCGTGCGCTCTAAGCCCGCGAGCGTCCAGCTGAAAGGCTTTGCGACGAAATTGACGCGCTCTTCAGCGTACGGCATCGGGTATGTTTACTTGGGGTGGGTGCTGTGCTGTATGTTAGGCAAGCTCGGCGATCGCTCGCAGGCTCTTCGCAAGCTACAGTTCTTCATGAGCGGCGCCATTCCATCTCTCGCGATACTGGCGGAGTCCCCGGGTCGCCGGCGATCGATCGGACTCATCCTCACATCGTACGCGCTTGTGAGCGCGGGAAACGTCGCGACTCGGAGGATTCCGTTCCTGCGACCGGGTGCCAGCAGTGTGCGAGGCCTGTTGGAAGCTGGTTGTGTAGCTGCTACTGTGTCTGTGGTGATCTCAAACACTTTGAAGAGCAGCCACCTTTTGCGACGGATGTTGCTGGGCGATATCGAGGCGAACAGACTGGTGAGCGCTCTAAAGAAGACTGCCACGTCTCGTGATGAAAGTGCACCACGTACTTGAGCTGGGCGTGCTCAAGGCTGCTACATGAAGTTTCAGTCTCTTCATTGCAAATGACAATGTAACCTACACTTCACTGCATCGATACTCATCCGCGCTGACTTCTCCCACTTACACAAGAACATTCGACCCGCTATATCTCACTAAAGCAAGCATTAGGTGGCGGCCAAAGTTGCGGTCCCCGAACTAAGTCATGGAGGTGATGTTGTCCGATAGCGCCTTGCAGTCCATGGGAATCGTGAGCACCGGGCCATCGCCAGTGTCCGCGACGCTGTGACTGTACGTCGGGTTGTAGGCGATGATCTGACCCACGGATGCGCCGAATTCCTCCGCAAGGTCCTTGTACGTGCCGTAAGTAAACTTGTACGGCTGCAGAGTGCACTGGCTTGGGTAGCAGGACGGAATCTTGATGAAGAGGCCCGCGTCGAGCTCCACGTCGGCTTGAGACTCGTCCACGCCGAGCGCTGTCAGCACACTCTCCAGTGTGATGTTGAAGCGCTCGAGCGCGATGGTGCGGTACGTGTCGTTGCGCTGCGTGTAGTAGAGGTGCGGCCCACCCAGGAGGCAGAAGTTGGTGGTGTCAGTGTCCACGACGGTGAAGCAGGAGGTGTCGTCGGGCTCGCACACTTCGGCCGGGATGATGACCTCGGTATCGGCAGCGAACGGGATGGTGGGGTCGGACATGCGGTTGGCACGAGCGACGTCGCAGATGCCGCGGTTGTTGAGCGTGGCGACGGCGTTCACGGACATGATGGAGTCGGTCGTGTAAGAGCCCACAGTCGTGTTGAGTGCACTGGTGTCGCACGAAGAGCTTGCACTGGCAATGGAGACAAGTCCGACGGCCGTGAGTGCCACGATGGAGTTGACGGCGACCATGGTTGGTTCAGAGAGAACGATGACTGGGTTAGTATCGCGTACGCGCTTGTTGTCAAGGCAGGAAATTGGATAATGAACATGCTGGAAACAGTGCTTGGTTCTTGCCGTATTGGACAGCTAGCGTTTGCGTCTGTCTTGAGCTTCGTGACCGGTCTTCAAGTACGCGCTGTTGTAGTTTCAACCACGAGCACCAGGTAGGTTCTTGTAAGCAGACCACTGTATGACGCTGTTCACATCCAAGTGCTCATGTGAGAATGCACAGTTGAAGCGTACATGTAGCTCACACTTGATAGATGCCCGAGGTCGATTCAAGGCTCTGAGTCATTGTGACGCTGCCCGCCACAGTGTTTATGCTCACTTTCGCGCTGATAACCGAACGACGAGTTTGAGGTCTGTCTCGGTCGAGATAGCTTGATGAGACGGGGGCTTCAACTGCTCACATCTTTGCTCTTTCGCGCTGCATTACAGATCTCTGCAGACACTACGCGACGATGCGACTTTCGTTCCCTCACTGGAGTCACATACACACTTGACCATCGCGTGGCTCGATCGGCGTTCATCACTGAAGGGCCAAGCAATGAAAAGAACTGGTGATAACGCTACAAAGATCGCAATCGTCCTGACCCGTTGTTGAAGTAATGATGAAGGGAGTAAGCATGCGCACCTGTTATTATCGTCAACGAGGGAGTAAGCAAGTGTACGTGTAGATTACCGTGAAAGGGTTCTACTGTGCAGGGATCTTATGGGAGTGCAGATGGGAGTGCGGCATTCGATCTCCGACAGAATCGTCCGTGCACTGCAAGGTGCTGTCGGACAACTTCATCTTGATGACTTTGACGTAGTAGTTGCCTGTTTGGTGACAGCAGTTTGGTGCGCACTTGCGCGGGTGGGTCTCAATCTAATAAACGTGCCAACCCTGCACTTCTTTCAAACGAAAAATGTGAGAGGCAGAATCGACCAGTTTATCAAACTTTTACTCGTCTCAATCCGAAATAGAGCACGAACAAGTGTAGTCCTCTCTTCAAGAAGTATTTATATCGCGAGGAATCAATTCCTACGCAGCCAGCGCTCTACACGACGATGAGCGAAGAAGTAGGCACCAATGGTGCCGATAGGGCGTATCTGTCGCTGGAAGAAGTGACAAAAGTCATTCAGGTATGCTCTGTGGATGCATCCCATGTCTTTCTGGCGCTGACAGGTCACATTTATCTGTAGAAAATGCGAGAGGATCACGAATCGTTCCTTGAGCAACAACGAGAAGTCATCATTCAGCAGGTCTTAGAGAGTATTCAGCGCTCTGGAGTACTTGCCTCAGCACCAGCACAGTCTCCCACTAAGAAGAATCACAAAGCCTCGTCGTCCACAGCTCGTCTGGAACAGAATCTACACAACCTTGTGAATCACTCCCTTGCTGAAAGTGGTCTGGATTACCCACATGTACGCAGCACGGCATACGAAGCAAAGGATCGGGGCATCAAGAGCAACACTCAGAACGCAAAGCGTGTAGAGAACAAGACTAACGGGCTAGACAAGAAGAAACCAGTAATTTTGAGTCGACGAGAAGTCGAAGGCGGCAGAAGTGGGAGTGCGTCTTCAACTCGACTTGTTAGTGAAAACGAAAACAAAAACGAAGACGAGAGGGGTGAAGAAGAAAATCAAGACTCCAGCTCCGCCCTGGAGCCAACCCACTCGTTGTCCCATTCGCCACTCCGCACTAAAGATGCGAGATCATTGAGAGAAAAGGCCACTAAAGGGAGGAAGCGACGACATCACCGACGCAGTAAAGCCAACGCAGGGTCGGTCGGCTTGGATGACGACTACTCGGAGTTTGTTGACCCTGTCGACGCAGCCTTCAACGCGATCCGCAAGAAAGTGGATCTGAGAACGCTAGCGATCCTTGACAGATCCAAAGTTCTACTCGGGCAGGTAAAGAGGGCCGAAAACGTACTTGAAGGAAGAACCAGCTTTGTTGAAAAATTGCGACTGCGCCACGCGGGCGCAGAAAAAAATACAGAAGAAGTCAACTCCACAGGGAAAGGTGCTGAAGAACACGCAGACGCTGATGATAACAATCGACCGGGTCAAACAACTGGGTTATCTGCAGAGCGTGAATCCGGTGAGGGGGATACAAGTTCTAGTCCAATGCAAGACGAGTCAGGTAAAGCTTCGACCTTGTCTCCGGACGATATTCGCTGCGACCTGGAGCTACTTCAACGTCCTGAAAAGGCTCCGGACAACGATAACGAGTGGGAAAATGAACTGGCGCGTCAGATTCTCACCATTTACGCAACGTCGATCAAAGCGAAAGCGCTCGAAAAGGCTAGAGGCGGGAGCCCTGGAAAGCAGCAGTATGGCAATCAGAACGTGCGTGAAGGTTCCGCTGGATCAAAGGGAGTTGGTGAGAAGCAACAACACTTACGAAGTATAGGCAAGCGAAACGGACGACAGCAGTCTCTTTCCAAGTCAATTTCCTTGCCAGCCATCGACCGACGAGCTGCTTTCAAGAAGCCCCAGCACCGCGCTTCAGCTTCCCCTGCTGCTGTCCACTACTCGTGGGAGCCATCCCAACTCCGTGACGACGGCAAGGTGATAATCAATATGCCGAAAGTCCCACGACCGATTTGGTTCGCCGGTACGGGAGCAGTGAAGGCAGTTTGGTGTGCGTTGGCCGAGGGGTTTTCTCAGCTCCGACCTCAGCACGCAGCCTCAGGTCATTCGGGAACAAACTCCGCTGTTGTATCTGTGTGTGATCATCGACTGTGTGAGGAGGTTCGGCAACTCGAGACCAAAAAGAAGTTTGCGCAGTGTATTACGACTCTCGAGTCGCTCTTGGTGGCTTTGGTGCGTGCTCGAGGCGTCGATGAACTCGAGACGAAGCTGTGGAAGCAGCTTGTGGTGACTTGCAACGCCTTCGCAAGCCGCTGCATTGACTACAAGAAGTTCCCCGCTGGTCTGCAGCTGATGAAGCAGGCAGAGCATCTCATCGACAACTCCATCTTGGTCGACAGCACGATGAGAATGGAGCTGCTCGCATATCTGTACGACACCTACGCGCACTACTACTACAAGCGTCGCAAGCCTCACGCGGGTCTCCAGTACATCCTCAAAGCGCACGAGATCCACAGCAGGCAAAGTAGCTGGTCCCACCTCGCAAAGTGTCGACTTCACATCGCGAATCTGCTGTCGTTCCAGATCAAGCACGCGGAGGCCATGAAGTACATGGCCAGCATACTCGAAATGATTGAAGATAACAAACTGGAGGAGACAGCGGAGGGAGGCGTTGGCGGTGGGTCGGCGCAGAAGCTCTGTCTCGCAGCTGTGTGCTATAACAACTTAGCTGTCGAGCAGTTGCACATGCGCGAGTTTGAAGCGGCCAGCGTATCTTCTGCGAATACCCAGCGGCTAGCCAAGTTGTGTTTGAGTTACAGCAATCGGTGGCTCTCACAATTCCAGGCCACCAGCGACTGTGTGGCCCTTGCCATCGCAACGTTGATGGAAGACACTAACGCCGACAAAGGTCCTCTGGCGGATTGCAGAGCGCTGGCATCCGCAGAAGAACAACGAAGTCGTATTTAACCAATATCTGCAGTCAGTAGTCGAATTTCGAGCTTTCAGGCGCGCTCGAGTAGATCAACATGGGTTATCACCCCTCCTTCGTCGTGGAAAATGCGAGCCACCTGCATAAACAAGCATTTGTAAGCTCAATAACGTTCGTTCACGGATTGAAATGGCAGATAATGCGTACCTCTTGGGCCAGGGACTCTCGCGCTGGGTCATCCAAAGACATCTTCTCCTGGCTGGGCATGCAAAATCCGTTAGCAAGCTACATGATGGTAAAGTTAGAAGCGAGATTGCATCTGTACCTCGTCTGAACAAGACTGTGGGCTCGCGCGATAGCTGTCTTCAGGTCTTGTAGACGCCCCGTTGCACCTTTGTATTCCTCACTGACTTCTGTCAACTACAACAGCGAAGGCGATTATGAGATGTGTGTGCTTAGACCACTCTTAGTAATGAGCTTGCATGAATCAAACCTGTAGTGCCTTGCGCTTGGTGCCCCAATCATTGACGTACGCGAGGAACAGTTCCTGGTCGAGCGACTCGCGGAATTGCAGCTTCAACGCGCTGGAACAAACCAAAAATGCATCCTGCAGGGGAAAAAATGTCAGCGATCTGAAGCCACATCCATACAAATGTTGCCACCAACCTTTTTTGCAGCTTGCTCAAACAATGTCAGCCGCTTCAAAAACTCCTGAGCATGCTGGAGCACACTTCACCAAGGGTAGAGGGACTTTCAGTTATGACATCGAGGCCTTTCGTGTGCAGTTCAATGTTTATACCTGCGGAATGTGATGCCACCACTCTTCAATTTTGCCGCTGTCTGCACAAAAGCATCGATGTCGTCGCAGTCGGCTCTCGAAAACAATGATCTAGTCGGCTGCACCTGCGCATTGCTGTTGATACTGTCGTCAGAAACGAGTTCTCCACCCACGAGATAAAGTCCTTACTTACGCGGTGGTGATCGTCCGACAGATCTCAAAATGTGGTAGCAGCATTGTCGACATCGACGTCTCGATCGTCTCGATATCAAAGTGAAGCTGCCTAGCGCGTTTCAAATGCTCATCTGCGGAAAGATTCTTGTCTGTTAGCAAGCCATCAAAATAAATAAAAACAACACTACAGCACCAGTCCTCACCTTCCAGAGCTAACTTGAAGTCGTCCGTGAACTGCTCAATGGCCTTCTCGTACTGCCCCACTCGCCTCGAGTGCGAGTTCTGCAGTACTTGCCCCGCTTCGTCCAGGAATTTGGCCAGATGCTGCATCCAGATCCAGAATCTCATTAAAACAGCAGCACCCCATAACTAAAATCTGTTCCAGTTAATCCCTCACGTCTCTTTTCTTCGTCAGCAGCGCACACACTTCAGCGTTTCGCTCCACGGCATCAGCCAGAGCTTTCGTGTCTGTCGCCGCCGACTTCACCGCCTGTTGGATCTTCTTGACGCCAATAGACTCACACGTCTCCAGACTCTCCGACAGTCGACACAACTCTTGCAACGCCGACAAGAGTGTTCTGAGCTCCGTTTCCCCCAGGAACGAAGGCACGAGGCTCACTGCACGCTGCAGACGGCTGGAAATGCGGTCCAAAGTATCCGCTGAGTTCTTATCTGAATCTGTACTCGATGCCCAAGCGACAGCGAGCGACCGCTGCAGCTGCTGAAGGTCTTGCACGACGCGCTGCATACAGACCACGATGTCCGCCAGCGCGAAGCGGTGCTTGCGCACTAGCAGCAGCTCGTAGTCGCGCAGTAGATCCGCCGCCGGCATCTTTTTTCCATCTGAGACGAATCATAAATTTAAGATTTGTTCACGCATTTAAGATCTAGATTTGTATGTTTACAAATTGAATGTTCGTCATCGTCCAGTTGTCCTACATCAACAAAGCGAACCAGTTTACGTTGTCAATGCTGGCTCCACAGACGCTGGCGCAGGTGTCACCCGCGCATCATGCGGTGCGTGGGGCCTCCGCTGCGTTGCTGGCGGCAACGGCCGTTGCCAACTTGATGGGGAACCGGAAGGCGCTGCTGACGCTGCTGCAGCGGCAACAACTGACTCGGTTGACACTCGCCCCGCCGTCGCGCAACATCGCAGCGCTTGCACTTTTCATCGGTGCGTCCACCACTACCAACAACATTAACAGTATTGCAGCCATCTAACACCTATAACGGTGCAATGCAGGCGTATTCAGGTACCTGCAACGTGCCGCCTCCGTGCGCGCCAAGCAGCAACAGCAGTCCACAGATGACAAGACCAACAGCCAGCCACCTCTAATAGTCCCGGGGGCTGTATGGGCGTCTGCGGTGGCGTCGGGACTCGGCACCGCCTGCTTGTCTCCCAAAGCCCGCCCGGCCATTGTGGCGCTGTTGTCCACCAACGCAGCAAGTGAGCTCGTCCAGCAATTGATGGCCAAGCATCCGAACCTGACGCTGCTCAAGCCGCTGGAGCTGCTGGCGTTCATGACGGCGGTCGGGTGGATCTACTACTCGGGCTTCTTCCACCCCGACAGCTACCAGAAGTCGCACATGAGGCTCATTCTCAAGTACGTGCTGTTGACGCAGCCCATGGCGTCCGAGCTGCAGGACCAGTACCGACTCGGCCTCAATCCGAACCCGTGCTCCATGCGCCACAAGGGCCTCAGCTGTGGGCAGTTCGCGCGCAGTGACTTCCTCGCGCGCATAACGACCGAGGCCTTCCGCTTGTACTTCCCCGTGCACTTCTCCGCGTGGATGTTCGCCCACCGCCACGCCAAAGTGCGCTCCAAGCCGCTGCCCACGCGCGTCCGGCGGTTCGTGGCCAAGCTGCTGCGATCGATCACGTACTTCACGACGTTCGTGTACGTGGGTTGGGTGCTGTCGTGTCAAATGGGCAAGTTTGGGGACCGTTCTGTAGCTCATCGCAAGCTACAATTCTTCCTGGGCGGCGCGCTGCCGTCGCTGGCCATCTTCATCGAGTCTCCGTCGCGACGGCGCCCCATCGGCCTCATCCTGACCTCGTACGTGCTGGTGAGCATGGGCAACGTGGCGTTCCGCCGCGTCGCGTGGCTGCAGGCTGGCGCGAGTCCCGTGCGTGGGCTACTGGAGGCGGCGTGCGTGGCTGCAGCAGTAGCCGCGACGATCTCGGGCTCGCTCGAGAGCAATCACCTGGTCCGGCGCGTCTTGCTTGGTGACGTCGAAGCGCGCGCACTAAAGGAGGAGCTCCGGCGGATGAACAAGGCAGAGGCGGAACTGGCAGAAACCCTGCGCGCGTACTGAGGAGACTGTCATTAATTTTGGTTTGGCTCTCGAACGTGTAGCTAGCTCACACAACGAAAAGTATCCTTGAGATGGACACCTCTGTCTGCGTGGAGCCCCGTTCGCTGACGCCTGCTGTCACTGAGACGTTGGTCCATTTTGACAGGCATCGACATCGCTCTATGCCATGTGCTACGCTGGATGCGCTCTCGGTGTTGCCAAGATCATAGCGGAAGAGAGTCGGCCACTTCAACATGCTGTAGTACAGAACCCTCGTAACAGCGGCTGGGCGGGTGTGGGCGTGGCTCCGATGCGAGCGACACCCGCAGCTGTCTGAGGAGTCCACCGGCGCCTCGAGGCGCTCACCTATAGAGCAGGCGACGTATTTCGTCTCACGCCAGGTGCCCGAGAGCATGGCGCTGTGCTAATGGCCAACGCCTCCACCTGCTTCTGCAGCAGCCACGCTGTGACTCTCTCATTTTCCTATTCTCCTCCCCAGTGGCAAAGCGCCACTACCGGTACACTCCACGGCCGACACCTCCTCCCTCTAGACCATGGCCAAGGTGTCGAAACTCATACGCAAGCTCTTCCGTCGAGACACCGGCGGCAACGCTGCTGGCTGTGACGGAGCTATCGGAGACCGAGGGCTGCAGATGCGCCTGCGTAAGGCTGTCACCATGGGCAAGGCCCGTCAAGTGGCGGATCTGCTGGACCAAGGCGCGTCCCCCATCTGGATGGAGGACGAGTCCAACTCGCGTCGATTCCGTCGCCGCTACTCGGACGCCTGCCAGCTCAACGCGCTGCTGATCGCCTGTCGACTGGGCAACGTCGATATCCTGAGTCTCCTGCTGGACGCCTTCTTTGAGGAGCCCCAAGTCCTCGCACACTTCAGTCGAGCCATGTACTGCCTCGTGATCCGCCACGACCACTGGAAGGCCTTCCACACGCTGCAGCAGCGACGCGTACCCATGACGTCCATTTCGTCGCGCTCCTCGTCCGATGAGTCTAGCTCCCCAACGTCCGTGGCTTCGACCCGGTTGCTGTCGGTTGCGGCGATGGAGAACTCGCGATCCAAGCTGCCGATGCCCATTTTCGTGGCTGCAGAGTACGGCCGCCACCACATTCTGAGCTACTTGCTCGACCGGTACCGACACGACTGGGCTCACTACACGTTCGAGGGCCATTCGCTGCTGTCTGTGGCCACCATCAACGGCCACTACGAGTGCGTTCGAGCCTTGCTGGGGCGCCAAGTGGTGACGGCCAGGTCGATCGACGCGTCTGTTGCTATCGCTCGTCGCCACCGACAAGCTCACGTGCTCGTGCTGCTGACCAGCTATCTCCCAGAGTACGCTTCGGACCCAGAGCCTGTATACAAGAGCTTTGCTCCACAGCCACCGTCGAGCAACAATGCGAACCACGTGAATGACTTTTGTCCCAACCGGATGCGCGGACGCGTCTCGATCGCAGAGACCGTAGCTAGTGAGTTCGACGACGACGGCAGACGCAGCAGCCTCGTGGCCATCAGCTCGCCGATCAACTTCAACCGCAGTGAAGATGCGAGCCGCGTGGAGCAAATGCGAACGCGCGCGGAGATGCAGCGCGAGCTGCGGCAGAGCGGCATGATGTGGCTGCTGGACGGACGTGAACCCATTGAGGAGATGCAGCGTCCTGTGGATCCGCATGGGGTTTCGTCCGACGGCTTTGCGGTGCTCAGATCTGCGCGGGATCCTGCGCCAGTCTCGAATAGCAGCTACTCGTCTTCCAGTCAGGAAGAGGAGTCTTGGTACGCTGTCAAGCCCAGCGACAAGAGTCGTGACCTGCTGTCGGACCAAGAGGAAGAGGAGGAAACCTCGTACGAATCCATGTTCTCTGTCCACGATGATGAAGTGGACAACAACCCAGAGGAGGAACGGCCTCCGCTCTCGGCTGAGATGAACCAACCGCTGTCTGCTCCTCGCTCGTCGCCGATAGTGCGACCTGGGAGGTCACGCAAGATCATTAGCGTCCGCAGTCAGAGATTCCAGCAGTACCGACAGTTGGCTGCTATCGAGGAACACCCGTCTGGAGAGACCGAAGCGTAGGTCTCTGAATTCAAGACACTTACTTACTTACTTAGTAGTTGTGAAATCTATCTCAATGTATGGATTGCGTCGCTACAGCTACAGCTCGCAGGCTCTATTCGTTGTCGCAAATGCCGTGGAAGCCGAGGTGCACGCCGCTCTCGAGGTCACCCAGCGTTGACTGCAGGCCGATGAACCCCATCGCCACCGCCGACAGCCCGATCGTCGCCGCCAGCATGTACACCATGATTGACTCGCGCTTGTACTTCTTCACGAAGTACCCCACGCACTTTAATCCACAGAAGCCGCCAACAAAACCCACGAACGCGAACCACGCCATGTAGTCGAACTGGAACTCGCCCGGGAACTGTCCGTTGATAGCGAACTGCAGCGTCGTGGAGGAGGCGGTGAAGAGGATCATGAAGCTGGCCGTAGCAGACTGAACCGGGGGCAAAATACCCGCCTCTAGCATGATGGGGCCCTTGACCATTCCACCTCCGATACCCAGCAGTCCGGCAGCCACACCCGCAACAGAACACACTGCTGGGAACATCAACACCCGACGCTTGATCCAGTGGATGTCACCTTCGAGGAACGGATAGTTGCCCAGCACCTTGAAGCGGTTCAACAGTCGAAGTCGATAGCCCATCCATAGCGAGACCGCAATGGGGATAGCTAGCGGTAATAACGTCATCAACCAGTAGTCGGTCGAGTTGCACGCCACACCGATCGCACTCGGAGCTCCGTGACCGCCACGAAGTATTGACTGCACTAGAATCAGCAGCCACGAGACAACCAGCGGCCAAAGGTACTCGAATGGGAAGACACGAGCTTCGCGTCGCTCGATGGCGCTGCGTCTCTGGGTCTGCTTGTCGTCATCCGATGGGAAAGTCCCAAAGCGATGGTTGTCCACTCCACCGACGAGAGGGTCGGAGCTGGCCGGCTTGTGCTCGATAAGAGGTGGCAGCGACAGGAAATCCGTTTCGTCTTCCTCGCGAACCAGTCGAGCTTTACGACGCCGACGCGTTTTATCCAGCCAGCGACGCGCTGCAACTTCCACATCGAACCGCTACGTGTGAATTACAAAAACAATTTGGTTAGGATGTTGAACGCACAAATTTTGATCAGGTACAGCTCGTACCCGATAAATCGACCATTGGCGGCCACGACCACCGCCATTTGGTCCACCCTTCAACGTGGACTTGATGAGCGCCAGCTGAAGCTTTGACTCTTTGTCTTGGATCTAGCATAACATGGATGAGTAACAATCATTCAAATGTACGACAACTGTAAGCACCATATACCAACCTTGTTGCCTTTCAAAATGGTCTTGTACGTGATGAACGACAGCAGCGTCACCAACAAAACCAGGATCAACCAGTTGGGGAAAATGTGGTTCAGCATCACGCCGAAGACGGTGCCAATCAGCGTCGTCGGCTCCATCAACCCAACTAACCCAAAATCAATAAGCGGGCGGTTCCTGTTAACTGGAAAATTGCAAAGCACACAGCAGTCCTGTCAGCAAACGAACACCACCGTATCAATTAAGACCAATAAGTACGCAGGGGTTAATACTCACGCGGGTGTTTGCGGCGGAAATTCACCACGTACATGGCCACCGCGCTGCCGAAAATCGTCACCTTGGACAGCGGAATCGCGTGCTTCGGGTTCAAGCCCGCGAAAATGTACATGGGCACCAGCAGCCCTCCTCCGCCGATACCGCCGCCGGCACCCAGCGCAGTGCACGTGAACGCGATAAACGTGGTGGCCAGGTCGTTGTACGTGAATGGCGCGAACAGGTTCTTCTCGACGCAGTAGGCAGCCGCCACGGGCTCACCGGCTGACGTGAGTCCATACTGAGTCTCCATGTCTCCGGTGGCCTCGTTCAGCACCTCAATGACCTGGCATCGATTGGCCAAGTTGCCACCTTTGTCGTTGCAGTCATTGGCAGCAGGCCGGCAGTACTCGCACTTGCTGCACGTAGTAAATAGGCATCAGCTTGGTCAATTATCGGGAAAGATTAGTATCAAATGAATGGTTAGAGGAAGCTCACCCTTCAATGCAGGCCAATGCTGGGACGTAGCCGCAGTCAGAGCGTTTGTTGCACGCCAGCCCCACGGCGTCGGCGAACGGCGCGTCTCCCGGTTTCGTGAGCGTTGTCGTGGCAGTCGTCGAGCCCGTAAGCGCGAGCAGCAGCGGCAGCAGCAGCCACTTGGAAGGCCTCATGGTTCTACAGCCAAGATGCCCAGACTTGAAGTGAGCCTGGTGGTGCAAAAGCAGATGTGAGTTGGGATGACCACGCGCGTCAATCTGGGCCTGGCACAAGGGTAACCGTGGCCTGCAAATACTTCGGCACCATCTTGACCCTGCCATGAAAAGCTCGCAGGAGGCCAATTAGAGCCCCAGCACCGACGCTGTCATGGAGGAAATGCTATACCCGCCCACAGACCCCACCACGTCACACGTCGCACCGCGTTAGTCTCCATTAGACTAAGATCGGTCTCCGCACTCGACGGTGTCCGTCCAGCACCGCGCTGCACGCAGTTACACGTTGTCACTGTTAAAAGCAGCACCGGAAGGGGGGATTCCATTCGTCGGACAATATGCAGACGGGCTCCGATGATTTAAGGCTAGACTTCCGACCGTCAACTGGTCTGCTCGAAGCTCTATGCAAAGGTCTCTAGGTGGACACATCCTACTGGACTGTACACGAACCGTGCGGCGAGAAATGAACGAACAATGCATTGGATGGAGAAGGTACCGCCGCGATTCTCTATCTAGCGGCGGCGCGTTCGTGCATTCATTTCGTTCCACTCCGAACTGAGCCGGTGATCTATCCAGAGCGCAGCTCATTCGTTGTCGCAAATGCCGTGGAAGCCTAGATGCACGCCCTTCTCGATGTCACTGAGCGTGGACTTGAGTCCGATGAAGCCCATGGCGAGCGCCGAGAGTCCGATCGTCACGGCCAAGAGGTAAACCATGATCGACTCGCGCTTGTACTTTTTGACCAGGTACGCCACCACCTTCTGGCCGCAGAGGCCTCCGATGCAGCCGATGAGGGCGAACCACGCGATGTAGTCGTACTGGCGCTCGCCCGGGAACTGGCCGTTGATGGCGAACTGCAGCGTCGTTGAAGACGAGGTGAACAGGATCATGAAGTTGGCAGTGGCCGACTGCACCGGGGGTAGAATACCCATCTCGAGCATAATGGGGCCCTTGACCATGCCGCCTCCGATGCCAAGCAAGCCAGCGGCCACGCCGGCCATGGTGCACAGCGTCGGGAAGACGAGAATGCGCCGCTTGATCCAGTGGATGTCGCCCTCCACGAACGGGTAATCACATAGGACTTTGCTGCGGTTCAGAAGACGCAGGTGGTAGCCCACCCAGAGCGTGATACCCACCAGAATCAACAGCGGCAGGAACGTGAGTATCCAGTAGTCGGGCGAGTTGCAGGAAATGCCGATGATGCTGGGAGCTCCGTGGCCGCCGCGGAGCATCGACTGCACTAGCACCACGAGCCACGAAACCACGAGCGGCACGATGTACTTGAGCGGGAACACGCGCATCTCGCGCTGCTCGATAGCACTGCGGCGCTCCAGTTGCTGGTCGTCGTCCGACACGAAAGTACCGAAGTCGTGCTTATCCAGACCACCCAGCAGAGCATCGGAACTCGACGGCTGGTGCTCACGGAGAGGAGGGAGGGACTTGAAGTCTTCTTCGTCTTCGAGGCGGATTTGGCGAAGCTTCTTGTTGCGGCGGGTCTTGGCCAGCCACCGACGGGCAGCGATTTCGACGTCAAAACGCTGTAGAAGCACAATAAACAAGCCACAAAGACAGCTGAGTGTCATGCTTTCGTCAATAAACTAACGCTAGCACGTACTCGGTAGATCGACCACTGACGGCTGCGGCCTCCACCGTCGGGGCCGCCCTTGAGCACGGACTTGACAACTGAAAGCTGGTGCTTCGATTCCTTTTCACTGATCTGCAAACGCGGGTTAAAGCTGAATCAGTTATTGCAATAACCTTCCAACCAACTTCCAGCTTCTGCTCACCTTGTTGCCCTTGAGAATGGTCTTGTAGGTGATGTACGACAACAGCGACACCAGCAGCACCAGGATGAGCCAGTCTGGGAACATGTGGTTCATCATGACGCCAAAGATGGCGCCTATAAGCGTCGTCGGCTCCATAATGCCTGCAACCTGGTAGTTGATAAGCGGTAGCTTGGCGTTGGCTAGTAAGCATCAACGTCGGAACATACAGTCAGTCATCCTCATCTCTGCCAGTACCCAACTCCACTGCAACTGCGCCACTTACTCGGGTGCTTGCGGTTAAAGTTGAAGAGGTACGCGGACACGGCGTTGCCGAAGATCGTGGCCTTGGACAGCGGGATGGCGTGCTTGGGGCTGAGGCCGTAGAAGAAGACGTACATGGGCACGAGCAGACCTCCGCCGCCCACACCGCAGCCGGAGCCCAGCGCTGTGCTCACAAAGGCGATGATCGTCGCCACCACGTCCTTCCACGTGAAGGGGTCGAACAGGTTCTTCTCGATGCAGAAGGCCACGGGGACGGTCTCGCCCGCCGAGTTGAGTGCGAACTGCGTCTGCATCTCTCCCGCGGCTTCGTTCAGCGTCTCCACCACCTGGCAGCGCTTGGAGCCGTCGGCGCTGCAGTCGTCGCCGTCAGGTCGGCAGTATTCACACTTGCTGCAGATCCAGGTATTGTAATACAGGATAAGCATTCAATGGTTAGCGATTGATACATTGATGTCGGAGACTGTACTGTGGACGCACCCTTCGACGCAGGCGAGCGCCGGCACGTAGCCGCAGTCGGTACGCGTGGAGCACTGCACGCCGACGCTGTCGTGGAACAGCGCGCTGTCGGCGAGGGAGACGGAGGCCAGGCAGGCCGCAGCCAGCAGCGCTAGTCCCCGCATTGTCGTGGCCAGGAGGGACGCAAAGTGAGAGTCAGGTTAAGTGTTGACGCTTGGTTTCACTATGCATCCAGGTTTACCCACAAACTGTGACAGTCCATGTCACAAAGACATCGCAATGGAGCGCTGTGATTGGTGGATTGTGAACGTACCGAAAGTGTGGTACAGTGTGCTACGAAACGACGCAGACGGACATGGCTACATTCGGGCGGTTGGCGGGTCTTCCTCTGGGATCACGAGGATGCCGCTGTTCGACGCCATCGAGAGCGATGTGACGGCCTTCTTTGTCTCGCAGGGCACGGTCTTCGACACGCTCGTCAAGAGCTTCATGGACCGCGTGGCGCTCGTCGAGTCGAGCGTAGCGATGCTGCGCACGGACGTGAGCAACAACTTCAACTTGGTGCACCAGCGCATCGACGCCAGCAACGTCGCGGCCGCCGAGGTGTCCGCGGCAACGGCAGCAGCGGCTGCAGCTGCTGCAGCTTCAGCGGCATTGGCGTCGCTCCCCCAATCGTTCGCACAGGACATCGATTGCGCCTCGTACGCGTCGCCGCCAGCGGTAGCGACGGTCGTGGAAGGCGACGGCGGCGGCAGGAACGAGGAGCTCGAGTACTACGTCATGACGCTGTCGCGCCAGCTCAACATGGTGCTGGAGGTGCTCTTCCAGCCGCACGGGAACAACGTGGTGGAGGTCGTCCAGGCCAAGCAGATGCGACTGCACTCGATCTCGGACGTGCTGACGGAGAACGAGGCCATCCTCATGGAGCTAGCGATCCAGCACGACGACCCCAAGATGTTCCACGGAAAGACTCATTCAATATCTGATGTTTCAACACCTGCTGGATCGGAACTTGTCGTCAATACTGCTCAAGAACCTGTGGCCAAACCTCAAGAGGCAAGTGTGGACGCTACAGCGCAGCAGAACCCCTCGATGAACTTGGACATTAGTGACAAAACTCAAGTAACGGTATCACCTGTGCCAACACTGCAAAATCAATCCCAGGATCAAACAATGGCCACAGCGTCAGACACTCCTTCTAGGGTCCAAGAGCCTGAGACGAATATCCAAGTACCGCACGTCGAGCAAGTAAGTTGGCCGGTTTCTGCAGTGGATAAACAAGTATTGACGCCTCCAGCCAAGCCGCAGTCAAACAAGCGCCTGAAGCAGGTGGTTGAGACCATCACTCCGCAACTTGAGGCTTCGCCGCTGACCAAGAAGGAAGAAGTGGTTAGATCGGTCAGCAATGAGGTCGACAACCAGCAGGCAAGTCCAGCGGACGAACACGAAGACAACGGCGACGAAGAATCGGACCACGTGCCTCCATTCCTACCACCGTCAACCCACATCGATACTAATCTGCATCGGACGAAGAGCTTCTTCCGGAATTGCCAGGATCTGCAGCGCCAAGAGGAGGCGAGGCTTCGAGAGCAGCGACGTCGGGAGGAGGAATTGATGCGTCGAATGCACGAGCTCCTTATGCAATCCCGTGCCCACTTACAGCAGGAACACAGCGAAGCGTGGCAACAGCAGCAAAATGACGCGGCTCAACAGCAGCAGCAGTGGATTTTCCACCTCCAGGAGCAGCTTCAGAGACACCAGCAGGATCAGCAACAGCGAGAGCAGGACCATCATCAACGAGAACAGGATCGACATCAGCGAGATCAAGATCGGCAGCAGCTGGAGCAGGAATGGCGGCGTGAGCAAGAACAGCGGAGAGAAGCGGATATGATCACCACCCAGCTCGAACTCGACCGGAAACTGGAAGCGCTTAGTGGCATCATGGCCGCTGCACAAGCTACTCAGGGTCATGAAATCGCACAAGTCGTGCAGCTTGTTAACGACTTCGAGAGGCGATTCGTATCCCCAGAAGCTTTAGAAGCAGCAGGGGCGTTGTGGCTGAAGACTGCGGCAGACAACTGCATTTACGGAGCGAACCCTGAGACGCTCTCGACCTTGCAGCATAATCTTCAGGGTTTCCAGAACGAGTTGAAGCAGCAGACGGTCAAAGCTCCAGCTATCACAGCGCTGCATGAGGCGGTCGATCGTGTCGTCCAACTACTTCACCGATCCGCGTCACCAAGCAATGACTCGACAAAGGAGGCTGAGCAGGAAAGCACCATGTACTCGCTGCGGCAGCTTCTTGCAAATGTCGACTCGTCGTATCGGGCAGCGGTAGCGGAGCACGCTGACTTGCAATTCCCTGCAGTAGGATTCCTGGCTGAGGTGATTCATCGCATGGAGTTGGGGACGGCGAATCTGCTGGACGCTGTGGACTTCCAGCAGGAACACTTCCAGCAGACACAGACGCAGCAGCAGGCGGGGCTCGAGAAGCTTCAAAAGGAGTTGTGGCGGCAGCAAGAAGTCGAGAAGGCACTTAGAACCCAATTGGGTGCGTGCCCAAGCAAAGAAGACACGTTGCGTCTCGTTCAGGAGCTTCGAGATCAGGTACGCCTTATAGCCTTCATCGATGAGTGAGTCATTTTCTCAAGCAGTTCATCGTCATTTGTCTTGCAGATCACTGCGACGGCTGCAGATTCAGCGGTGCGAATGCTGGATACGGTGGATGATCTGCGGTACAGGATGGCAGGTCTCCCGAGCTCTCAGATGCTCGAGCAGTTAGCGAGCGACTTGCATGCGAGGACCGATCGAATCACGCATGAACTGGATTCGACTGCTGAAAAGCTCGCTCACGACCTACGGCAAAAAGCGGATCGGGCTGAGATCGATCGTCTGCAAAGGTTCTTGCGGATGCTGTTCCCACGACAGGCATTGATCCATACTGACATATGTGTGCTTGTGCAGCCTCCTTGAATCAGGCAACGGGGTAAGCGTGCTTCCACCGTCCCTCACCAAGTCCCCCTTGCGATGTTTGTCTTGCGATCAGCACCTTCCGTTTGCACGGGCACCTCATGACGACGACACGGAACCTGAACATGCATCAAATCCGGGATCCCCCACTTCTCAGCGGCCTGGGTCACCTCCCCGCTCTCCTCCGAGTTCTCCTCCGCGGCCAATTGTGTATCACAACCAGCACCAGGCTCATCCACTGCCGTATCCGTACCAACAATACCCAGGGTACTCGCAGCCTGTGGGAGTCTACAACGATCTAGGTATCAACATGGGGATTTTAGAGGAGCTATTCGCCGCCTCAACTTCTGCGTTGGAAAGACGGCGGCGGCAGCGGCAGCATTTGCAGCTGCAGTTGTTGAGTCCACACACCGAGTACGACAACGAGTGGAGTTACCGAAATCCCGCGTTCTTGAACATTGACGACGGCAGAAACCGGATCCCGCTTCGAAAGACCCAGCTCTCGGATCAGGTGATTTACGGCCCCGCGATCACTCCGAACGCATTCCGGAAGAAACCGATTGGTCGTTCCGATGAGTACGTCGACCCAATCGTGGCAGCCATTTGATGAACCTTGAGCTAACCTGCTCGTGCCTGCATTGTAGACGACCAAAGACTGCCGCGCAAAGGCCTGGGGGTGAAATCATCACGCGTACAGCTTCAACAACCGTAAGCACCGCGTTAGTCTACATGCACACGGGTATCCTTGCAGAACTAACCGTGAATGCCATCCAGGTGATCGTACGCCCATTCTCCGAGCTCACTGACAAGCGACAGCAAAAATGATAAACAAAACAAAACACACCATAACTTAACAAGCTCACAACTGTGTCTTCTGGTTTGCATTTCGCGTTCCGCTCTCAAGGGGGGTTTTACTGCCTTGTCGTAGTGTCTGAGCCGGCATGCACAGTTCGTCTTGCCATTTTGTTAGACATCCAGGGTGAACTTCACCTTCCGTCCAGGTCCTGTTTGGGTACTGTGAGCACCCTTACCACCACTTGTAGATTTGCGCGTCGGCGTCTCGTACACTGACGAAGAAAGAGGCTCGAGGTATTCATCTTCGCTGTCACTCATGCCGTAGATCTCGTCCAATCGCTTCGACGTTAAATGGTTGATTTTGTGCATCAACGGTTTAACGGACAGCTCCTGAACGAGGACAGCCCCTTGGTTGGCAGCAACACCGACCTCCAAGTTCGCGGAGGGTACACCCGCTGCGCCATTCTGTTGGATCGCGGATGCTAGCGCTGAGCTCATTTGAGTGGGCTTCAGGGACGGAGCGCTTGTTTCGATGGGGCCGTAGTACCGTGAAGACGGCACAGGGATTCGATCCATCACCAGCCTTCCACCACGACCAATACGTCCGCGGCACCTGTACTTGGGTGGCTGCTGGAAAATTGCCGCCATCAGTTTAGACGGCGAGAGGGGATACGACGGGTACACTGGGCCGCTCAAGTCTCTTGGTGATCCATCGGTGTCCGTCATTGCCGACGCGTCTTCCATCACAAAGTTCGTGGAGGTATCGTACTCCATGAATGTCGGCGCGATCTGAGGACCTTCAACTGCAGCCGCCTGTGCCTTGGATTTCGCATCTGCTCCCGCCTTCGAATCCCCTGATGCGCTAAGTCCTCCACTACCATCCCCGGACAAACTGCCGTTCTCACTGTCACGATGTTTCTTCTTTTTCTTCTTCTTCTTCTTGTGGCGCTCGCGCTCTTCATCCACTGGGATGACCGGCTTGCGGACGACCGCATTCGGCCCGCGATTCGTGAGTTCATGCTCCGCCTGGCGCCGGATCTCGTCCAAAAAGTCCAACTGTAGTCGCTTGGCTCGTTCTCGACGGCGCACAAGATCCATCAGCCGTCGCACACGTTCAAAGTCCACACGCAGTTGTTGCAGCTTGCGGAACCCCTCCAAATCGTTCTTGCGGTGCTTCCGGAGCTTGTAGCGCTCCTTCTCACGCGGCCGGAAGACAGCGTGCGGGTTGGTGTCGTTCAACGGCGTCTGAGGCCAGAAGCGCCGCAGCAACGGACGCCGCAGCTTCTGGCGCTTGGCCGCCCAGTACGCGTACACGTCGCACGTGACGCGGTTGAGCGGCGTCTTGTGCATGTTCAGCCGCTTGGCGAACACGTCCTCGGCCTCCGACAGCGTCATGACGTTGGGGTTCAGCAACGCCGACGCCTTCTCCAGCGCGTCCAGCATCTGGGCGAACCGCTCCTGGGACAATTGGTAGCGAGGGTCTCCGTCCACGCCGTACTTGGGGTGGCGTCGCAGCCAACGCATATCTTCCAGGCCCAGGTCCAGCTCGATGTCCTGCGGCTCCGGACCTAAGGACTCCAATCCTGCAGGATCCTCATCCGACCTGGGCAGGGCCTGGAATCTCACGTAGGACGTGGGCACCTCGAAGTCGGCCGGCACCGCAGTCTCATACGTTGGCACGGACAGGATAACCGGGATCGGGATGTCCTTCTTCTTGCGCTTCGATTGGCTGCCTGCCTGCTGGCGAGCTTCCAGGTTCTATTTTAGGCCAGGACAGGATAAGAATAGTTTTTTGTTAGTTCAATAATAAAAATGTTATTTCTTACGAATATATAAGAAAAAACATAATAAAAAGGAAATGCAGGAAAGCCGTACCACCACGAGCTGCTGGAACACCGCGTGTGGGTGCGTGGCGCCCCCCGTGCCGTCGTCATCCGCTTCCAGGTCGTCCTCCGTGCGGATGATGCGCATGCGCGCGTGTACATCGATCTGCCGCGGCCGCAGACTCGAGCGCCGCATGGTGCGTGGCAAATTCCATACAGAAGGGGGCGCGATACAAATCGCCGCCCCTTTGAAAAAAGGTACACTGTACCAGTGTTTTAGATGATCGTAAGGAATATTTATTTATGCGACGTGTGACGGATACAAAGTGCAGCCATGTTGATTGAGCATCAATAAGCTTCTAATTGGACTTCTAGCCGTCCTGCGGGTTTGTCGTTGTTCAGTAGGAGCAGCTTGTGCTTCAGAGTGTGGCCGACCGGGACGTGCGGGAACGGCATCATGCCCACGGCGATACGTTCACTATAAATCGCACAAAAAACAAAAGTTAGGCCCAACATGTTAGGCTGACTAAGACAGGATAGGACCTACTCGAGTGAGGACACGATGCCCGAGTGCTTGAGGATGAAGACCAAGGTGCACGTGCGCGTGTTTTCCTGCGTAAGTGCCAGCTGGAACACTTGGCCCCGCCACGTGGGGACTTGACCGCCTCCCGGGTGCACAGAAGTCTGGAACTGAACGAGCATCTCGCCGTCGCCACGAACCAGTCGGCAGATGCAGTAGGGGTTCTGTCGACGGATCTTCAAGACGCGACGGAGCCCCGTAGCGCACATGATCTTCAGTCGATAGAGCAGCAGCGAGGGCATTGACTGCACAGCAGATCGGACTGACACTGGCGGTAACGCTGCCTTCGAAGGCACTCGAGCTAATGCTGGAATGGTATCGTTCGCAACGGGACCCAGCACTGCATCACTCACGACCGGAGGTGGCGACTCGATCGGTGCTAACACTTCACTCCTGGAGCACAACGCAGCCTCCGGATCAAGGGCGCTTGCAATGGGCTCGGCAGATTCGACGGGCTTCTCTGCTGGAATGGGCGCCACGATTTCATCGACTTGGGTGCCACCGCTGCTGGCTTTGGAATCCCCCAGAGCTGGAAGCTGGTCGATAGGAACGACCTGATCTCTCAGCAGCCAAGCCGCGTTGCTAGTACGTGGTGGACGACGATCGACGTCTGGCAGAATGGGCTCGGGGTCCTGACGTCCCGGAAAGGGACTGATGTCATCGCTGCTGGGCAGTGCAACTCTTGAACTAGAGGCACGATCCAAAGCGGGTAAGATCTCCACTTGCCTCTGGAGAACTTCTTCGCCCGCTGACCACGCAGAGACCCCCATTTTGGTCAGTCTTCGCGGTGGCTCAGGAAGGGCCTCGGTTCTTAGCTGCTCGCTCGGCTCGACAGCAACTGGAACGAGCGTGTTCGACGCAAAGTACGCGACAACTTCGTCAGTGCCTCGACGGAAAATCTCAATTGGTACATGGGTCAACGCCACCATTCCAACTTTGCGTTGTGCAGCCCACTCTTTCACGAGTTGAAGTCGACAAAGCAGTCGGTCGGAGTGTTCGGGTCGGCTGGAGATTGAATCTGCTGTAGGCAGCGTGGCCTTGTGGCTCATGAGGATGTGGCAGACGTCAATAAAGTCCACTTCTTCGTCGCACCCGGCAGGAAAGTCCCATTGCTGAATTGCGCGAGCTAGTGGGGTGTGATTATCCTAAACAGATATGCAGTAAGCTGGTAAGCGAATCGAAGTAGAATACTTTTGATAAGTGCATAAATCCTTACCGTGTCAACTGCGTTCACATCAGCTCCATGTTCCACAAGGCCGTTAACAAAGCTTGCATTCCACTTTGAGGCATGAACATGAAGTGGCGTATCGCCCATCGAATCCTTTACATTCACATCGCCCCCTCTCCGAAGCAGCAAACTGAATACACCCTCGGAGGTCGGCTCGAACAGCACAGTCAATGCCTACCGATCCAGAACAAAATCTATCAGTTAAAGTTTCAAACATGAAGTGCTAGAATCTACTACAACGTACGCGTTTGCTAGCGCCAGTGACAATAGTGTACTTGCGGTTCACATTCGCTCCTCGCTTCAGCAACAGCGTCGCCAACTCGATGTTCTTACGGAAAACTGCAGCTCGAAGCGGCGGCGGACTCTGCTCAGGGCAAGAGAGGAATTAGTCACCGTCACCTCCAAGATTATGCAGCGCGACTGACCTCGTCCTGCTTTGATCCGTTGACTTCAGCTCCGTTTCCTAACAAAACTTTAACCAGCTCGACGTTTTCCTTGTCCACTGCGTGGTACAGCAGCCCTCCTTTGGCTTCCTAAAGAAAAATACTGCTCAGCATGATAAAAGGTGAGGTGATAGAACCAAGTCAAAGCCTTACACGGTCCGGACGTCCATTCGGACTCGTGCCGGTCTTGACGACTGCGTTGATAACGTGGGCATTGGCTCCCGCCTGGATCAACTTGGCCAGTTCCTCGGCATTACCGCGTTGCACCGCCTGCAGAGCCTTGTAGGCCAGCAGCTCGGGAGGCTGCTGGACCCCCTGCATCTCGCGCTGCGCCTTCGACTAGAGCCGAATGGTGGCTCAATGGTCAGTCAAACAGATGCAGAGGCCAAGTTAGCTCAGATCGCCCTCAGGGTTGAAGACGACAAGCCTGGTAAATTTGGCGAGGTCGAGCAGGAGGTAAAAGTTTGTCAGTAGTTGGGATGCCACTATTCTTATCAAAAGCATGTTCGTGCCCACGGCAACCACTTCATGTCCGCGAAACACGGCCTCCGTTCCAGGTGAAACCAACGGCTGGTCGTGCTGCTGATCCGTTGCCCACAGTTCCTGTTTCGAGATGGGGAAGGTGTCAGAAGCACCTCCTGAAAAGGAGGCTATGGCGAAGAAAGCTCTCCAGGCGATTCGCTCTGGTAATGCGGAGGAGCTGAAGGAGATTCTGCTAGCAGGGGCAGATCCTAACGAGGCACCAACGAGCGGGACAAAAAACGTAAGAAAACGTCGTCTAAACGTCTCGCTGTGTGGTGACAACACTCTAACTGGTCGCCTTCATCACACAGGAGGCGGCAAATACCTTGCTGTATCACGCAGTTGCCAAGCAGGACGAGTCTTTGGTCAAGCTACTGCTCGACCAAGGCGCCAATCCCAACGGATCGAAAGCTGTGGGCTTACCTCCTCTGCGAGCGGCCGTGGTTCGCAACAACGCAGTCCTTATCAAGTTGCTCTTGAGTCGAGGGGCTGACGTGAACCACCGCTACACGGTTGTGACAGGGAGTCGCAAAGAGGTGAGGCAAGCAAAGTGCACTCGCTGCTATTGTGTTGGATACTAATGATTGCTTTCAGACCAAAACGGTCCTGTTTGAGACCGCTGCCAGCACAACCTACGAGTTGTTGCTTAAAAGTGGGGCGGATATGAACATTAAGAACTCGTGGCACGAAACTCCGCTTCACCGCCAAGCGTACAACTGGAACTCGCGACTTGTTCGTGCATTGGTTGCGTCTGGTGCTGATGTCAACGCCGTGAATAAGGTGCGTGAATGCAGTAACTCCACCTACTGACCAGCATTAACGCCGATACTTGTCGAACAGAAAAATACTACTCCCTTAGACAATGCAATTTTCCGAAGCCCCAGTCAGCGGAAGGCCGACGACGAGGAATTTATGGAGGTATGCCGACTCTTGCTGACGAACAACGCTACAGTGGCCTGGTCGGAGCCGGATGAGTATTTCCAGTCGAAATGCAAACCTGATGCGGATTCGATAACAATAAAGGCACGATTGCAGCTCGTCCACGAGTGGAATTCGCAGCGCGAGAAGGGAAATTCATCTTTCAAGCTCCCAATCGAAGTTTTCCGCCGTGGCGCAACAGACATTGCCACATATTACAGTGCTCTCACCCGAGGCGGACGAAGTCATGAGACTACTAAAACTGAAGCGGATGCAATTGAAGAGCAAGGCACTACTACGCTTGGCAGCATTCTAGCAGAATTCGACGGAATGTCTACAGGTGCTGATGAAAATATTCACGAAACCGCGGACGATGATCTCGACATGCCGTCGCTGGATTTTGATCTAAGCTTAAAGACAAGCTTGTTGGCTTTTACCACTACGACGCTGACCTCTTGCGCGCCGCTAAGTACCTCCAAGTCCATTCAAGGTGGTTCGACATCCCCAAGAATCATCGGAGGGGGATCTGCACAATCGACCAAGCGCGAGTCAATTGACTCTAAATCCGAGCCTAGTTACAGGCGTGTCATCGGAGGAGGCAGCGCCTCTTTCAAGCGGGTCGCAGACTCGACAGGCTTTGAAGATGCAAACCCCGAGACGAGCCCAATGCGGGCTCGTCGCGTTATTGGAGGAGGCAGTTCCCAAAGCAGGAGTGTCCCAATGAGTAAGGTCAAAGTAGCAGAAACACCGGAGTCGGACAGTTTGTTGTACCGATCCAAGGTTTGCGTTGTTGGACCGAGTCGGTGGGGCAAAACTAGTTTCATCAAGAGTTTCACCAGCGGAACCCCCACTCTCGAGTTGTTTGACGTTCGAACCATTGGAATCGACCTCTTTCCGTGGAGCTTTGAAGTCGAGACGGGGGCGGGAAACTGTGAATACCAAGTCTCCTTCTGGGATTTCGCTGGCCAGGAGGAGTATCGGGCAGCGCACACACTATTTTACTCTTCACGAACGCTATACTTGCTGTGCATTAATCTGGAGCGATACCACAACGCACTTACAGCAGCCACCGACTCGACGGACCAAACAGTCGACGACCGGATGATGGACGCCTTCGCAGAAGTCCACATCTTCCGCTGGGTTCGAATGATCTGCGCTCACCACCCACAGGCGGAGTTTGGCTTCTTAGGCACGAAAGCAGACCGAGTTGACCACGATCGTCGCAAAATTACCGCAATTCAGCAAGATGTCGTGTATCGCTTCAAGTCGAATATCCGGCGAATGAAAGACCGTGTGCAGCGCGCGCAACAGGAACTGGAGGACGCAAAGTTTGAGATTCAGGATAATAATCCTAGTGCTGAAACAACAGAACTGGACGACCAGATTGCGAGTTGTGAGCAAATGCTACGCAAACAACCGGTTCTACTTTCGGAAGAGCTGATTGTGTTCTCCAGTGCCGACATGAAAGACGAAAGTATCGCGCGTGGGAAGTTGAAAGCTCTGCTCATGACGAGTGGTAGCTCCGTATTGTTACCACCGAGTTACGCTGAGCTGCTGAAGCACGCCCAACAGTGCTGCGTGCGTGATCTACACAATAAGTCGTCATTCCAGGAAAAAGTCGACGCTGCGTTCTTGTCGGTCAAGGAGTTTGTCAAGTCAGTCACCAACTCCTCGAAGTTCGTTATACCTAAAGAGGAGATGCTGGCTGCGTTGCATTTGCTGCACGATACAGGCGACATTGTGTGGTTCGATGGCGTGTCTGACGTTCAGATGCTCCGAGAGCGGCTCTTCCTGGACCCGATGCTAGTGATCGAGTTCGTCCGCCAGATCGTCAACCACAAGCTCGATGCCAACGCAACAGCGAATGGCTATGTGAGTCATGCGCTGCTGCAGTCGTTGCCATTTTGGAGAGAAGTCAGTACAACTACCATGCAACAGCTGAAGGAGTTGCTGCTCCACCTCCATCTCGCTTATTCCTCGGGCAAGTCAAAGAGAATGACCTGGAACTCGGACCTCATTGTGCCTGTGTACTGGAATCGAGCCCCCGATGATGCAGCAACGGATGCTAAAACATTTCCATCCGAAGAGGATAAATCGGCTGGGTTAGTTGAATTTGTGCGATGGGAATACTCGTTCGAGCCAGCGATTCCAGAGAATCTGTTTGAGAAATTGGCAGTGGCGACGTTTTCACCGCTGCTTTCATCGGAGCGACAGTACGCCGGGTCAAATTTTACTGACAAGCTGAAAAATGACTTCAGCGCCCGTGTTGCGAAGGAAGTCAGCGATGCAATTGGAGATGTGGATACCACGACTTCTGTGTTGAGCGTCAGTGTGATAGCCCGTGAGCGAACGTTGGCGTGGAAGCAGCTCGTGTGGTATTGCATGAACCTCGAGCGTTTACTTAAGACCTATCCAGGGTTGCTAGTGACACGCTGTACAGTGGCTCAAGGGGGCCAACGCTTTAATGTGGATCAACTCTTGAGTGATCAGGAACATTTCACGCAGCTAAGTATCGGAACGGACCAGAAGTACCTCCCAGCCGACATGGGATGGTATACCAACAAGTCACAGCAACCGACTCCCGCTACAGACCCCGCAAATGCACAGAATGCCGCTGCTGCGTCAAACGAGAACGCATTAGCAGGTCAAGTGGCTCATCTCCAACAGGGTCTTGATAACATCGCCTTACTTGTGGGGCAGCAGTTGGGCAATATGGAGCACCTGTTTCAGCAGAATGCCGAGCACATTGACGCTGTTGCGAACGAGATCCAACGCGCCCAGATCGCGCTGATCACTGGGATGGAGAACAAGGCGAAATTCCCGTCGCTATGGACACTAGAGTATCAGCAACCTGAGAGCCCGGGAGGTGGAGGACACGGGCCCGGTATTATAGCGGCGCTCAAGAGGAAGGTGATGACGACTATCATCTTGAAATTCCGGAGTGAACTATCTGGAAAATGTTACCACGAGCCTATCACGATTTCTGTCGCGCCGGAGCTGCTCGCACGCTATGGTAAATATCTTAAGGTACGCTGCGTGACGATCATCGCTGACTGCAAACAGAGTACGGCTCCTAACCTTATAGCGTTGTTCCCTTGAATTCCAGGTGGGGTTGACGTTGCTTTCAGCTGCGACACCAGATTTCTGTGGGAAAGACGTTCTTGGCGTTATCACCGATGGTGCGTAATTGTAAACTCACAGTTTGTAAAGTAGGTGGAATTCTCCTCTAAATGCTGCTTTATTCGTTGTAGAGTGCAAGCGACAACTTGACCGAAGTGTGGACTTTCATGAGGTGCTGCACCGCGCTGGTGTCTCGAGCGACCCGGCCGCAGGACCACAACACATGGAAAACAACCGCATGCTTAGCCCCCACGAAATCCTGACACTGCTCAGTTGTCTGTTGCGGGTGCACAATGAGTCGTTTAAGATCGAAGACATTCCACAACTATCCGGCTTGGTCTCTGGTGTTGTCGTCAACCCGACCGAATACATTTGGGCTACTCGCGACGAGATCCTTCAGCATGGAAACGACATCATGCTGGCTGTCGACTACTCACGCAGAGGAGAAGCCGTCCCTCAAAAGAGCATTGAAGACAAGGTTCCCGATCAAGTACAAGTGCCTCCCCCTGCAGTCGAGATCTCTCCTCCAGTGCCAGCGGAGACACAACCAGCTGTGATGCCGCCGACTTCCCCTCAACTCGGGTCTCCAAAGGGGGTCCTTCAAGCGATGCGACGTCGACTGTCTTCCTCAAAGTCCCCTGCTCCCGCCTCAGAAGTACAACGATTTATGCTCAAGATCATGGGGGCCAAGGGGCTTCATGTCAGTGGCAAGCAAAGCCCATACTGCATCTGTCGGTTCGATACAAGCAATGGCGTGAAGTTGCTTCAGGTTCAAACCTCTCCGCACACCCATGGGGGGAAGAACCCGTCGTGGAAAGCCCAGTTGTTCGAGGTGGCGCTACCGATCGACGCGGCGCTCAACGCCACGATGGCTTTCACTGTTAAGTATGGCAACACGGTGGGTACCACTCAGATTGCACAGGGATCCGCATCGTTAGCCAGACTCAAACCTGGCCAATCCTCTATTCAAGAAGTCAGCTTGATGAAAAAGGGTAAACCTGCTGGTACGCTGCAGTTCTCGCTGGAAGCATTTGCTTAGCCGTGATAACAACGTGGGGGCATTTCTAGCACGAATGCAAAGGAAATTTAGGAGGTACAAACAATGCGCCAACGTGCAAAGTAGAAAGCAGACATAGGACAGTAAAAGATCAATCAAACTACACATTTTACTTTATCGTGCTGGAAACCACCCACGATATCAGCGTCACAGTGTGTGGCTTTACGAGAGCTTTTCTTGTGCCTTCTTCATGAGCTGGTACAGGTAATGTCCGTAGCCATTGTAGATCTGAAGGTATTTATCCTTTTTTCTGGTTGACAGCCACAGTGAAATCTTGTTCGTCTTAAACCCCTTCGCATTCCACTCCTTACACACCGCGGCCTCGATCGAGGGGTCTTTCAGAATCGCCTTGGCCGCTTGCTTGACGTTCGCCTTGTTCAGCATCTCAGTCAACACAATCACTCGTTCTTCTGAGCTGGACACGTCGTTCTCTTTGTGTGCCCGAAGAAACCTTCCGTAGGAAGCATCACCGTCGTCCTCTCCTGCATTGAGTGAGCGGATGGGGCCTTCCGACCGCATCACCGAGATCTTGGTTTGGGCGGAGTCTGCAGCCGCGTTGCAGGCCACAAGGCAGCCAGTGACAACAATAACAGACAGTATGAGGGACAGACGCATGTTTCGTGGCGCTTGAGAGCTTCGGGGCTTCGAGAGAAATGAGAAAACGCCACTTTGGTGGTGGTGCTCGCTGAAGCCTGGGGTACCGTACTGGTTCGCGGGCTTTAAAGCCCGCTTGATTCGCAGTTCGGTGTTTTTTTGTAGTTGCTATTGCAGTATGCTGTACATGTAGATATGTTTTTTTTACCTTTGTTAGGGGATTGGCCAGTTTAGTAGAGCAAGCTGAATTTTTGACTTTGAAAAGTATTTTCTTGAAAACTACTAATCTTTTGGAGATAAAACGTGTACACAATGAAAGCCCTAGATTTGCTCTAACATGTGCACCAATCCAGACACAGTTAGCAGCTATGAAAGTGCTATTGTAGCGCGCCAAAGAAAACATACCTACAGTATGCTGCGATCAGTCTAGTAGAGCGGAATAATACTGGTCTTTGTATCGAACTACCATATGGATTCGCGTGGTAAGAGTTTTATAGCCAACCAAAGCACGTATATCATTATTTCTGCAATATTATTAATACTGGTTCTACTTAACTGGTCAATTTTTCACCTTCTCACCTTTGCCAATCCAAGTTGGCAGCAGTATAAAGCAAAACGGTGTGAAGTAACTTAAGTAACATCCAAAAATCGGAAAATAATTTCTGAAATTAGTATTTAGAGCAAGGTGGATTTAGTGCAGAGCAAACTCAAATCACTGGTCAGTAACAGACTGTCTCCGCCGGCAACATGCCCCAAGAGCCGAAGCATGGGCTTGCGGCCCGCACGCGTGTGCTCGATGCACACCGAGAAGGGCGTGACTGGGTGCTGGTTGCCGACTGCAACGGCATCCCTCCCACAACTGCCCGCAACATCGTCCAGCGCCAAGCCGCTGATGTCAAGAAGAGAGGCGGCGCGCGGGCGGCGTGCCTCCAGAAATGGAGGAAGCTCTCGTGGGCTACCTGGAAGACAACTGCCAGTACACACTCGTGCAGATGCAGGAAATGCTTGCGTTCGACTTCAGGGTGCACATCAGCACTTCGTTGATCAGTAAGAAGCTTTGCGATAAGCTTTACACTGTTAAGCGAGGAATGCACAGGTGCTTGCTGATCTTCTTGTAGCCCAGCTTCTCCTTCTTCCATTTGTGGATGACGCGGTCTCGAAGGTCTTGGGAGAACTGACGCCTTGCTGTTCGTGCCATGTAGGGTCTAGTCGGATGAAAGGGATATAATACTGCTCGAATGAACTCGAGCTCGAACTCGGCTTGCGTCTAATCGACTGGTTCTCAGCAGACAGTATAACTAATGAAATATAAACGAATTTGGCTCCGTTGATTGGTGGATTTCGTTAAATAGCATGCCAATCAGATGCAGGCAAGCAAATCACAAGAAGAAAGCCGCTTTCATCGCGATCGAGATCAAAATCTCCACTTGCACTCTAGTCTCGTAAGGTGTTGAAGTTGCCAAGGACAGAGATGGGGGGGATGCTGACTTTGCCCACCCGCTGTACTGTAAGCGGACGCAAGGTCTGTCGCCGCTGCTATTCGTAGCGAGCCCATGGAGTATGGAACTTAGATGTTTGCTGTGGACTAAATCCACGTTGGTCTGTACTAATCCTCGAAAATAAATTTTTGAAAAAAATATTTTTCGTATTTACGGGACTCTCGGCTTTGCCTTACACTACTGCCAACTTGGATTGGCAAAGGTGTACTAAACTGGCCAAAACCCTTAGTTATTGCGGTCCATCTACCCCAGTCAATCTCTTGACTGCAGAAGCAGCTGCTTCTTAATACATGACCTTGCTTGCTTGCCTGCCTCGCTTTGCTTTGCTTTGCTCTGTTTAGCTCCTTCCAGTAACGTTGCACAATGACAAACCTGACTGGGTTGTGCAACTTGTGTACCGTAAGGCTAATGTTGCCTAGTGTAGCGTGAAGGTTGCTTAATGTCGTTTGATGACAAACTCGCCTGGGATGGCAAGCACAGTTCTTACGAACTGCGAACATGACAAATTCATTTGTACTACTGCTGATCACCAACTAAAGCTCAGTATACTCATTTTTGTATGCAGCCAGCATATGACTTGATCGTTATCACTGAGCGATTGTGGTTGATAACCGCAATCATGACGGAGCAGTCTTACTTTGTAAGCTCAGTCCAATGCAGGGACTCGCTTTTCGTGCCAGTTTTCTTATTATGAAGTATTTTATTAAAATAAATAATGTCCCAAAGCAATGTCCATGTATGTACGCATTCTCGATCTCAGGCTGGCGGACTGATTTTTACTCTTTGATCAATACTCTAACAAACTCAAGTGCTGAATGGAGATGCATTTGCATCGTCGCCACCCTATCATAGCCTCCAAAACCAAGATACAACAAACGAACGCTAACATCATCTGAACATCGATAGTCGTGGAGGTTTCCATCGAACTCACCACAGTCGCGTGCCGATCATGCCGCCATCTCCGTCTTCGATCGCTTCCAGCTTGGGGAAGAAATATCGATGTGCGCAGGATAGATCCGATGCGCTGCAGGCGAAGGTGTGACCTTAGAGGCCAGAGACTACAGTACATGTAGAAAACGAACAGAGCAGTGCGTGCGTGAAACCCGCATTACCCGATACCTTCAGCTTGCATCAATGGTATCAAGTACACTGAATAAGTGCACTGCATCAATTTCTGGCACGTAGCGATCATGACGACTGCAACCTCGAAGTATCTCGTTGCGTGTTGGTGTATTACATTCATGCCCGTACGTTTACCTGAGTACCAATAAGCAAGTACGCAGGGGGCACGTTTTCTTTGTCGACACAAGCTCAAAATTTGAAGTTCATATATACTTCAAAGTATCTGCACATTATGGCCATCTTCTATGACTGAAACTTGCGCAGCACCGAGGAGTCAACCGTTTGCAGCAATTGGTCGAATGTACCGCCACCCAACTTGGTTGCGAGGTCGTTCAGCCTCGCGCAGACGAACTCCTTCAAATCCAGCGCTAATATAGGCTCATCTTCTTCATTTGGCTGTTGTTGCTGCTGATTATTACGGTGAGCTTGTAGTGCACGATAAACTCCTGACCGCGCCCCATCCTCCTCATTGCCAGCAGCGGCAGCACTCTGCCTTTGTTTCAGCTCTTCTTGCTCATCCTCAATCACTTTGACACATATCTCCAGGACCTGACCGGTCTTTTCCAGTAGTGGTTGTTGTAGCAGCATCAGAGTAGAGCACAAGGCCAGCGCCCACACCTTCCGTCGCAAAAGAGTCAACGGCAATGACCCCACAGTGTAGAACAACTTCAGCATCGCATCGACTAACAACAGCAACGCGGCTTGGTCGTTAGCCAATAGGCCCTTCAGTGTAAATTCCAAGTCGATCGTCATCAGCCGCGCGACGACGCTCAAGTAGCCAGCCAGCACACTCTCCGGTTCATGTTTGGCCTCCCCCTGCTGAAAGGTAACGCAAGCTTCAACCATTAATCTCACAACAGGCAGGAAGCACTCCACTTGATCCGCTGGAAGTGTCGCGACGATTATCTCCGTCACTTGAACAATCTGCAGCGAGGCCTCAGCTTTAACGCTGCCGACCAACCTTTGCAGGAGCTCAGAGACACTTGTGTGATAGGTCTGCAAAAACTGAGCCTTCCCAAGCCGCAAGTAGCGTTCCAGTAATGACAGCACTAACGCCACGTGCTCGTAATCCCGCTCCATTAAACGTAGCGCGTTGCCGAAGAGCAAGTGCAGCTCCTCGGTGTAGACCGTTGACACGTTAAGCGTCTCGTTCCACAGCTCCAATCCACTCTCCATCAAGAACACCTCGTCCGGGTTCGCCACATCCGTCGCAAAGCGAATCACCTGCACACACATATCCAGCAATGTCTGCACGCTGCCAGCTTCTACACGCACATCGGCAGGGTTCTTCTGGGCCTCCTTCACACTTGCGAGAAGCTTGGCCATCAGCTGCAGGATTTTCCCACGCACCAAGTTGCTAGCATCGCTCTCGTTTGTCCAAAGAGCTGGAAGCGGTGCACTGATTTGGTGGCAGAACGTAACAATTTGCGCACCACAAGCCTGGATGATCGCCTCCAGGCACCCCAGCACCTTCATCTTGCTCTCGGACTCGTCCGCCTGAGGGAAGAACGCGAACAAACACTCCAGTGCTCGTGGTAAGAGCGGAGCAAACGCTTCGTACTCGAAGCCCCAGTCGTTCATCATAGACTCGAGCGTTTGAATAATGCGCAATTTGAGCGCCACATCGGCGTCTGCCTGGTGAAAGAACGCCGAGGGGTTGAGCAACGCGTCGTAAAGCGGAGGTCGCACGTTCGCCGACAGCTGCGCTAGCCAACAGCTCACGAGCCATACAATGCGGAAACGAAGAACTGGTAGACCCTGGTAGGAGCCAACCGCTGCACTCGGGTTGACGAGGATCGGCACGAGGTTGGTAAGGAACCACGGCTCAAACTCAAAGCAATCGTGCAGATCGTAGCAGCCCAAGCCGATGGCTAAAAGCACGGCGTCCATATCAAGCACTCGTCGGTCGTCTCCAGCCGTCGATACCTGGCCGTGGCCTAGCTCCACGAGATACGCCGAAGCACTGGAAGTCATCTGTGTCAGTGCAGGGATCGTCTGGTCCGGGAAATTCTGCACTAGCGTCAAGAACACATTCTCGGCACAAGCTCGCACCGACTCCTTAGCAGTTAAGCTCTCCATAAGTGTGCAGTATGCCTCGGGGTCACTCTGCCACTCGTTCAGGTCATTGGGCGTCAAGGTCATGTAATGCATGACCACCATGTTCAGCATCGACGCGAACCGGTTCTCAGCCTGAGTGAAAAATGTCTGCACCGCTGCTTGCGCTTCCAGCATCATGGCGTCCGTCAGTGCGACGTCTCCCGTCGCCGTAATGACCTTGGACACCACTCGCGTCGTTCCGTCCGGGCCCGATAAGCTCTCCTTCTTGTACAACCGACAACTCAGCACATTAGCAAAGAACTGGAGACTATCAATCTGCAATCGCGTGGGTGACGGAAGCGCTGTCGAGGGATCAGAGGCGAAGGCGTTGAACACGTTCCAGAACAGCGTCAGGTACGGCGGTAGGTACTCACGGAACTCCATGGGGTACGAGTTCTGCACGCCCACGACGATGGCAGCGACACGGTGCATGCATTTGTCGAGCGTCAGCATGGTCTCCTCGATCTCCACACCTGGACTCACTCCGCCTGCGTCTCCAACAATTGCACCGAACGTTTGTCGGAACTTGACCAGCCTCTCCAGCTGGTTATAGAACTCCACGAGCGCCGAGCGCATCAGCTCGCCGTTCTGCAACGCCGACAGGTCCCGGAACGCATTGAGCAGCATCGTCGAGATGAGCTTGGTCGTCGTCACCAGCACGTTCAGCTGCTCCGCTCCAGTTGTGGCCAATGCCGCAGCAATCGCCGCCGCCTTGTCAGCACTCGACTGTCCCGCCGCGTCCACCTGTGTTTGCAGGAAGTCGTTCAGCTGCGTGGCCACCGTCTTCCAGTACTGCTGCAGCAGCGGCAGCAGCTCCACGCTGAGCATGGCGAACTGCTTGCGGTGCTGCATGAGTCTCCGGACCGCCAGCTCCTTCACCACGCGGTAGCACACGTCCACGCCGCGTCTCTCGCTGGCCACGTCGGGCGTCGCGTCCTGGCGCCGCAGCGGCTGCAGCATCGGCGGGAACAGCGCCTCGAACGCCCATAGGGCCGGGAACTCGGCGCGCGCGATGGTCGCCACGACCAGCGCCAAGTGCAACGCCACCGTCGGCTGCGGCTCGTGCAGCGCCGCGAACAGCAGCACGCTGCGCGCTTGGGCGCGCTCGTCGTCCGAGAGCAGGTTCATGGCCTTGCGCTGCCGCCACTGCGCCTTGAGGAAGTGCTTGAGCCACAGCACGCCCAGCAGCCGCACGTCCGCGTCCTCCGCCGCCAGCTGCGCCAAGTTGCGCGGCACGCCGTCGGCGCCGGGCACCGCCACGCACATGTCCAGCAGCGCTGCCAGGAACGGAGCCGTGATGGGCGCGCGCTGCAGCTGCTGCAGCTCGCTCTCGGCCGCGGACCGCTGCGGCTCCGGCGCGCGCAGGCTCTGCGCCAGCAGCTCGCGCATCCGCAGGACGTCGTCGGCCATTGGTATGTTTTGTGTTGTGATGCGAAATGGCTACATAATGTTTTGGCGGAAAATATGTAGCCATTTCAAAAAGGGAAGTTAGAATTTAGAGTGTCCTAAACATAATTAGAACGGTTCAGATTGGTCATGAGAATTATGCTGGCAGGTTCGTTTCGAGTATAAGCCTGCTCTCGCTTAGCAAACGTTACAAGTTGTAAAGTAAGACCCACGGGTCTTACTATCGCACTTGGTCGGTCGTTGCCGTTGTTCGGAAATCCCGTATCAGGGAATGAGCGAAAGCACTGAAGGGGAAAAAATGAGCGTACGGGGACTGGATGTCTCGCGCTCTGGATTCACCACACCTTCCATGGATGTAAGCACGTGTAGCCAAAGTGGCCAAACAGTTCAGGGGTAGTCGCTTCCCAGCGATACCGTCATGCGTGCTCATTTCATAAAGAGGTCTACTCCTGCAGTCCCGGAAGATAAAAACAAAAGTTAATGGGAATGTAGCGCGCGATGCTATGTGGTTTTGGGGCAAGTGGCTTGCCGCTCCAACGACTACTTACAGTACCTACTTACTGAGTCTGCTAGTAAGGGCGGCAGACAGCCACTCGCCACCAGGCCAGGCGCGATCAAGCTTCTCGCCCTCGAAGTCCCCTCTTTAGACGAATATGACGGAGGGCTCAGCGCCGCAGACGTGGAGGCTGGGCTCGACTACGATCATCGCACAAGAGATACGCCTAACAAGAAATCTCCTTAGTAAGCGTAGGTGGCCCTTGTACAGTGTTCTCCAGAACTACTGGCAGCTGCAGTCTCTCCGGCGGGGTGGGGAGTTTTGAAGTGAACTCTGTGGTGGCAGTGGCACCTGCTGGAAGGCAGTGCAGGTCCGTCGAGCACCAGAATGATTAACTTTTAAGTGTTCGACTGAAGATGCAGCTATGATCGATCTGAAATTCAGTCGTCGACACTTCGAGCGTGTTAGCTACTTGAGGGGGGTTATCCAGGTCGTTGCGTTTTCATTTTCGCACCATTTTACTGCGAACTTCGGCTTCTGATCAACAGATTGACGACTTCTATCGGGATATTGTGCCGCTCACGCACAAATCTAACGTTAAGTTGAAGTGAAAATGACCACAACGACACAATTATTGCGAGGGAATTTTATGCACATGTCGCATAATGTCCTCCATAATTGACTTCCCGGAAATCAATACGACGCTTTCTACGCGGGATAGGGTCCCTCTGCATTCCGGGAAGTCACTCCAGAGCGACAGTCTGCTGGCCACCCACTCGGGGCGGCATACAAAGTGCAAGTGAGTGACGGGCCCGGACCGCGCGCCTTGATCCCTCCTCCACGCATCCAAAACAAAACACGCACACAGAGGAAGACCGCGGACGCTCGATCGTTCCACCCGCTTTTCCTTGCTTCAGCACCCGCACCCACCCACCCAAACAAACCACCACAATGGCTGACGTCGAGGACCGCAAGCCGACGTAAGCACCCGCTCCTATAGCTCACAATTAAGGAAGTGTATTGACACGTACATCCGTCCGTTGCCTGCATGCAGTGAGAACGTCGAGGAAGACCAGCAGACGGAGCAGGTCCAGCTCAATGAGGGCGACATCGAGACCAACTGGGACGAGGTCATCGAGACCTTCGACGGCATGGAGCTGCGCGAGGACCTGCTGCGCGGCATCTACGCCTACGGTTTCGAGAAGCCGTCGGCCATCCAGCAGCGCGCCGTGAAGCCCATCCTGCTGGGCCACGACTGCATTGCCCAGGCCCAGTCCGGTACCGGCAAGACGGCCACGTTCGCCGTGTCCATCCTGCAGAAGATCGACATCAACCTGAAGGAGACCCAGGCCCTGATCCTCGCCCCCACGCGCGAGCTGGCCCAGCAGATCGTCAAGGTCGTGGTGGCCATCGGCGACTACATGAGTGTGCAGGTGCACGCCTGCGTCGGCGGTACCGCCGTGCGTGACGACATCCGCACGCTGCAGCAGGGCGTGCACATCGTGGTCGGCACCCCCGGCCGTGTGGGCGACATGATCAACCGCCGCGCCCTGCGCACGGACGAGGTCAAGATGTTCGTGCTGGATGAGGCCGATGAGATGCTGTCCCGCGGTTTCAAGGACCAGATCTACGAGGTCTTCCGCTTCCTGCCCGAGAAGGTGCAGGTGGCCCTGTTCTCGGCTACCATGCCCCTGGACGTGCTGGAGGTGACCCGCCGCTTCATGCGCGAGCCCATCCGCATCCTCGTGAAGCGCGACGAGCTGACCCTTGAAGGTATCAAGCAGTTCTTCATCGCCATCGACCGCGAGGAGTGGAAGTTCGACACGCTCTGCGATCTGTACGAGACGCTGACCATCACACAGGCCATCATCTACTGCAACACGCGCCGAAAAGTGGACTGGCTCACGGAGAAGATGCAGTCGAAGGACTTCACGGTGTCAGCCATGCACGGCGACATGGAGCAGCGCGAGCGTGACATCATCATGCGTGAGTTCCGCTCGGGCTCCTCGCGCGTGCTGATCACCACGGACCTGCTGGCCCGTGGTATCGATGTGCAGCAGGTGTCGCTGGTCATCAACTACGACCTGCCCACGAACCGCGAGAACTACATCCACCGTATCGGTCGTTCGGGTCGTTTCGGTCGTAAGGGTGTGGCCATCAACTTTTTGACGCACAACGACGTGCGATACCTGCGCGACATTGAGCAGTTCTACAACACGCAGATCGACGAGATGCCCATGAACGTCGCGGATCTTATTTAAGAGCCCCTCCAGTGAGCGTTCCCCAGCGAGAGAGAGAGGCTTCGTGTCTGCCAAGCCGTCGCCGACCTTGCGGCTCGACGGCGGTCGATGCGACGGCCGGAGGGCTTTTGGGGGCGGAACGGCGAAGAAGTGAGAGACGACGGTGTGCGGCGCTCGCGGGCCAATCGACGTAGAACCAAGTGTTAGGACAGGGGAACGGAGGGGGTCGACGAGAGTGGAAAACAAGAACAGCGGCAGGAGAGAGGAGTGGCGCGCGTTTAAGAAAAAGAGGAAGGGGGGCTGTGTGTCTTCTTTTGTTTTGTTTCATCGAACTCTTCTTGTTGTTTGTTGCGGAGTTGTTGTCGTTGGTGGTCATGCAAAGTGAGCGTTGCCTCCTTGTGTTGGGGTGGAACGTCGTTGATATCAATGCTTGCAAAGTGCACAGGCTCCGTAGTAAACTTGACGGCCGAATGAGGCCTCCAGGCCAGCTGAGTCCAGATGTACGCTGGTAAATACAGCTCCAATCTTTTACATAATGTTACAAAGGTACAGACCATCAGTATTGGTACTTGTATGCGGGACTTTTCAAAGATGATATATGAACCAGCGAGTCTGTAGGGATATGCACGGATAGCGTTGTTGTTTCAGATTGACAGCGGATCACTGAGCGACACGCCGCCTTCCACATTCCTTCTCCGCCAGCGAACTACCAAGTCCCCCCTCACATCGACCACTATGAGCGAGCCCGTGCCCAAGCAGCCCGAGGAGAGCACCAACCTGTACGAGGTGCTGGGCGTGGAGAAGTCGGCCAGCGAGCTGGAGATCAAGACGGCCTACCGCAAGCTCGCGCTCAAGTACCACCCGGACCGCAACGCCGGCTCGGCCGAGGCCGCCGACAAGTTCAAGCAGGCCAGCGCCGCATACGCCGTGCTGAGCGACCCGAACAAGCGCCGCCAGTACGATGTGGCGGGTGACAGTGGCAAGGACATGGAGTTCGAGAGCGTGGACGTGGAGTCTATGGGCGGCTTCGGCCGCGTCGTGGGCGCGCTATTCACCAAGATCGGCATGCCCATTCCCACGCAGATCTCGCAGACCGTGCTGTCCGCCGCCAGGGACCTGTGCGACGAGCGCAACAACTCGACGCAGCTGCCGCAGGTGACGCAGATGGTCTTCGGCATGGAACGCCACGCCAAGGTGGACAAGCAGGACGCGCACTTCTACAAGCTGCAGGTGGACCGCGACCGCGAGTCGGTCGTCTTCATGTGCCGCTCGGCCTCCAAGAGCAAGTTCAAGCTGGTACTCTTCGACCAGCACGGCGCCGTGCGCATGGTGCAGGAGTCGGTCAAGAAGCCGCGCTGCACGGCCGCGGACATGTATCTGTCCAGCACCGTGGAGCTCATGGACCTCAACCCGGAGCTGTGGCCCAACGCCAACAGCGACTCGGAGCTGCCCGAGATCTTCAGCAAGCTGTCGCTCTTTGAAGTGCGCCGCACGGTGCCGCTCGAGAAGGGCGAGCACCTCTTCTGCGTCTACGGAGACAACTGGCTGTCCGCCGTCAAGTACTCGATCAAGTGTCTCAAGATCGACGAGCAGTCCGCGGCGCTGCGCAGCATCCAGCAGAGCGAGCACGAGCTCGCGGGTATCAAGCACGAGCTAGACGCGCTGCAGAAGGAGTACGTGGCGGCCAAGAAGGCGTTTGAGGAAGTCTGCGGCCGGGTTGAGGCGAAGCAGATCCGCACGGAGGAGCTGCTGGCGGAGCGTGAGCAGTCGTACGAGGCGTTCCTGGCAGGATGCGACCCGAACCAAGCGGCTGGCCCGTTCGACGACTCGCGCGGCTCCAACACCTCGCAGAACGGCAAGGGATCAGCCGCCGGTGACAGTCCCGCTGGTGGCATTCGCAACATCTTCGGCGGCTTCCAGAACCGCTTCTTCGCCGGTAAGGAGCGCACGAGCTCCATGGACGCTACCAGCAACGCGTCGTCCCACAGCCACTAAGTGTTGGCGGCAGTGAGTCATAGATGCTATAAGTGATCGCTCCGGACGGACAGCCGAGGAAGGTGGAAGCAACAGTAGGTAGAATTTCAAGAGGAGGAAGTGAAGGGGGGAGCGACGAGATGGATTGACACATTTTAGAATTTAGTAGTTGACGCTGGTTGTGTTGTATAGCTTCGTCTTCTCCCATTCATATTCATTCCATCTACTTACGCATTAGTAGTCGCTAAGCAGCCGCTGGCGCTTGGGGTCAATGGGGTCGTCCAGCTTCTTGGCCATGCAGTAGGCGTGGGCGACCCACGGCACGAAGGCAGCAGCGAAGAAAAATTGACCCACGAAGAAGGCCGTGCCAAACATGGGGAGCTCTACGGCTAGAGTGTTGTAGAACCGTGCCAACTGCGTCATCCGACAGTGAGCTGGCAGACCTCCAGACTTGGCCGCAGCCGCTGCAGCATTCGCAGCCTCTTCCAAAGTGCAGGGAACGACGCGCCCAGAATCATTAGCGAACATTTGGTGTCCGAAGGTGGCGTACTGTGGTGCCAGCGTGAGCAGCGCGAACAGCCCAACCATAGCAAGCTGCATCAGTACGAGCGACAGCATCGTCATCGTGGCAGCAGACGTCAGTCGCGGCTGCAATCGACCTAGTCGGAAGCACAGGAACTGCAGACCGTGGCGCTTGAGTACTACCAGCGAAATCGTGAACAGGTACACGAAGAGCACAGCGAAAACCACGTAGTCCAACGGGAACACGCGCGAAGCGAGCACCAGCAACAGATCCATCGGGTTTGGGAACTCAGGGGCATTTAGCAAGAATCCACGCTCAAAGTTGGAGTGAGCCATCTTGTCGATGCTCGTGATGAGCATGGAAACCACGATCAACAACGACAGGATCATCAAAACCACGCCAATCGGGATCTTCCAGCACGACAATTTGCCCGTCAGCGCGAACCTCCGCAGATTTGCGTTCAGAACTTCCCGTCGCTCTTCAAGAAGCTTCTCACGGGTCTTCAACTGCGACAGCCGCTCCTGGTCCGCCCCACTCATCTGCTGCTCGACAGCATACCTCTGCAAAATGGTCTCTCTCGTCTGCTTGGTCGCTTGTGTCTCCATTGCGTTCTCCTGCAACAAGTCTTCGAACGTCGTCATATGCTCATCGATGCTGTGGTCCTCCATGAGCAGCCCCACCAACGGCACGCTCGCGAGTCCTCGACTGCACACGAACAGCCAGAGGTACATGCCCGTGAGCGCCAGAATGCCTACCAGAAGACGCAGGAACGTATCCAGGTCCGAGGAAAACTTAAGCAGCGGCCGCAGCCAGTCGATGTCCGAGCTAGCAGGCTTGCCGCACAGCAGCACCACCATAGCCATGACCAGTAGCAGCGACAGTCCCAGCAGGAAGCACGCCGTGCGCTTGAGCGCCGCGTACAGTCGATCTCTGGCCGAGAACCGCAGCGTCAGGTGCGCGATCTCTGTCTGTTTGGCGTAGTTGTAGGCTAGCGGCGCCCCCACGAAGGAATACAGCGCCAACGCCGCGAAGTACACTTGGTACAGCACCCGCAATGCCCGCACGTTGGCCGGGACGTGCGGCAAAGCGTTCTCCAGTAGAAAGACGTCCACGGGCGCAGTGAACAGACAGAGCAGCGCGATGTACAGCGCCAGGATGCAGACGCCGTTGACGAAGCGCGACGAGACGGTGAGCGGCGCGGCGCTGAGCGTGGAGGTGCCGGCGAAGGCGGCGAGCGACGAGGACGCGCCGTTCTTGGGCTGCGCGTAGAGCACCAGCGACATGCTGAGCAGCAGCAGCACGAGCGCCACGCTGGCGTACAGGAGCCACACGAGCAGCGCCGACGAGTCCATGGGCGCTGTCTGTGCTGTGCTGGAAGGAGAGAAGGTTCCGTTCCTCTTTGAAGTGAAGTGCTGATTCGATCCTCGCTTTTGAAGAAGGAGAAGGTGGTGTGGTGCACGTCATATTAAGTCTGTTGCGTGGGTTGGCAAGCGATGCGGAGCGGAAGCCTGAGCTACGAGCAGTTCTGCACCGAGGCGGAGTTGCTGCAGGAGCGCTCGCATGAGGTGGCGAGTGCGCAGACGGTGGGGAGTGGAAGGAGTGTGGCTACGTGGGAGTGGAGACTTGGGAATCGACAGGTATGGAGCTCTGAAGAAAGTTGTGTTTGTCTTCAAAGTGGTTGACATTGTGATGCAATCGATGTTGAAGCACTTGGACGGAGACTCGTACCTCGTGTCAACCGGAAATGTTGTGTTGTATCAGTCGGGAGATGGCCAGGATGTGAAGGATGACAAGGATCTGGGTGGAGACATTGACGAGCTGCTGCTGGTTGAAGAGGTGAGCAAGAATCATCAACGCTGTTTCATTGTCTGCATTGCTTCAACATGCATGATGGCTAGGACACTTGACGCACCAGCAACACGTTCTTAGATCTCAATCAATAATGCTGCATTCATCAGGAAAGCTTGATCGAAGATGACGAAGTCCAGACTCCGTTGCAGTGCAAGGGCGCCAAAACCGCTCTGGTCGAGTTCCACATCGTCTACCACACGATCTACCAGACACCTGTGCTCTACTTCCGAGCACTAGCAGTTGATGGAACACCGCTGCCAGCAAGTGTCGTGACGCGTGACGTCCATTTTCCGGGGTCTGACGGCCGCTCGACGTTCGTCGCCATGGAAGAGCACCCGGTTTTAGGCAAGCCGTATTCCTTCCTGCATCCGTGCGAGACGGCTGCAGCCATGCAGCTGCTCCAAGCTCAAGTCCAGCCAAGCGCCACGGATACCAAGACGCCATGCGATGTTGAAGTGCCTCAGTATCTCGCGAGTTGGCTCAGCTTGGTGCAGCCGCTGACAGGCATCTCGCCGGTCGATTACTATTCCGTAGGATTGGATTTCGACTAAGTCCGAATTACTTTGAATGCTGGCGCCATTTTTCGGAAGAGGCACAAACACCATGACCGCCGAGGAGACTGTGGCGCGTCCCCGCAAGAAGTACGCCACGCTCTCCGCCTCCATCGCTTCAGCAGTAATGCACAACCTTATCTAACGACGCCGTGTGTATTTGTCCAGGCAGCGCATCGGAGGCGCTGCGTCGCCAGCAGCAGCTACAGCTACGCGAGCCAGATTCGCGTTCGGCTCGCGGCTTCCAGACCCGGGGAAGTGCTTGATCAAGGGACCGAAGAGCAGCGTCAAAGCCAAGCTTCAACACGTAACAACAAGAGCGCGTCATGAGCCGGAGGTGCGGGTGCCGACTAACCCCAGGAAGAGGAGACGGTCGGTGTCGCGGGATTCGGACGAAGCCGTGTCGAGGACGAAGCCCTCGCACCGACCACTGACAGTAAAGACGGCTCAGCCTATCCCGAGCAGTCATCTGCCTCCTCCGACCAAGGTGTCGAATGCACTGAATGGTGCTCGCCTGCACACGATTTCACCGTCGAATCCTGCGACCAGGAACAAGAAGCGGAGGTCGGCAGATCAACAGGAACTAGTTGCAGATCTAGGTGCGTGGAGGTGCCATTACGCTAGTTATGATGGCTTGCCGTGAAGATAGAGAATTAACACTGTTGGCTCTGTGGTGCTATGCATCATTTTGTAGCTGCTTCAGAACCTGCGTTCTGGATCAAGCGTCGAGAAGTAGTGGAAGCAGCGCTGAAGGAGCTTGATGCCCTCGAGTACGCCCGAGCACACTAATCCCTTCGCTAACGGTAGCTTGATGCCTGGCGCTAACTTTGCTCTAATGCTGATGCTGTCCAGGAAACGGATCAAGATGATCGTCTAGCAGTGTGCAGGCAAATCTACGTTATTCATCACCGCTTAAAGCCGTGATACAGTAGCTGCGTACTTCCCACGTAAGTAAAATCGATATAGAATCCCGTCCTCGTTGAGCTCGTTATCTTTGGTGTCGGAGCTGCTCGGTTTACTCGCTGGGTCAAGCAGAAGTGCATCGCCGGCAGTCTAGCACTATCAAAGTGCATAAACTAATGAGCGACATAAGGTGATGCTTCAACCGTCGGAGGAATCGCATTCACACACAGACCTCATTTCGCTTCATCCCTCGCCGGTCCTGGTAGAGATCAACAGACAACGTGAAGATGATGACCTCGCCGTGGCAGGTTGGTGCATGCATCGCACTTCTACTGCGCCGCAGGAATGCTGACTGACCGTCGTGTTGGTGTCCCCCCCCCATGACGCTTCAAAAGAGATATCAACTAGCGCTGCAGACGAATCCGCTTCGGTGCGTCACTATCGTCCATATCTGCAGCCACTCGACGCCTAACGTTAACTTTGTGTGTGTTTATCAGGACGAAGGCGGTGACGTCGGCGGGAGTGGCAATGCTCGGAGAAGTCCTCGGTACGAAACGTTTAGCCTTCATGTTGTTGCACGATACTGACACTTGAGCTATGGTGTTGCAGGTCACGTGCTCAAGCATAAAACGCTCCGCGTACAGCTACATGCCCCTGTATAGCTTCAACGTCGTGCGTCGTAACTGACAACTTGTGATCTCAGGGTCTTTCGCCTCGGCAAATGTTGGCGTTCTTTGCGTTCGGGTGGGTCTGCACTACCGATAGATTTGTGTCTTGGTTTCGAGCAATGCATTGCGTAGCTAACGACACTCACTTCCTTTTACGACGTGTAGTGGTGCTGTAACGGGTCCAGTGCTACACTACTGGTATGGCTACCTCGAAACCCAGCGTGTCACGAAGGAAAAGCTGGTCCGACGCATTGCAATAATGCGCACAATGATAAAACTTGCTGCTTGGTGCTAACCACGCTCGCGTTTTGGATCGTGCAGACGCCTAACAAGAAGCTGCTGCTGGATCGCCTCCTCTTCACGCCTCCCATGGTCGCCTTCACGATCTTTTCGGTAACTAGTTGCGCAAGATTATGCTGCAAGCGATCAACTAACAAGTGCGTACTGGCCTCCCTTCTTTTCGTCTGCGATGCAGTTGGGCGTTATGCGCGGCTCAAGCCCCAAGGCCTCGCGTGAGAACCTCTCTCGAGTCTACTGGGGTGCGCTGCTGATGAACTGGAAGGTGTGGACGCTGACGCAGTGGCTGTCGTTCCACTACGTCCCGCCGCTGCTTCGCGTGTTGTGGGGTACGTTGCCACTCCACGAGCAATTTCTTTTGGCGCCGAGACACTCATGCTCGACTTTTTTGTCCGTTGGGAACAGGCAACTGCGTCGCGCTCTGGTGGAACTCGTACTTGTCGCTCACGCAGCAGTAACCGGAAGCCAGCTAGGCGCCAACGGCTGGCCGAGGAATTATCTTGTGTGCCTCGAGAAATGGCTACACTGCAAGTTCAAGACCATCACTCGATATGCCCCCTCGAAGTCTACCATAGCGAAAAAACGAATGACTTTCTGCCAAATTTGCCAAAACAGGAATATGATAGATCATGGTTTTCCTTCTCGGTTATTCAATATACTTACATAGTCATGGGAAGTAGGCTATCGGATAGTGTATGTTGTTCTAGATCACGGTCGCAAAACCATTCCATTCATCCAGACCCCGCACATTTTCTGAAGCGCCATCAAGCGCGCAGCCGAATAGCCCCTGACCGCCCCGCAGCTCCATTGCTGCGCCTCCCCGCCCCCCACCTTAGCATGGCCGAAGCCCCGCAGAGCGTGCCGTCGCTGGCTGCGCTGTGTGTGGCGCGTCTGGCCGCGGGCGCCCCGCAACGCGTACTGCTCAGCATTCTGCGGTGCGTATTTCCAGGGATTGTCGGATCTAATTGTGCTGACGGAACTCTGACCAGCCGATGGCTCCTACCACGTGACGCAGGCGTCTGCCCGAAGAGCTGGTGCTGACGCTTCTGGCTGACATGATCACGTCCAAGACCCTGACGGACGACCGCCTGGCCGCCTTCTTCATGATCTCGCGCCGAGTGCTCAACCTGTCGGGCTGCTGCGCCATCCGTAACTCGATCCTGCGCCAGATCCCTTTCCGCTGCCCGGAGCTGGTACGGCGACTATGATTTCATTGTGGGTGGACGTGAGGGTGACGGGGTACTGACTATTCTGTGGTGATGCAGCGCTGTTTGGATCTCTCGAACTGCCCCCAAGTCACCAACACCGTCGTCCGCGCGGTGCTGCAAGGGTGCTCCAACCTGCAGACGCTGCAGCTGGACGGCTGCCGTCACATCACCGACGCCGCGTTTCAGCCGGATCACTCGCCGTTCTACGCGCTGCTCGCGTGCACGTCGCTGAAGGTCGTGAGCTTCGCGCGCTGCTCGCAGTTGACGAAGGACCTCGTGCTGTTCCTCATCAAGGCGTGTCGCTCTCTCACCGATATTAATTTTTCGCGTTGCAAGGTGAGTTCAGATAGTGATTTTTTTTATCATGGGTGGGTCTAACCATGTTGGATCTCAATTTTTGGTTATTTTGTTCAGCGCATCAACGACGATGCGATCCACCTGCTGCTCCGCTCTGCAACTGATCTGCAGCGACTCAACCTGTCGTTCATGGACATCTCGGATAAGGCGTTCACGACGGAGCCGTCGGACCAACGCAACGGGTTTTACGCCATGGGCCGCGCGTTGCGTGCCATCGACCTCACACAGAGCAATATTACCGACGCGACGCTGTTTGCGCTGGCCAAGCACTGTCCGCATCTCGAGGAAGTAAAGCTCAGCTGCTGCAGCGAGATTACGGACGTGGGTATCGAGGCGCTCGTGCGCTCCTGCAGGCGTCTACGCGCGTTAGACCTGAACAACTGTGCGCTCATCACGGACCGCGGCGTAGGCATGCTTGGGGCCTATGGACAACGGCTGGAGCGCTTGAACCTGTCGTGGTGCATGAACATCACGGACAAGAGCGTTGCGGACGTCGCCCGCGGTTGCGAGCACCTGCAGGAACTGCTGCTGGTGTGGTGCACGCAGCTCACGGACGCGTCGATCGACGCGTTTCTCCCCGAGTCCGAGTCCGTCTCCGAGACGGCCAGGAGGGTGAAAGACCTGAAGCTCAACTTTAGCGGGTGCAAGGGGCTCAGTGAAGCTCACATAGAGGACGCTCGCAAGAGAGGGCTCGAGGTTGTCACCGGCGCATGACGCCGAAGCGCCGGTGCTGCTGCCAGCACAGCCAAGCGCAACCAAACAGTTTAGATGATCCACAGGCGTATCCAAATCTATTTATTTTATGATCCACTGCAACACGGTGAAGGTGCTCAATGAACGAACACACAGCATGAACTTCTGGAGCAGCAGCATCCAAATCTGTGACGTGTGACTTGCTGTTGCCGTGTTGGACTTCGCGCAACATTTCCTTTTATCTTTGAAATTCTATTCATCCCTGTGCAAAATACAAAAATTAAGTTGAAAAGGAATGTCGTTCCAACGACGTCGCCTTCGTGCGACATCCGTACGCCGCTTCGACCACGTGCCGGCATTTGCCTCGAGTTCGTCGGTCGCATCATGTCGTGGCGGCGCTTCGACCTGAACGTCAAGGGCGTGGAGGGCATCCAGGAGCGCACCATCGGCGGCGGCGTGGTGACGCTGCTGAGCTGCGTGGTGGTGGCGTTTCTGTTGCTGTCCGAGTTCTCGGTCTGGTGGACGGTGAGCGTCACGCACCGCATGCACGTGGACACGGACCCAGTAAGTTGCAGCGCGATAGCGGTAATTGCTCGCTAATTGCCGGCAATATTTGTCCTAACGCGTTGCATTTTGGACGGGAAGCAGCAGGATTATCCTATCAACATCGAAGTGGACGTGTCGTTCCTCCACGAGGCCTGCAAAGGTGCGATAGTGTTCGGCGGCGACACCTTTTCGGGGATTACTATTGTTTCTTATTGTCTACTAATGCTGCTGGTATTGTTTTAGAGGTGGCGCTGGACGTGAGTGACTCCAAGGGCCACAAGGAGATTCTGCTCAAGAAGGACATCCAGGAGGAGCCGTTCGGGGAGAACGGCTGCAGACTCTTTGGCACGGTGCAGGTGCAGAAGGTGGCGGGCGATCTGTCGTTCGCGCACGAAGGCTCGCTCACGGTTTTCTCCTTCTTCGACTTCCTCAACTTCAACTCGTCCCATGTGGTCAACCACCTGCGCTTCGGCCCGCAGATCCCCGACATGGAGACGCCGCTCATCGACGTCAGCAAGATCCTCGAGAGGAATTGTACGCAAGAGAGCTGCTGGTTGGCAAGAAGTTGGGATAGTGTGGCTGCATTGCTGACCTCTTTTATTGCGTTGTTGTTATTTACAGTGGCCACGTACAAGTACTTCGTGAATGTCGTGCCTAGTCGCTACGTGTACCTGAACGGCCGGTCGGTGACGACGTTCCAGTACTCGGTGACGGAGCACGAGACGAGCTCGCGAGGGCCCAACGGCCAGGTGTCGTTCCCCGGCGTGATATTCTCCTACGAGTTCTCGCCCATTGCGGTGGAGTACATTGAGTCCAAGCCTTCTGTACTGCACTTCCTCACCAGTACCAGTGCCATCGTGGGCGGCGTCTTCGCTGTTGCCCGCATGATCGACGGTGCAATCTACAGCGTCTCCAAGAAGATCGACTAGGTGTGGTGGACAGATACGACGGTACAGGTTGGCAGGGTACTCACAGACTGGAACACCGTGCTGACGCCTTTGAAGTCTCCACAACGTTTCTACCAACAACTGAATTTGGAGTTTTGTTTCATGTTAGGGAATCGACACGTATTGTACACGTGCTGCACTGCAGCTTTTGCTCCCCTTACACAATCTCTTGGACATTGTTGTGTGACAACGGCGTGGGCTTTGCCGCGTTCTTTCTTACAGTCTCTAACCGCTGCTGGAGCTGCTCCTCTCGTGTCAGTTTTTCAGACTTCTGCTCCGAGTTGCTGTCAGTTTCGTCGTCGTCTCCACTGCCCACCAGATCATCGTGCAGTGACGACACGAGCGCCATAGCCTGCTGGTCAGGTAATTCATTTACCACAGCGGCCACATCCGCGAGAATCTCTTGCGCAAGGTTCTGCTTCTGCTCGCGCGTGTCGAACACGATAGCCGCGTAAGCCAGCGCGGTCTTTTCCACAACTCGAACGACAGAAGACAGCGGCAGGAGGCCCAACATGTACAAGTGGAAGCTCGCACCGATGTACGTGCGGAAAGAGTGGATGCCGCTCTGGTTGCACTCTTTCCCACGATATGAATGCTGGTTCAGCTTCCCAGTGGCGTGGTTGCGAATAATGTCGTGGATGAGAACCGCCGACACAGAGTACAGGTGCGGATTCTTCAACAGCTCCTTGCCCAGGTCGATGTCTCCTTGGCCATTGTCCCCCACAAAGACGAATCGGTGTTCAGCGAATACGCGCTTAAACCGCACGAAGTTCTGTAGAAACAAAAACGATTAGTTTGTCCCGTATTCATAAGTAAGTTGGTGGAGGTAGGCACTCACCCGAAGTTTTCCCGACGCAATTCGCTGCGAGCCCCACATATTAGCGAAGCGTCCCATCAAAACTGTAGCATGAAGCAAGCAGTCAGTACGCGTGCTCAAACATCAATACCTAGCCGTGACTTACGTGTGAAATGCTGGAAGCCGCAAGCACGAAGCTCCTGCAAGGACCGCTTGCGCAAAAACTCGGGTCTCGCAGTGAGGAAGGCCACACGCTGCACTTCCTTGGATTTCTTCGACCCGCTAGTTTTCGCAGATTCCAGATCCTCGTCTTCATCGCTGTCCTCATGCTCATATCCGCTATGTGTGTCCGCACTGTCCGCAGCGATTGTAGCCGAGCGACGAAGCAATTCCTGAGCGAACTGGTGAACTCCAGGATACACCGTGAGCTCCGGATAGCGCGTGTCGAAGAGAGCGGCCAGCATCGTGTCGTCAATATCACTGCGCGCAAACAAAACAAGCACCCGTCAGCCTCAATAATAATAATAACAATAATAATAATAATAAACAATGACAGCTAGCCTCACCATAAGAGCTTGATCGGCGCAAAGAACTTGGACGACGCTCGCAGTGCTGCAGCTTCCGCCTCGAAGTGTTTCAGAATGGCCTCCCGCTCCAAGTCCGAGCGGATCCGATGGTAGATCAAGTCGAACATGGGGAACTTGGCGTCCACCTTGTTTTTGAGCTGCAGACACGCCATGTTCCGCTTGACGCAGAAGCAGTCGCGGATGCACGTGACGACATCGGGCTCCGCCGCGTACTTCTGCAGGGACAGGATGATCGTGGCCAGCGTCGAGACGCTGAGCACCGGCAGCTCCAGCCGCGTGCTGCAAAAGTGCGCGAAGTGCTGCGCCTTGACCTTCGAGTTGAGCAGGCGGTGCACGTTGATGAGCTTGATGAACGCCTCGGTCTCGCGCGGGGTCTCGCACGCCGCCAGCTCCGCGATCGTGTCCGTGTACAGCGGCACCTTGCCCGTGTAGCGCACCCCTGTCCACAGTAACAATTATTAGTAAAATGATATCATTATTACTATAATAGTTGCACTGCACGCACGGGCCTTGCGGTCTACGGCCAGCAGCGCCTCGCGCTCGCCGTCCGAGCCCGAGAGGGAGATGCGCGGCCGCTGCGGCGCCTTGAAGGACGAGCGCAGCATGCGCAGCGGGTCCAGACCGTGACACAGCAGCACGACGCAGACGCAGACCAGCAGCAGGAACAGCACCAGGAACGGCAGCGACAGCTCCAGCTCCCGCATCCGCTCCATGGTTACGAAGGTACCGGTAGCGGCTCCCAACCACGGTAGAGGATGTGACGCTTTGAGTTTTGATTCGCAAAGAGTATGCGTTGATTTCGGTGCGTGTACCTTAAATTCGAGAGTATCCGAAATTAGTAACATATAGGCAAATGCACTGATTGCCAGCCGCTCATTAACGTTAGCGAAGATGTGGAGCGTATCAACTCGTCGCTGGGCTGCGGCGGCTGCGCGTGCAGGTCCTCGCCACGCGCGCGCGTCCGCGTTGGTCTCTGGCTTCTCCAGCTCCAGCGACTCGAAGGTGGCCGAGCAGGCGAAGAAGTGGCAGCAGCAGAAGCCCGAGGACAAGGCCAAGTTCCTGTCCGTGCAGGTGGACCGCTCGGCGCTCAAGCAGCCGGGCGGCGCGCTACAGGGCAACGCGCCCGTGGACCTTCCGCAGGACAAGACGAAGGAGAACTCGCTGGTGCACGTGCTGCGCTCCATGATTGAGGTGAAGGGCCCGCTGACCGTGGCCGAGTTCATGACGCGCGCGCTGAGCCACCCGGACCACGGCTACTACATGAAGAAGGACGTGTTCGGCAGCCAGGGAGACTTCACCACGGCGCCCGAGATCAGCCAGATGTTCGGCGAGCTCATCGCGGTCTGGTGCGTGGCGACGTGGCAGCAGATGGGCATGCCCGCGCACATCAAGATCGTGGAAATGGGCCCGGGTCGCGGCTCGCTCATGAGCGACTTCCTGCGCGCGTCCAAGTCCTTCCCGCCCTTCTACGAGGCCATCGAGATCCACATGGTCGACATCAGTCCAGGTAAGGCCGCTGTACTACAGTGTATGTCTGGAGGCGATGAAGTGGCTGATGATGTTTATCTACTTGCATTGCGTCCTGCCAGCGATGCAGAAGATTCAGCAGGAGACGCTCAAGTGCGAGCCGATCGAGGACAAGACTGCGCCGGAGAACACGATGCGGCTGCCGGACAACGGCCCCACCGTGCGCTGGCACGCAGACTTTGCGAATGTGCCGCATGGCCCGAGTCTCATGATCGCCCAGGAGCTCTTCGACGCGCTGCCGGTGCATCAGTTCGAGTACACGGACCGGTAAGAGCTGCTCGTTAGTTGCCGAGGGAGCTGGTGCTTTTAGCTGACCTTTTGTCGTGTTGATCTGCAGTGGTTGGTGTGAGCGCCTTGTGGACATTGACTACGAGGACGGCGGCGACCACTTCCGCTTCGTGCTGTCGCCTGGTCCGACGCCTGCAACGCGCGTGTACATCGGCCGCGAGAAGCTCTTCGACCCGTCGACGGCTCTGTCTCACGTGGCCGAGACGCATATCTCGGGCGTTGAAGACCTCAAGAAGATGCAGGACACGGTGGTCCAGCGTCTGGACGTTGCGGACGTGGCTGGCACCCCCGTGCGCACGGCGCAGGCTCAAGTTGGAGACAGGATCGAGATCTCTCCGGTCAGTATCGCGCTGGTGCAGGACATGGCCAAGCGCATCTCCCAGTCGGGCGGCGGCGCGCTGATCGTGGACTACGGCTACGACCACCCGTCGGAGATCAGCCTGCGCGGCATCAAGAACCACGAGTTCGTGAGCGTGCTGCGCGAGCCTGGCGACGTGGACTTGAGTATTGACGTGGACTTCGCCACGCTGCGGCGGTTCGCCACTGCCGAGCCCAAGGTCAAGAGCTCTGGACCGGTGGGCCAGGGCACATTCCTCAAGAACATGGGCATCGAGCACCGACTGGCCATGCTGCTGCAGAACACCGAGTCGGAGCAGGTTCAGCAGGAGCTGTTCTCGTCCTACGAGCGTCTCGTGGAGCCCGAGCAGATGGGCACCATCTTCAAGGCGATGGCGCTGACTCACGCAGACATCGGCCAGCCCGTAGGCTTCGAGGAGATCCCGACCGAGTCGTCCGAGCCTTAAGCCATAACAGAATGCCATGAACCTTGTGAAGATAGTTAGCTGTCGTCGGCCGAATGGTTAGCACACGGCAATAGATCAACAGTACCAAACATTGGGCACGAATTGCACGAAACATTGTGTTGCTTGCACATTTGCACCAAACAAAGTCGTAATTTATAGCGTTAGCAGCCTAAAACCACTCGACCCGCTGCAGGCCGAAAAGCAAGGCACCATCCATCCATACTGCGCGACCTGCTTACAGCTTGAGGGGGCCGTGGTTGGGCTGGTACTTCTCGTGGTTGCCGTCCAGGCCGAGCGAGCCGTTGGCGCGCATCTCGGCGTACACCTCACGCTCGTACTTGGTGAAGCCCCACTTCTTGGAGCCCAGCACTTTCTGGCGGCCGGGGAATTTGAACTTGGCACGACGCAGGGCCTCCACGACCGAGGGGCCGAACGAGTCCTTGGAGCGCACCGAGATAATGGGCTGGCCGATGGCCACGCGGGCGGCGACACCCGAGGGCTTACCGTAGGCGTGACGCATACCCGTCTGCAGTCTATCGGCACCGGCGCACGAAAGCATCTTGTTGATACGCAGCACCTGGAACGGGTGGCAACGGATGCGCATGTGGAAGTTGTCCTTGCCGCAGTACTTGGTCAGGTAACGGTTAGCGGCAATACGGGCAGCCTCGAGGGCCTCCGAGGACAGCTGCTCCTTCTCGTCGGACACCAGGTGGGCCACGAACGGGAAGGCGTCGACCGAGGCCTTCTTGTTGCCGACATCGTAGATGCGGATCTTCGGGTCGGGCACACCACGGCAGAAGCGCGACTTAATGAACGGCTTCTTGTTCTGGAAACGGTAACACTTAGCAGGACGGCGACCCATGTTTGACTTCTTGGTTTGGCAAATAGCACAATGAGCGCTGGGGGAGGGACAGCAAGCGCGCTCCAAGCCATTCAGTTCGGGCCGTCGTTCTCGCTGCTGTGATTGGTAGAAAGGAAGAAGGGTTTTCTTGGATCGGGGATTGGATGAATTAAAATCTTTTTCGCCAATCAGGTCGGGCTGACGTAAGCGACTGGGAAGAAAGCGTGCTGCGCTGACGCAATCTCGTGAGTGGCGGTCGTTGAAGTGGTTGCGCTGGACCGAGAATAAGGTCCTTGATGTCTGGCAGCGAGATATTTTCAAGCAGCATTACGATCGCTACATCTCACACACGTGTATTTCGCTTCGAGTTGGATGCAAACCCGAGCGGGGATCATTTGCACTAAGCCCGTGCTGCTGACAATAATTCATTTCGAGGCGTGTCTTGGTTGCCACAAAGGCGCGAACTAAAACCACTCGGAGCTTTTGGTCGAATCTTGACAGCTCACAATGAAGTTCTCGACAAAAGTTGCTCGTAGGCATGTTCTTGCAGCTGCCTATTCATCTTCTGAACAATACATGTATTCGAAGCTGCCTCTCATTATTTGGTGACCGGTTTAAAGATCTGCCGAATTGGCAGAACACTTCGTCGCCGGTCTTGAACGCAGCACAAAGCACTCACTCTTGCAAGTAAACTACTGCGAGGTTCGAAGTATTTATATTTCGAGTAAATGCAGCAATAGAAGTAGTGTACTGAAGTACCTGAATTGCGATACTCTCCTTTCGATCCAAACCGTTGTGGTCGACCTTCGAGAGCCGCTTATATCGGAACTTCGACTACAGTAGTGCGATTTTTTATTAAAATTCGTGGAGTGCTCATGTTCGTGGTGCGCTCATGTGCTAAAAGCTCCAAGTCATTTGAGTTCGCGCTTTTTCTTCTTCGTCATCGTGGGATTCAGGATGCGGCTTGGCTTGATCAATACTCAGCCACTTATTAACCCAAGCGAACCTAGGCCCCGGGAATACCTGGAGCTCCGTACAGACACGAAGCGTCTTCGACCAACGGCAGGAGTAAGTATTGCATATTTTGCTGTGGAATTCAAGCTTCAAGAATCGATTCTGCGAAAGCACAATGTAGATGTAGTCCAAAATGACCTTCCTTAACCATGCGAAGCATCACTCGAGTGCGATGTGGTCACGCACTCGTATTTCTCCATCACGAAATGAGCAGGTCAACCTCTCCCTCTCATGCATCAGCCGAGTGACTTGGATTGCAATTTGTCGATGTCGTAACGCGCCTCAGACAGTAGATCCCGAACGCAGCACTCACTACCTACGGCTCATTCCCCAATTTCCAAGCGACCAAGCAAGCCTCCTCCCATTCCTCTTACATTCCAGTCTGTAACCATGAAGAGTGGCGCCACCATTGCTGCCTTCCTAGCACTCAGCGTTCTGGCTGTCACGGATGAAGCTCAACGATCACCGAATACGCCAGCGCTTCGTGGTCTACGAGAGAGCGCTGATACTCCTGCAACGACCGAAGACAATGAAGACTGGAACCACCACGACCATCACCACCACCACGTGAAGAAAGTCAAGAAGATCGCCATTCCTGTCCCCGTGGAAGTGCCGCAGTACATCCCTGTCCCGGTCAGTGTTCCGTCGACGGTGGTGGCCAGCTCCAACACTGCTGTGGTTGCGCCTGGAGCACCCGGCGCCCCTGGGGCCCCTGGCGCCCCTGGTGCTCCCGGATCCCCCAATGCACCGGGTGCTGCACCTGCCACGCCCGCTCCAACAACTACACGCGGACGCCCCGCAGCAACCCCTGCTGCCACGGTACCCGGCAGGGCGAGAGCCACACCGGCACCGACTAGCTTTGCCGGTGCGACTGTGCCTGCAGCTCAACAACCGGGCGCATTGTCGCCGCCAGCAGGCATCGCAGGTGGCGCCAACAACGCTCTCGGTGCTGGACTTGGTGGACTTGGTGCGGCCGGTGCCAATGCGGGCGGGTTTCCTGGGGGCACTGGCACCTTCGGTGGCAATCCGATGGGCGGCTCCGGCGCTGGCGGTCCTATGAGCGGTCTTGGCGGCGGCTTCGGTGCTGGCAATCCGATGGGCGGCTTCGGCGCTGGCGGTCCTATGAGCGGTCTTGGCGGCGGCTTCGGTGCTGGCAATCGCATGGGCGGCGGTCTTGCTGGTGGATTTGGCGCTGGGAACCCGATGGGCGGTCTCGGTGGCGGGATGCTCGGCGGAGCTGGTATGAATGCCGGCGGACTCAATGGAAATGCTATGGGCGGGCAGCAGATGGGCTTCAGCGGAGCGCAAGGCGGAAGCGCATTCGGCGGGATCGGCGGTCAAGGTGCAATGGGGAACTTCGGCCCAAACGCGTTTGCCGGTGCTGCCGGGGGTCAAGCTGGCGCAGGTTTTGGAGGCGGCGCACCGATGGGAGGTGGTAATGGATTTGGTGGAGGTTTCAATCGCCAGCGTCGTCGTTAATTCCATGTTGGCGCGAATGCGTGAAGTACCAGCGTGAAGCTCTGATGTAGCGCTGTTGTTTATGTTCCATAATCCCCAATGTTTAAAATTTGACAACACTACAAATAATCTTTGGTTGTAGCTCCCTGAAGTCATATCTATCTATCCACAGAATCAATCATGCAGCACCGCTGCACACTTGCCGTCGATACGAGAGCTCACTTCAAACCATTCTTCCGTTGGAATCGCGAAGTATGACATCGTGGTGCAGCATTGTTGTAGTCCACAATTCCCCAATCGAAATCTCGAATTTTGTCTGCGTGCACGGCATCAGACACTCATCGCGTAAGAATGTGTGGCGGGGTGATTAATGTCAGTTCGACGCTTGCGCTTCCTTTTAGAGGACACGGACTCCAGCTGTAATGGCCGCACCTCCCGGCGGACAGCTTGTAATGGGCTGCTCAGATATTCAAGTGAGCGCGACGGCGAGGTATAGTTTGAACGGCGAACTCCAGCTTCGACTTTCGCGTACTTTTGCTTTCGCTTCCTTGTTGGGGTCGTGACGATGCGGCTCGGAGACAGTGACTGGAATACTTTTGCCACGCCACCATCCGACTCGGACTCCGTCGTGATGTCACTGACGGCATCGTTCGTGCTCATCTTTGCTTCGCTCAAATTCCTTGATATGACGCCAAGCTCGTGGGTAACTGTTGGGTTGCTCGGCTCCGAGTTTTTCTTCGTCACCAGGGATGTAGCTTTCACCTTGTCCGCCACATCGTGAATGGGACTGATCGTCAACAGCCCACTGCCCCCCTTCAGGCTGCAGCCATTTGCCTTCGTCTTCGGTTTCGAAGCTGGGGTGGACGTACTCGTACCTGGTACACTGACAGCTTTGACTGACGGTAGCTGCGAAGATGCATCCCGACAGTACGGGCAGAACCAGTCACCCTCGGGGACGTCTAACAGAGATGGCCGTACGCAGTTAAGGTGATACGCTCGCTCGCAGCCATCACAGCACAGCAACTTGCCGCCCTTCAAGCACATTTCGCAATACTCTCTGTGCTGGTCTGCAGCGGGTCGCATTCGAGCCATCCGCTTGGCTTCCCTCGCTCTCTTCTTCTCCCGCTGGCGTTCGTGCCATTGCTCGTACTCGGGCGTCTTCTTCCACAAGTAAAACTTGCTCACCAACTCGCGGGTTGTCACCTGCCGACCAAGTCTTCTCTGGTCATAAGTGAAAAAAAAAGTTTAGCCATCACTTCTTTTACTGCCATGTGCCAGTACCTTGGTCAATTTACCTTGACGAGATGGAACTTTTTGCCATGTCTATCCATGGCCTTCTCAAATGTGAATTTGTGAATCCGTTCCGCCTCTTCTCGTTTTAGTCTCAGTTTCTCGCGACGAGCTTCGTGAATAATCTCCACCGCTGTAGGCACATCATAGTCCGCTTCGAACAGGGATTGCAGCGCCTAATGCATACAAAGCAATAGTAAGCAACACAACAATGCAACAACATTCTCGTTCATTGAGTAGCACAAACTCACCATCTCCGTCTCTTTGGGCCACGCATACGTTTGAACGAATTCCACGATCTGGACACCGGAGAGTTGCGGGCGTTCGCCGTCGCGCCAGCCCCCGCGCTGGCGACACTGAGGCGCGTAGAGCTGCCTGCTGTGCTGCTGCTCGGCCGCGGAGAGCAGCGCCGGGATCTCCGCTCGACGGTCGGCGTCGTCCCGCTCGGACACGGTCATTCTTCAATTGCTGACGGTCTCACCCACTGATTTGGTTCTTATCCCCGGGTTGTTCAGAAATGAATTTTCTGTCGCATCTCTGAAAACTGTTTCAAAAAAATAGACTTGCTCGACGATCGATGATCCCGATGCCTAAAATATTGTCAACGCCTCCACCTGGTTGAGCACCTCTATCCAGAAGGATGTGATGCAGCATAACAATGTGCTAGTGAAGTCTCCATGAATTACGGCAAACGAAAAATAAAAATAAAACGAGAAGGGACAACAAAAACACTTGATGCCAGGATTCAGCTGTCGAATCGGGATGGCGGGATACGACGCGGTGCCTGCATCTTCCGCTGACGCTTCCTGCCCGAGCCCGGCCTCTCCGGCTGCACGGGCGGAAGTGTCTTTACGCCAGCTGGAGACGACTTGACAGAATGCGCCACGGACCTGCTCGTTGCCGCGTGAGCGTGAGATGAGTCACTCGACGGCCCAGTGGGCTTGATTTCTTCTCTGACCTGCTGCTGCTGTTGCGCTGGCGATCCTCCCTCTGCAGAACTTGATTGTTTTGCCAGCCCACTGCTTCGAGCTCCAGGTGAAGATGACGGAGCTTTGATACCGGTACTATCCGACTCGTTGTCTGTATGGCTTCCAGAATATCCGGCGTTCGAGCTCAACTCTTCCGTGCTGGGGCGATCTGACGTGTTACTACTGTGCTCGCTCGCCAACTCGTCGTTTGATTCCGATCCAGCACCACCTTCGTCGTCGTCTCCCTCATCATCCGAGTTGTCGTCCTCATCGTCTTCGTCTTCGTCCTCGTAGCTGCTGACGTCCGTGATCGCCTCACTCAACGAGCGCGCGACACCAAGGAGTGGAGCGGTAGCATAACCGTACTCGTTCGGCACCAACTTCGGCGTTGGACCACCAAACGCCTTCTGACAGTGCGCGCAAAACCAGTCTTCATCTTGGCGGGGTATTTTAGTGATCGGCGGCTGGACGCAGCTGAAGTGGTAGGCACGAGCACAGCCATCGCAGCAGAGCAACTTCCCTCCCGTCGCACACAGCTCACAGCGCTCGTGGTGGTAGCCCAAAAAGGCCTTCGTCTCCGAGTCTTCATCCGATTCGTCGCCCCATTGACGCAGCAGCTCGGCCTCCTTCTTTTTCTTCTTGGTCTTCTTCACCGTCTGGCGTAGTCGCCACTCTCTGAACTCCGGCGTGCGCTTCCACAGGTAATATTTGCTCACGACCTCGCGGGTTATCACCTTTTCCCCCAGTGCCTTCTGCTCAAAGCAGAAACAAGTATCAGCATGACGTTTCTAGACCTCAGTAGGGTCTAATGCAACTTCGAGCGCACCTTTACGAGGTGGAACTTCTTGCCGTGCGCTGCAACGGCATCTTTAAACTCTTCGGACGGCAGCCGCTCGTCCCGATCGCGTCGCGCTTTGTACCGTTGTCGACGAGCAGCATGAAGTAATCCCACGGCCTTGGGCACGTCGAACTCGCCCTCAAAAAGGCACTGCAGCGCCTGCAAACCATTGCAAACCGTCGAGCCGGTGGTTAGAGTGATCGCATTTCACTGCGTTCCACTATAGCTGCATGCCAACGGACCAGCTCCGTCTCCTTGAGCCACGCGAACTCCTTGAGGAACTCCTCGATGTCTTCCGCCGTGGGCGGCGGCGCGGCGCCTTCGTCCGGCCGCTCGCCCCACCGCTGCTGACATCGCGGCGTGTACGCCAACGCGTCTCGCTCCTCCTGCGACAGCATGGGCGGGATCTCGGCTCGACAAGCGGCGTCGTCAACCTCCGCCTCCATCGCGCTCGTCTTGTCTTGTCTTTTGGTCCAGTTATGCCTTCAAGACTCTAATTTTGGTCCGGATGGACTAAAATAGTGAGCTTTTGATGTTGAAGTGGCGGCCAGCAAATTGAGACTGCAACGTGGAGACGAGCGGCTCGCTACATGTATGTACTTGCCTCTTACAATAAAAAATCAGAGGCATTCGTTAGGAAATCCCGCATGGGGTGAGCTCGATGTGAAGTCGCGTACAACCTTCGACATTTTTGTCTCTCGCTCTGTATATAAGTAGCACCGATATTCAATTTAGATGTACAAGGAATTTGCTGTCGATTTGAGCCACGCGCAGGCTGTTAAAGTCCTACATGGCAAACCCGTTCGCTTGAGTCATTCTCAATTGAACAGAGGCCACACACATTATTTCCATCCTGAAAACTACAAGAAGTTGGTAAAGGCATACGAAGCGGGCAAAGGGACAACATTACATATGTCTCACGGGGAAGTTCTACGAACACATCAATCAGGACTTAGTGGCTCTGGTTTCTGGGGAAGCTTGTGGAATGGTATCAAATCTGCTGCGAAAGGAATTGGTAGCTTTCTTAAAGATAATTGGAAGCCAATCACAAGCGGACTTCTGGATGGCATTGCAACCGCGGCCGGACCCGAAGCTACGCCATTGCGTGGTCTAGTCAAATCAGTCAGTGGAGTAGGGATGGCACCTCCTATGACTCGTCGTCGTATGAAAGGTGGAAGTTTTCGACTTGGATAACTTTAGTTATGTTTGATCTTGAAATATAAATGCTATAAAATATAAGTATAACAATAGTCAGTCATGATCGGTTCAGTTTATAAAATCGTTTGTAGTCAAAGCGACATTTGCTACGTTGGTAGCACGTTTAATCAACTCAAGCATCGTATGAGTGGGCATCGGTCTAATTTTAAGCGTTGGGATAACGGGAAACCATCCGGTGAAATTGCAATTTATCCATACTTCCGAAAGTATGGTCCGTATGAGTTTAAGATTATGTTGATCAAGCAGTATGAGGTTGCTGATAGAAATCAGCTGCGCGCCTACGAAACGTTATGGATCAACAAATTCAAGAAAACTTGTGTGAATAAGGTACCTCCATTTGGGCTGCTGAAAAAGCAAAAGCAAAAAGTAAATACAAAGAAATACTGGGAAGCCAACAAAGAAGTGCTTAATGAGAGAAACAAGACATACAATGAACTCAACAAGGAGAGACTTGTCGCGAAGATTACCTGTGAATGCGGTGGTCATTACCAATATAGAGGCAGAACATATCACTTCAAATCTCAAAAGCATATTAGATGGATGGAAGCTCAGTAGCAATCAATGTCTAGCAGATTAATTTTTTTTGCACAAGTGATCAGTGATTACTCATCATCATCAAACAAATCAGTCCGGCGAGTGTATTTGATAATCGTTTGTTTGAGACCATTAACCGATAGATCATAGCCTCTTTGACGGACTTTATGGACTTGTTTCTTGTAGTTAGGCCCTAGGGCTTTAGATATCGTCTTTGCGAATCGATCTCGCGTGTATAACGATGCATCCTTGGCCTCTTCAATCATCCATTTAGTGAATTTTGATAGCATGTCATCAATCGATACAAATTCTAACGTATCAGGCGTTTCCTTATGCTGGCTTTCCTGGAAAATGCTGTTGCTGGTCCCATTGGTCACACATTCGATAAACCATTGAACAGGCTTCTCAATAGCCGACTTCTGCATATCAGACTTTTCTTTGGTCATTGGCGCGTCGTTCTGAGGATGGAATCCATTTAAGTCCATATTCATAAGATAATGATACAAATGAATACCACTATCAGTATTATCAAACTCGTCAATCATCGCCTTGAAGTATGCTTTATCGCCGAGACGATCACTTCTACACAGCAAATAGAGAAATCGACGCATTTGTTTTGACGCTTTCACGCTGTACGAATTGTTGGATGCAATAAAGAGATTATTACAGTCCTTGACTCGATAAGGGTCGATGCCTTTTTTCTCAATCATACAAGTCGGCTCGGTAATACAGTCTTTAAGTTCGTCTTGGTCTTCATGTGAGGATTGCTTAACATTGGCTGCTTCGTTCAAAACGGTCAATATCTTATGCTCGCGTGCCGAGTTGAAGCGACCAGTCAAAATTTTCATCTTTGGCGTCTCGAGACAGTAGCGAGTCCCGATGACATGATTTTTCAGAATCTCAAACGCAATATTCTTACCGCAACCTTCCTCCCCCTCAAGAACGACACAAGCTCCTGACTTTTCATACGGACGTTGAACATACCAAGCAAATAACTTCATGATGTGATTAGTCAAATCATCACGACCTCCACACCAAATGTGTTTGATATGATCTTCAAAGAGTTTAAACTTTGATTGATCGACAATAAAGTTAGGATCGTAGGTATGAACGAATCCGTTGAATTTGTTAAATACTTCATTGGAGTTCCAATCAAACGTGTTCAATTGAGTGTCGCAGGATCCTGTTTTTGCGTTGTACGGCATAAAATCAACTTTACCAAACGTGATATCATCTCTATAATGGAGAATTACTTCCGACAGCGACAACGTAATGATGCTATCGGTGTCAAATTCTGTGTTATCAGTCTCAATAAGTCCATTATCATCTAATTCAATCGCATTGTTAATATCGAACCACATATCGAATTGATTGATACGGGGGATAACTATGTAATCGATATCTCCGAAAGCATCTCGATTCTTAGTCAAGTAGTATCCATTCCCCCCTTGCAAAATGTAAGCAATGTTGTTTTTGATAAACTTGTAGAGTCTTTCCATTGTGATGACTTCTTTCTTCAGACTGATAACATCAAGATATGTCTCTGCGTTCTTACAATCGAAGATTGGCGGCAATTCTCCCTTTTCGTAGTAGATATTAAACTTAGGATAATAAGGAACAGTCAAGTCATCTTGTTTTGTTTTGTCTTCGTCTTTGCCTTTCTTTTCTTTGAGTTCCTTTGGCTCATACTCTGCTTTCCATTGCTTGTATCCTTCTGGATCAGTTCCACCAGCAATGGATTTGATTTGAGACTCAGATAGCTTCGGATGATATTTGGATGTTTCCCAATCATTGAATACTTTCAACGCCGCAGTTTCATCAAAGCGATCCGTCATTGTCTTCAGACTGCACAGATACGTCTTCCGCATCAACCGAAGATCGACGTGTTGCTTGCGATATAGCATACCAGCCAAGTTCCAAGTATTGTTATTATCACTGAACCACGATCGCTTCATCATACAGCATAGTTTGTATAGACGACAGTCATAAAGGGCATTTTGCAAACAATAATCAACTAGATTGAGCTTTTCATACAGACTCACGAAGGTTTCTTTGTCTTGATCCGATCTGAAGTAAAAACGCTTACGTCCTTTGACTGGCTCTCCTTTGCGGTCTAATAGTACTAATCGTGTCGGGTAACCTTTGGTGACTAACGTGAGGTCTGGTGATTTGAGGCGAACATAGTCGATATCAGTTGCATCGGAGCACCAAGCATCGACTAATTCAGAAAACGTAACAATTTCATTAGCAAAATCAATATTTAAGTAACATTCTTCCCATAATTGAGTCGAATTATTTATTTCCAAATCCGAACTTTGATCCTCCTCATATACCACGCCTTCCGCGATCACCGGTTCGACAATCGACTCATCCAATTCTGGAACTTTGCTTGCTTTGACGTTCGAGACCTCGGCGGGCTTGATCTCCGATGGCGCTGGCGTATCAACAACTTCGGTATTAGCTGGAGTACTTACTCGTGGCGACATTTCTTCTACTATACTGATCTCAAGATTATTTTGTTCATCCGCAATAATCTGATGTTTCCCGCATCGATCTTTGTTGCGAGCAAGCTTGCACTGTTCTCCGTTGGCTCTGATGAAGTTGCACATCGTTGTTGCTATATTACTTGTTATATTACTAAGGTTATGTTTTTTATATTCTATATATTCTTCGCTTAAGATCATAATTTTTTTATGATGTCGTCGTGCGGGAATCCCGCCGCGAGTCACATTATCGTGTGTCCAGGTGTGTATTTTTTTGTATCCTTGGTTGAAAACAGGGGGTGTTGCATCGTCTGGTTGCGCTGAGATGTCGAGCATTAAGTTGCTGTCCAGGTGAGTGGCCACGTGTGTCCAGCTTTGGTGGCCATCTTTCTTTTGATCAGAAGCGACTATATCAGTTCTAGATCAATGTATGTTATTAGTGTCCAGGTGTCCAGCTTTTTTCTGTATTCTTATAGAAAATATTATAAAGAAAGGGGGGGTAGGAGGGGGGTAGTAAAAAATAGTGTAAAAGTACAAATGGAATTTTTTTGGAGCTGGACATGGACACTTGGCCGTCCTTTATCTGAATTCATAACATCTGATGTGTTCCATAACTGATATCGTCGCCTCTGATAACGAGAATCGAGGTGGCCACCATTTGAAGTTCAAATTGAACCTCCGTATTTTCGCTCATTCAAGATCACAATGTGTTCTTGTCTTTTTTCTTTAAATGGTGCAATCACAGATTATTATTTCTGACTCGGTAGTTGCTGCGCAAGAGATTGCTGGACGTCTATTGACGCATTGCCCAGACCAATGGAGAGTACAAATCCACCAACAGAGTTGCAGGAAATCCTACCGGGAGCGCCATCCCTGGCGGAATACCAAGGATTCGACGTCCGTCCAACTGGATCACCGTTCTTGGAGCGATGATTGGGAGTGGAGCCAGCTGCACGAGTGGATTGACGCGAGCATCGTACAACTTGTATTCGGCATTCGCAAAGTCGGGATCGAACTTCACACACAGCACGTACTCAACTCCTGGCATCACAGCCCATATCGATATCGCCTTGTGGTCGAGTTGTCCTTGTGCCATGCCCCACTGCTGAGAGACTCCAACTTCAACTTTGATTGTCCGAAAGTCGTCAAAGACTGGAACGCCTCGTGGAAGCACAGAGCGCGGTGTTGTTCGGCGCGGCCCATAACTGAGGTCTGGGCACCATCGTCGCCCCTGGGAATTCACGGCGGCACCATCGGCATTGAGCCATCGACTGATATTTGGCTTGGCAAATGAAGTACGTCGTTCGAATTGCCGGGTATATCTCTCGTGTGGAGTGCTCGCAAACTCGATGATATGGATTTCTCCCGTGTCAGCAAACCATTCAAGAAAATTGGGTCGAATTAGTTGTCCCTCGCTGTCAGCAAACGCGTTCCATTCATCTTCCGTTGCGTGGCACACACGCAATGTACCGGTCGGCGGTGGAGGCTGTGCCACTGCAGCTTCCAGAGCAGCGTTGATGCGATCGATGCTGGAGAGCAGAGGAGTCATTGACGCCAGTGTGACTGCGTCTGTCGCAGCGACAGCTTTATTGGGCGCCCGGTTGTTCCGCGTAGCTACTGCAGGTGACGAGTATGAGTCCCCGTCCCCTTCTTTGTCGTCTTGTCCCAGAATGAGCATCGACAATGTTCGTCTTGTCCGCTCGTCGTCCGCTCAACATCCGCCCAACCAGAGCAACGAGAGTACCCCTAAACACCCTTAGAGACAGCGATGATGTACTATATAGTACTTGCCTCTTACATTAATCGACCAGGTCCCAAACGCCGCTCCCAATGAGGAGAGCCAATCATAAGTGAGATTCCAAATGACTTCAACAAAGTATGGACTGGTTTATCGGCTCCAAAGCCAAGAAAAAACCTTAAGGTTTTATTTTTGGCCGGCTGCGCAGCCTTCTCCGCCTTCACACTTTCCGCCCCGCATCTCCAACACGACAGCGCGCTCCGAGCGTGCCGCACGCCTCCCCCGCCGACCACCCCAGACCCGAGTGCCCCCAGGCGCGCCCCACGCGCCCCACGCAAGGACCCGTCGAAAGCAGCTACAAAACCCGGCAGGGCGGGTGTTGTGCTGCCGGTTTTGGTAGCTGTCGGCCAAGCACGAGGTCGTGCGCGCTCGCTGACGGTATGTGAGCGTTTTTCTATTGTGTATGACTTTGTATCGGGACTGACGGGAATCCATGCGCTGTGCTTAAGTTGTGGGATGGCGATGACGTGTGCATTTGCGCCTTGAATTCGATTATCCATGTTGTATGAATAGGAATGTATTAAGAGTTAATACAAGCTGCGTGATCCTACGACTCCAAGTCTTTTTGCTTCCATTGGTGACTAGCTGGTGTGCAGCGGTCGACGATGCCACCGTTCGCTTTGCGGGTGATAAATGCTGAGCAGAGCGCGTCGTACGCAGAGCGGTGGTCAGCGCGCAGCTTTCTCCAGCGCTTCCGTAGCGACCCCGCGGTTTTGGATCGGCCTTTACCGTCGATACTCCCAAGCGCAGCGTTGACCTTCTTGTCCAAGTCTTCCGCTAGCGTCCAGACACGCTGCTTCCACAGCCGATACGCGACGCCGTCCCGGTGCAGTGGCGCCGTTGGTACGTCTACCTCTCGCCCTGCTGCTATGATCATGATGTTGACGCCTGCCTTGAGGTCAGCGCGAACAAACTGTTGTTTCTTTTGGGTTGCCGTGTGCCACAGCTCCTGTGTGTACCAGTTGTAGAAGCAGCCAGCAAGAGAGTGCGCTTCAACGACGGTGTCAGTGCTCGCCTGCGGGGCCTGGCCAGCACAGCGACAAGGAGCAGGACCGTCAGCGCTGGTGGCCTTGCTCTCGTGGGCCGCGACGAGCTTCTGAAGTGTGCGCTGCATTGCTGCGATGGACGATAGCATCTGGGTGACGGCTGCGGCAAGTATGGTGGTGTTTGCATTGCTGCGTTCACCCAGCTGTCCGAAGTTCTCCGTTTGCCAAGCCGTGCGAAGCTGCCGACCCCAACCAATGCACGTGTCCAGCGAGAGCCGAGCTCCCAGCGCTACGTTGGTTGCGTCCAGAGCTTCGTGGAAGCGGTACAGGTAATGCGATGTGAAGCCTGTGGCAGCCTGCTCCTGCTGGACTGCCGTCGCGACGTCGTCAAGATGGATGAGCAGGGACGCGAGCGCCGCATCCAGGACTAAGGCGTCAACGTTGAGCGTGGTGTCAGTGAAGCCGCTGACGTTCTTGAAGAGCTGGCCGCGCAGGGTTAGCAGCTGGGCGTACTCGAGCGCAGGAAGAAGCTCGCTCAAGGTGGCAATCGTGGGCGTGACGCATGGCAGGTGCGGGTCTCGGTATCCAGCGAGGACTTTGCCGACACTCTGGTCCTCGCGTGTCGTGGTACCCACGTACGCGAACGCCTTCGTGAGCGAGTCTAGCAGCCAAGCTCCCCGGGTCGAGATCCACTGGATCGCAAGCTGCGGTGAGGCGTTTGCATACGCTGCGGAGCCGCGGCGCAAGGAGTGGCTGCTCAGCCCTGCGGTGAGCGTCGGGGGCAGCGGGGCAGAGGCCTGGGCTTGGCGCTCGCAGACCATGGTGATGACGTCGTTAATATACTTGGACACGTTGGGCCTTCCTCTCACGCGCTTTGTTGGTGGCTCGTTCCTTGGTTCAGCTTTCTCTTCAAGGTTCTCCCAGTAGAGTATAGCTTCGTCTTGGCTGTAGGTCTTCTCCCCTGGCAAATCCGATGCCGCCGCGTGCGGCACTAGCGGGAACACATAGCTGGAAGGCTCCGACGCTCCGACGAACAGCATTCCGAGGCCGTGCAGCATACACTGCTCCCAGTGAGTCGCGGCCTTGTAAATTGAGATGCCTTGAACCACCGAAGTCTTGATTCGAGCTAGATGCAGAAAGAGCTCCCCCGATGCCGCCATAGATAGCTGGCTCTTCCTAGCAAAACAGGTATCGATCGCTCGACCAAACGTGTGCCGCATTAACGTTAGTACAGCAGCGTCATGTAAGCTCTTATAACCTGAGCCAACCCCCTTAATCGCAGTTTCCTGCACCAGAACACGCAAGTCGCCGAGCGTGCAGCCTGGAGCTTCACCAGTCTGCACGCCAGCTAGCAAATTTCGCTCCTCAATAGTTGAACCCATTTTGTCGCGTATTTTCGCAATTCGCTTGCTGTCTGACAAGTACAGAGGGTACCGCTCTCGGAGCAGGTTCACAACTTGGGACATATAGCCCACAGCAGTAGCCTTAGCAAGACGGCCTCCTCGAGCACTTGGCTTAGTTTGCAAGAAAATGGAGAAGGCGGTTAGCAAAGAGTAAAAGTTTTGACTTGGTAGAGCATCAGGAATAGACAGCGACTTCGCAATACTAGCAATTGACTCCTCATTCATGTTAGCAAGAGCTAAGAATTCGCTGAAGCACTTCATCGCCGCTGCCTCCTGCCCTGCTGTCCCTTGCGGGATGTCAAGCCCTCTCGGCGCTCGCTGCATCTTTTCAAATGGGAGAGGAGAGAAAGCAGACGAGTCACAGCCACCAACGATACAATCATGATTTGTATTGGGAATTTGCGGTCAAATATGAGTAATGCAACAATTACACTAAACTTTTGTATTGGATATTATTCTAGCAAGACTGTAAATTCCCAAAATAATTGGGAAAATGTTGGGATACACACGAATCGATCGTGATTGGCTAAATTCATTGAAGAACTTGTCCTGATTGGATAGATGCAATGACAGAGAAGCGCAAGGAATGCCAAGTTGGGAGAAAGCTTCCTTATCCTACAATAAAAAATCAGAGGCATTCGTTAGGAAATCCCCCATGGGGTGAGCTCGATGTGAAGTCGCGTGACAGTGCGGGAGGAAACCTTGTGAGCAAATGCCACAGTAGCAACGAGGCGTTCCCCTCGTCGCCCTGCCGGTATTTCGGGCCGCAGGAGGTATCCTGAGTCGGCGAGCAACGTCCTCAGGACGTCGCGCTTGCTTGCAAATCGACGTGGCACCGCAAAAAGGAGCCGAGCGCATGCAAATTCCGGCCGATGGATCCCATTGCGAGAGGCTCAACGCCCGTGAATTTTGTTTCCAGCGTCTCGCGTGTCTTTGAGGCGCGGACGTCGCGACTCAAGTTGAGGGCTGGTGGATGTTACATGCGCTTTGCGAGCGGACCGTTCCGGGCTTCGACGCTCCCGTTCCTCGCCCCCTCTGGGCAACCGTTGCCACGTGCCTGCCTCCCTCGCTACGGCCGCGCTCAGCCCAGCCCTGAGTTCATCATTTGCGGCTGGCACCGCCGATCGAAATAACCCGCGCGCGACCGTTGCCCCACAGACACAATGGAGACCTACCAGCACACCGCCTTCCTGCCCAACGCCGCGGCGGAGGCGCTGCTACACATGCAAGACAAGCCCGAAGTGCTGACGCCAGAGGAGGAGGCGCAGCGCCGCCGAGAGCGCCGACGCCGCCAGTGCCGCGTGAGCCAGCGGCGCTACAGGGACAAGAAGGGCTCGGCCGAGTACAACCTCAAGCTGGACGTCAACAACCTGCGCGAACACGTGCAGCGACTGCAGGGCATGCGCGAGCTGCTGGAGACCAAGCTCTGGAGCTCCAAGCTCGCGCAGAACGCGGCCGTGCTCAAGGCCGTGGAGCAGTACTACACCGTCTTCGCGCACGGGCTGCACAACCCCGAGGCGGGCGGCGACCGCGTGCAGAAGTGCTTCGACATGCAAGTGGCCTTCGTCAAGGCCTTCATGGACAAGGACGTCGAGTTCGGCGACTCCCGGGGCGTCGCGGGCGTGATCGACCAGTGGCATCTGTACACGCAGTTCCACGCCAACCTGTCCGTGCGTCTGCTGTCGTCCGAGGTCTGTGGCACCGAGGTCGCGCCCATCGTCGTGGCCAAGGGCATCCTCGCCGTCCGCCTGAACCGCGGCTCTATCGAAAACATGTTCCCGCACATCCTCGCGAACGAGGAGCTGGTGCAGGTGCTGCTGAGCCGCGAGATCGAGTACCCGACGTCCACCACCTACGTGTTTAACTCACGCTCGCAAGTGGAGCGCCAGGACCTCGACGTCGACTTCATCGCCGGGATCAACCAGCGCCTGGGCAGCACCTACGCCACGTCGCGCGTGATGCAGCGCGCGCTCATCTCCGACTGCTGCAAGCTTGGCCAGGTCGCGCCGGTCGACTTTGACGACGGCAACACCAGGCTCGGTTTGTCCTACATCATGTCGTAGTTAGTCTAGCTTGGCTTCTGCTCGGTGCAGCTCAGTGTAGGCAAATTCATCTCCATGTATTCTTCTATCTTCATGGAGGCCATTTTGTTTTCACTCCGGAGGCGCAAGCCAGGTCAGCCCTGCGCTAATCTGTCAAGGAGCTTCGCGGTGGCCCAGCTTAGCAGTGTGGCGTGCTCAAGCCGCGTGAGCATGCATGGATGGTCACCGTGGATCGGCTTCAGCCGGCTTCCATCAGCTTCAGCCCCACGTTGAAGCGGTTGAAGCGACGCGCGTTTATAGCGGATGGCGTTCAGCAAAAGATCCAAGCATGAATTACATTGTCCTCCGTCAAAGCGAATCGAGCTAACACTTATATTATTGGGGCGCTGTGCTCCAGCACTCGGAAGCGCTCTCAGTCCAGCGCCGTTTTGAACAGCACGTCAATACTTACTACTGGTAACAGGTTGTGCGGGCTCTCCAACCCGCCGACTCCTATCCATAGCCTCGCTATCAGCTCATGATAAAATCCGGGTCCAGGCGCGACGAGTCGTCCAGCCCGGCCCGCTCGAGCTCGCGATCCACCATGCCTCGCTGCCGCCGACCATCCGCCGTGTCGTCCTCGACGCTTGCGCTCAGCTTGGAGCCCTCTGTGAGCAACGCGCCTTGCAGCACATGCGACGCGTCGATAGCGCTGCCGAGTAGATTGCTGAGCCCGCCGAGGAAGTCCACGTCCCAGTCCAGCCGCTCAACCTGCGCGCGCTCGTTGAACGAAAAGGTGGTAGTCGTCCGGTATTCGATGACGTGATCGAGCAGCGTGGACACGAGCTCGGCGTTGTCTAGAGCGCGCGGGTAGATCTTCTCCAGCGTCATGCGGTTGATCTGTACGGTGAGCGTGCCCTGCGCCACGACGACGGGGGAGTCGTCGGAGCCGAAGACCTCCGCCGAGACGAACGCCGTCTCGATCCACGCGTGGAACTGCGTGTAGCGGTGCCACTGCTCGAGCACGTCTCGGAGTCCGTGCGCGTCCCCGAACTGCACGTTTGGGTCCAGGAACGCGCCGAGGAAGCCCAGCTGCATCTGGAAACACTTGCGCACGTTGTCACCGCCAGCCTCAGGGTTGTGCAGCCCCTGCTCAAACACAACGTTGTACTGCTCCACGGCCTTGAGCACGGCCGCGTTCTGCGCGAGCTTGGAGCTCCAGAGCTTGGTCTCCAGCAGCTCGCGCAGGCCCTTGAGCGACTGCACGCTCTCGCGCAGGCTGTTGACATCCAGCTTGAGGTTGTACTCGGTCGAGCCCTTCTTGTCGCGGTAGCGGCGCTGGCTCACGCGGCACTGCTTGCGCCGGCGCTCGAGGCGCGCGGCTTCATCCGTGGGAGTGGGCTGCTGGGCCATCGGCGCGTGTCGTGGCGGGAACTCTCGGATGCGGGGTGCGGGGCAAAAGGTTTTATGAGGCGATGCATTTGTGGAGACCTAGCGGCGACAAGAGACGCGCGCCATACCGTTTCGTTCGCAGGAGGATGGTTTTGTAATTTACGCAAAATAATATGACGGAAGGTGGTACTATTAGACCCACCGTATCGGATCTTTAGCTTGATAAGCACCATATTTCGTCAGAATTGAAAATCATGATAACTTTTCGAAAAGCGAGTTAAAAGCTAAAATGGCTTTAAGTTTAGCTCGACAGGCCCCTGACTCACTGAACACATGAGTGTCATATTTTCCAACGACACCGCGGCTGCGGCCCAAGAGGATCGCAGCCAAACGGGGCAGTGCTTGGCTTTGCTTGCGAGCGTCAATCTGCGGTTACGAACCCCTGAGATGGGACGAGCTGGGCGTGCGAAGAGGGCCTGAGCTCTGCGTGGGTATGCAGCGGCACCTATTGCCGCCTGAAGGGCAGGTATGCATCTGTGCCATTAAACACTGCGGTTTGCAAAGGGGACAACTTGCCGCGCCATATTGACCAGCAGTCTCAAAGACGCGAGCTGTCCCAGTGACGATTTCGTTGCAGCGGCGCGCCGCATAGAGATGCAGTGCGGCACAATGTACCCATTTACACTCTTCAACGTGGTCAACGTGGTCAAGCGCGAATGCTCCGGGTTGGATACAGACCTCCAGCTAAGGGATTTCGCGACCACAGTCGTCTTCCAATCGTGCGGTGCCGCGCTGAGCCGATGGGGACGTTGTCAAGCTGAGCCGAGGCTGGATCAACAGACGGCGCTCAATTAACTGGTCTCCTCTCATCTTTCCAGTCGCCACCTCACATGGCACACGCTGCGACCGGACTTCAGCCGATACTACAGCGCGATGAACGTGGAGGTTTTCCATTCGGTCGGGATAAGCGCTGAACCCTTTGCTGAAATTGGCTTTGGTTGCAGCGATCTTCTACAGTTGCCAGCTCAAGGAGGCGGTATTGTATGAGTCGGTGGTGCTTACTGTACTCTCTGCTGTGCTATGCACCGCTTCCAGATGAGTTGGGCGTTATTTCGTCATCTGCAAAAGGGTCTCTATTACACCAGTTAATCGGTGGACGCAGGCTCCACTGGGTACACCTGCCGCACGTTGATGTTAATGCGTTGGGTGCTCAAATACGTGCGCACAGCCTCGTATTCCTCCCGGTCGTCCTCGCTCTGCAGAAGGGCGTCGAAGTCGTCGCTAGGCACGTCAAACGGGGTGGGCAGCACGCGGGCGACTCCGTGGTAGCACGTCCTAGACTCTCCACCCATAATAGCGATGTCGCCACTGCGCAGCAGGATCTCCAGCGGTAGCTCGTCCTTGGTGTGCCCACCCATGAGGAACACGCAGCGACTGCCGAGCGAGAGCGACACCACCGGATGATCCATCGTGTACTCGACGTCGTCCAGATGGCCGCCCATGGACGACTTACTCTTGTAGAAGTTAACGATCACAGCCTCGGCCGACAGCGACATACCGCACGCAGCAGCGCAGCGGGAGCCAAGCTGCTGCAGCAACTCGGGCACGGCGGAGAAGCTGTGCCTATAGTATTTCCGCGCGGTCCAGTCGTAGTGGTAGCCCGACGCCGCCCAGCACAACTTCGAGAGCAGCGGAGACGCCGCAGGATCCTTCGGGTGCGACCCGCGCGCCTTGCGCCAAATGTCTGTCTCTTGCTGGTTTTGCAGGTGCATGTTGGTAACATGCGGCTCCTCCGTAAACTCGGTCCTGCAGCCATGAAAGATGACGACCAGCATTAGCGGTCAGCACCCGCACTCGCAGCGGTCAAAACTCAGTGCACGCAATGATCGTCGCGTACAGGCAGGCGTGAGCGAATTGCAGCTGCGTCTTGGTGTCGATGGCATTGGGGATGACATAAAACCCGCGGTGCGAGGCCACAAAATCGTCAAAGGCCAATACCGGTCGCTCTTTGTCCTCCGGACCCCACTTCCAGGAGCCTACGCGCTGCACTTTCGCCTGCTGCTCCTTGCTGAGGTTGCGCGGGTCCACCAGCGCCTCGTCGTTCCGGAGATCCTCGTCCGTCGCGCGCTTCCAGCGCTTCTCGCTCGCCTTGTACGCCGCCGCCATCGCTCGCTTCGGCCGCTAGAGCATGTCGGTGCCGTAGAAATGCGCAAATAACAGCGGGTGTTATGATTTCAATTCTTTTAACCATGTATCACGTTAACCGTTCTTTTTCAGTTAGAGAAAATGGTCCTCGACAGCGGCTGGTTTCCAGCATTCGTACAAAAAATACATGTAAAATGCCGGCTGATTGATCACACTGAAATGCTGCACCCACCAGAAAGTAGCCTTGCGAGCGAGCTGGGTACCTGCCGTGGTATCTGCCGTGCTACTTTGAACAAGCCTGCCTACTACTACTAGGGTTGAGCAGATGAATATTCGCGCATACCCCACCTCAATTGTACTCGTCATGTTTGTGCAGTTCAGTGATGTTTCAGGTGGAAGAACAGCAGCATTTCACCTCGCACAGAAGAACTACAGTAATTTGCCTCAATAGCGAAGTCGTGGCATCGAATACCCTGCTGAAACGAGTATCTGTACACACCCCAAATCCAGCCAATGAGAGTTCAGCTAGCCTCTCCTATGCAATTATCTAAGAGAATGTATAAATGTAGCCATTGCGCTATTAAGGCAAATTACTGTATCGTGCTTTGGCGAATGAACCATAATGAACCATAAGTTATATTTTAATATGTAATATGTTCACACACGATACTGCGCAGCCAATTATTTTAATAATTATTATAATTTTAATAACCATAATGAACCATAAGTTATATTTTAATATGTAATATGTTCACACACGATACTGCGCAGCCAATTATTAAAATAATAAAATTATTATTATTATTATAATTATTTTAATAATTGGCTGCGCAGTATCGTGATTATTATTAAAATAATAAAATTATTATAAGTTTAATAATTATTTTAATAATTGGCTGCGCAGTATCGTGTGTGTGATCATATTACATATTAAAATATAACTTATGGTTCATTATGGTTCATTCGCCACACACGATACTGCGCAGCCAATTATTTTAATAATTGGCTAATTTTAATAATTGGCTGCGCAGTATCGTGTGTGTGAACATGTTGTCAACTGGGGTTCAGCCGGCAGCGGCCTATGCCGGACCCTCGGAAAATAGCGAGTCGTTATTTTCCGGGGGTCGCTATTAGCGAGTCATTCCGGCTTAACCCATGTAAAGTACCCTTGACAGGCTCATCCCGAGCACTGCTTGCGTTGCCTCTACAGCTCGTGCCGAAGGTATCTTACGTGGAGCAACACAGACTCGTAAAATTGCCGTCCTTGGTTGAAGAGGAAACGCATGGTCTTATATTAATCGGCACCGCTCTTCTTCTCACTCTTTTCTAGGAAGTTCGGAGCTCTTCGCGGCAACCTCGATTCAATTTACGCATACTTAACAACGACCAGCAAACACCAACAAAACACCTTTCCAACTAGACTTCTATAGCAGTAGCAAAGCCGAAACCGACACGGCGACCACCGCCAGGCTGGAGATGGCTACCTCTGCTGCTCCACTTGTGCCGCTACCGCTAGGGTCTTCGGACGAGGACTTGGAGGCAGTCGGGAGTGACGGGCATGGAGCTACCGTCGCGGTCTTCAATGAAGGGCAAGGCGCCGACACCGACCCATCCGACGAAGTTGATGCCGTCTGCAATGACGGACACGGGCTCTTGCCGGTCGCACTGCTGCTGCCGCTGCTGTATTCTGTTTCGCCGCTGGAGCTGCTGGAGAGCGCAGGCTGCGGCAATGACGGACATGGTGTTTTTGCTGGCGTCGCAGTAGCAGGCGCAGCCGTCGTTGCGTCCGGCACAGCTGGGGCCGCCGGAGCTTCTGTCGCTACTGGAGGCTCCGTCGCTGCTGGGGCGTCTGTGGCGATGTCCGTCGTCGTGGAACCGGCCGCGCTTGTGGTCTGCGGTAGCGATGGACACGGTGTCTTGCCTGTGTCGGCGTCGGACGCCACCACGCCGGCATTCCCAGCGGCCGACAGATCCGTGTTGCCGAAGGTGATGGAGTTGGTGTCCACGGCGCCAACGCTCGCTGACAGCACCACGCAGGTCGTCAGGATCATCGCGAGCTTCGTCACGCGCATTCTCCGCTGCTTGATACGGTCCTGTGCGGCGTCAAGTCAGTCAGCTCCGCTGCGGAGATTGTCGAGTGGGCAGCCCCGCCGCTGGGGCGGGGCGGGCGTGGCGCCAGACATCCGTGTGGTCGGGCACCTGTTGCATTCACAAAGGCAGTGGAAACTGGGAAGCGCGAAAGCAGCTGGCGGGCGAAAGTCGCTGTGTCTGCCACTGGCAGACACCAGGCAGACTGCCAGACACTGTCTGGTGGGCTGGTAACCAGTGGTGGGTGTTCTATTTAACGCGTAACTGATAACATGACGGTGGTGTCGTGATGAACAGGCCTCCCTAATTGGGGGAAATCCTGCATTCCCCCAATTAGATTAATAGGGGGACGACTTGAGGATTTAAAATGGGTATGGTGGGGGACGATAGTGAAAGTAAGATAAATATCTTAGGGATTGGCATAGCCGGTGCTAATTTGGATTCAACCTACGATATTCAAAGTGTTACGGTTCATCCGCATACGAATTAGCTAGAAACGAATGTCTGCGAAAGAATTATATATCACTAATCGTGATAAAAGTTTTGACTAGCTCTGTAACTTTGCTTGATCGGTAGGGCTTACATATTTATATTGGCACCTGTTTACTTAAATTAAGTATGTAATTTATTATTGCCGTTTGCAGATATTTTGGCCAACGCATGCATATTATCTCGTTAATAATCTCGGTTTTAATCCAGTCAGCTCTTAATTAATACCTAGGTCCGATTATATATATCGCCAGCTTGAGGCTCTGCTTTCCCGACCAAAACGCTTTTCTGCGGCTTGGAAACGCAGAAATGCCATTCTAGACAGGCCAAACCGAGTTTCTGGGCCTAAAAGCGGCCTCCACCAAAGCACAAAGCTAAAGCAGCCCTCGCCTATCTCGTGTCCACTCATATTAAGAGACTGGCGTGGTCTATTTTAGAGGTCTATTTTAGAGGGCAAAGCATTTGCAAGCGGCAATAACATAGCCTATGATAAAACTGCTCCTAAACTTGCATTCTTCTGTAGCATCGCCTACAGACCAACGGCCTCTTCCAGTTCGCGGTCAGCTCGCCGTCCGTTTGGGCTTAAATGCTACTTGCCAATACCACCAATTACGGAAATTTGACAATATTTGTGATGAGTGGGGATGGTTTGGGGGTCGACCCATTACCGGAGATCCACGCTTCCACCTGGGTATGTTCCTGTTTGTTTGGGGTCTGAGTGAGCTCGATGCTTATCAAGCCACATAATTATCTGAAAATAGCTTGCCAACATGAATTCACCTCAGAACCATAGTATTTTTGTGGGGGATGGGAACGGGTCTTAACAGGGGTATAGTGGGGGAAATGGTCCCCATTTCCCCCAATTAGGGAGGCCTGGTGATGAATGTCCCGCACTGCACCACCGCCAACACTCCCACCTCGAGAGCGTTTTGCCACGTTCTGTTGACGAGAAACAATGGTGCATTGCGCTTTATGTCTCGGTGGATGCTCAGCCAGAGGTCACCGGCTATGACAACTTTGATCCTAAGACCGAAAACCGCAACTTGTGAGTGTCGGACTGTGGAGCGCCTTCAACTTTGTGAAACGGAGACCGTGACCCGCAAAAGTGTTGGCAACACCGCTTGAGGACGCAACAATATCCTAGGATGGTGATGCAGAAGCTGATCGGTCTGAACCTCAGCCCGGCCTCGCCGCGCCGACGACGTAGGGACAAGAATGGTTGATTAGCTTTAAATGGCGCCGGCGATCTCTCTTCCTGCATCGACGAGCTCTACTGCACTTCTGTCTGCAGTCATGAAATCTCGGAACAATTGACGCACATACATGGACGGCACGAGACTTCTAGTTAGTGAGTCGCTGACCGGATAGCAGCTCTATAGGAGCAGGTAGACGGCCGAGACGGCCACCGCTGTCATGGCGGGCGCGATGCGGCCGGCGGCATCGGAGCTCTGCACGGCTGCACTGTCCGAGCTCTGCTGCTTTTGAACAGGATTGTCCGCAGCGCTGGCGGACGGATCCTTCGGCTGCGGCAATGACGGGCACGGCGTCTTGGGCTGCGGGAGCGACGGGCACGGAGTCTTGGTGCTGTTGTCGTCCGGCTGCGGCAGCGTGGGGCACGGGGTCCTTGCCGAGGACGTCGATCCATCTTCATCGTCAATGGAAGTTGCTGAAGACGACGAGCCTGCGATAGGAGGCAGAGTGCACGGTGTTTTGCCGCTGCCAGTACTGGTGGTCACGTCGCCGCCTTGGTCTTCCGTTGTGCTAGATTCCTCCGTCTCATCAACGCTGCCCTGATCTTCCGTCGTGCCAGTCTCCTCGGTCTCATCGTCGCCTGTCGGAATGGTTGGCTCGGGGGTCACAGACTCATCCACCGAGCTTTCCGTCGACGTGTCGGTCGTGGTGGTGTCCGTCGTGGTAGACTCCTCCGTCTCATCGTCACCTGTCGGAATGGTTGGCTCGGGGGTCACAGAATCATCCACCGAGGTTTCCGTCGACGTGTCGGTCGACGCATCTGTCGTGGTCTCTGTTGTTTCGTCAGTAGTTCCTCTAGCGGCCGGAGTGGCTTGCGGCAGCGATGGGCACGGGGTCTTGACAGGCGTAGTTTCTTCGCTTGTCGGCGTGGTTTCTTCGCTTGTCGGCGTGCTCGGAGCCGGGGTCACCTCGGCCGCTGGAGCGACAGGTGCAGGCGTTTCCTTGACCGCGGGCGTCGCCGGAGTCTCCTCAGCGACGGGCGTGGTAGCCGCTGGCGCTGTTGCCGGTGTCGTGTCGGTCTGCTGCACCGAGTCGGCCGTGTACGCGTCCGGGTTGGTTTCCGTTTGCTCCACAGTCTCGGTGGAAGTGTCGTCTGCAAAGGTCGGCGCTGGCGTCGCAGCCGTGTTGAGCCCCTTCTTGCTGGTCACCGCCGTGTTTTCCAGCGCGGTGTCCGCCTTGGAGATCGTCTCCGTTTGCTCCACCGTTTGGGTGCCGCCCTCGCCGAACGTCGGAGCGGGGGTGGCCGCCGTCTCAAGACCCTTCTTGCTGGTCACCGACTTGTTCTCGAGTGACACATCGGCAGGCATGACGACTCCGACGGAGTCGCTCTCGCCGGCGACTTTCGAGTCCTGGAAGGAGAACGCTGCCGAGGTCGATACAGCAGCCGAGGCCACGGCCATCACAAGCGCCAGCTTCATCGGAGCGCGCATGATCCTAATAAATGGTTCGGTGGATTTCCTGCACGTAAAGTCGAGAGTACGGACACCAAGCCGGCAGATCTGCGAATGTCCAGGGCTGCGGGCACTGGTCTGAGGCTGGGCACACAACCGGATGGTGAAGGGGGAGACACTTCCGCTGATCACTGTACGCACCATTAATCGGCCTCGATTTGACGAGAGGCGGAATATTTAGCGTTTGCAGGCGAATGGACCAGTGAAACTTTTCGGTTCGCACTGCTTGGCGACTTTGGTGCATGTGCATGTTGCAGCGAGCTTTGCCACCATTATCGTCCGTCGAAACGAAGCAAATATTCGTGCCCGCCACAGAAAGCCGCAGCGAACCCATGTCTCGCGACATTGTGAGCAGGGCTCCAACACGAAGCCACACCGAGCTGTAAAAGTTGTGCGGCTGGCGCCCGAGGCATGTAGAAAAAGTAAGTGTAACGTTAGTTCAATTCCCGCAGATCAAGCGAAGACAGAAACGCAGTGTTCAGAGGCCCGCCAAAAGTATTATCTAAAGAAAAAAATATCTAAACGGTGTGGTCTCGCTAAAGCAGTTTGACAATGAATTGAGTACCTGTACCTTAGCTGTGCAAAAAGGAATGAAACGGTTAGTTATTTGGGGCCAGGCTAGGCTAGTGCCGTCTGTCTTGGCCTGCAGCTGCAATGGGGCCCAAGAAGAAGTGCGTGCATGCGAGCGCGGTGGCCTTCGTTGTATCTGCTGGTTTAATTGACTGGCACCCCACAAATTGCTTCCACTGATACAGAACCAAGAAGGCTGGAGCCTCGGCAGCGAACACGAATGCTGCCATCGCGACGAATGAATATCCTTTCACCACTGCTGAATATTCATCTGTGTATAGTTTATCGATTGATATCTGGAACGTTAGATGCCTTGACCGTGCTTGGTTCTTTTTCGTTTGCACGGACGAGCTTCGTAAGCGTGTTGAGGAGGCGGAGGCCCAACTACGCGAGGAGGCCAAGATCATCGAGCGTATGACCCGCGACAACAAAAGTAAGCAGGACCAGATCAACGCCATGGAGAATTTGCTGCAGCGGGAGGCCGAAAAACACCAGGAAACACTTCGGCTGCTGGAAGACGAACACGCGACGCAGAAACAGCAAGCTGAGCATGAGATCGACGTACTGCGTCGTCAGGTTTGCCAGCTAGAGCTGCATGTAGAAGCCTATGATGTGCTAGAAGCTGCGAATGTCAAGCTGCGTGATCGCGTGGAAGAGCTGATGCAAGAGATGGAGCAAGAGAACAAGACTCATGCCGAGGAAATTCACAAAGTGCGGCTCGACATGTTCAACCACAAAATGGCGCTGGAAAAGGTCAGCCATAGACAGCTTTCTGCGATACGTATACTCTATCTAAGCTTTTGATTTGTGTAGACGTTCCGCAAAGCCCTTCAAGAGCTTGATGCAGACTACCTCAAGAAGGCATTCAATGCCATGTCGGAAGAAAGCAAAGTACGCTAGGCGGACGTTCTTGCGATTTTTCTCTTTATCCATCCTTTGACCTACATTGAGTTGTGTCTATGTAGAACGCACTGGTGGCAAATGCCAAGTTGAAGGACGAACTACAATTACAGAGCATCGGCGTGGACAATTTGATGCACCGGTTCACGCAGCAGGCAAAGCATTTCCAGAGAATGGTACGCTTTTAGTATCTTTCCTCGTCGGCGTTAAATGTTATTGACGGAAGTTGTGTTCGTATTGATATCGTACTCGCAGAAAGTAGAGAACGAGATTCTGGAGCAGGAAAGCCACCTTCGACTGCGAGAGGTGGCCACGATGAAGAAGATGCATCTAACTGCTGCTCGAACAATCGATAAACTGAAGGAAGATGTGAGTAAAGAGGAACAAGAGTGGAAAGAGCATACGAACAAAGTCATCGAAGACCTTCGTCACGACAACCAGCACCTTCAAAAACTCCACGAACTCACACAGGTATATATTCGCTGTCATCACTAGCGTGCTTTGTAGTGATCACCTAACGCACCCGCATTTCCTTTTCTCAACTTTCGTAGAAACGCTGCAACAAGTGGAAGTCTAGATACATGGAACCCACCGAACGCGAGGCCAACCGAAGAATGGATGAGCAGCGGGTCAAGACTGCACCTACTGCAGCCACCGCACTGTCGTCCATGATTCGTGCACACAGTCAACCAGTATTTTCCCCGCACGTGATACCAACAGCGATCTTTCCCGACAGAGAGCAGAACCCCTCGATCAACTACGACGAAATGTGGAGCCACAGTTTTGCACTGAAAACCAACCAGCAACACGATCATCCTCTCGGGGGCAACGAAAAGCATGGCAAGAAGAAGATCAAGCAAGGCAAAGTCGCCTTTCAGCCAACGGATGATGGTGCTACTACTGAGCAATCGATGGAGCAACTGAGTCGTATCGCCAGCACCCAACTAGGCATGGCCTCAACCCGATCTGCCAGCATCTCAACCACTCGGAGAAAAACGCATCGCCTCCCCCAAACTGTCATTCCCCGCAAAGGACAGAGCGTCGATGCATTCAACTTCTCCGGTTAGTATGGCTACTATAATACTCAACATCAAGAAATGAATGGCCGGCTCCAAAGCCAGTAGCGCTACGCTTTCACTGCAATTTGAAGTCAAAAACCGAACATCTGAATTGGCAGCAGAATGGCCGAGAATAGGTCCCGGGTAAATTAACTGTAAGTTGTGCGCTGCTTTCAACGCTCAAAAATACCTCAATTTCGACCGCATGAGGAAGGTGGAATGAGGTCACCGGACGCAGCGTTCATCCGCGCCCGGGCCAAGGCACCATTGCCCGATCTTCTGGCGCTGCACCTGTCCGACTCAGACATCGAGTGCATCAAGCATCTAGAACTGTGTAAAAGCCTTCGATCTCTCTACTCGGACAGCAACCAAATTAAAGACATCGAAGGCATTATCGAGCTGCGGAAGCTGTGGCGAATTGATTTCAATGGAAACCTGCTTAAGAACCTCCACCCGCTAGCGTCTTTTCGGGCATTGGGCTTTGTGCATCTTGAGCGAAATCGAATTTCCTTTGAAGATTTGGTGTGTATTCGAGACGTGCATTTGCTGGAGGTGCGCTTGGTTGGGAACGCCGCTCTGTTCAAAGACAACACGGTTGATGAGTATCGAAAGAAGGTGGTGGCGCTGCTACCAAATGCGTGGGTTTTGGATGGTCACTTCATCTCGACAGCTGAGAGAAGACAAGCGGTTGAGGAATACGACGAGTTTGTTACTGCGCTACTCGAACTTTCCAAGAGATCAGTTGCAAAGGGAAGCAAGTTTGGCTCGGCGTCGGATGTGTGGGTGGAATCTGAAGCCACTGCGAATAACTCAGTTGAATTGAACTGCAGTGCAAACTTGATCGATATAGCTCACAAGATATCTCCACCAGAAGAACTCCCGGATCTTAGGAGACTTCAGGCAGTGGTTTCATTCCACAATGCTGAAAGCGCCATCCACAATACCCACAGTCACTTTGCGCCTTCTCGACATGCTCCAAACGCGCGATTAATGCCAAAGATCTGGATGGACGAGATTCTAGCACTCCCGCGACGTACAAGACTCGAAGTGATCGTCCTTATTGCTACATTCCTCGAGTTTCGCTATCCTCAAGTACTGTTGTCAGAAGCATTGACAATACGCCAGCTCGACAGTCCACATTTCCCGTCAGATGCCAGCCGAGATACTGCCAATCTTCCCACGTACGCAATGGTAGCGCTTATTGCTCTCGCTCGGCAGTTTTCACGTGAAGAAGAACGAGCAATACGAGAAAATTTACGACCAGAAGCTGCAACGCAACAATTTCAAGACGAAAGCGAGATGTTGGCTGCTATCCCGCCGCTGTTTGAAACTCTTCTCAGCTCGAAAGGAGCTACTACGAATGCTGTCGATGACTCAAAACTGCAAGCCACAGCATTGCGGTGTCGTCGAGCTATTAAACTTCTCGCCAATGTTGCCTCTTTCCCCGATCCACACGTTGTGGGCTTCAAGGGGAAAGGCAAACGCGAAGCGGTGATCCGTGAGATGATGCCACTTATTCGTGCTGCCGAATCTGCACCGTCCAGCTCTGCTACTGGGCATGAAGTCGTGGTGCCAAGACCGACTAAATCCCCGGTACTGGACCACTCCTCGCAAAAGGTGTGGAAACGAAACAGGATTGTGCAAAATACTGAAATGCACAGCAAGTCAGCTGCGCTACCTGGAGAAGACCCCAACGTCCGCCTGAACGATGTAAGTTTGGATCAAGCGAGAGCAACGGGTAGCGCAACCAGCAGAAAGCCAAAACCAGGAGATTGGGTGGAAGTCTATCTGAAGCAGTTCGTGCGGATTCAGTTTTTGTCTGCCGATGGACTGTTTGTCGTAGGAGCGCTGCCCACGGACGCGTCTCGGACGATCACAATTTCGGCCGAGCAAATGTCACGGATCTCCAGCACCGTGTGGCGTGTCAAATACCTCACCAAGCAGCAATCTGGAGAGTTATTTACAAGTGCTCAACACTCTCTGGCCGAAGGTACCGCAATGAACAGCACAAGAATCGGCAAACTTCACCGCGACAGTGAGGCGTTCCATCGGCACGGCGCAGCTCGCAACCAGGGGTTCCCTAACCATTTCGTGACGAGTCAGGTGCTGCAAGACCTGGATCAGGAGCAAAGCAACTCTACATCATTGACCAGCCAGACGAAGGCAATTGAGATCTTCAGCTCCAACGACACACTCGACGCCAACTACGTACTCACGTCGCCTGAGCACATTTCGGCGCAAAATTACTGCGCAGCCAGCTTGTTCCAGCAGAAGCGCCTTACTCCGATGGGTCTCTGGAGTCCCGTGAAGCAACCAGCTCCGTACAGTGTTCTAGGTGGGGATTCGCTCGACAGATCTTCGTCTCTCAAAGAGCTGAAGACTCGGAAACCGCGAGCTGCGTACGCAGCGCCACCTCAGCAGCCAGACGATTGGATTGAGATCCGACGAGAGATGCAGGCTCAGCTGGGCATTGTAGATCCAGCAGACCAGTTTGGAGCTACTAATGCCCGGCCAATGACGGGCTGCAGCTCGCGCTACTCTGACTCGGACTTGATGATCCACACCGATGTCTCGACCTTCCTGACGGACTCAAACGATATCACTGCACGCCCAATCACGGGCCAAGGCGCTCAAGAGTCCTGCGGCAAACTCGACCGCAGTCTACTGAAGACCCCGCCCCAGAAGCTCACGATCGGCGGTGGTGCCAAGCTCGCGGCCGCGCGCGGGTGGCACCAGGTGGCCACCAAGACCCAATTCGTCGTGGCCGCCCCGCTCAACGTCTCACGCAGCGCTCCACTGCTGCGGCACATTCCTCCAGCGGTCAGCACTGCAACGCCCGCGCCAAAGTTGAAGCTGGCCATTCTACCATCACTCTGCCCTCCAGCGGCTCCTAAACCATGAATGATACCCTTTTATAATACCCTTTTTCCTTACAAAGCCCGAGTAGTTAGGCTTTGGACCAAACAATGCGAAAGATAAAATAAGACCGTCCCGTTTCTATGGCGAGGCAGCTAAAAGCGCAGCCAATCAGCGCGAAGGCCCATCCCCTCGATGTTGAAGTCGCGCCTCTTGATCTGCGCGTCCTCACTCCCCAACAAGCCAACAACACCCCAAGCAGCCTCAGCCTCAGCTAGAGCAAGAGCCCTCCGCGCACGATGGCAACGATGTCCATGATGGTCGACAGCGACAGCGTGCTGATGGGCTCGATCCCGCGCCTGCGCTGGAGCCCCAAGAACAACCGCTTCCACTACAACATGCCCGTGGCGGCCGAGCCGGGCGCCGACGGCTTCGTGCTGCTGCAGGAGTTCGAGCACGCGGACTCGCTCAGCGCGTGGAAGCTGCCGGCCAAGGAGCGCCACCACCTGGAGGAGATGGAGCGCGTCAACCACCTCATCCACGACGTGGAGAACTCGATGCATCTGCGCGAGACCGTCAAGGTGCTCGAGCAGAAGCGCATGCACCACGAGGAGTACCACGAGCGCGCGGTCAACGACGAGGAGGAGCGGCCGCAGGGCCTGCGAAAGAAGGACAGCTTCCGCCAGCGCCAGCCGCCCAAGCGATCGTTCGAGGGCCGACGACAGAAGCCCACACGCATGGGCCGCGTGCACCAGCCCAAGTAAGCGGCAGCATCAGGTCGTGCGTGCAAGCATGCCTGCTGTGATTGCGAGAGATTGATGAAAACTTAAAAAGAAGACGATACGTCGGGCGTCTACTTCTGCGTCAAGCTGTAAACTATCAGGAGCCGACAGAAGTTGCCCGAAACAATATGTTTTCCATACCAGTGTGTTTTGGGCGGCGGCGTTGCTGGGAATAGGCCGCATCCATCTAAATTGAACGCAGGCTGCAACACCTTCAAGCCGTATCTGCCCACAATCCATGCGCTCGTCCAGAGCAATGAGCTACGCGTGAATCTCCATGTAGCAGCAAAACTTTCATGTGTGGATTGGAATCACACAGGTAAACTTTCGTAGCTACCATATACACTTCGCGCAAGATGGCACATCTTCCGTCCTTGGCGCCCTGAACCAAAACGCTATGAACTGTAAGCTAAACTTTTCTTTTCATTCTTGAGTTAATTGTTCTTGTGCCTAAACTTGCGGTAGTTAACCTGGTGCTACATGAAGCATGAACAATGCGCTCTGCCGTCGAGTACAGCAAAGCTGCGAATGAAGACTCGTTGCTTCACACTTTCATTGTTTTAGAAGCGGTTGAAGCCACCTCCAAAGCCGTTGCCAGCACCCATCGGTGCACCGCCTCCAAAGCCTGCGCCCGCTCCACCGGCACCAACCTGGCCAAAGTTCCCCAGTGCACCTTGGCCACTGATCCCACCAAACGCGTTTCCGCCTTGCGCTCCGCCGAAGCCCATCTGCTGCCCGCCCATTGCATTTCCGCTGAATGTGCCGCCATTCATTCCAGCTCCAGCACCGCCAAGCATCCCGCCGCTACGACCGCCCATCGGGTTCCCAGCCCCAAAAACTCCAGCAAGGCCGCCGTCCATGCGATTGCCAGCGCCAATGCCGCCGCCAGGACCGGTCATAGGACCGCCAGCGCCGAAGCCGCCCATCGGATTGCCACCGAAGGCACCAATGGGTCCAGGAGGCCCGCCCGCATTGGGACCGGTTGCGCCTGCTGGCGGCGACAATGCACCGGGTTGTTGAGCTGCAGGCGCAGTCGCACCGGCAAAGCTAGTTGGTGCTGGTGTGGCTCTCGCCCTGCCGGGTACCGTGGCAGCAGGGGTTGCTGCAGGGCGTCCGCGCGTAGTAGTCGGGGCAGGAGTGGCAGGTGCAGCACCCGGTGCATTGGGGGATCCGGGAGCACCAGGGGCGCCAGGGGCCCCAGGGGCGCCGGGTGCTCCAGGCGCAACCACAGCAGTGTTGGAGCTGGCCACCACCGTCGACGGAACACTGACCGGGACAGGGATGTACTGCGGCACTTCCACGGGGACGGGAATGGCGATCTTCTTGACTTTCTTCACGTGGTGGTGGTGATGGTCGTGGTGGTTCCAGTCTTCGTCATCTTCGGTTGCTGGCGCATCGGCAGTCTGTTGAAGGCGGCGGGGCTCGGGTGTATTGGAAGAAGCTTGCGCTCCATCGGTGACTAGAACACTCAGCGCAAGGAAGGCGGCAATGGTGGCAGCAGTCTTCATAGTCGGTAGAAGCGTCAGTAGTAAAGTTTTCTGCTGTGTTGCCTTCAAATTGGAAAATGGCCTGAGAGTTTGTAGAGAAGGAATAGAGTCCTCACATCCCGTCGTTGATGGAGAAATTAGCCCATGTGACTTGAGAGAATTTCATTCTAACCATCTATCTCGTCAGTCCTTCAGGGCTACACCTTTCAACTAAAAGACGAGGTTAAGATGCGCGTTTGGTACTAGGCAGTCTGCCTCGAGCCCCTTGAGTAGCTTCACGTCCACGCCCGCGTCCTGAAGTAGTTTTACCCCCTCGCAGATGACGAAAGTCTTGGGCTCCATGACACCGATGACCACGCGCGCGACGCCCGCGCGAAGGCAGCTCTGTACACACGGGACGTTGCCAGACACGCGCTTGCTGCAGGGCTCCATGGTCGTGTAGACGGTGGCTCCCTGCGCCTCGAAGTTGAGCTTGTGCAGCGCCACCTGCTCCGCGTGCGTGTTGCCCGGCAGCTCGCGCGAGAACCCGGCGCTCAGCACCTTGCCATCGCGCGCCACGACGCAGCCCACGCAGTAGGCGTTCTCCGACGGCTGCGAACGATGTGCCTCTGCGATCGCCAGGCGCATGAACGCCACGTCCGACTCGTCCTGCTGCGCCATCTTGGTTTGACCTTGGTTTGATTTGAGTATACCAAACGACAAATATCGCAATAGAAAGTTTAGGTTAAAAATGTTTGATAACCAGTGTGCTGCCTAAGAACAACTTCAAGACTGATGGACGAAACTTCATGGCATTGACCGTACTGCTAAGTTAACAAGACTACGTGGAGGAACGATACTCTTATATATTTGATATGTTTCGGGGGCCCTTGTAGGCTATTGAAGGCGGACAATAGAGACGATCTACCAGCGACAAGAGCTGCCGAGTTTTTCGTTTTCGCATCGTGAGCACCATCTTTCCACTTCAAGGCGTGGTCGCGACCGCAGCCAGCACCTTGCGGCTGGTCAGCTCGTCCAGCACGTGGACGACGGCGCGCTCCATAAGGTCGGCGTTTGCCTTCTGCGTGGCCTTGAAGGCCTCGAGCGTGAGCGGGTCGCCGATGCCGTTGGCCAGGTTGTCCACGATGGAGAACATGGCGAAGGGCACGCGCAGCTCGTTGAGCAGCTCGGCCTCGTTGGCGCCCGTCATGCCGATGAGCTGGCCGAACTGCGCGAAGAAGCGCACCTCGGACTTGGTCTCGAAGCGCGGGCCCGCCGTCTGCACGTAGACGCCGCCGTCGTGCGGGTCGAAGCCACCGCCTTGCAGCGCCTGCACGATCGCCGTCTTGAGCTTCGGGTGGAGCTCGGGCACCACGTGCGCGTCGTAGTCCTTGGACAGGTGCATGATGTCGAAGGGGCTGAAGAAGTCCTCGGGCACCACGAAGCGGCCCACGCCGATCTGCGCCGTCATGGAGCCGACCGAGTAGATGCCCACCACGGCCTCACAGCGTAGCGTCTTTAGCGCCATGGCGATGGCGCGGAAGTTGATCTGGCGCGGCTGGCGGTACTCGCCGTCCGGGTCGGCGTGGTGACGCTGCACGAACACGAGCTGCAGCGAGGGCGCCGCCTCGTCCTGCGGCTGCTCGGCACTGCTGCTGCTGTCGGTGGTGGAAGCGTGTGGCTGCCAGGTGCCCAAATGGCACACGACGGCGCCGAACTCGGTCTCCACGACCTGCTCCACCAGGTTGGACGAGAAGCTCTTGGCGTGGAAGAGGCTGGAGCCGCCGATCACGCCCAGGACGTGCGTGCGGGAGATCATTGCGGGTCGAGTCGAGTGCTACCGGTAGATAGTAGCCACGTGCGTCTTCTTGGTCAAGTTGGCAAGTGAGCCCAAGGACGATCGAAGGATTGTATGGGCGCAAGCCTGTATGGGCTGGACGGACTGCTGCCACACTCCGTCCACCGATCGCTGTTAAATGCGAGAGAACAGCCAATAGATGACGAGTAGAACACATTTATGTCACAGAATCGTGGCAGACAACGATTCAAGCTCCCACCGTCATCATGCTCAACCGACATCGATGCCACGCAGGACGCGGCAGCGACTGGCTGTCTCCATGCATGACGATACAGTAGGTCGCACGCGCAAGGAGAATGGGAAATGGGTGGTTGCTATTGCTCAATCGTTCTCTGTGTCAAACTCGCTATCTCGCACGTCGTCTTCGAACTGGTCCGACGCATAGCTCATGACGGTTCCGGGCCGCGATTCCGGCGGCATCACCGCCTCCTCATCAGCAGCAGTACCGCTAGCTTCATCAATTGCTGCTGCCTCATTGTTGTCTCCTTCGTCCTCGTCGGTCTCTGGAACGCCATCAACCGACTGCTGCTGCTTTTCGGCTCGAACACGGTCCACCTTGAGCCGAGCTTGTTTCTGTCGAGTGGCGCATTGGATCCGCAGCGCTGACGCCTCCATGTTGTCGGTATGCTTCTTCTCGTCTCTCACGTGGTCCACCTTGACGCGCGCTTGTTTCTGCCGTGCCGCGCACTGGATCCGCAGCGCCGACGCCTCCATCGTATCGGCCTTCTTCTTCTCAGCCCGCACGTGGTTGACCTTGCCGCGTGCTTGCTGCTGACGCGCTGCACATTGAATCTTCAGCGCAGAAGCTTCCAGAGAATCCAGATCCCGAGACTTGTCGGGAGGTGAAGCCGATCTCGATGTCGGTTCCTCTGCGGCCGGTTCCTTAACAACCTCAGGCCGATCGTGACGATCCTCGTAGTCGTCGTCCGAACCCTGCAAGAGCAAATCAAGCGCGTTTGCTTGCTTTCTATTCTGCTCCTCAGCTGCTTCGGGGCCATCCACTGGTCCACACGTCATGTCCTTGCGAGATTGCGGTGGTGTCGGTGGAGCTGCTTTCGTACCGGTACCCATCATGCGGTCAAGCTGCTGCAGCATGAGGTTGCAGAGAGCTCGGTACTGACCGGTTTGAAACGCCACCAACGCTTGTTCTCCAAAATCTTGACGCAAGTCCTCGGTGTCCACTGACATCTGCGACTCCACGGAGCTCATGGGCTCGTAGATTTTGATCATCAGTCGACGGTCGTCAGGCTCATCGGCAGACTCTCCTTCCTGCTGCTGCTGCTGCGATCTCTCCTTCTCCTGCTGAAGGAAGAAGGACACGAAGTACACTACGCCACGATACGTCCACGGGCTGGTGCGCAGGAGCGCGTTGCTCTCTCCACCGCTGTGGAGGCTGGTGACAGTGAAGTTGGTTTTGCGGTTGCTGGTGGCGGGACTCTCACTTCGTCGTGATGAAGCGCGCGAGCTTGCCTGGGGTGTGGTCATCATGACAGGCTGGTTCTCGTTGATGAAAAGAACCTCAGCGTTGCCGATGCTCACACGTTTGTTGCTCCTTGAACGTGATAACGGTGGCAACAGACCATCGTTGTCTTCTCTAGCGCCCCACGACGTAGGGCTGTCCTTACTTGGCTGTGGACTTGCTGCTGCGTCGACTTCCAGCTCAGATAGCAACTCGAGGCGGTCTTCATCGCCACCAGCATCAAGTCCACTGCTTGTGTGTAATCCAAGGCGCTCGTAGTCCTGCTGTTGCGCGGCCCGCAGAACTGAGAAGACCCAGGCGCACATGCTACTGGCGGCACAGGAAAACTGAGCAAGAAACTTGGGCTGGAAATGCTCGTTTTGCAGGAACGGCACAAGCGCCTTCCACTTGAAACCTGGCACCCCCGTCACGTCAAACGCCTGTACACGCTGGATTAGCCTCTTGCCATGCCGCAGCATTTTCTGGCATGAACGCCACGACAAGTCCTTTGGAAGCTGGTCCGCGGGGCTGAGAAGGATGAGAACACTTGCAGCAACCAGTGTAACCATGTGATGGGGAGGCGCGTCCAACGCCCCAAGCGCCTCAAAATCAGCGACGCCAGCTGCAAACTCCTCTCCGCTCCAGCGTGTACGAAGCATCTTGCTCCGATTGTTATCACTGCGTGCGTAGTCCTCCTCCTCCCCTCCGCTGTGATATACATTTTCCATGAGTTCTCGAAGATTCTTTGGGGGAGACTGCGGTAGCGAAGGCAGCACTCCTCTCCTCTTCATCATTTTTGACGAGTCTTGGACGTACGTAGGACCCGATAACGATTCCAGGGGCATCGACAGCAGCTCAAGTTGCTTCTCTGCTCGCTTTTGCCAAGTCACCTTTTGCTGCTGCTCTTTCGTGCGAAGCGAAGACGAAGACGGCGAGTTATTCCCATAGACAGAGCGAGTTGGAGACGTTGATCCAGGTGCTGCCGGATCTTGCAAGTTGAACAGACACCACACCAAATACTTCTCAGCATCTGCAACTCGCTGAATGGGGTCCTCTTTGCTTGTAAACAAGCGTAAGCTTTGCCATGGCTTCTCACGCACTCCTTGGAAGTTTCGTTCGGGGGTCGGCGCAGGCATCATAAAGGGGTTCTGCTTCATCGTCGATGGATTAACGCCCAAAACCGACCCAAGCGTTTTGATAGTGCTCAAAAAGTTTAAATCTGAGAACATCTTGACGCAGTAGTTGTGGTTCTCGAAACGAAACGGAGCTAGCGGCACCATCGGCGCAAGCCGCACACGTAATTCATGCCATCGCAAAATACTTTCCATCACAAGCACGCCCACGTCACGCAACTGCAGCAGCAAGTGAAGCACTTCGGTGCCCTTAGACACATCAAATACGGGTTCCTTCGGAGGAAGATGTGGTTGCAGCAACGACTGCGGTGGGGTAGCCGCCTTGATCAAGTCGTACAGCTTTGCCAGCAAACCTTCCCTCAACATCGTATTTTTCAGCAGCGTGCGTTCCTCTTCGCACTGAGCTGAGCCGACCTCAGCGATACCGGGGGTCGTGGCGGTTGTCGTAGTATTGGAAAAGCTGGTTGATCGAGGAAAGTATCCTCCTTTCATAACTGCGTTCCTTGCGGGAGACTTGCTCGCCCCAGCTCCACTACTCGTATCGATTGGATTCATCTGCTCTTGCCTCTGTCGAAGCTCTTCGGAGTATGCCAGTGTCTGCTTGTAGTCTTTACTATTCGCCTGCAGCAAGTACTCAGCCGGATACGATGTATTCCACCCCATTTCACGCCATTTGTGCTCGTTTGGACTATCAAACTCCCAACTCTCACGAGCAACGTGTTGCGGTCGGCATTCCTTGGGCTTATGGAGCGGAGTAATCTGACTTGGATACGAGCCCGGGCCACTTGGGAATAGCGCTTGGCGGACAACCGCAGATGGCGCGTTGAGTGGGTAGTCAGACACCTTGTTTTTCCTGCCGCCCCGTTTTCGAGGCAACTCCATTGGTGCGCGAGGGAATGACGGGGGTGCGAGCCGGGCCACGCTACGAGAAGTCTCTGGAAGCAACAATTCTTCCAATAAAGCGTCGTCAAGTCCCGGCGGATGGGCCCACTGCATCCACAGGATGTCGTCGGCAACAGGTTAAAACGAACGCCAGTCGGTCTTTCTGGTTATCTCGTCGATTGTGGCGCCTTCAGATGCTTCAGGCGATAGTCGTGCAAGAACTCCCTCTGATGTTACACGTTTTCTGGAGCGCGCTTCCTCCAGCAGTAGTGTGTGTTTACCAACGCAAGCAGAGCTGCCCGGTAATAATAGCAGCGAGTACCCCCACGCAAACCCCCTATCTTTAGGTAGTGATTAGCTTCCACACAACACCTCCGCTTTGCCTCGTTCACCAAGCACGCATTGGCGCCTTTCATTCAAATGTCGATTTAAATATGGCGAGCGCACTTTTCTGAGCTTTCTTCATGCGCCCGTAAAGCGAGATCGAGCCTTTTCTCCCGCGATGCATTCCATCCGCCTCCCCAGTGAAGCTGTTTCGGACCGGGGCCTCTAGTGAGCCAGGTGCGCTGTTCGTAAACCCGTCGCCGCCGCTCCGTTCGCAGTAAGTGTGCTTTACAGACTGGACTCGAACCATTGCGGACTGTGGTGAGTTCATGCCCTTGCACCACTTCCGTACGATTTGCGCTCGGATGCACGAATGCTCCTTTTCGTCGATTTTCCCACGGAGAAATAGATCCGCAAGGTCCTCCAACTGGTCTTCCATCTTCTCCAGGTCCTCGCTAAAGCTGTGGTGCGTTTGCAAAACGTCTACTCGTTGATAGCGCTTGCGATGCTCCTTGTCATCCCCTGATACTCCAGTGGTTGACTTGCTGCCCCCGCTGCCGCGTAGCGGGTTGCTTATGTACGAAGACAAACCGGATTTCCGATGGTGCCCGCTGGACTTGCTTGACATGATACTCGATGCGGATAGCGTAGATAGGCGTTCGGTTTTTGAAGGAGACGGGGGCGCACTGGCCACCTTTCGCTGCTTTGCTTTCGCCTCTTCCAGTTGTTGCCGCATTTCGATTTTCTTGGCCTCAAATGCAGCGAACCGCTCCATCACCTCGTCCTTATGCACCAAGCGGAACTCCTCAACGATGTCAGGTTCCAGTTGATCCGTAATAATAAGGCAAAAGTGCAGAAACTTGTCCATCTCCACCGTAGTCTTCGTCATTTCGCGTGCGAAGTACTCATTGATGGCCAATAACACCTCTCCTGCATCCTTGGCCTCCAGTAGCGTCCCGCGTAGAGTGAAGAAAATAGACATTCCTACTCCGAGCAGGACGCGAGATGCACGCTGCTTCTCCTTCGAGCGAGCGAGTAGCATATCAATTACCTTGAGACCGCAAAAAGATGGGAGTGACGTAAGAAAACATGTCACGAGCCACTTTGTGCACAGGATTTCCATGTTTAGACCAAGCTCATTGAGGTGAGCATGTAGCTCAGCGTCATTCTGCCGCAACAGCGTATTCATGACCGCGCAGTCGGTGTGCAGTCCGATCATTGAATCAACGTGGTAAGCCGGCAGCAGGACTTCGATCAGTAAGGTCAATGCTCGAAGCGCCTGGTCTTCATCCAAATACTGCAAAAGCACCACCAAGATTTCGTTCATACCCTGACAATACCCCACTCGACGATTGCGATTGGCAAACGCCGTGAGTACTCTCCGCATCGGAACTACTTGATCATTTCGTAAATTTCTTGTCCGGGTGATGTCATTTTCGATCGACTTGGCAATTTCACGGTCTAAGAGCGCTTCTTCGTCCTCGTTTTTAACTGTTGCGAGATTTCGAGGTAGATCCGGTGGAGCTGGGAGCTGATTAATCAAGATTGGCCACACCCACGATCGATGTGCATCCGGGACACCGTTTTTGCTGTGACGAACAACAACCTTCGGGGTTCCTGATACTCGGAGACGCTCCCACAATGCATCCTCATCTTCTTGATCTATGTCGCCAGCTTGACTCGCTTCGTCGCCCTCCCTAGTTGAAGACGTATTGCTGAGAACCGAGTTGGAGAGGGACAGGCTGCGAGAAGACATCGAACTGAAAAGTCCATCTGCGCCCTTCAGGGAGAAATTTCGCATTGATGACGACGTACGTGACCGCCGGCGATTTATCTTGCTGATACCTTGGTAAACTCTAACGAGCATCTCCTTTTCTGATGGAGTCGTCACGATTTCAACTTCTCCATTATCATCACTTCGAGAGTCGTCCTCGCTGCTTGATGACGAGCTTTCCTGCTCACGGCTGCGCGTCCTACTGTTGCGTCCACATCGATTTTTTCCACTTGACTCACTGCTGCTTACTCTGCTGCTAATTCTTCTTTTTGAGAGGCCCGAAGGGGCATCGGTGTCATCGACCATGTGCTTCTTCCACTGAATAAGCAATTTGATACCGTGGATTCGGCCTTTACGCGGCTGATCCTGTTGCTCGGTGGATCCCTCTTTCTCCAGCTTCATCTTTTTGCTATTTTTTTTCGTCTGAATTTTCCGCTGCAAAGTCTTCCGCTGCTCCTCCTCCTGCGCTAGCTGGGCTCGGTACTTTTGACGCAGCCCAGCCAACTCGTTGTCGTCAATTTGTTCGTGCACGAACATGATCAGATCCAAGAAAGACTCCGCCACCGAATATTCGTTCAGTGTCGTCCAGCAAAACTCATTGATAACCTCCAGCACCACGTTCACATCCTGGATCTCCACGAGCGCCGAGCTTAAATACAACAATACTGCCAGCGACGTTGAGAAAATAATCTTCGAGCTCATTTGCCGACTGCAGATATCCACAAACATAATATCATAGAGTCGACACACCACGTCGAACGGCATGGACTCGGCGAAAAACGAGAAAAACCACTTCGTGCACAGCAGCTGAATCGACACTCCAAGCATCGCAAAATGGTCACTGAGCTGTGGGTCATGCACACGCAGCAACTCCTGCAGCACGAGGCAGTCCGTGTGGAAATCCACAACCGATTCGTCAAAATACTTTGGCAGCAGCGTTTCCAGCAGCATCCGGAAGCCCCAGAAGGCGTCCTCCTCCACCAAGAACGTGCTCAGCACGACGCACGACTCCACCATCCCGTGGCAGTAGTAGAACGCCTCCTTCGACTTGGCGTAGGCCAGTAGAATACGTCGGATTTTGCGCTCCTGGAAGGGGTTCAGGTGGTGGAATCTCTCCATGGCTTCCTCCTGCGCCTGGTCCAGCGAGCTGCTGGTCTCCGCGTCCGTCTTCTCCTGTAAATCCTCCTTCATCCCCTGTAGGAGCTGACTGTAGGTGGCGCTGCCCTCGCTCTGCCGCTGCAGCTTCATACTCTGCATAATCAACCATAAGTAATTAGAATATAAAATAACAATAAAATAACATGTTAGCGGGTCTCAGATCTCCCCTATTGGGATCTCAGCGGCTCCAGACTTGCCTGGTCGTGCAGCAGGATGGGCCAGGCCCACTCGCGGTGCTCGGGCGGCACGCCATGCGCGCGGATAGCGTCCCACACGGCGCGGCTGTTGGCCAGCGAGTGGTGCTCGCGCCCGGACTGGCCGATGTCCTGCGCCAGGCGCCGCGCCTCCTCCCGCAGCTGGCTCCACGCGACCTCCATGGGCGGGCGGCGTGTGGCGTGGCGGCGGCTGCTCTGCTGCGTGCTCGGGGCCTCCGCCTGCGTCCTCGTTCGCTGCTGCCGCTCTTCTATTTGGCAGAAAGCGCTCTGTGCCTGCTTGACGTGTGGAAATTAACCATAACACGTTTTGTAACCGTTATGTAAACGATGAGAAGATGGATACATTTTCATTTTTGGAATCAGAAATCATGAACAAGGTGGAGCTTGAGAAGTTCTCGAAGTCGCTAGCGACGGCGATGGCGGTTGAAGCCTCCGCCAAAGCCATTGCCAGCACCCATCGGCGCACCTCCTCCAAATCCTGCGCCAGCTTGACCCCCGGCTGCACCGGCGAACGCGCTAGGGCCGAAGTTCCCCATCGCACCTTGGCCGCCGATCCCGCCAAACGCGTTTCCGCCTTGCGCTCCGCCGAGGCCCACCTGCTGCCCGCCCATAGCATTTCCATCGAATCCGCCAACATTCATACCAGCTCCACCTGCTCCGTCTAGCATCCCGCCACCGAGACCGCCCATAGGATTCCCAGCTCCAAATCCGCCAGCGAGACCGCCGCCCATGCGATTGCCTGCACCGAAGCCGCCGCCGAGACCGTTCATAGGACTGCCAGCGCCGAAGCCGCCCATCGCGTTGCCACCGAAGGCACCAGTGGCTCCAGGAAACCCGCCCACAATGGCACCCGTCGCGCCAAGTCCGCCAAGTCCAGCACCGAGAGCGTTATTGGCGCCACCTGCGATGCCTGACAATGCGCCGGGCTGTTGAGCTGCAGGCGCAGTCGCGCCGGCAAAGCTAGTTGGTGCCGGTGTGGCTCTCGCCCTGCCGGGTACCGTGGCAGCTGGGGTTGCTGCGGGGCGTCCGCGCGTAGTAGTCGGGGCAGGAGTGGCAGGTGCAGCACCCGGTGCATTGGGGGATCCGGGAGCACCCGGCGCACCTGGGGCCCCTGGGGCGCCCGGTGCTCCAGGTGCAACCACCGCAGTGTTGGAGCTAGCCACCACCGTGGACGGAACACTGACCGGGACAGGGATGTACTGCGGCACTTCCACGGGGACAGGAATGGCGATCTTCTTGACTTTCTTCACGTGGTGGTGGTGATGGTCGTGGTGGTTCCAGTCTTCGTCATCTTCGGTTGCTGGCGCACCGGCAGTCTGTTGTAGACCACGAAGTGCAGGCGTTCTCGGTGCAGGTTGCGCTCCATCCGTGACGGTCAGAATGCTCAGCGCAAGGAAGGTGGCAATGGTGGCGGCACTCTTCATTGTAATCGGGAGTAAGGATGTCGGTGGGGAGAAGGGCTGCTTTGTTGCTCGCAAATTGGGGAATGTGCCGTAGGTTGTGGGCACACAGCACTCGCTATTTACCATCTACTTACTGCACGATGAGGCGCGTTACGACACCGACAAATTGCGACCCAAGTCGAACGACTGAGGTATGAAAGGGGGTGCGTGACCGAGTATATCGCTCTGTTGATGGAGAAGTGTCGTGGCGCGTGACCACACCGCATTCTCGAGTGATGCTTAGGCGTTGGCCCATTTAAGATTGGAGTGATGTTTGCTACTACTTCGCTACAAATGAAAAAAAATGAAATGACATGGCACTCTTCGATTAGTTTTCCTTAATTAAAAGCTCCTACTACATACATGCATGTACACGCCGCTAAAGGACTTCAAGGCATGAACATTTACCCGTATCAATGATGTAGGCGAAAAAACTATGATCTCATTAGATATCTTAGAACGTCTGCTGTCATAAGCTAGAGTTCTTGCAGAGCACGACGATCTGTCGCCGTATTTACGCAGCCTCACTCGCTGTTGGTGGCTGTGGCGTGAACAGGAAGGCGTGCACGATTTGAGGGACCAAAATCTGTGCAGAGCAGCAGCCTTGAGTGTTTGCGCTTGCGTGCCCCACTGTGCGCGCGAGTAGATCTTCCATGAACTTGGTGAGTTTGCGCACCACGCGGTCTTGGCCAAACAAAGTGAAGAATACTCCGCCCGGGTCCACTCCTTCGACCACCACGCCCAGTACCCTCAAGCAGAATTTGCAGTACCCCTTGTAGTGAGCCTCAAACATGCTGTTGTACACCTTGTCGCGCAGGTCGACGAATTCGCCGAGATCACTTTCGATACGCACCGTTGGCCTGCGCGAGCACGCTCCGTCTTGAGTTGTTGGCGCGTCGGTACTGGCACTCGAGGTGGTCGAGGTTGTGTTGGTAGTTAGCCGAGAGTGTGGCGAATCCGCGAAAACCTCGATCGTGTAGCTGCTGCCTTTTCCGAAACACGAAATGCGAATGGCGTCGATACTCTTGAGTTCAAGCAGTGCATTTCGCCGGGCAGTCACGAATGCGGGCTCTATCTCCGTCGGCACGAACTTGACACCGCGTTTTTGCGTCAGCTTTGGCAGCATCGTTGAGGATTGCGAGCCGAGGGAATTGGTCGATCGGGGTACTTGCAGATTTACTTGTGCGATGCGCTGCGCATTCGCAAGTGAACGTCTTTAACAGACTTCAACAGGCATGATATGCAATTTATGCTCGACTGCTAGCTATGTATTAATCACGCGCGTTCGATGAAAACTACATTTCGTACTGGCTTAAGCCTTTGATACGCATAAAGCAGCTAAACTCATCCAACCGAGCTGATTACCGCAATATCCGTAATCCCGTCGATAGGATGAGCGATTTGCATACAGTTGCCCCTCGAGGCAAACACTGCTTGCCGAGCACACACTGGGGTCATTTTGCGCCAAATACTGTATGTCCGTGCACTTCCTGTAGTATTTCATTCGATGTGTCCTTCTCGAGATTTGGAGTGATAGGAATTTCGTGTCCCGCGGTAATCAACCCGGTTGGATGAGGCTAGCTGCTTTTATGCGTACTCTTGCACACTGTGGTTGTTGCACTCTAACGGGCCATCACTGACCGCGAAAAACAGCCATCACTTGAATGTCAAGCCTGTTGGACGTTCACGCACAAGTAAATCTGCAAGTACCCCGATCGACCAATTCCCTCGGCTCGCAATCCTCAACGATGCTGCCAAAGCTGACGCAAAAACGCGGTGTCAAGTTCGTGCCGACGGAGATAGAGCCCGCATTCGTGACTGCCCGGCGAAATGCACTGCTTGAACTCAAGAGTATCGACGCCATTCGCATTTCGTGTTTCGGAAAAGGCAGCAGCTACACGATCGAGGTTTTCGCGGATTCGCCACACTCTCGGCTAACTACCAACACAACCTCGACCACCTCGAGTGCCAGTACCGACGCGCCAACAACTCAAGACGGAGCGTGCTCGCGCAGGCCAACGGTGCGTATCGAAAGTGATCTCGGCGAATTCGTCGACCTGCGCGACAAGGTGTACAACAGCATGTTTGAGGCTCACTACAAGGGGTACTGCAAATTCTGCTTGAGGGTACTGGGCGTGGTGGTCGAAGGAGTGGACCCGGGCGGAGTATTCTTCACTTTGTTTGGCCAAGACCGCGTGGTGCGCAAACTCACCAAGTTCATGGAAGATCTACTCGCGCGCACAGTGGGGCACGCAAGCGCAAACACTCAAGGCTGCTGCTCTGCACAGATTTTGGTCCCTCAAATCGTGCACGCCTTCCTGTTCACGCCACAGCCACCAACAGCGAGTGAGGCTGCGTAAATACGGCGACAGATCGTCGTGCTCTGCAAGAACTCTAGCTTATGACAGCAGACGTTCTAAGATATCTAATGAGATCATAGTTTTTTCGCCTACATCATTGATACGGGTAAATGTTCATGCCTTGAAGTCCTTTAGCGGCGTGTACATGCATGTATGTAGTAGGAGCTTTTAATTAAGGAAAACTAATTGAAGAGTGCCATGTCATTTCATTTTTTTTCATTTGTAGCGAAGTAGTAGCAAACATCACTCCAATCTTAAATGGGCCAACGCCTAAGCATCACTCGAGAATGCGGTGTGGTCACGCGCCACGACACTTCTCCATCAACAGAGCGATATACTCGGTCACGCACCCCCTTTCATACCTCAGTCGTTCGACTTGGGTCGCAATTTGTCGGTGTCGTAACGCGCCTCATCGTGCAGTAAGTAGATGGTAAATAGCGAGTGCTGTGTGCCCACAACCTACGGCACATTCCCCAATTTGCGAGCAACAAAGCAGCCCTTCTCCCCACCGACATCCTTACTCCCGATTACAATGAAGAGTGCCGCCACCATTGCCACCTTCCTTGCGCTGAGCATTCTGACCGTCACGGATGGAGCGCAACCTGCACCGAGAACGCCTGCACTTCGTGGTCTACAACAGACTGCCGGTGCGCCAGCAACCGAAGATGACGAAGACTGGAACCACCACGACCATCACCACCACCACGTGAAGAAAGTCAAGAAGATCGCCATTCCTGTCCCCGTGGAAGTGCCGCAGTACATCCCTGTCCCGGTCAGTGTTCCGTCCACGGTGGTGGCTAGCTCCAACACTGCGGTGGTTGCACCTGGAGCACCGGGCGCCCCAGGGGCCCCAGGTGCGCCGGGTGCTCCCGGATCCCCCAATGCACCGGGTGCTGCACCTGCCACTCCTGCCCCGACTACTACGCGCGGACGCCCCGCAGCAACCCCAGCTGCCACGGTACCCGGCAGGGCGAGAGCCACACCGGCACCAACTAGCTTTGCCGGCGCGACTGCGCCTGCAGCTCAACAGCCCGGCGCATTGTCAGGCATCGCAGGTGGCGCCAATAACGCTCTCGGTGCTGGACTTGGCGGACTTGGCGCGACGGGTGCCATTGTGGGCGGGTTTCCTGGAGCCACTGGTGCCTTCGGTGGCAACGCGATGGGCGGCTTCGGCGCTGGCAGTCCTATGAACGGTCTCGGCGGCGGCTTCGGTGCAGGCAATCGCATGGGCGGCGGTCTCGCTGGCGGATTTGGAGCTGGGAATCCTATGGGCGGTCTCGGTGGCGGGATGCTAGACGGAGCAGGTGGAGCTGGTATGAATGTTGGCGGATTCGATGGAAATGCTATGGGCGGGCAGCAGGTGGGCCTCGGCGGAGCGCAAGGCGGAAACGCGTTTGGCGGGATCGGCGGCCAAGGTGCGATGGGGAACTTCGGCCCTAGCGCGTTCGCCGGTGCAGCCGGGGGTCAAGCTGGCGCAGGATTTGGAGGAGGTGCGCCGATGGGTGCTGGCAATGGCTTTGGCGGAGGCTTCAACCGCAAGCGTCGCCGCTAACTTGTGCGCACGTTGAATTTCGAGTTCTTGTTCAAACACTGAACTCTCCAGGATACTTTGTGCAATGAACTGGGAGCCTCATGCATCTTGAATACCCCCACAGACTGCAAACAATTCGATAAAAGTTGTAGCCATATAATGCAATGTGGAAAGGTAAAAGGAATTGGAACTTACGAGTTTTCCCTTCGCTTGCAATCACGAGTACGTTGGTACCTGTACATCGTTCAGTGTACAATAATTTCCATCTCGAAACATTCCCTCCCAAGTTTTCAAAGACTTTCGTCTTGCTCGAACACGAACCAAATTCCAGCGAAAACCGATGAAAGAATAATGAATTTACGGCTGCGCTCAGCATGCACCTCATTCCTCGCTCCTTCACATGTCTTCATAACAAGTCGCTCCTACGGCATGCCGTTTCTCTCGATTTTGAGTCATAACTTAAGTACCATTAGGCCGGCAGGCGGACGAACAGGTAGGTGGGTTAGTGTGCACCCTTCTTCATGTTTTGCTTTCCTTGTCAACACCAGCCCGTCCTCACTTCGTCGCAACACTCTTCACACTCGTCTGCGCCGTCTCCACAGAGGGCTTAATAAACACCAGCGGCTTGGACGAGTGGAAGCGGCAGTGGTTGTCCGTCTTGGCGAAGCGTCCACAGCCCAGCGCAGCACAGAAAACCTCTTCCGGCTCCGGTCGCGCGTTGACGTCTGACACCTCTTTAACCGGCGGCGGCTTCTGCGCCGCTAAGTACGCCATCGGGTCCTTCTCCATCTCGGCGCGCTTGTGGTTGTCTTGCCAGAGGTGCTTGCTCTTCTCCAGCGGCAGGTTGCCCAGACTCCACTCGAACGCGAGCATCTGCTCCTTCTCCACGTGCTGCTTCACGAAGCGACTGGACTTGCGAAGAGGCCGCGGCCGCTTCCCAAGGGGGCGCTTCCCAGGCGCCACGAGCGTGCGCACGGGCGGCGCGTCCGACATGTCCGAGTCCGCCGACGTCGGGGTCTTGACGCGCCGCTCGACGCCGTGAGCGCCGCGCGTGTGCTCGCCCGCCTCCAGGATGAACCAGACGTCCTGCTTCTCGCCGTAGAGCTTGAGCGTGCTGACGCGGCAGCCGTGACACGCGCGCACCGAGTAGTTGCCCTGCCACGACAGCTCCAGCTCCAGCACGTGCTCCACGCACAGGTGGCCGCGCACCTGCAGCCGCGGGCAGCTCGGCGCGACGCACACGTCCCGCACCAGCAGCGCGCCGTCCTCCGCGCAGCGCAGCGGCAGCCACCGCCGCTCCTCGCGGTCCATGCAGCCGCCGCACAGCACCAGCGCCGGCTCCCCAAGCGCGCGCTCCATGGTCTCCAGGATAGATCGGTAGGCAAAACCCGACGCGGCGTGGCCCCAGCTAATTGGACGAATCGTTATTGTCCACCCGCCCCGTGGGCGACAGGGGGAGGCGACGCGCGCAGAAAACGGCCACCTCAATCCTGCCGAACGGCATGTTTACCCCCACCCTACAGCCTATTAGCTGTACACATCGTGGCGCGCCTGCTCCATTGTCCGAGCGAGCGCGCCAACAAGGAAAGGAAAGAGAAGGCGGCCCGCCCCCCGCAGGATTACAACAGAGGAGGGGCGTCTGCAGTAGGAACGACCAACACTCCGAAGAGCGCGCAGTATTAAAAGACCGAGAGAGGAGAACACAGCGATGGCCGAGGACTCGTCGAGAGCCTCGTCGCCCGAGCCCGGCGAGGCGGCGCCGCCCAGAGGACGCATCATCCAGCTCAAGTCGTCGTCCAGCGCCAGCCGCGGCTCCATGGAGCGCCAGTCGCTCGAGTCCGCGCGCGCGGGCGCGTCCCCCGCCTACAGCCAGCACAGCCAGCAGTGGCGCGGCGGCTCCCCGCCCCGCAGCCGCTTCCCGCGGCCGGCCTACAGCAGCTCAGGCGGCGGCGGCCGCGGCTACTTCAAGCGCCAGCAGCAGCAGCAGCAGCAGATGAGCTACGACGTCGCGGACAGAGGCGGCGCGCCCCCGTACCCGAGAGAGCGCGTGTTCTCGCGCGCCAGAGGCCGCTCCGTGTCCCGCTCGCCCTCGAGGGCCTCGCAGCGCACGCGCTCCAGATCGAGATCGCACTCGCCACGGTCGCCCAAGTCCCCGCAGCGCTCGCGCTCGAGGTCGCGCTCCAGGTCCTTCTCGCCCAGAGGCCACCGCACGTTCGCCAACTGGGAGCGGAGCGCGCGCAACCCGCCGACAGGACAGCAGCAGTACGTCTCAGGGCGAGGAGGACGCGGCGGCGGCGGCAGCTTCGACAGCAGACAGCGCGGACGGGAGCGCGACTCGTGGTCCAGCAGAGGGGGACGGGGAGGAGGACGCTACACCAACTACCAGCGCGGCAACCGGTTCTACCCTAAGGAGGTGCGCTACAAAACGGCGGCGCCGGTGCCGCGTGGACGCTCGATCAGTCGAGACCGAGGCAGCAGCGAAGCCACCACGCAGGCGCCCGCTGGATTCCGCGACCGACAGATCCGAGAGAGGGACCCGCGCGATCGTGAGCGGGAGTATGAGCAGGCGTATCGTGGACGCCCGCGGGAGCGGGACATGGGCAACAGGTCGACGTCGCTTGTGCGCACGTCGAGCTTCTCGTCGGAATACTACAGGGACAGCGAGCCGTCTGCGAGCGCCGAAGAAGGCGAAGAGAAGCCCGAGGAGAGTCACGTTACGACCAGCGAGAGGTCCCTTGGCTCACGTTCTCCAAGTGATACAGGAAGCACGGATCGGGATATGACCAGCACGGCAGAGAGTGGCATGAAGCGAATGTCGAGCATGCCTGCACGACCGCCTCGTCCAACTGCGGACAGCTATTCCTCGTATCGAAGGGAGGCCAGCTCGCCGATTGCAACCGATGGATACAGGTCTCCTGTTGACAGGAGGGAGCGATACTCTTGTGAAACCGCATCCAGGAGCTACATGACGGAGAGGTACGATGCCGAGCGTTCAAGGTCACGTATTGATTCGAGGGAAGTGGACAGACGCGATGCGAGGAGTAGGGCGTATGGATCGCCTTCAGTGGATGAAGATGATGCGGTGAAACGGAAGTCTCGTGCAGAATCGATGGATAGGACTATGGCGGATGCTGGAGACCGGCGCGGGCGTTCAAGTCCGGGAGCAGATAGTAGCTCTTCCATGCGATCTTGGGGAGGCAAAGCGATGCCTAATCAGACGAAGGAAGCCACGAAAACCGATGAGCGTGTCGATAAGAGTACGTCTAAGGCGAGTGAAGCTGTAAGTATAGCCAAGGACGCCTCAGACACTATTACGAAGGCTACGACAGCTCCATTGGACTCTTCTGAAGCACCGGGCGCAGCAGCAGTGGAAACAGAAACCGATGAAAAACGCTCTGCTGTTGTGGATACTGAAGCACAATCACCGCCCAAGGAAAATCAAGCCCCCGTTAACCAGGGCGCGTCAGATTACCCTGAATCGAAGATAAGCGTTGGAAACAGGACGACAGTGCCAGCAGAGCTTGATTCCACTAGGCCCGAACTCGATGAAAGTAAGAGCGCAGGAATTACAAGAAGTCATGATCGAGAAATGATCGACGATGACAAGGCCGACAAAAAAACCGTTTCCACGCACGATGTTGACGTGGACATGGACGCAGCTCCCAGTGTGAATCAACAAGCTTCAAGCCAACGGGAAGTCTCAGGATCTGATATCGAGATGAAACGCGTTGGTAATGATGAGGAGCAGAAGGGTGCTAAGAAGGAACTTCCGAGCGAGGCGCCAGTCTCCGAAGCACCCACAAGTGAAACACCAGTTTCCGAAGCACCTGCAATCGAAGTGCCAGTTTCCACTGAGTCTAAAAAACATCAGGATAGGCAGCACGCTGAAGAACCCGTCGCTACTCAGCCGACGGTTAAGCCCCGCGTCATACCCGAAGCAAAAGAAATCGAAGAAGGTGAAATGGTGGGTGAAGCAGTGATACCATCAAGCAAAAAGGACTTGGCGGAGGGCCATACTCCACCTACCGGTTATGACATTTCCAAAGCAAAGCAAAACAGAAGTTCCCTCGAGCGCGCCCTGGAGGGAAATCGTGTTGGTGCCACTGCAAAGACAGATACTCAGCCTGATCCTGGAGTGGGGCGTCAAAAGCGGGCGAGGCTTGAACGTAGCAGGACTGACCCGTCATCCGCGGTTTATGCGGATAGCAATAAGCCTCGGTCAACTTCGTTTTCGTCGTTCGCCCTGTCAGATAGCCGACGGCGAGATGAAAATGTTGGTGAGGAGGAGAAGTCATCTTTACATGGGGGCTTGGAGGCATCAGCCCATGGAGGGAATCAGGACGTGTTTCTGAAGCAGAGAGGTGATTCGTCATTTCTCACACAGAAGAACTCGCCTCCGCGCAGTGGACGCCCTGCACTCGATCGTCGTGCTTCGTTTTCAGCACTTCCAGAACGCAGTCACTATTCGTCAGGGCATACTCCTTCGGATGCTCGCCTGACCGCAAGCTCGATGGGATATGCTGGTGGAAGTAAAACGTCTCGTGCAGCTTCGTCTTTTTCGAGCAAGTCCTCTCCTCCAAAACCCTTTTTTGCTACATCGGAAAGCAATGCTGAAGGTCGAAGAAGAGGACCCCACGATGACTTGAAGAAAGAAGATGCGGTGAGAAGAGAGTTGATGCGAGCAGGATCAATGGATAGCATTATGGACAGAGGTGTTCAGCGGTCATTCCCAGTAGCGGAACGGGTCAAAGAATCGTCTACAAGTGCGACTAATTCGCCAAGTCGAAGAAGTGCTAGCGACTTACGCGGCTCGCAATTGCGTGAAGAGTTGCCTGCATTACCGGATATTCCCCTTCCTAGTGGCGCGGTTCGTGGAACCCCATCACCTACTGTACTGGGGGAAGGGACGCCAACGAAGCGCCAGAGGCCTCGGCTGGGCTGGGGCCAAGGCTTAGTCGCGCAATCACCACCTCAACCTACTAAACGGCCACGAATTGGGTGGGGCCAGGGCCTAATGCAGCAAAAAGACGACAGTTTGCATCTAAGAGATGAGACGTCTGGCAGTGCTTCGCAAGAAAATGATTCATCTGGCGCCCACTCCAGCCCAGTGAAGACTGAAGAAGCCGCCGTAAAGGGTGATGCACCGGAGGACGAGCAACATTCAAGAGCTACTGCTGAAGTGTCGAAGGGTGGCCATGATGTTGCTGAAGACGCCAGTGGAAAACAAATTCAGGTTGCTGAGGAGAAGGCTGTCGTGATGTCTACGCCGGAAAAAGTGAAGTCGCCAACGCCAATGCTCGCAAAGGAGTCTTCTACACCTGTGAAACATGAAACAGGAAAGAATGACCAGATGAGCGTGGATGGCGGTAGTGACACCGAACTCGATGCCGAAGCGCCACCAGAACCGTCGAAGGAGGAAATTCTCTCGACAATTGATGTTTTGGACTCGGATATCACGGGTGTGAAGAAGCAGATTAAAGCACTGCAAAGAGCGATTGCAAATGCGGAGGCCAAGCATGAATCGCCTTCAAAACCGGTCGATATGGAGGTTGTTTCTGTAGGTGAACCTGGCTCTGCGGTTGCCACGGCAAAGTTGGGTAATGCAGCTGCTGAGCCCGGCTTGGAAGTCACCCCCGCTTCTCCTACAAATGCTTCTACTACCTCCGATGACCAAGCTCGTTTTAGTGCTCCGGTGAAAGTGGCGGTGGATTCCAAGTTTGTCGAGTTGTTAGCGGGTGTGTTTTCAGATAACATGCGAAAGACGGCCGCTGCTAATGAGCAAATTCCAAAGCGAATGGAGCAGGGTCAATTAGCAACAAGAATCTACCACCAACCCAGCGACTACGCCTTTTACCAGGCAAATATTGATCGCGGGTCGGCAATTTCGGACCAGGTTCGCTTGAAAGTACGGAGGAGGAATCGCGCTCGTCACGAGTACATGAAGAAACTTGCCCGGGATTACGTTGAGCTGAAGAAGTCGTGGAAATTGGGAGTGAAAAAAATGGAGAAAGATCGGAAACGCCAGGACAAATTACGTCTAAAGCAGCTTCAGAAACAGAAACTGAAAAGCATGGGCGAGAGTGGGCCGATCCGAACGACGAATACCAATCACCAGAGCCCTCACGTGCAGCAGTTAGTTGCTGCTGAGAAAGCGGCTGAAGCTGCTGGAAATGAGGGTGCTGTGCGGACATCCTCGCGTTTGACGAATAATTCCAGCGGTGATTTGGACAACAACGATTTGGAGAAGATTGAGCAGGCAAAGGCTCAAGCACTCATCGACCAAGAGGTTCGGAAAAAGCGACTTAAGAACGCGTTATCAACAGTTATTCCTGACATGTTGATCACTCCGGCGGAGCGACAGCAGCGTTACTTTACGCGTTTCGTAAATGGTCAAAGTTGTATGGCTGATGGTCTTGTGACGGACTGGAAATTGAAGGAGAAGGCCGAGATGAAGGTGAACCCTTGGAACGACTTGGAGAAGTGCATTTACATGGACAAGTTTTTGCAGTTCCCGAAAAATTTCCCGCGGATTTCATCTTTCTTGAGGAATAAGACTACCGGAGATGTTATAGCTTTTTATTATCGGACCAAGAAAGTGGCGGACTACAAGGCATTGCTTCGAGAACAACAGTTGAGGCGTCGGGGAGCAGGATCTAAAAACACTTGGAGTTGTTGGAATTTGTCGGCATGTGCGGCGATTTGTCTTGGCGTTCAGTTCCCGGAACACGTCGCGAAGTTATTGCTGCATCCATCGAACTTCCGTTCGCACCAAGCCTCGGATAATATCCTTAATTCAGCCGGTGCTCAGCGGTTGTTACGTGGTTCTGCTTCCAAGGTGGCTGGAAATGCAAACACTGCGTCAAACACTGAAGGTAGTGCTACTGGTTCATCGGAAGTTTTATCTGCTTTAGACTTGGTGTCCGGCTCAGACCACACACCATGTGTTCGACCGCCGACGGCAGAAGAGGGTATACAGCTTGATGATATCGTGAACTCGGGAGATTCCGATACTTCGGACGAGGAAAAGTTCAACTTGTACACACAGCAGCTGGAACAGTTCATTGCGGGACAGCAACGTCCTTTCTTGGTGGATTACGCATCACTACTAAGTGACAATTCGTACAGCACGGGTTACGAAGTCTCCACCTTGTCAATAGAAGGACGACTGAAGAAGTATCCGACCCCTAGCAAGGAGCTTGAATCCGCCGCGAATGGTGGAGCAGTAGGCAGCAGTGCCAGCATTGTATCCCAAGAAGCCGCGTCGTCAAAGGGCAAGCAGCAGGTTCAGGCAGCAGGATCCAATGGAAACTCGAAAAATGGTGGACCTCACTTGACGAAGAAGGAACTAAAACAACAACGGAAAATGAAGAAGATGCAAGAGGGAGCTGCGATGCCGGTATCAGCAACTACTCCGACGGCTCCATCAAGTTCCTCGCAATCTGTTGGTAACACGGGGGCAGAAAAGGCTGGAAACCACAGCAGGAAGAAAGGTGCCGCTGGTTCCGCAACAGCTACAAACGCTACTTCAAACAATCGTTCTACACCTCGTATTTCCATTCCTGGGGAGGACAAGGTAACGCAAGGTGGAAAGAAAACGAGTCGGAACGGCGGTGCCACACCTGCCTCACGTCGAAACAGTCAGCAGCCAAACCCTACGAATGCATCCCCGAAGACCAATACGACCACAAGCTCGACAACTGCAATGGGAACTGCATCGATTTCGGCACCAGCATCAGGGTCGACGAAAAAGAGTGCAGGAGGAACCGTTACTCCCCACACCAAGACTTCGTCACCATCAGCGAACGCAGGTGGCAGCAGCAATGCGAACGCAGCAGCACCAGCAAAACGCGTGGTTCAAAAATGGACGGAAGGGGAAAAGGCAGACTTCCTGAAGTACTTCTCGGTACGTCCTGCTCGTTGTTTTGTAGTTTGTATTATATCTTTATCATGCTGATTCAATTATGCGTTGTGTGGTACAATTTAGCAATATGGAAAGGACTGGGCGACACTAACGGAAAACATTCCGACGAAGACGGCTGCCCAAATCAAGAACTATTACCAGAACTACAAGAATCGACTTAACCTGCAGGATATTCTGAAGCGCCGTATCGAAAACGCAGCGACAAGTGGAACCGCTAAGGGGGCAGCGTCAGCGGCTGCGAGTGGTAACATGACTGCGTCTCCCCGGTCTGCCGCCGCTGGGCTTATGAGTGGTACACTGCGTCAGATGGGCCGTTCGGTCGAACTTCCAGGTGGAATCTCCATGGGAATGCCGAGTGGATCATTGGCCGTGGGGGTCAGTGATGGCAACATGTCTTTTCAAGCGGCACTAAATGCAGCACAGCCAGGAATGCATAACGTGGGTGAACTCGCGATGAACCAGTTCGGAATGCAAGCTCATCAAGACCCGCAACATCAGCAGCAGCAACAGCAGTCTCGCGAAATGATGAACCCGGCGTCCAACTCGGAGCGTTATCTGAAGCTGCTGAATATGCAGCATCAATTGCAAATCATGCAATTCCAGCAGCAGCAAAAGTCGCAGGGGATGACTTCTGACAGCACTGCCGGAGGAAACAACACTGCTCAGTTCCACGAGAGTCAGATGAGTGCTGCGAATGCGCAGCGACTTTATCAATTCTCTCGTCAGCAGCAGCAGCAGCAGCAGCACCAAGTACCCCCACAGCATTTGTCACTGCAAGCTCTCCAACAACTAGGACTTTCTTCCCAGCCCCATGCCTCGTCGCACAGCCAAGTAATGCAGCTTTCGATGCAGCAGCACCACCAAGCGAGGGGATCGTACGCTGAAATGGGTCACCCGAGCAACATGTACCAACCCATGGCTCAGATGCAGACTCAAGAGCATCCTCAGCAAGCAATGGCTACTGCTGGACAAATCGGTTTATCGCCAACAAGCGTTCAGCAGTACGACAGGCCCGTGGATACGAGTACGAGTGTTGGGGCAGATGGAATGGGTCCAGCAAGAGGTAACGCTGGAGGTACCCCGAATCAAATAGGGCGCCATGATAGCTCGCAGCGGACGATGATGAATATGGCGATGATGAATAACGCGGCTTCTGGAAATGTGGGCACTATCTCGCAGTCAGCCAGCAGCCCCCATCAACCTTCAGTAGCCCCTCCTCGCTCGATGCCGATGGAATCAAGCAGACCAGCAGAGAGGGAGTCGCGGCAAAGTGGTTGGCAGCCTTCTCCTGCTGCGGGCGCTCCTACTCCTGGAGGTGCTAAGGCGCAGGGGTCAACAACCAATACGGTTTCGAGCGCACCACAGCAGCAGGACAGCGCCCCTAAGGGCCGTGAAGCGCTCGCACCGCCAGCACCTCCTCCTGTGCAGCCTGTCCGCAGCCGGATGTCCTTCTCGTCGATTCTGAACGAGTCGGAGTCGCCGAGGGATGACACTCCTAGAGGGAATGGGTCGATGGTAATTCGTCAGCAGGAGTCGCCTCGCGTTTCTGAACAGCAGCGTCAACAGCGAGAGCAGCAACAACAACAACAGCGGCAACAGCCGCAGCTTCGTATCGAGCACGCTCGTGCGATTCCGCCTTCTTCTGCTGCCGAGTTGGCTCGATCTCCTGTGTCTGCGCCAAGCCCGACTGCGCACTTGCTGCCGCGAAGGTCTTCCGCGCCTGCTCATAACCGGATGGGCTTGATGTCAAGCCTCCTGAATGTTCCGTCACCTGAGCGCAGGACCTCAACCCCCGGCCATCAGTCTCCTGTGATGCATCAGCAGCAGCAAATGCAGCGGCAAATGCAGGCTGCTCGCTACTACGATCCAAGTGCAAGCAGTGCTGATAGCACGGGTACGACTTCGCGAGGCTCGATTGCAACGATGGTGAGTGGCGTTCCTGTTTCGTCGACGATGTCATCCACGATGGTGCGCAGCAGTCCGAACGACAAGATGTCGGCTCCAACGAGTATGGCCAGCTACACCAACGCGTCCGCGCAGATGGCAGTGGCTCTGACACGCAGCGGCTCAGGTTCTTCCACGTCGTCGGCGGTTTCGGCAAATGCTGTGAAGGTGGACCCGCACGCTCAACAACTTCAGCAGCAGCAGCAGCAACAACAACAGCAACAGCAGCAACAACAGCAGCAGATGTGGAGCTACGCGCCCCAGATGCGCCTTGAAGAAGCCGAACTGCTCCTGCGGGCCCAGCGTGCAGAGGAAGAAGCTGCCAGAGCGGCAGCGGCGGCCGCTGCCGCTGCACGCGCTCTGCAGGAGGCGCAGAAGGCGCGTCAGCAAGCGCTGGACATGGCTGCCAATATGGCGCGGTACAACAGTGCAATGCAGCAGCAGCAAGCTCAACAACAGCAGGCCCAGCAACAACAGCAAGCCCAACAGTACCAACAACAGCAAGCCCAACAGTACCAACAACTCCAGCAGTATCAGCAGCTTCAAGCTCAGCAGCAGCACGAATACCATCATCAGCACCAAGCCCAACAGCTCCACCAGCAGCAAATGCAGCAACAAGCGCTCCACCACCACTTGCAATTAATGCAACAGCAGCAACAACAGCCTCCCCGTGGCCCTGAGCGGTAACAGCGCCGACCATGAAGCTGGTTTGGTAGAGGATCACGGGATCACGGAGGGCACGCGTCTCCGGGATACCCGTCACACAGCCCGCGCAACGTTATTATCTATGGGGTGAATGTGCTAGTATATGAGTTTGCATTTTGTATTTTGTTGTTGTTGTTGTTGTTGTTCTTGCTGTGCCTACTCAGCTGTCATTGCCCATGGATGGAGAAGCGGTGAGTCTCACGTATGGTTTGATCTCGTGGGTTCCTTGAGGGAAAAGCTTCTTGGCGGCGTCGGCAGTGACATCAGGTTGGACGAAAACGTCGTCGCTCACCTTCCAGTTCACGGGAGTCACCACTTGCTCGAAGGTGCTGAGCTGGAGAGCGTCCAGGGCACGCAGCACCTCATAAAAGTTGCGACCGACTCCCATGGGGTAATACGTCAGCATACGTACGGTCAAGTCGAGGTCCAGGACGATAGTGCAGCTGAAAGGCAGACGCCCTGCGTCGGCGGCGTGCTTTGGAGCTCCGGCTGCCACAAGTCCCAGTCGTCGAGACAACTCGCCATCCTCATCGGCCATCACCGGGAAGCCCAGCTTCACTTCCTGCGTCTCGTTGACGTCGGCTAGGAACGGGGTCTGCTCCCTCACCGAGGATACGTGAAGTGCCAGAACGCGAGCATTGCGTGCCTCGAACTGATCGTGCAGCTTTTGCAGCATGCCAAGTTCCGACAGCCATACTGGGTGCTTGGCTTGCGGGAAGGAGCAGACGATGCCCCAGCAACCCGATAGATAGTCTTGCGCGCGCACGACTCCGACCTGAGATTCACACACGAGGTCGGGCAGTTTGGAGCCCACTTGCACCTGCCGCGACGCTGCAGCCATTTCGCCACTTTCGGATCTCTAAGACTGCATCCGACCGTTCAAGATTAGCTGGTATTCGAGAGACGGCATGGTGAAGGAAGAAGCTACAGGAGGGCAGTCGGATGCGAGTGGAGACCAGTCGCCGACCAAGAAGAAGCGCTCACGAAGCAAAAGGAAGGAGCTGGGACTTCGCAGTCGACGGAGGGGCCCTGCTTCACCTGGCAACAACTCGAACGACGAGCAGTTTGGGGATACGCACAAGCCTAAATCTCGACAATCTCGACAGCAAAGTGAAGCTGAAAAGCGCAACCAGGTTGAGAAGCAGCGGAAAATCCGTCACGACGCGGGTGGTCGAGACGCCCCGACCAACAATCGATTTCTTCGTGCGATTTCGGGACAACGAGCAGCTACCGGGAAAGCAGACCCAATCGAAGCAAAAGAGCGTGATGACAAAGGTGATGATGATGACGACGATACTGCAGATACCACGACGAGTTTGCTGAAGAAAAGAGAGGCAGCACCAAGTGTGAAGTCCACCGAAGGGATTATTGTGACACCAGCAGCTCTGTACTCCGGTTGGTTCCAGTGTCAATCCCATTTTCCAGCAGCAAAGAGATGGACACAGCAACTGATCCAGCAAGAAGAAGCTGGACTTTTTGTTGAAGAGGAGAGGAAACAATTCCATCGCCTGGAGCATAGTACACTGGACCGCCTTGAGGAACGTCTTCATAGAGAGTTATTCACCCCGGCGCAACGAGAAAAAACGTCAAGTTCTACCCTAACCGAGCATAAGAGCCTTTCAGCAGCCCGCGTAATACTGAAACAAGAAGGTGGGCTAATGGAAGAGCTTCTCTTACTGGACACTCCGAGTCCTGACGCGCCTGTGGGAACTGCTTTACCTGTTGACGATAACACGGTCACCAACAACTTCCTACAAGCAAATGGCAGCTTACGGGATAGTATCATCTCGAACGAACGGGAGCAGACACCAAATCTAGCCGTGCTGGAGCTCTTTGTTGACCGTGTTGTACTTGACGACCACCCAACATTTGCACTCGCAGACCGATTGGCAGCTCAGCTGCGAGCTTTATACACAGCGTATGCTCGAATGCAGCAACTACAGCCATGGCAACTGTCACTACAGTGTCTCAACGAGTTCGTTTCCATGATTACCGATAAACTAGCGGAGCCAGAGGCACAAAAAAGCAAATGCGCTAGAACGGAGCTATCCTCGCGCCAAGTGCTACAAGAAGTAAATCAACTACTGACGGATTTGGAGGCTTTAAGTCTGCTACACCAGCAAATTCTTGGTAAGGGTAATGAGCTACGCGATGCAGGCAGCCGAGCTGGGCCTGGAGCTACTCTTCGAGTGAAGCAACGACAACGCGCACAACCAATAGATCTCTCTCATGTCGAGGCAGCTTTGGAGCTTCTTGAAGTGGAGACAGAAAACCAGCAAGACGAAAATCTGGAGAATGGTAACATTCAGACAGCTATGAGGAAAATCTCTGAGCGCTTGGCTACGATTACCTCCACGTCCACCCAAACGCTGCGAACTGTCCTGCAATTGGAAAGTATTGCAGGTGACAATCGTTTGAATGAGGTATCATTTTGGAGCCCAAGGTTTTACGTGGTGCTTCGAGTGAATGGGAAAATCGCATGCTCGACGAAGATCCGTCCGTGGATTCGTGGTGATGTCCGATTCTCTGAAAAGTTGTGCTTCACGTTGCCATTTTTCCCCTCTTCGGTTTGTGCTGAAATTTACGAGCGTCGGAGACTTCTTCGTGACGAGCTTGTCTCTACGAATGCAGTCCCTGTGGTTATACCGGGGCAAAACGTGACTAGGAACGCATCTTCGAGATCGCGATTATCGCTCAGGGATAGTTGGGGAGACGATGACTCGCATCACCTGGTACCGGCAGCTAGTCTCACACCAAGCGACGAATGGTACCAGTTCAGTAGCACGGCTGCCATCGCGCGGTCGCAATGGCATCGATCGTTTCACAATTCGCCGCTGTTTGCAAACTCGACTCGAAGGACCCACGGTCGGTTGCGTCTTCGGGTATCCTGGGTTCCGGAGACCACCACTTTTGGTTCTCAGCGTAGCATTGGAGATGCTGTGTATCTTCCTCCGAAGCGCCCTGACACCGCTGGAGGCTCTCAAACTCCTTCTTCTTGCGCAGTTCAGCTCATTGGCAAACCTCCCAAGCCGAATTCGACTCATCTATCCCAGTACCTCTGTGACTCTGGCTTCAGTAGTGAACGCGACTTTCTTCGACTTGTTGAGCCCCAACAACTCCCAGTTGACCCAAATGATCCTGACAACGTAGCCGTGAGACGCTTACAGGTCTACTACATGCAGCAACAAAAGGAGGCGAAAGCTGTGGGCTTGGGTCGACGCGAAGTCTTTCGTACAAGTGAGATACCTGGACCCTTGGCAGGTAGTGGCCGTGGACTCACGAAGCGGAACCGACTTTTGCGACTTCGAGACCGTGAGTACGTGTCTCGACACGGATCAAGTTTCTGCGATGCCATTTCCAGCCGCGACACTGGCAAAGTGGAACCACCACGGTGGATTCCTCAGCACGCAGTGTTTGATGAACCGTTGCCGCTCCTAGAGCACGAGCTGTTGGCGGATGAGCGCCTACTACGGCTTTTGCGTCCAGAGTTGCATGCTTTCGACCGCCGCTTGCTGTCCGAGGAGGCCGAACGCGCCGATGCGTCCATCGTTGAACGTCACCGAGTACGACAACTCCTGAAGCTTCAGGACTTCCGTGAACGCGTAAGGCAAACCCAAATTGTGAGCACCTATAATACCGACAACAGCAATCAGGAAGCAAAAGCCGGTCGGTCAAAGCCTTTAGCAGCTATTGTGCAGGAGAAGCCTTTGCCATTATTCCCTGGGACGTTCGAGTTCCCAGCGATTGGCGAACTATTCGCCCCAAGGCGGCGACTGCGACCTCGTGCCAAAGCACCAGCAGCTGTGCCCTCAGCACAAACTGCAGCACATTGGCCCACAGCTTGTACGCTATACGTACAGGTTCAAAAGGCGACGAATGTTCCGGTCAGAATTAAACCTCCTCGAAATGCAGCTGAAGCTGAGGAAATCGCAACGACAGGAAGGCGTCGGCGTGATACTTTGCATCGGACCGTGAAGAGCCCGCGAATGATGACCATGCCTCCAGACAACCAGAGCGAAGAGAGCGAAACACCACGCGGGGGCATCGAATACGAAAGTCACGTATTCGTACAGGTTAGTTTCCAGGGTAAAACTCGACAAACTTCGTGCGCCACGGTCATGGGAACAGTGGGCAAACGAAGTCATGGTGCCGGTGCGCACCCAATGTGGATGGAAACTGTAGCGCTGCCTGTTCGGCCTCCACAGGACGATTGGAGTCCGGAAGGCATCGAAAGTACACAAGACGTCATCCGGTTGAGCATTTTTGACCAAGTGACTCGCTCTGCCTCGACGTCAGCGACCGAGGAGGATCGAAAGGAAGGAGAAGAACGCCTTGGGGCTCAAACTAGAGCCCTACACCGAGAAAACTGTTTTCTCGGTAGCCTGGATGTACCTTTCTTGACGCTTTATCGTGCTGGTCGTCTGGAGGGCTCAATGCGTTGCGAGATGCCTGTAGAACATCTAGGTTACGCCAATCTCCAGGTCGGATCCACAAGCGGGGCCACGTCAAGCATTGTTAAGTCTTCGACAGGACCTCCTTCCGCTGCTTCTTCGGACGGCGAGGGTGGGTTGCCACGACAGCGTCGCAAACGAGGAATCTCACGCAGCGGTCCTACAAGCCAAAGGCGATCGTCGATGAGTCCACGAAGCCTTAAAGCTAGCGATATCGAGGATGATGAAGATGAAGACACCGGAGGACTTGGAGTGAAACAAGCTGCACGTGAAGCTACTTTCTTGAAGCTTACATTGCTCCTGGATCCAGTTCTCCCCGTGGCTAGCGAGGCACCAAGTCACGACGAAAAAGAAGCATTCACCTCTGGTGCTGCAAATGCACAAGACAAACAATTTCTTGCCCACGCGCAACGCTGGACTACCACAGTGCGAAACTCCGCACCAGCAAATGCGGTACGACGTCGGAAGTACAATACTTTTGTTCGCAACCTGAATCATGGAGCCACTTTCCTGCCTCGGTTCCTACGAGCACAACCACCACCTCCAGAACTTCAAGCAGCGTCTTTAGCGACCCTCATTCGCTACGTGAGCTTAATACCATTCCTAGACGACTGGTTAGCCTTTGATGGCGACAAGGATGTCTGGAGCACCACGCAAGAGTTCTTAAACATAGGCGCTGGAGATCACGAGGAGCACGCAGTGCTGTTGGCGAATTATTTCATGTGGTACGATCGTCGTCACCGGAAACAAGACGAAGGCCATAAGTCTTCCAGGACTTATCTTGTTCTCGGCCATTCAGTACCAGAAGGCAATATCGTTCTCGTGTTCCGGCGTGGAATTCTTTGGAATGCCAGCACTGGGGTGGGGTACGCTGTTTCCGACCCTCATTGTCCCCTTCGTGACGTCTCCCTTGTTGTCTCAAGTAAAAACGTGTTTGCAAACGTGCAGCCTTTGACGTTTGCATTGGGAGCTCCAGTAGGGGGCTCTCATGACCTCAACTGGGACATCGAGAGCAACACCAAATGCTGGAAACCTTTCTTCACGGCTAGGAACATTACGTTACCGCCCAGTGTGCAGCGCCGCGAGCTGACTTACAGCGAGACGCCACCTGAGTTTGTGGAACAAGTGGAACGTGAACTTAGAGAAGCGCTGAAACTCGCCGTACGCCGTTGGCGCAGCACTCATTTTGCCACCAACTTCAACGAAGCGGCAGGTTTGCAGCTACGGGACCACTTGAAGGTTCTTGAACGTGAAGCTAATGGCCAACACGGAAACCAGGAAGCTTTGGCTATGTCGTCTATTGCTGCAGACGACGGCAGGACGAGTCCGCGGTCAACTAGGAGCCTCAAGCAAAAACTGAAAATGAAACTCGCCCTGCCACTTCGGAGAGCGCATCCAGGCAGCAGCGTGTTGCGCGAGCTGCAGCGGTCACGGGAGGTTTGCGGCTTGCCACTTCACGTTTCCTTCACTGATATTCCGCGAGTACTTGATCTCGTCGCGAACACGGTACGTTTAGGATCTGCACCTGCTACTGTACTATATATTTTTGCTGTGAATGAAGAGCTAACACAGTTATGACCTCACTTGCGATGGCCAGAATATTCACTACAACGAGCGACCGGGTGTTGAGTTTGCACTTGCCGTATACGTGTGCGGACACCCCAACTGCGTGCTGTCAGTCTGGGTGTATCTCGCAGCCCTCGTTCCGCTTTAGCGCGCAATCTGGCGTAATAGTTGAGCCACCTTAGCTTGCAGTGCCTTCAATTTTGACGTGGCTTCTCCACGTGACTCCGCAGAGAGCTCCTCTGGCCGAGAGAGATCGAGGACACGCTCGCTATCAAGACGCAAGCACGTTGTCGGCTCGAGACCGTCGAAGGTGGCTACCAATGACCCAGCAGGAGCCTTCGCAACGGTGTCAGGCATGATGGGAGAGCCCCGAACCGAGTAGGTTGTTTCGCCTTTACGTGCTGTGCGTAGGACAGTTCTTGGGACTTCTCCTGCAGCTCGTTTGGCCATAGGAGTCGTAAATGCTGACAGACGTCGATTTCCCGAGTCCTGGTTGTCTTCATCATTCTCTGCATCGTCTTCGGAATCAACACTCTCTTCAAAATCAGCGACGCTGCACGGCGTAGCAGCCACGATATCGTGCCGAGCCATGGAAGACCTCGTGCGTGGGGGCGACGGCTGCGATAAGCTGTGGATGACGTTCTCCAAGTCTCCGCCGAAGTCCTCCACGAAGGTCTTCCAGGGCATCTGACGCACAGCCTCCGGCAGGTAGAGCAGCTGCACCTTCAGCTCCATCTCGAGGTCCTGCGCGTGGCGCTCAGCATCCGCTATCAGCTGATCACACTGCTCCTGCACTGCACGTTAACAATCGGACACATACGGAGTCAGGCTCAACTACCCAGTCTACATATATTCGAGAGTTCTGCCTGCCCGCGCGCACCTTGCGTCTCGAGCTCGTCCAGGAGCGTGTCCAGCCGCTTCTTGCGCTTCTTCTCGGACTGGAAGAGCGCCGACTCGCGCGGCCGCTTCTTCTTCTTCTTGGTCTTCTTGCTCTGCTTCTGGGGCGACGGACTCGTGAGCGTCGGCGCCGGCAGCGCGTCGTCCGCCGTGAGCTCCACGACGGTGTTCTCCCCAATGACCTGCAGCGGTCCCGCGCCTGCTGCCGAGCGCGTGCTGGCGCTGCCGTTGACGGCGCTGCGGCGACGAGGGCGACGCAGCGTGCGCCCAATTTGTCGCGAGCCCATGGTTGGAGTGTTCGGAAGTTTGAAAAAGTGCGCGCAGGCCTGTAATTGGGCGATTTGAATTACACTTGATCTCACTATGTAGGGACCACTATTTACGCCAGGTTGCCCTTGCGACTTTCCTTGTCATGGTGACTCTCGAATGGTTACTGCACTTCGCTCGACTTGAATGTGCCTAGCATCCGAGCTAGCTAACAAGTGCTATAACTGCTACAGTAGTATGATATTGGCTTGACCTTGACAGGCCTCTGACAACGCGAAGGAAGCGAGCGCAACGTGATGCTTGGTACTAGCAGCAGATAACAACGGCCAACATTCAACAATCCCGTATACACTTCAGCAACATTCTATTCAATCGAGATGCATTACCTTGCTTCTTGGCAGACAATCTCACCAGTTGTATCGGAGTCTCCAAGTCGGAGCCTTCGCGCCCCGTGCCGTGCGAAACGATACACTACACCTTCATTTACATCGTCGTCCTCCATCCTGTGCTGTATTTACTGACCTGCCGGCGGTGCCGTGCCCTTGACCCACTTGGCCACCTTGCTGAAGATCACGCCCACCACAATGCCGATGACAAAGATTAGCCCCATGGAGCTCATGTACTCGAACGCCGTGACCATGCCCTGCTCCGTCTCCGTCTGCTCCTCCGTGTACCAGCCAGCCGTAAGCATCTTCCTCTTGGTCCAGACCTTGTGCGCCAGGTACGACGCCACACCCACGGTCAGCACTCGCACCATGAACGGCCGCTCCTCGACTTCCTCTGCAGCAGCAGCAGCGGCAGGAGCAGCGGCAGCCGCTGCTGCATTCTTCTTGCCCTTGGTCTTTGTGCGGCGCTTCGGCTCCGTCTTCCACTTGGCCGACGCCTTCTCCTTGTTCTCCGCTGCCTCGTTCGCCATCGTCGTCGCTAGAGTCGAAATGGAGGTCACGACGCGGTATCATTGACGGTGTGTTGTACACGAAGTGCAGCTAAAGAGTACCCCTGGTTACGCTGGGTTACGCCGCTGGCAAAGTGCGGCTGAAAGTCACTCGTGGACCCGAAGGACAAGCAGCAGGAGCCACTCGACAGCAATGAAGGTCCGCTCGTCCGTGAAGCGCATGTGCGACGGCTGCAAGGTCGTCCGCCGGCGGAGGAAAGTGTACGTGATCTGCGACCGCAGCCCCAAGCACAAGCAGCGCCAGGGCTTCCACACCAGCGCGCTGGCCGCCGCCCCGCAGGAGGGTGCCGTCGCCTCGCCCAACGCGAGCTTCCAGACCGCGCTCAAGCAGCTGCAGTTTCCGGGCCTCGCCCCCTTCAAGGCCTTCCGCGACGCCGCCATCGAGATCCCCAAGCTCTGCTAGACGGTGGCAGTCATTCGGACGACGAGGCAGTCAGGTCACTCAGGTCGGCAATGGCTCGGATAGCGCTGCAACGCGCTCGGCTTAGACATAACTCAAGATAATCACATTGCGCTGTGTCAGTTTACGTGTATGCTTGCCGCGCTGCCTGCATCATTGCAATCGTGTGAGCACGCACACCGCCTTGGAGCTTGGAGCTGCTCCCGCAACGTTACCGGGACTAAAACTGAAATTTTACGGTAAAAGCCAGTGGTTCAGTCACGTTACCGCACGAACAGTTGAAGATTTCCTCCTTTTAACGTCATGCCACGCACTCGACCGCTGCTGGCGCTGACGCTGCTCGCGTGGGGCCTCGTGTGCGACGCCGCGGCCGCCCGGACGCACGCGCGGTTCTTCCTGCCTGACGCGGACTTGCAGCAGCAGAGCCTCAAGCCGGTGCAGCAGCAGCTGGAGGCGCTTGGCATCTCGCAGTTCGAAGCCGACGCCTCGTGGGGGAAAGTAACCACCGACAGCGCCGAGTTCGACCTCGTCTGGAGCGCGGCGACCGTCCCGCCCTTTGCGCAGCTGGAGCTCCCGCACCAGTTCCAAGCCAAGGTGAACCGCCTGCCAGGCGCCGAGCAGCTCACGTCGCCTGACGCCCTCAACCAGCACGTGGCGGCGCAGAAGAAGAAGCACTCCAAGTTCTTCTTCGACTTTGTGCCGGAGCACTTCGAGCTGCCGCGAGACCAGGACAAGCTGAATGGCGCCTACGAGGACGTGAAGAAGAGATTCCAGTTCTCGCCCAAGCGCGGACGCGACGGACACGTGTATAGGCGCTTCCTGCTGCGCGAGAAAGCGGCCGACGGCGACGACCACTTGAGCAAGCGCGCCGAAATGTTCGTCACGAACGAAGAGCTGCAGACCAAGCTCCAGTCGAGCGAGTTCAAGGGAAAGACGGTGGTCGTGGACCACTACGTGGAGCCGCTGCTGCTGGACAACCACAAGTTCCGCGTCGGATTCTACGTTGCAGTGACGTCCACCGACCCCCTGCGCGTTTACGTGTATGACCACCCGCAGATCAAGATTGCCAAGGCCGAGTACCCGAGCAAGCTGAAGGTTGACAGCGATCCTGCCGCCTACAACTTTGACCAGTACATTGCGCCGTGGGACTTCCCGGATCTGCAGGCGGATTTCTACGAGCTCCCGTCTGCTACACGAGTTGGAACCAATGCGTGGCACGTTCTCAAAAAATACTTGCGGAAACAGGGCATCGACACGAAACACTTGCAAGACGAAGTGGAGGCTGCAATCGCAAAAATCGTGCTCAGCAGCCGCGACCACTTCCAAAGCGAGCAGGCCAAGGTGAAGCGCGCAGCTGCACGTGAAGGGGAAGAAGGCTCGCCGTCGGATCTCAAGGACAGTTTCTTCGACTTGTGGAAGTTTGATTTCGAGTTCGACGACATGGGCAAGCCGTGGCTAGTTAACGTTGTTTCCAACCCGTCCCTGGAGGGTACGCAGTCCGTCCTTGCAACTGATGAGGCCGTCAAGCAGCAGGTGCTGCACGACCTCTTAAACCTTGTAGGCGTGCACCCCCAGGCACGTCTTCCATTTGAGAAGTTCTTCCGTCCGGCTGACGCGAGTTTCTGCTCGGACAAGTGCCGCGACAAGAATCGTGCATGGGATACGTCGTGCTGGTCCTGCCCCGGTTGGTTCTCACCAAACGTTGCGCGGAAACTGTTTGCTGCGTCAACCGAGTACGGACGGCGGGGCAGTTTCAACCTCATTTTCCCGTCCTTCGAGCAGGAGTTCTCCAAGTACTTGGGCAGTGAGCTTTCCGAGTACGATATCGCATTTGATCGGTATTTGAAGTCGCTCTCCAGTGGGTACTCGGATCTGGAGGACTTCCCGGCATCCGATCGTGAGGTTATCTGCGTTTACCGCGAACACTGCAGCAACCATGGCGACTGTGTTAATGGTGTGTGCTCATGCGACTCCAACTATGAAGGCCGGACTTGCTACATCCCGAAGGACTTCGACCACGAGGAGCACATTCAGCACGAGACGGGAGACACGGGCGGTCAAGACGCGGAGACGTGGAAGGAAAAGGTTGAAAACCTCGTGTGGAACCGCGGCGACTCTCCTGACGGCTCTAAACGACCAATGACCGGACTTGGGGACACGTCTGCATCCAGCACGGTGTTCCTCTTGGTGTTGCTCGGAGTTGTTGGGTTCGTGCTCTATCGCGTCTTCGTGGCGCACGGATCCAGCGCGGGCTCGGACCTTCCTCACGACGGGAAGGCCATGTAGCAAGCTTGAAGCTGTAGCCGTGATGCAAAAAGCGTAATTGATAGAACAGACTTTTCTCTCCATTGAACCACAACTGCATTTACAGGCATAAGAAGGAGCTAGCAGTGAAAGTGCTCGTCGTTGACCTTGCAAAGGCAATCAGCAGCCTCACAACTTGCCTTTGCCATTTTGAATAGCCGGTGCATTTTCGAGCCAAAACTGGGTACTTGTCGATTTGCGATTTTTCGTTTTTGCCGGCCAAAATGGTGGCGACGTCGCGCGTGATGCCGATCGCCTTCCTGGGGCTCTTCAACGAGAACGTGTCACTGGCGGCGGTGGAGGGGGCCACATATCTGAGCGTCTTCCTGCTCATGCTGCACGTCCACTCCTCCGGCAAGCGCAATGCCACGATGCTGACCGCTGCGGTGCTCCAGATACTCGTCGTGGAGCTGTTCTTCTACAGCCACAGTCGCTGGCACGCAGAGGCGCTGGTGATGCTCGTGTCAGAGCGGCTGCCTCTGTACAATGTGCTGTTGCAGGCTCAGCTCTACTACATGTACGTAGTCCAGTGCTGGATCCATGGCGATGCTAGAAGGAGGTCGCTAATCGCTCATCGCTGTGGGAATTTTGTCTTGCGCAGAGCTTTCGTGACGACTTCCAGACTGCGGATCGACCCGTTCTTGCAGCCTTTTGCGATGGGCTCGCTCATGGTGATGCTCGCCTTCCCATTCGAGCTACTGGGCACCAAGTTCCTCTGGTGGACGTGGCATGACAGCGATCCGCTGCTGGCCGACCGGCTGATGGGCGTGCCGTGCCACGTGCTCTTCTACTATTTTTTCTTCGCGTTTGCATTCGATTGTGTGCACCATATCCTGCGGAGGTAAGGCGCTATGGTTGAGTTGCACAGGGTCTTCGCCATGAAAAAGCCGTCTGACTTCTGTTGAATTGCTGCGTCTGCTTGGCTATCACTAGCACGTGGCTCGTCGGCGACTACTACGAAGCCGAGCACTGGAAGACGGAGTGGAGCTATGTGCCACTAATGTCATTGCTGAGCACCATCTTCGCCTCGGGCTTCCTCATCTTGGGCTACTACGCGACGGTTCACCTCATGGGAATCCAAGCACAGGTGACAAAACGCTGCATTTAGGATACGATGAAAGCTTTGGAGGCTCACTATGACCTTGCATCGCTCCTTACGTAGGTGTGGTTCTTTATGCTGATCGGGTTGAGTTTGCTACTCTTCTGGATGGCCGACCGTGAACGAGGTGCGCATGCGTTTTTGGTTCGTCTTGTTGACTTTGCCGCACTGCCGTTCTACTAACATTTTTTTTTGTGCCGCTTCCTATTTACAGACTCTCCCGAGGTACAGAAAGCTCTGGAGCCTGTGGACGTCTACGACAGCGACTGGCTGTACCCGTGCATCGACCACGCCGTGAACCAAATGGCGTTCCTGCTCTACTTGGTTCTGGTGCTGCTGGCGCTGTTCATCAACCCGACGGAGATCGTGTCGCTGAGCAATCACCAGCCGCTGGGCAACTGTCTCGAGAGCGAGTCATTCTACTCACTCATAGGCATGCAGCACCGCCGCCAGAAGTATCTGTGCGTGCACGACTTCGACGAGGAGTTCAACCTGTGCAACTACCCGGTGACGCAGCTGCTGTACGAGAACTCGTGGTACATGATCTGCGGCCGCGGCTACAGCGACTTCGCGACGTACTTGGCGTTGGTGGTCGGCTGCTTCCTCGGGCTCAACCTGCTGCTCTTCCAGGCGCTCAAGCGGCCGCAGCGCACGCGCATCGTGTCCTTCCGGCGTCAATGATGAAAAAAGTATCTACTTGACCCCGTCTTTTCTCTTGTCCCGGATTCCTGGCAGGGTTTGATTGGTCAGCTATGTTTCTATTTTTAGCCACTGGGGGGGGGGGGGTAGCGGCAGTGTTCAGTTACCGCGTCGATTGCTGCTGATCGCGCTGATTCCTCCTCTTCCGGCCTTCCCCAAGTACGTCCGTCGCTCGGCGGCCTCGCGTCCAAGCGAGCGTCTCTCACCCTCTTCCTCTCTGCTTGCAGCCCCCCACATAGACTAGACTCGCAGCAGGATGGCGCACCAAATGCCCATGGAGACCCAGCAGGAGCTGCGGCGCCTGCCGGGTAACAACGTACGTCGAGCTGGGTGGCATGTGAGTGTGGTCGTTGAAGCTAACCGCCGGCCGCTTTCTTTCCTCTAGCGCTGCGTGGACTGCGACGCGCCGTACCCTCAGTGGGCGACCGTCTCGTACGGCACCTTCATGTGCCTCGAGTGCTCCGGTCGCCACCGCGGGCTGGGCGTGCACATCTCGTTCGTGCGCTCGGTCACCATGGACTCGTGGACGGACAAGCAGGTGCTGCAGATGCAGAAGGGCGGCAACGACTCGTTCCGCGCGGCCTTCTCCGCCGCTGGTGTGCCAACGGACCTCTCCATCAGCGAGAAGTACAACACCCCCCAGGCCGAGGCCTATCGCCAGCGTCTGACGGCCATCGTCGAGGGACGCTCTCCGCCGTCGCTGCCTCAGTGGGACCCGAGCATGCGCAAACCGGCGTCGTCTTCCTTCTCGTCGGCCTCGTACTCAGGTGGTGGCTCTGCAGGTGGCGACACGCGTGGCGTCGAAGCCCTCAAGGGCGAGTCCGAGCAGGACTACGTGGCCCGTCAGATGAAGCTGCGCGAGGAGGCGCGTGCCCGCATGGCCGCCAAGTTCGGCGGCAACGGAATGCAAGGCATTGGCAGCGGCGGCGAAACGCGCGCGCCTCAGGCTCCCGCCGGCGGTCTCGGAGACCTCTCGGGTGCCTTCAGCTACTTCACCAGCACTGTCACGTCCGCTGCCAGCACGGCTGCCAGTCTTGTCAAGGATCAAGATCTGGGCTCGAAGGTGTCGTCCGGTTGGTCCTACGTGCAGAGCGCGATCCACGACCCGGCACTCTCGGATAACGTGAAATCCTCTGCCACATCGGGTTGGTCAGCGCTGTCTAGCGGCGCATCGACACTCTTGCAAACCGCGCAGAGCGCAGTGAACGGCAACGGCAGCGCGTATGGCAACTCGAATGGCATGCCCAGCGCATTCCCTCGCACCAACACCGAGCTGTCGGCTACTGGGAAGTACGCAGGAATCGGCAGCAGCAACAGCAGCAGCACGAGCTCATCGAGTCGTGACCATGACAACGACTCGTGGCTCGACTCGCAGCTTAGCAGCAGCGGTAGCAGCAACGCCAACAGCAGCAGTTTCTACGCGCCGCCCCCGCAGCCCAAGCAGCCCACCCAGACTTCCGACTTGTTCGGGTCGTCGACGTCCAGTACGAACGGTAGCAGTCACGACCTCCTGGGACTCTCTTCATCGTCTGTAGCGTCAGCCACAAGCAGCAACGGCTCATCGTCTGCTGCCGTCGCTGCACCTGTTGCCGCCCCAGCTCCTCCAGCTCCTGTTGTACAAAAGGAGAAGCCGAAGAAGGATGTGGACTTCTTCGGAGAGTTTGGCTTCTAAGCCGGCACATGTGGGCGCGTGAGGAGGACAGACTATTTTTTCGTATTTCATAAAGAGTAAGCCGTGAGCAGGGGGAGGGCCGAATGTCACTGTGTGTTTTGCTTGTGTATTTCGACTTTGATACTGCTCAGACCAAGTATTGGTGCTTGGTCACCGCAGACGTTTTGAAAGGAATCTGCTTGACTTCAACTTGTCGACGATCAAATGAGAGGAGCAACAAAGTGCTGCATTCAAAGTGCTGAGGCTTGGCCCTATACAGCAAAACCAAAGAAGATGACAAGTGGTAAAGTACTGGAGCGTACGTTGTGGTCTATCGGGCTCGATTAGTTACACCCTTCCTACTGTCAACCACTCCACTCTCTTCTGCTCTTCCGCATAGTGCGTCTTGCGCTGCGTAGTGTTGAGTGAGCAAGTGCTCAGCCCTCGCCCTGCTTTCCTTCATAGCGCGAGGTTCTTCAGATCAGATCGAGATGGGAACAACGACATCGTCCATGGTCTGCTCCTCGAGGTTCTGAGGTGCTTTGCTTACAGGTTGCGCGCCAGGGTGCGCTTGGTAGCGGCAATGATGTCCTCGACCTGCGGCAGGCACAGCTTCTCCAGGTTCTCGGCGTACGGCATGGGGACGTCCGTGCCAGTCACACGCTCAAGGGGAGCGTCCAGGTAGTCGAAGGCTTCGGTCTCCATGATAATGCCGGCAATCTCGGCACCAATGCCGTGCTGGCCCCAGCCCTCCTCGATGGACACGATGCGGTTGGTCTTCTTCACGGAGTCAATGATGGCCTGACGGTCGAACGGGCGGATCGAGCGAAGGTTGATCACCTCGGCGTCAATGCCCTCCTTGGCGAGGGCGGCGGCAGCCTCGAGAGCCTCACCCACCATGCGGGAGAAGGCCACCAGGGTGACGTCCTTGCCGGGCTTCATGATCTTGGCCTTGCCAATCTCGATCGTGAAGTCCTTGTCCTGAGCCTCCTTCGACACGGGGAACGACACACCGTACACCAGCTCGTTCTCGAGCACCACAACCGGGTTGGGGTCGCGGATGGCGGCCTTCAGCAGACCACGGGCGTCCTCCGAGTCATAGGGGGCCACGACCTTGAGGCCGGGCACGCTGCCGTACCAGGCGGCGTAGCACTGCGAGTGCTGGGCGGCTGGAAGGGCGCAAAACAAGCAGTAATAACGTTAATAATGATCGCGATGGGGACAAAAGAGGAGCCAAAAGATACGTACCAACACCGGCGGCGGGGCCGTTGGAGCCACGGAAGACGATGGGCACGGCGATGTCGCCGTTGGACATGTAGAACTGCTTGGCGGCCGAGTTAATGATCTGGTCGATGGCCTGCATGGCGAAGTTGAACGTCATGAACTCGACGATGGGCTTCGTGCCGTGGTAGGCGGCGCCGACGGCCAGGCCCGTGAAGCCCTGCTCCGTAATGGGCGTGTCGATGATGCGCTTGTCGCCGTACTTCTCCCACAGGCCCTTGGACACCTTGTAGGCGCCGTTGTACTGGGCGACCTCCTCGCCCATGAGGAACACCTCCTCGTCGCGCTCGAGCTCCTCGTCCATGGCCGTGTTGAGGGCGTCACGCACGGTCATCTCGTCGGCGACGGTAGCCATGGAGCGGCGCAGCAGGCTCGGGGCAGCCTTGAAGGCCTTGCTGGTGGTGAGGACGCGACGGAGGGCCATTTTAGCTCGGAGTGGAGGGGGGTCTGCTTCTTGCGCTGCAAACTTGAAAGTCACGGTCGGGGGGCCGAGCAACGAGCGCTGCGAGCCTTCCAAGCACCACTCGGTCTGGGGCTCAGTATAGTATAGTGGGGGCGGGTCAACCACTCGCAACATAGATCTTCCAAGCGCAACATGCCGCAACTTTGCGGCGCCGGAGCAACATGTGTGCCCATCATGGACGAGTGCTGCTTGGTTTTTGATGGGTAAGGCCGTGCCCCGATCATCGACACCCATTGCCCGGCGCGCTATAGACTCGGGCAACCTGCAGGCCCGATTTGGCGATGATGGATGGCGCCAACGGCGGCGAGCACGATACGAAGGGAAGCATACATTTGTTTGGGTCTGATGAGTGCTATGCTGCTAGGTCGGCTACGTCCTCTTCCTCCTCCTTCTCTTCCTCCTCGTCGCCGAAGATGACAGTCGCGCCCGTGTCCGCCTCGCCTTCGTCCTCGCCGTGAGTAGGCGAACTGGCGTCGGAGCCGTCGTCTCCGGCGTCGCTCTCGGCCGATGTGGTCATGGGGTCCGGCAGGTCGGATGCCAGCTCCACGGGGCCGAATCTCGGCTCGCTCATCTGCTGTCGTCGCACGCCGATGAGCACGGCGGCGATCGCGATCACGAACATGGCGGCGACCACGAGGCACGCGGGGAGCAAGTACGACTGGGCCGTCTCGACGCTGAAGGGCATCGCGGCGGTCGCCACGCTCTCCACTTTGTCGAGCAGCTCCTTCGCCGCTGCAGGAAGGTCCCCCACGGTGGGCTCGTGCGCGCCGTCAGCGCTGGCAGAGCTGGTGTCATTGCTGAGCGGATCGCTTTGTGCCTGTGCGTAGTGGTTGTCCCAGGAGCCCCAGAAGTCCTCACTCGCGCCGAGCTCGTCGTCACGCAGGTCCGTTTCAATCGCTTCGGGCGATGTCTCAACTCGGAGTTGGCGCTGCGTAATGTCGCTGTGCGTCCGCGCAGTCGTGTCGACGGCGCTTGTTCCTGCCAGCATGGCTGCAGCGGCAAAGAGGGTGATCGTTGAGAGCTTCATACTAACGTAGTATTGGCTTGGTTTGGGCGCAATATGGATCCGACAGTTGGGTTGCTCGGCAATCGGAGAATGGAAGGAGCCTCCGCGACGGGGATCGAGCGTCGTCGTTTCCTTCTGGAGAACCTGCAGCCTCGCATGCGGCCTCCACCATGACAGGGCTAAGTTGAAGCCGTTGGGAAACCAAACCTGCGAGAATCAATAAAACCTCCTATACTCTATTGCGAAACGACATCTACGTCACTTCAATGCAACGGGCACTGGCAGCGACCTGCAAGTCCCAGATCGCGAGCATTTCAATGGAATCTCTTCACTGATACAGCCTTGGAGGTAGCATGAAGCCCCCTTCAAGTTGGCTGCTCTGCGACGAGAGCGAGCGTCATGTCGCTCTCGGTTCTCAATGGTGGAGCTGTTCAGGCAAGCCATATCTGCTTTTGCCGTCTCGGACACAAGCAAAGTCAACAGAAGTGTAAAGGTTCCGGCCATCAGCATGGAGACTGCCAGCAAGATGATGTCCAGTGCTCACACGCACGGGCAGGACACGTGCTCCAAGGACCCGGCTGGCTGCATGCGTGCCGTTATGTGGACGGGCAAGGCTGTCAAGCTGGAGCACGTCCCCAAGCCCAAGATCATGGAGGCGTCTGATGTGGTGGTGAAGGTCACCGCATGCTCCGTGAGCCCGGACTTCGCGACGGACGTGTGCGGCGATACTATGGGGTTGGAGAAGAACCAGATTCTGGGCAGTGAGGCAGTCGGCATCGTGGATTCCGTGGGCGCGGATGTGCAAAAGGTCAAGGAGGGCGACCGCGTGGCTGTGAGCTTTGTAATTGCCTGCGGAAAATGCAAGCACTGCCGTCGACAGGAGTACGCAGCGTGCAACTGCACGAATTCGTCGCAGGAGTTTAAGCAGACCTACGGTGGCTGGGCTCCTGCTGCCGTGCTTGGAAGCACCCGCATGCTGGGGAACGTCCCGGGTGTGCAGGCTGAGTTCGTGCGCGTGCCGTACGGCGACATGAACTGCTTCAAGCTCCCGTCGGGTGTGAGTGACGACAAGGCGGTGCTGGGAGTGGAGACGACTGCGACCGCGCTGCACGCCGTGGAGATGGCCAAGGTGAAGGAAGGCGACCATGTGGTCATTTGGGGTCTTGGTCCTATTGGGCTCCAGGCTGCACACTGGTGCAAGCTGCGCGGCGCCAAGACTGTGCTTGGAGTTGAGCACTGCCCGGAGCGACTCAAGTTTGCCCACGACCACATGAACTTGGAGGTGGTGGACCGCCGCGACCTGTCGAGCGCTAAGGTGGTGGAGAAGCTACAGAAAATGCTGCCGCCTGCCGGTGCCGATGCTGCAATCGATGCAAGCGGCTGCTCTATCTCGGGTGGGTGGATGGCCAAGCTGGAGAAGAAGATTGGCATGGAGACTCAGCCCGAGGCAACGGATACGTTCAAGGAGTTGCTCATGATTGTGCGCAAGTGCGGCCACATTTCGATTGTGTCGGACTACATGTGCTCGGTGCAGTCGTTCCCAATCGGCCACGTCGCGATGAAGAGCGTGACGGTGAGTGCTGGACGCACCCCTGCGCAGAAGTACTACCCGCAGGTGTTCGACGCTATCGAAAGTGGCGAGCTGGACCCGTCGGTGCTGATCTCGCACCGCCTGGCACTTGAGGAGGTGCCCGAGGCGTATTCTCGCATCGCCAAGAAGGACAGTGGCTTCCTCAAGGTGTTTGTGGCACCGCACGAGATGCGCTCCAAGGCGTAAGCGCCAGCGAAGCAGAGCCGAGATGAGGTGAGATGTCCCGCCAGAAGGAGAGATGAAGAAACGAGAACAGTGGCAGAGTTGGTGGGCATCGAGCTCTTTATTTTCTGAGTATGCTAAGCGGAAAGCTGCCACCGCCTAATGATTTCAATATTTGTGATGTTTCGAGTTCCTCTTCTTCCGCTTTGCTATCAACACTGCTGCACCTACTGATAATCCGAAGTTGTGTTGATCTGGTCATCCAAGTTCTACGCCACCACCCCTAAGAAATGTTGCGATATTGCTTGGCGCGAGGTCGGCAACTTATCTCAAATTCAGTGCAATGCATCGAGTGGCAAACTGTCGATACTCAACCAGACACCTTGATTGAATGATCATCTCTGACCTCCATTTTCTCTGGAAGGATGTGGTCGTGGGTTTAGCGTTTCCATCATGTAGCCTGAGATCCATAATGAGATGATTGTTGGTGTTGTCGTTCTCGCTGCATTCTCCAATTCGCGAGCGACAAAGCAGCCTTCCACCCACCGGCAATTTCCCTTCCCTCGTCACGTACCGGGTTAGAATGAAGAGTGCCGCCACCGTTGCCGCCTTCCTTGCGCTGAGCATTCTGGCCGTCACGGATGGAGCAACCTGCACCGAGAACGCCTGCACTTCGTGGTCTACAACAGACTGCAGGTGCGCCAGCAACCAAAGATGACGAAGACTGGAACCACCACGACCATCACCACCACCACGTGAAGAAAGTCAAGAAGATCGCCATTCCTGTCCCCGTGGAAGTGCCGCAGTACATCCCTGTCCCGGTCAGTGTTCCGTCCACGGTGGTGGCTAGCTCCAATACTGCGGTGGTTGCACCTGGAGCACCGGGCGCCCCAGGGGCCCCAGGTGCGCCGGGTGCTCCCGGATCCCCCAATGCACCGGGTGCTGCACCTGCTACGCCTGCTCCGACCACTACGCGCGGACGCCCCGCAGCAACCCCAGCTCCCACGGTACCCGACAGGGCGAGAGCCACACCGGCACCAACTAGCTTTGCCGGTGCGAATGCACCTGCAGCTCAACAACCCGGCGCATAGTCAGGCATTGCAGGTGGCGCCAACAACGCTCTCGGTGCTGGACTTGGCGGACTTGGCGGGACCGGTGCCATTGTGGGCGGGTTTCCTGGAGCCACTGGTGCCTTCGGTGGCAACGCGATGGGCGGCTTCGGCGCTGGCAGTCCTATGAACGGTCTTGGCGGCGGTCTCGCTGGCGGCTTTGGCGCTAGGAACCCGATGGGAGGTCTCGGTGGCGGAATGCTCGGCGGAGCTGGTGCTGGTATGAATGCTGGCGGATTCAGCGGAAATGCTGTGGGCGGGCAGCAGATGGGCTTCGGTGGAGCGCAAGGCGTAAACGCGTTTGGCGGGATCGGCGGTTAAGATGCAATGGGAAACTTTTGTGCTGGTGGAGATCAAGCTGGCGCAGGATTCGGTGGCGGTGCACAGATGGGTGCTGGCAATGGTTTTGGAGGAGGTTTCAACTTCAGCCGTCGCCGCTAGCTGATCGTTCTTCGCTGCGAGTTCTTGTATAAACAACAAAACGTAGCTTCCAGCAAAGTAAAAATCAAGAAGACAACTCTGTGCAACAAACAATATCGATGTAAGCTCGCTCTATATTGCAAAAAGGAACGTGAATGGCAAAAGCCGTTGTTTACATAGTAGCCGCCAGCAACCCTCAGTGAGCAAACTGGCGCTTGTCACCCGACGCGCGCTTGCCGTACGGGTTGTCGGCACTAAATGCGTGGCCCGAGCGCTGGAACTTGCCACCACGTGAGCTGCCGTCGTTGTCGAACGATGTACCCTTGCGTTTGCCAGTCTTGCCGTTTGTCTTCACTGGAAGCGTCACCTTGGGCGGAACCTGGAGACCGAAAGACTTGGCCACTCCCTGCAGGTCAAGACGGCCAACGTCGAAAATGCCCTTCAACGAATGAGACGCATATGCCAGCAGATATCCACGGTACGCGTCCTTGGCGGACTTGTGGAGGTAGTACGTCTTCTCCACAAGCTTCATGAGCTGAGATTCGACGTTGGCAATCTTCGAGACAGGGAACTCGTACTCATTGAGCGCCACCTTCGAGGCCTTCAAGTACTTCAGGAATCCAAGCTCATCCGGCAGCAGCATAAGCAGCGCCTTACCCTTGCCCTTAGCTCCACGCGCGGTACGACCCACACGGTGAATGTACTCGCGCGGGTCATCAGGCGGGTCGAACTGAATAATCCAGTCTACCGCCGGAATATCGAGACCACGAGCAGCCACATCGGTACAGAGCAAGATGCCAGTCTTCGCGTTACAGAACTGGAAGAATGTGGTCGTACGCTTGTTCTGTTTCTGCTTGCCGTGGATGTCCAGCACCGGAATGTCGATGTAGTTGAGCAGCTCACCGTAGAACTTGACGGCACTGCATGACGAAAAGAAAACCATCACCTTCTTCTTCAAGTTCTTCTTGAGGAACGTGAACAGAAGGAGGAAGCGCTTGTCACTCGGCGTCACAACGTAGCCCTGCTCAAGCGTGGCAACTGTGGCCTTGGTGTCTTCTTCTTCCACGCCGACGTACACAGGCTTCTCCTTGATAGAGAGACGAGCAAGGTCCTCCACCTTCTTCGTCTGCGTGGCACTGAAAAGCATCGTCTGGCGCTCCTTCGGGATACACTTGATGATCTGACGCATCTCCTCCTCGAAACCGATGGACAGAATACGATCAGCCTCATCAATAACGAGAATCTGCAGGTTGTGGTAGATAAAGGCCTTGGTGTTCTGCAGGTGATCCAGGAGACGACCAGGCGTGGAGATCAAAATGTTCACGCCCTTCACCAGACGCTCCGCCTCGGCACGGCGGTTGGCTCCACCCATGACAATACCGTGCGTCTGCGAGTGGTACTTGCAGATGTCGCGCACAACGCCGTAAATTTGCAGCGCCAGTTCGCGCGTGGGCGAAATGACAATGCATCCCGTGCCCTTGCGCGCCGTGAAGCGGACCTTGTGCAGCAGCTCCACCGCCGGAATGAGGAACGACAGCGTCTTACCGGAACCGGTCTTAGCGGCACCCAGCAGATCCTGTCCAGCCAGCAGCGGGCGAATCGATTTGGACTGAATCTTAGTCATCTTGGTGAAGCCCATGTCGGCCAGAGCCTTGCGCGTGGGCTCCGACAGTGGCAGCGAAGCAAACTCCTCGTTGGAGAAGTAGCGCTGGTCCACGGTACCCTCGGCCAGGCTGTGGTTGGCCGCATCCGCAATAGCCTGCTCCGTCTCTTCGTCCTGCTCGTCGTCCCCATTCGGCTCCACGGGCGCCTCCTCCTCTTCCTGCTCAGCCTCAGCCTCGAAGTCGGCAGCCTCAGGCTCCCGCTTCTGCTTGGCCTGCTTAGCCTTCTTGGACTTTTTCTTCTTTTGCTTCTTGTCCGCAGACTCAACAGCAGCGTCGACCTGCGGCGTCGTCACCTTGGCGGTGACCGGCTCGGCCTCGGCCTTCTCCTCGGCCGGGCTCGTTCCTTTGCGTCGCGTCTTGCCCATTTTGCCAACTATCGGCAGCCAGTGGAGTGTGACGTTTCAAAACCCAAACTCCGCATGCGCACACAAGCTCCTGCACGATTATCTCCGATCTTTTGGCTGGTGGGGACGCAGCGTGTCAAATGGGACCCACGGATTGGCTAAAATGAGATCGCGGTCTATGTACCGCTTTTCTGGAACAATCTGTCAAATGCTCGTGTGACCCACCACCGCACATCCGGCTTGACTTGCCCCGAACCAGCAGCTCCGCCGCCCCGATGCTTCGCCTCTCCTCGCGTGCCTTGCGCCGGGCGCGCCTCGCCGCTCCCCGCAACAGCCAGCTGGCACTCTCGAGCCGCGGGCAATCGCAGTCGCGCGCCATGGGCTTCTTCGCGGACCTGAAGAACCAGCTTAAGAACGAGATGGAGAAGAACGAGGAGCTCAAGAAGTCGTTTGAGGAGCTGGAGAAGACCAAGGAACAGTTCAAGAACGTGGAGAAGGCCGCTAAGGATAAGATACACGAGATGAGCTCCATGACTGAGGAGGCGGCCAAGAACCTGCAGGAGCAGGCCACGCAGGCCTCGCAAAAGATCAAGGAGTCCTACGAGGAGACCGCAAAGGTGGCCGCGGCTGCTACTAAGAAGGAGGAGGACAGCAAAAACACTGCAGAGGGCACCACCGACACTGCGACGGAGGAATCTGAGCAGGAGGCCAAGAAGGACAAGGAGGGCAGCGAGGTATGTCGACCATCGGCTTGGATTTGCTGATGCGTTTGTCTGAAACGGCAACTAACTTTGACTTTGTATTTCATTGCCCCCAGAAAACTGAGCAGGCGGAAGAAAACGCGGACGGTGCTCGTGCTTTTGTGAAAAACTTCTTTGCTGGCATCACTGTGCAGAAGAACAAAATCATCAACCCCAACAAGTTCCCCAAGCTGCGCGATGAGTGGAAGGAGGCGGCGCAGGAGCTTTTTGGCAAGAGGGAGAAGCAGACGGTTGACGAGGCTTTGGCTTCAGTTCGCACCCCGTCCGTGCAGAAGCCGAAGAAGTCGGAGGATGGCGACGAGGAGCCGACGGAGTACACTGGTACCAGCGCTCTGGTGGCAGTGAAGGAGGAGGAGAGCGCTTGGCAGCGTGTGAGCGCTCGTTTCCGCGAGGCTCCGATTATCCAGGGCATCCTTGATGCCGCGAAGCAAGCCGCCAAGACGGAGGCAGGAAAGAAGGTTCAGCAGACGACGAAGCAGGTCAAGGACAAGTTTAGCGACGCCCAGGAAGAGGTTCTTGAAGTTTGGGAGACCAGCCAGAACCCTTGGGTGTACCGACTATCGTCGATCTATGACGGCCTCTTCGGCGAGACGCCCATGGGTGTTGCCATCAAGGAGATCCGCCGCGCTGAACCCGACTTTATCTTGGAAGAGTGGAAGGAGAACATCGAAGAGATCGTGTTGCCGGGTGTTCTGGAGGCTTTCCTGCGTGGCAACAGCCGTGACTTGAAGAAGTGGTTCGGCGAGGCCGCTTACTCGCGCGTCAACATTGCCATTCGTGAGCGCAAGTCGGAGGGGTTGGTCATGGACCCGCACGTGCTGAGCATCGACAATGTGGAAGTGATTGAGGCTACGGTACGTGTTTATTATTTGGCACTGTTGGTATATTTGCATGTTCTGACATTTGTTTATTGTGTAGGCTGAGGACAAGCAGGCGCCGATCATCCTGATGCGATTCCAGGCGCAACAGATCAACTGCATTCGCAGCCGTGAGGGCGAAGTCGTGGAAGGATCCGAGGACGAGGTGCTGGCGTACTACTACATTTTTGCCTTCCAGCGTGACTACGATGAGGAGCAGGAAACCCTCCGCTGGAGAATTGTGGACCTGCACATGCAGCGTGGCGGTCGGTATTATTAGAGAGCAGGACAAGTGCAAGATGCACCATCAGGCTAAGCGTCGCAAAGTTCACTGAGGCCGTTTGGTACTGACGCACGGGTGTAGCGAAGGCGCGAACATGACTCGTGGATAGACAACAAATAAACTCGCTCGCCCGCGTGTTACTTTTACCGCTCTAGATGATGCACGCAGGTTGCATGGGCTTTCATTCCCCAACGGTGCAGTGCTCAAGGCTTGTGGCTGGTAGCCACAAAATATTGGCCAATAGGGACGCCGCGATCCAGTCACTTCAACTACGTACGTTGAAGTTTCTGCGACCATCACTCCGTTCCGCACTGGTGGCTCACAGCTCCGCTTTCATTGTCGAATCCGCGCGACCAAGCACAAGTGGAACAGCAGACAAACAGCAGACTTGATAACGGACACTATGGGCCTCTCAAGAAGGTATGCGTGCTTGCGGACTGGAATTTATTGCAGGGCCTTCTGACATTATCTTCCGAAGCGAACGTAGAACCACAGAGGCAGGGCTGCACATGGGCGCTATGCCACGCGTCCATGATAGCGATGACGAAGAGGAGGACAGCCTGCGCTCGTACGAGCCCATCGACTTGTTACAGGACGCCGGTGTCAAAGCTACCGACATTGCCAAGCTCAAAAACGATGGCTTCGCAACCATCGGGCAGCTCTTCCAGGTGTCACAAAGAAAACTGCTGGATGTGAAGGGGATCAGCGAGGCCAAAATGGACAAGGTACCAGGCATCCACTTCTTTGTTGACATTACGGCGTTTCTTCACCTGACGATGTGTACTTCATTCTCAGCTTCTTCAAGCAGGCAAAAAGGTAATGCGCTCCATTCAAGAGAAATCGTTCGTTATGCACGTACACTAACGGAATATCAACACAGCTCATGCCCGAGAAAAGTGGGTTCGTCTCGGCCAACACGCTGTACCAGCAGAGTCAGAGCAAGATATTTATCACCACCGGATCGAAGCGTAAGAGATACAACCTGCATTTCTCGCGCTCTTATCTTGTTAAAATGGAGTATGATCGTTGCATGGGAGGCAGATTTTGACCAGATTCTTGGAGGAGGCTTGGAAACGATGTCCGTCACAGAGGTGCACCAATGTGTGGGCAGAACTCTGGTCCCGTCGTCTGAATCTGACATGGAGGCCGCGTGCTACAGGTTCATGGAGAGTTCCGAACAGGAAAAACCCAGTTGTGCCACACGGTAGCGCCTTTCAAGTGCCTGCACGTATGAGCTTGACAACTGATAGATGCTTGTGGGTTCTCAAGCTATGCGTGACAGCGCAGTTACCTCGTTATCGAGGAGGAGGGGCTGGTACGAGCAATGCGCGATAAATGTACTGGAGAAGCATAACCTCACATTTTTTCTCTTTCAACAAGGGAAAGTTGCTTTCATCGACACCGAGGGGACTTTCCGACCGAATCGGGTGGCTGAAATCGCAAAGAAGCGATACAACATGGTACGTCACTATCCAAACAGTGAATTGTATCATGCAAGCGCGGGCTGAGAAAATTGTTTTTAGGATCCAGAAGATGTTCTCGCCAACATCATTGTGGCGAGGTATGTGTTTGCCAATAATGGAAAATGAATCGGCGACGAACTTACCTTTCATGGCAGAGCTCATAGTCACGATGCTCAAATGGACCTCGTGATCAAGCTCGGGGTGCTTTTCGCGGTACGCAATGCATGAAGGAAGGAAGCATGCGGAGGATATACTGTACAACTGTAGCACTTACGGCTGCTACCTTTGCAGGATCCTGACCAGGGTCCATTTCGCCTTCTGATCATCGACTCTGTGACTGCGTTATTTCGCACGGACTTCTCCGGAAGGTAATAGTTGTCGGTACCATTACCTATCGGCATTGCTCACGCACGTGCACATCAATAGAGGAGAACTAAGCGAGAGACAGCAGCGACTTAACCAGCATCTTGTTCGACTCGTCAAACACGCCGAGGTAAGAAGAGCAAGAACCGTGTGCTGGAACTTCGATGTGGTTGACAAGTTAAGAATTCGTGTATAGGAATTCAATATCGCGGTTCTGGTCGTGAACCAAGTAATGGGAGACCCCACGGCCAATGTGATGTTCGGCTCCGGCGTGAAGCCTGTTGGTACGTTTGAAGCTAAAGTCGATCAAGGATAATATCCCTCACTTTTACCTGCAGGTGGTCATGTGATGTCTCACGGAGTCCACACTCGTGTGCTGGTGCGTCGAATCTATCACTACAATCCTGCAAGCGTGCTGAACTAACCAACTTGTACGGTGATCTGCAGATGAAGAAAGGGCGGGCTGAAAATCGCATCTGGTAATGATATGCACCCCGCGTACGTGTCGACCTACGCTGACAATTTGTTGTCTACCTGTAGCAAAATCATCGACAGCCCCTGCATGCCTGAGGCAGAGTGCTCCATCCAACTTTACGCTGGCGGAATCAAAGATTCAGGCGACTGATTAAAGCCCTTTCATTATAATTTATCTTAGCTGGGCATCTAACGTACAACGAATCTATCCGCGGAGATGCATCTCGCTCTCTCTACATCACTGGCGCCGCATGAGCCTGCTTTTGATCTTCTAGCATATACCAAGTGGGGTTGTAGGAGCACTCCACGTCGGGATTAATGTTATCCACGCCGATCTTCAATTCCATCGGTAACGCTTCCAAATCCTCTTTTGGTATGTAGTCGAGGTTCTGGTGCAGGACCTGCATGGCAAGGATCAGTAGCGTCGACGGTTGGTGCATCATAGAGTACCGGAAAACGTCGTTGTTGCGCTCCACGCCGTTGGATCCGCCAAACACGAAGATTTGGTTGTTGTGCACGACGCTTGTGTGGAAATCACGAGCATCGGGCTGGAAGCCCTCCTCGTTGTAGAAGATTCGCCATTCTCCAGTGCGCAAGTTCAGTTCACTAAGCTCGTTCTGCCGTGAGCCACTGTCGTCGCGTCCGCCAAACATGATCAGTCGGTAAGGGTCGTTCGACAACTGCGAAATTGTGTGCGCAATGCGCGACTTCGGAATATCGCCACCACATTCGACTTCGTGCCACGTGAGTGTGTCTACATCGAGGTAGTACGTGTCGATGGGCCCCTTGGGAGGATCGTAGAGACCACCGCCAACGACGTACATGCGGTTGTCAATCATGGCCACTTGGTGCTTGTATCGCGGGCTTGGGCGTTTGCCACCAGTCTCTTCCTTTCTCCAGATCTTTGTCACTTCGTCGAACACGTACAAGTCGTTCACGTAGACGTGTCCAGAGGTGCCACCGAAGAGATACAGCTTGTTGTTGATCGCGCACAGACTCTGCCCATAGCCCGGCGGGGGCTGTGTGCCTTCGGCCTCAACGATCGTCCAATTCTTATCGCGAATGCTGAATTGCAGCAGCTTGCCCATGTTGGTTTGACCCCAGTGCGGGCCCGACCCGCCGAACAGGTAGAGCTTCGTCTTGTCCGTAGAGGTACACCAGGCGTGGGAGGCACGGCCGTCTGCGAGGGATGTCAAAAGCGATCCGGTGAGTGAAGAACTACGCAGCCAGCGTGCACGGTAATACGTGGAGCCGTACCGGGAGAAATGCCGTTCGACGTCTCAATGTGCATCCAGTGGTGGCGGATCAGATCAAACGCGTATATGTCGTTGTGGCAGTTCCCGTCGTTGTATCCCCCGAACACGTACATCATGTCGCCGACTGCAAGCAGCAAAACGAGAACAATTGTTAGTCGGGTAATGCACGTGCAGCACTAGCTGTAGCAACAGCTACGCACCAACAAGGGACGAGTGGCCGCTGCGCACTGGCGGACGGTGGCCCGACGTCGAGATCTTGGTCCAGTTGGACGGCGTGTCTTCTGCAGAGAACAAACGCAGCAACAGTGAGATTCGCGCTCGCTCCCGATCCGCAGGGACTACACCACTCACCCAGCTCGTCCTCCTCGTACGAGAGCTCCGAGCCGAAGCCGAAGCGCCGCGCGATGGGCGAGTTGACCCAGCGCGGGCTGCGCAGCAGCTTGAACAGGTCGTCGAACATGGTCGTCTGGCGTGCGTGCGGGGGGCGGCAGGTTCGGTTGTGCCGGTCGTTTCCTCTCTTCCGACTGTGCGAAATGCAGTAGTGCCACTCTGTGCGGCGCTTGGCTTCTTCTGCCCTATCTTTGGATCTTCCGTCTGAGTCTATTTTTAGTCGCACTTGGCGTTTGTATGGGCACACCTGCTCTCTGTGCGGCCGTTTCTTCAAGTCGCTGGTATATTTGGCCGGCGTCTTATTACGACCCCGCACCTTCGGCACCGGTTCCGCCCTGGGCATGGCGGTGGTGAAGGCGACAGGTATGTGACGCCGAGCCTGCTGGGCTGCCGAGGGAATGTCTCCAAACTGCCACCGCGGGGCTAAACCGCCACGAACCTCACGTTTGCCGGCCTGAAACGTGCCGTTGGCCTCGAAAACGCTCTCTGCCCAAGAACGCTAAGAGCGCTACGATGTTGCGCTGCTGGGCATGGCTCCTCGCGCCTCATGCGCTCGCTTCGCCAGCCACCACGTAAATGCAGCCGTGTCTGCTGTGGCAGCTCTCGCGTGCATGCCCCGCCACGCACTGTTTGCCAACGAGGGGGCGCGCGACGCGCACACGACGCGGCGATCGAGGGCGGACTATCCATGCTGGCTTTGCTTCATATCCCCATATGGGCCGTGCCGGGTGGCTGGAAAGCGACTTACGCCCCGGTGGCTTTAGCGCGCGGCAGTCTCTTTTGCGGAGAGAGGACTCGACAAGCGCCAAGTCCTGCGTGAAGCTGGCGCACTGCTGGAGTAACCGAGGTTACGTTCTCGTAGGGGTACCCTGTCGACGGGGGTTACACAATCAAAGGTGCAATGGAGCCGAAGCCCGCAGGCAAGTCGCAGCGGAAGCGGCTGCAGCGGCAGCTGGAGTTCTACCTGGGCGAGAGCAACCTCCGCCAGGACAAGTTCCTGCAGCAGGCCATGGACGAGCAGGGCTTCGTGCCTGTGCGCGTGTTCCTGTCCTTCAACAAGTGCGCTGTCATCGTGCAATTTAACACCTAGGAAGTGTCTCACTGACAAGATCGTGCTCGGTTGAATGGCCAGACTGAAGGCACTCAAGGCGACGGAGCGAATGATCCTGGACGAGGCCGAGAAATCCTCGGTGATGCGGGTCGACCGCTCACGCTCGTGCATTGCGCCGAAGGTCGTGCCAGCGGCGGGCGAAGACTATGGAGCAGGTGCGTAGGCAGTCACGAGACTGAGTCAGGCACAACAAACTAACCCGTTTTGCTACGTCCGCCATACTGCAGATGCCAGAACAATCTACATCGACAGCTTCGGCACCACGGACGACCATGACTCGCTGCGTCGCACCTTCACCAAGTTTGGCAAGGTGAACTTGGTGAGCATGCCGAGGTTCCCACAAAGCAAAAAGTTCAAAGGCTTTGGGTTTGTGGAGTTCGCGGAGCAAGATTCTGCCGAAAAAGCTACTGCCAAGGCCTCGGATGCTGACCTGCGCGGCATTCGTGTCATGAGTAAGCGCCGATGGCTCGAGATGAAGGAGCAGTTGAAACTTCGCTTGTCCTGCCCTGGTACTTCTGGAAGCAGTGCCAGCGCCAAAGTAGACGACGCCAGTGACTCCAACAAGAGTGCTAACTTGGTGACTGCTTCCGGTACGAAGAAAAAGAGACGCCAGAAGCCAGCATCAGGCGGTCATATCCATTTTGGCAACGAGGACAGTGACGAACAGCCTGTCGACAACGATAGCAACGACAATGAGGACATGCCAACCAAGAAACAGAAAATATAAAGCAGAGCTTGCATTGTCCCAACTAAATGCGGTAGGCGGCCGGGTCGACATGCTCAAGGTCGTACAGGTGGGCGATCTTCTTCATCATCTCTTTACGGCTTTTGCTTGTGGCGTTGTCGAACAGAAGATCGTAGAGAGAGCTGAGGTTAAAGACAACTACACCATTGAGGAATCGCTGCGGGTTTGACCTGATCATCCGCTCCAATGCTGCCACGGCTGCCTTCACGTCGCAACAGTAAAGCGCGCAGATCGCATAGTTGTTAACCGCAGAGCAAACAACGTCCTCCTCCAGGAAAAGGTCCGCATCCGAGCTCTCGGCAGTCATGCCTTGCGCGTTCTGCAAATACAGAATGGAGTCAAACGCACTCAGCGCCTCTTGAAGCTTGTTTTGCGCAAATAGCAGTAGCCCATCATTCAAGAGCACGCGAGCTTCCAGCTCTTCGAGGTCCTTCACCGATACGCCATTACCGCCAGCTGCTCTGAAGTGTCCGGTGTGATATCGAGCAGCCTCAAACAGTTTCTCCGCGGTCGCTAGGTCGCCCATCTGTAGACGGATGCGCCCCACACGGGACAACACAATCACCTTTTCATGATCCACCAAGTGTTGGGCCTGATAGAAACAATATCAAACACCATTCCCGTCAGCACACTGACAAACCAATACAATTGCTACCAACTCGGACGTACCTCAATCTGTGAGCAAATACGCAAGGCCAGCATAAACTTTTGCTGCTGCACAAGGTGGTTTGCAAGAGCAAACTGTGCGATTCGCAGCCACCGTGCAGCTGCACTCAATTCGACACCCAGGAGACCTACCGTCTCGTTTTGCTGAATAGCGGTTCGCAGCCGCATTATCAGGTGGAACAATTGCTTCTCATGAAGCACCGGCTTCCCTTGGCACTTGCTTAGTAGCGCTTGAAGCAGTAGTAGACGGATCAGCACGAATGAGGTCTTTCCAACCGCGGTAGATAATTCGTCTAGGTTCCCAATTTGATCCAGCACGCTTGCTGCATTGTCGTAATGACCCTCCTTAATCAGCCCGGCAAGCCACCACGACTTGATTTCCAGCGTCACGCTCATTTCCTTTGACGGGTTTTGCAGCATTGAAAGTGCCTTTTTGGTCAGCGATTTCCAGCGCTTCTGCGCGTACAACGCTTCCAACCCCTCAATCGTGTCCGGAATGTCAGCAAGAAGTAGCTTGCTTGCAGGTGGGCTTGCATTTTCAGCCCCTGCGAAACGTTTATCAATCGGCATCTTTAGAAACTCGTCCACAAGATCGTCCGGGGATGGGGCTTCTAGCGTGATTCGTGGGGGAGACGGAGGAGGCACTGGCGCTGCAGAGGGCGGCGTCTTGGCTGGAGAGGGAATCTTTCGGGCATCGGCGAACAACGAACCAGGGGTAGAAGCCGGGGCTGCATGATTCTGAAAAGACTGCGACCGGGCATTGTCTGCATATCCCAGGAACGGTGCAGCAGGAGGCGGTGCTTGGCCGAATGCCCGCGAGGATACTTGTTGTTGTGGCTGCTGCTGATACGGGGCATACTGTTGGTTCTGTCGAGGCTGGGCTGGAGGAGGCAGTGACCTGCTAAACGGTGATGGCGTTGGGCCTTGTGAGGAGCTAAGTGATGAATGCCGGGACAGCTTTGGGGCTTCCTCAGCAGTTGTTGACGCCTTTTCCGGACTGCCAAAAAGGCTTTCGTAAGCATTCCGCTGGCTAGGCTGTCCTGGCGCTGAAGCTGGACCAAATAGATCTTCAGGCAGCGATCGCTGAGGTTCTCTTGGCATATCAGTAGCCTGCTGCATCTGAAACGGCGGTGCTGGCCCAGAAGGACTGCCAAAGGGGTCAGTGCTAGATCGATATCGCTGGGACGTCGCAGCCGTCTGCCCAAAAACATCGTTCGCAGCTTGAGCTGGTGGCGGTGGAGCTTGTCCAAATAAATCGTTAGGTGGACCCGAAGACCTCTCAACAAAAAGTGATGTCGTGGGCTCGGGCGTAGCGCCAACACTTGACGCTGATAGATGCCTCTGAGGGACAAGCGGCGTGGACAGCTGCGTTGGCGCAGCTCGTACCGCGTGGCCTTCACGATGATATCACGTTTTACCTTAGCTACACTGTATCCCTGTAGTTGTGAGCAAGTAACGAACGTACCAGGGAATTGCCCGGGAGCGCCGAAACCGGGGCGAACCTGATTCACCATCGCTACGGGGCTACAAACCACTACGTTAGGAACAGCAGAGGCACGATTACTTTACCGCAATAAATTGGGGCTTACCCAGACGCGAATGGAGAGGGCCTTGTTGCGGAAGAGGCTGCAGCCCCGCCAGCGTTATGTAGGCCTGCGGCTGGCTGCTGCTCAGGGGGGAAGCGGCTTGCCATGTTGGCAGCGATCTGTCGGGTTGCAAATTCGGTACTTGCCAAATTGCAATTTTTAGCCTATCAGAAGTGAGGTGTATTTAAACACCATTTACACCTAATTAGGGGTGAGCGGTGTACTAAGTCTGTTCCGGCTTATTGTGCCTTTCTAGCAAAACGCCCTCCGATTTGAGGTCCTACGTAGGACTTTTTCTCCTACGTAAGACCCCATAAAAGTTAATACCAAGACCTCTGATTCGGAAAAGGAGACCCTAGAAGGTCCTAGGATGAACGTTCATCCGGGTAGTAATACATATAGATAAAACTTGCCGGTCATCCCTCAGTATAGTTATAAACCCTACTTGTTAACCCTAAACCAAAAGAGATTTACGTAGACGTAGTATTTCTGAAAGCTGGTAGAGCCTTGCGAGATGAACGGATTTAACCCACCGGCGAACGTTATCCCGATTTTGCTGGGATAAGAAAAACCTCGGGGGAAAGTGCCGGTTCAAGCCATACAGGTGGTTAGGGTAACTGCGACTCTTCAAGGTCCCGCCGACAGCGTTTTGGCCAATGCGATCTGTTTGCGGATTTCTCACCTTGAAAGGTAGATGGGCATGGGTGCCGGGCTTCCGCGCCACCATTGGCCACCGCACAAGCATTTACACCCGCAAATTGCCAGGTGCCCGCGAAGGATTAGCGCTTCTCTACTATGGTAAAATTCTGAGTTGATAGGATGCACCGCTCACTAATGTTAACTTTATTTTACCTTGTATCATTGCCTTCTATAGATGCCTTCGCACGATCGAGGTACGCTGGTCGTGGAGCTACGAGTACGGCTCTACCAGTGCCACTGCGAAGACCGAGTTGTTCCGATCGAGGCCTGGACACTCCTGTTCGTGGAGGAGCCCGACCGCTACTTCGGCAATGTACGTGAGGCGTCAGGGCTACTGGAGCTTTAGCAGAAGGGAGGCTGACGCTGAGAGATGTTGTGGGCTCGGTAGGTGTGCGAGCTGGACACCATCTTCAACCTCCACAAGGTAAGGCGGCGTCTTGGCAGCTTTGGCGTTCATATCTAGGGGCTCATGCTGGTGTTGTTGTTGTCGACAGGCGTATTACATTCAGGACGAGCTGTTCACCGGCTACTCCCGGCAGGAGTTGAGCAAGGAGGCGATCTTGTGCATCTGCGCCCACCTATGCTACGTACCCCCACCGCTGGTGAAACCTTGCGGGTGCTGATACTTCACCCTAACGCGAGTCGACTCCACAGCGAATGTCCAAGCGCGATGCCGAAGGCACGACGGTGGAAACAAGCGGCAGGGAGGACGCCAAGAGCACGACAGGGACAGCGGGGTGTGGCAAGACTCCAAGAACGACAGATACAACGGCGGCTTGAAGCATGGAGTCTTCATGGTCGACTGGGGTCTGGTTACGGAGCCCACGATGCTGTACGTTGACTCGAGTAAGCTCGTCCGCTACGAACACTTCATCTTGTATTGGGTTCTCTATACCTCGTATGACAGCTTATGGGGCGACAGCGGCTTCATTACGCTGTCAAACTCAACTGCAGGTCGAAGTTGATTAGAGTTGTGATTGATTTTCATGCAATTAATACATAGTTGTTGGTTCAACCCTCGGCGGCAATGTTAGAGTAGTGATCGTAGTTACTGCATCGACCATCTTGGTTCAGCTGCGCGTACAGGGTAAATCCCGAAAGGAGCTGCTGTAAATCATCAGAACGTGAATTGTTTTCAGTAGCTTCCACCGCTTGCAAAACGAATTTTCGCACGTATTACGATGCCGCGGGCACACTCGTGTGCCAGCGCCACCAGACGTAGATGAGGTAGCCTAATGCACAGAGCACGCATTGCCAAAACCACGTCTTCTTCGAACACAGTGTCGTGGCAAAATAAAAGGGTGGTGGAGCTGATAAGGGAGCTGGGTTGAGCCAACTTCGAGTCTGGATCAGCACTGATAACAGTATCGCTGCCTTCAGCAATATTGCGGCTGTCTGCGGTGACGACGCTGATCTTGAGCAAGTGTGGAAAGCGCGATGCCCTAGACGCAATCAGCTCCATACCTCTAGCGGCCAAGGTTGGATCTCAATACCAACCACACGAAATGCTTGCGTTTGCAGAGCGATTTGAGCGAGAACATTTCCCACGCCGGATCCAGCATCCAGAAACACGTCATTCACTTGAATATTCGATTCTTCGATCAGCATGGACACCTCAGCCATTGTAATCTCCCCGGTATTTAGCTGACGTTCACTCGCGCGCATATCACGCCTGGTGAGTAGGCAGAATAGTCCTTCAGTGGCGTTGTAGGTTTCTTGCGGTGATAGGGCCGCAATGGTATGTGGTGAAGGTGAACATCGTAGAGGAGACGCGGCTTTGGCTTCCAAATGCAGTCCTGCTCGGTCTGGTGGCGGGCGGAAATAGCGTGGGGGGAAACTCAGCACGATATTGCCATATCGTCTCTTGAGCGTCTTGATTCACTGTTGCAGTTTGGTTGCGCTCCATGTTGACGGCCTCATGTCTTTCTCCACTGACACCCAGTCGATTCGTCTTCCCGCTTGCTCGTACACCGCCGCGAGCTGAACGAGTTGGCGATCCTCATCATCTGAAAAGCCGGCCATTTTTCGCTTCGGATACTGTCTATACAAACTCAAGTAAAACGACCCTTTGGGGGTTCATACTGAAACCGAGTTTATTTTTTTGGATTTGAAATTCAACATTGGGTCGCTGTCGACCGAGTCAATGTAGACTCGTTCAAAGTCGAAGTTGACTTCGCTATTACTGAAACTAGTACGTTTGAGTCAATGTCGACTTGGTTGAAGTCCATGTTGACTTCGCGATCAATAAAACAAGCGTATTCGAGTCAAAGTTGACTCGCTCTAAGTCATCGGTGACTTGGAAATGTGTATTCATTCATCGTTACGCAGCAGCACACACGACTACAGCAGACTAAGGACTAATGATTTTCTCCAACACGCCCAATGCTTCCATAATCTCCGTGCATACATACGCGTATCTGCCGTGGTCCATCGAGTGGATGACGATCCATGTCTTGTCGTGGACCAACTCATTTCATTTCTCCCAGAACTCGACCGCAAGCGCCTTGAACTCTTCAGCGTCCGCCGTCTTCGATCCAAACGCCTCCTTCATTTTGCCCAGAATGAAGTCGCGCTTCTTCTGCATTGTGCTCGTGTTACCTACATTTTTTTTCAATCCAGAGACAATGGAATTCAATACAATGTCAAACCACACTGAAGCAGAAACTCAAGCGGCTTACCATCTCGGATGACGGCGTTCCATTCCGTGAACCCTTCGATAGCTACCGCGCTATGCTTGAACATACTCAAGTACAGCTCTAGCCTCGCGATGGTGTCTTGCAATCTGCTGTTCTCCGTTTTCACCGCCTCTAGCGCAGCCTTCATCGATTCCAACTGCGTTCTCACTCCACCCCGTTCTGCTTGCATCACCGCCCTCTCTTCCTCTATCCGGTTGCGGTTGGCTTCGAGCTCTTTAAACGCAGCTGGGCACCCGTTGTTCTTGAACTGCTCTTCCAGGAGCCGGGTCTGTCGCTTCATTTCATTCGAAATCTTCGCCTGCCTCAGCGATATTCGGCCTCCTTGTTGCTTCTCTCGACTCGGCTTCTCTCGTTTCTTTTTACCCGCGTCCAACTGCTCCTGCTCCAGTTGCAGGCGATGCGTTACGTTCTGGAGACGCCGACCCTCCTCTTTGAGCTTGGCCTCATGAGATTGCAGCTCCTCGGCTTTGACTTGTAGTTCTTCCTCCTTGTTCTCCAAATTCTTCTCTCGCGTAGCCACCTCCTTCTCCCCGTCCTCCAGTTTTTTCTTGCGTTCGTTCACCTCTCTCGTGAGGTTGTTCATGTCTTCGTGCACACCCTGGAGTTTCTTAGCATGGCTAGCCTGCGCCTTAAGTAGATTGTCTGCGTGCGTGGTGACGGATTGCTTCGACAAATTCAACTCAGTTTCCACATGGGCAAGTTTGTTGCGCAAGCCACTTGAAATCGCCTTCTCCTCGGCTAGTTTTGCAGCGTCTTCTTCCACTCATGCGCTATCACGGTACATCTGTCTTCACCACTGCCATCACTGCCACCACTGCCATCATTCCTGAGTTCGGCCAGCTCCTTCGCAGCGGCTGCCAACTGCTCCTCTAATTTCCTTGAGCGTGCTTGCTCCTCCTCCAGCTGTCGAGCCCCTTTCTGCTTCTCTTCATCCAGCTTCTCTCGGAACTGCTGCAGTGCTTGCGAAATGGTATTTTCAAGATGTGCATACTCCCCTCGCAAAGGGTGGGTTTGCAGGCTCCGAGCTGGGGCACCTTCCACCTGCACGGCCACGGGTGTCTGCGCTTGGACGGAGATTGGAGGCCCTGGAGCTTGGTCTGACGCTAGCGATACTTGATTTCTGGCTGCGGTAAGCTGCTGAGCCGCCTGGATGTCGCATTGCTCGATCGCCAGGTGCTCGGCTTCGCCACGTTGCGATAGCTTCGACGAACCCGATCCAGCGGTCTGCGCGTGTGCGTCTGCTTTCAGGGCTTGGTCCGCTAAGTAAACCTCGTAGAACGCTTTCAGCAGCGCAGGCTCGTGACGCTGGAGCTCTTCTGGGTTGTTTTTGAACGCCTTGAATTGAGTCAACTTGCTCAAAGCCTCGTAGTCCAAGTCGTTGCCGCTGTTCCTAGCAGCTGTGTATTTATCCGCCCACACACGCTTCTGGTAGTCTGCCATCTTGCAGTAATCCTGCCTTGCGCCGTGGGCCTTGCCGGTGCTCGCCCTTTTCGCCTGCGATCTTATTTTGTAGAGCCAAGCACGTGGACCGGAGCGCGTGCTTGGGTACCTGGGGAATCGTCTCTCCATCGCGAGTTGCAGCGGGGCTGCCGTAGCTTTGCGTTAGAGGAAGCTTAACAGATTCACAGAGTCTCAGCTTAAGATAGCCCGTTCTAATACCAGAACGTACGAGTCCGTACACCTTACGGACTCCAAGAGTCAACCCGTAACTCTTAACTGTGAATCTCAAACTGAATGCATTTCCCTTTATTGCGGCCAAGCCGCCTACGGTGTAAATGTATCCGGTTCACTATCTAGCATAGTGAACCCTAGTCATATGCATAATCAGTGGCTCTGAAGCCGTGTACTGATTCTCCTAATGATTTAGGTTAGACAGTGTGTACCCACCTCATAACCCTTCGGGTAACTCTCGTGTAACCCCGTTACAGTCAACGAAGCAACTTTCCCCTCATTTACAGGAGATCATTCAGAAGTACCTACTGGAGATTGCAGACAAGCTGGAGCAGGGCGACGAAACACCAGATAGTGAAGAGCAGGTAAGCGAGGTCGAAACTGAAGCTGGACGCCGTACAGAGGAAGCCGGACCCACGATTGTCGACGAAGTCGTCGTTTAAGGTTTACCTAGAGGACGGAAAGAGAGAGTCTAAACTGTATAAATGCACGTTATCTTTACATCTACGCAGACTATTTGGGTATTCAAGATAGTCTATATTTAAAATTAGTCTGTCCTCAAAAAGGACAGACCAATTGTTGTGAGACAGAAAAATATCGATGTTCAATTTTAGTCTGGGCCAGACTAATTACTGTAGGCACGGTAGTGGGAGTGCTTCTTCTAGACCATCGAGACAAGCAAAACGTTCAAAAACTGCTGGCAAGAATTCAGGACCACAAAGTGGGGAATCGGACCATACTCACGCTGAACACGACTCTACAGCTGCACGGGGCGCAGAATCAAGTGGTAACTACTGAGGTTGACGACGGAGAGGATATAAGTGGAGGCGATGACAGTGCCTACGGTGAAGGCAGCAAAGTGGAAGACGACACATCTGACGTAGCTGAAAGCCGAAACGATTCCGTCCAGCAGCACGGTTCCAACACCTGTGTCCCTATAAGCTCTACATCCGAGTCCAATGTCCGCTAAATTCGCCCCATATAGGAGGACACAATGGTCGGGGTTGGGTCGCGCAGCGAAGTGAAATAGTAAGAACTCCAAGGAGAGACCTGCATTCCACCAACCCCGACTTTTGCAATAGGTAGTCTTACCGGTGGCAGCCTGCATATTCCTTACCTTTTTTTTCAGAGGTCACGCCCAAAGCCGTTCTGGTCGGCGCAGTTGAACAGCTCCTTAGCCTCAATGTGAGCTCCAGGCTGTTTAAAGACGAGAATAGGAGCCCGCGTGTGCCCTTGTGAGCCGGTGAGCACCATTGCAGTCACTCGACTTTTCTCCTTGAGGCTATTGCGAATCCATACCGTCCTTTTCCCCGTTTTATCAATCATGTGAGTAGGGAGATGGTCGAAGTTCAGCGCCGTTAGGTCCGGTTGTACACCTCTGAAATGCCGTGGTCGAGCATCGTGTCCTGTGTCTTCTTCCGCAAATCCTTGGTAACTTGCTTCAAGTCGCTTGGTGTTCGCTGGCTGGTTCGCGTCTTTCGTCGCAACGATAGTCGATACGATTTCAGGAATCGTCGTCGCCATGAGGACGACGCCGTAAACTGCTCCCATCTTAGACCCAGCTATGCCGCCACCGCCCGATTCTTCATTTGCAGTATTAGCGGCGATACGGGTACGCCTTCGCGCCGCAGGTCTCGAATCCAGAACGCGAGCCCATCCTCAGCGTCCTCGGAGAGAATTCGGCCGATGACTGTGCACGGCATGCGGATCAAGTGTCCGTTCCCTTGAGCTACTTGCGCCGCGATTTCTTTGAGGGCATCGAACGACTTGGCATTTCTTTTCGTTTTTTTGTCTTGCTTGTTGCGACGGGTAGAACTTCAAGATGGTTTTCGGTACGCTGTGGGTGGGGAGTAGCGGCCTCGCAGAAATCTCGCGGGGCCGGTCTCGCACAAACTCGGCGCGTCTTTGTCGCGGTCGCGTCGAGTAATTTACCTGGTTGTTGGAGTAGCGTAACTTCGGAATACTGGTCCAAGTCTTCGCAGGCTTCAGAGTGGGGGGGGGGGCTTGTGTTGACGCTTGTCCCTTGTCGTTGGGCGTTGAGGCCTTGGACGTGCGGCGTTATCGGACCGGCGTTTCCTGGGGCTTGTGTGGCGTTATCGGGCCTACACGGGGTCTTGCCCACTTTGCTGGCGCAAAGAATTAACGACGGTGTACGCATCCGGGAACCACGAAAACTTAAAACGACACGCTTCAGCACCTCCACGACCATGCTCGGCTAAGTCACGCCGCGAATACCTCCGCTTGCACTTGTGGCACATGTAGGTGTTGTACACCACTGCTTCGGTCGAACTTGCCTTCTGTTTAACACCGTTCACTTGAATGTAGCAGTGAAAGTGGATATTAAAGGGCTGAGTGCTTTGCACCCGCACGCCCAAGACCACCCGAAAAATCACCATCTCGCTCTCGTATAGAGTTATGGTTTTCGTCTTTGACTTTTTGATCGAAGCCCCAAAGCAATCGGGGTTGATAGGAAGGCTTGTACGATTCATTAACGCAATAATCACAAGCGCTAGCACTATGGCCTTCTTCAAATGGGCTCGAGCCGTTTCGAAAGTAAGGACTTCTTTGTGGATCTCTTGGTCCATTCCACCAGGCAGATAGGTCAGTGCGTGCCATGAACCAGGTGCAATAAGCCACAGCTGCATCGCTTCCAGGATGGTGCTTTGTATGTAGGATTCGATCTTCTGTATTGCATTACCAGGAGTAACTACGTCAGCTTGCTTTTAGAACTTGTACCGCTTCTTTGAAAAAACCAATGTCGCCCACCAGGTAGCCATCAATCCAAAAGCGCGCGAACGCATCTCCGCCGAACATCGTAACGCTAAAACAGACCTTGTTTGTAGCGGTTATACAGCACATAGAGCTTTAAATCTTCCCCTCGCCCTCAAAGTGCCCAGAAAATTATGCAGCGGGAGTTGCTCCGGACAGCCTCCTCCGCTTCAACAAGCGCTCAGCAGTCGCGTCGTCTACTAGTCGCCGGGCGATGGCAGCGCCAAGATCAGCAGCGACTGCAGCAAGTGAACGACGCGGGCCATGTTCAGGTGGGGAGGCAGCCCCCGGATCCCTACGAGTGGCTAGAAGCCTTGGTTCGCGTCAGGAAGGTTGAGAGCAGTGGAGCCGAAAGCAGCAGCGTGAGACCCGTCAGCAGCGGAGCCTAGAACCGCAGGGGGAGCGCAGTGGGTCGCTGCATAGCGGATTCTCGCGTCGCGCCGTGTTCTCGTCGTGGTGCTTTTTGGGGAGTGCCCGATGAAGCGGTAGATAGTAAGGTGAGGTTGTGACATCATATAGAGGACGGCGTTGATGCAACGCCACAGGATCAGTTTTAGGATTGGATCTGTGCTTTTTGCTATTCCGCACCTGTGCGGTTCCTAAAAGTGTTTGTGCCATTCTCCTTATCTCCATGCTCACCGGTGCCGCTCCCGCTGTCTTTCTGAGTGCTGGTGCTGTCGGCCTGCTGCGCGCTTTCGCTGAGCTGCTGTTGCCGCATGGGGACCCGCCGGCGCCGCTCCAGCTTGGTGTGTTGTTATCCGAGCTTGTTGAGATGTGTCCTCTCTGTGGCCTGTCGCCAGCGACATGTCGTCCTCGGGTCCCATCAGCCAAATATAAACAAATCCATATCTAACGGGTTAGACCAAAAGGTTGATGTCGGCCGTGTCGGCGGCTGCCGACACCGTCACACTATGGGTGGAGATGCTATCCCTAGTCAAGAGGAAAGCAGGGCGGTGAGAAGTGCACGACCCGGTAGTTTGCACTGCATGATCGGTTTGTGCGAACTGCACAGGAATCAAATGCTATGTTGCTTTAAAGAAATCGGTTTTTGTCATCCGGCGACAAAGTCCAGTGGGTAAGGCGCCTCAGATTATATAAAATTCACTCTGCATCAAATGTTTGTTCTACTGCACGAAGAACCATTTTATACCAATGTATGTAGGGTTAGCCATTTCAAGTGCCATCGCCTTGACTGCCTTCATGACGTTGATAACCGTTGCCTTGATACGGCGCTTTGGTGCGTTCGTGAACTCACGGTGCAAGGCTGTGGCTCCAAATGTACTAAGAGGCTTGTCGCATTTTTCGCCTCTACAGCGTAGTAACTGTGGTCCGTTGCCGGCCCATTGTACTAGTATTCACATTCGAGTTCAATTCGACTATGGGTCAAACATGGTCAAAACTGTAACAATTTTTACCCCAAAAAGGTGTTGACCCAAATTTGACCTGCGCATGGTTGACCCATAAAGAATCGCTCCAATGGGTCATAGAAGAAGCGCTCTTATGGTTCTTCATCTTGTTGTTTCGAGTTCCGAGGATCAAGCGTGTGTCGCAGATGCGGCACGCGACCGTTCTGATTTCCCCCTGTGGGTGATGTAGGTGTCAACGGTGGTATTTATGGAGATGCTGACCGTAGTAAATAGGAAACGAGAGCGGTGTGAACTGCCCTCACAAACGCCTTTATTGTCCATCAAGAGGTCTGTACCACCAATGGCGACCGACCGATGAGTCCGTTTGAGTTCTTGGCGAATCGGCACCCACAACTTCTTGAAGTCTTGGCAGAAGATTTGGAAAAATTACAGAGGTACACCAGCCGATAGATTGTATTTGATACAAGCTGACCCTTGTATTTTATATTGAAGGTATCTGCGCAATATGCTCAAGTTTACCGAGACCCTCCCCGCTTATGGAATGCGGATGGTAGTTGTCCTGAGGAGACAGAAGACTTCCATGGAGACCCAGAGGATAGTCAAAGAAAACGCATGCACCGGGTCTGAAAAGTGGGCTCGATCATGGCTGGTCCGAAGGGCAAACGCGAAAAAAAACACCGAGTGGTTTTGTCGAGCATGTTCAGTTGGGAAAACGGGCGAGTACGTCAACTCTACGTTCTTATCCCCGCAAGTGATATTATGTGCTAACATGTTCTGTGACCGTGTATGTGCTGGTAAAGTGTATACCATTGCTACAGTAGATATTTCGCCATACAATCCGCGAGACCAAAAACGTACTGATATTCTATCTGTCATGGATATTGGCAATGCGGAAGCCCGATTTCTTCTGAGTTTGACAAGCGGGTTCAGGTCAAAAAGCCAATCAAAGATTCAAACCGGGACTGCCACGAACCCTCATCAAATATCTCGTGACAATGGGTTACCACTAAACAACAAATTTCTAGTTGTATTCACATTATGGCGTTGCGTTCTTCTAAACCTTCAATTCAAGTAACCATTTTGTGTCTGAACCGGCGATACATGACAGTTAGTTTAGACCCTGTATGCGTGCGTGCTTGTGCTCATGAAACTTCGTTGCTCCTCAACAAAATCTTGGACTGGATGAAGCGTTTGTCGGTACTGCAAAATAACGCCTGTTCCGATCTGTGCGTCTTGAAAGAGAAACGAAAAGTGTCGGGGATTTCTTCAATCGAGAAAATGTCTTGGTTGTCCTTCCACGATGATCGACAGCATCCGAAGACGATGCTGTGGGTTCGCACTTGATGTCCGGCAGCGGCTCTGCCCTGTAAGCGATTGCAAATGTTGTCAATAACAGTTAAACATTTCAATAGGGAGCTATTAAACGTACCGATTCCTCGAGTAGCTCGATGTTTTCCCGCAGTCGATCATTCACAGCAGCCCGTAATTGTTTTTCATGTCAATTGGATTTCCGGTCTCCGTGAACGTTAGCAGGAATTTTTCTTGCAGAAGATCTGCTGTTTATTTGGAGATCTTCTCCGCTTGACAAGCAAGCGTCCGAATCTCGTGTTGCCCAGGAGCCCGAAGTGAAGGGTTTATCGTCACAGATCACATTAACCTTTTCAGCATTGGGTGCACGAGTAAGTCAAATCTCAATGCCATTAAGCTGCTCCATGGCATTGCCGTGAAGGGCCATCAGCACTTCGAGGCGCTCCCTAACACCTGTCAGCAACGTCATCAGCTCAGCGTGATGACTGTTTATCATGACTATCATTTCGGCATGTTACATGGCAGCCATGATCTGGACGACCTTTCGGATATTGTCCGCCCGCGCCTCATCCAGCTGCTCTCTTAGACTGGCAATTCCTGCGCGGAGAGCGTCTACGTCGGCCATCTTCTAAGTCCTGTCGTCTCGCTTGTCTGCTCACAAGAGTCTCGCTGTCGTCACGCTTTGTTTTCTGGAATAGGAAGAACGACGCCCCGAAGTTGGAGGGAGCGGGTATTTCCTATCAACGAGCTGACTTTCGCTCGTGTCATGATCAACTTCTGCGTGGAACTAGTTTTGTGACACCTTACAGGACGTGATTACTGAAAAAACTACATCGGATATAGCAGTGTATCAAATGTTGTGGATAAATTGGTACTCGCCTCGTGCCAAAGCAAATCCCACCAAAAACAGTTATTGGTATCATTGTTTTGTTTGGATGTGTCAAACACAAAACACATTTCGAAAAGCAGAAACTCCAGCTTATCCCTCAGGAGTAGTCATTGGCAAGCCGCTTGATCAGGCGCTGCATCTAGCTCCTCTTAATACACATAGACATCATCTTGATAGGTATTACAGCATTCCGCGACTCGCCAACAATATCACGGAAGTTGTTATGAACGTGAGAGCTGGCCTACAAGTTCCCGATACGGTGTCTAGTATTCACATCGTTCTGGATACCGCAGACCTAACCAACCAGCCGTCCTTGGATCTATAACGGTCTTGGCACCACTAAGTCAATATCCATTGTGAGAAGTACACTATGAACGACACGGTTAGCTGCACGACGCTAACCATTACGATCACTGCGACACTATAACCCAGCGACTCGATGCTCATCACTAGCGGGTGGAGGTTGCAGACCAAGTCGACGAACAACTTGGCTACCGAGCACCGCAACGTTATTCATGAACATACAAGACAGTACACCTAGCAGCCGATGTCAATTGTTAGGAGCAGGCTGATATCCGATGACAGCATCATAAAGCTGACGAGCACCGCGTCATTCTAGCTTAGCGCTGAGCGATGGAACGGTGTAGATCGATACCTGGTCGGCTTTCAACTGTGGCGTATGTTGCAGGCGGGAATGGAGACGCCTGAGGATGTCCCTGGCGAACAGGTAGAGGTTGGCGAGTTTGTCGACCTGCGTTCCTCGCTCGTGTGAGTGGCAAGTATGGTAGACTTGTCCTGTATGTATTTTAAAGTGAACGGTTATGTTTTATGCCACTTCCCGATACTCATAACCAGCGCCACCCAAGCGTCGGGAACATAACGACCAGGCTAATGTTCATGGCTCCATGCATTGTGTCGGCTCTATACAGTGTGTGTCTGAGACACTGCTCCATATATATTGTGTGTGACACACGGCTGCTGGCTACCAGTTGTTGTGTTAATCCTGTAAAAAATCATACATTGCTATATCGTATGCAGTCTTTTGACATTAGCATGCCAATTTCAGATGTCTAAAATTGATATCATGAAGAAGTTATTCGTGATACGAAAGGAAGCCAGTTCGTGGGGAGAGAAATCCCCCGTGGGACTCTCCCCCTTCCGGAAAACGAAGGGAGACTGCAGATATAGCCTTTTTTATCAACCGCGGGACAGGCCAACTTTGGATCAACTTTTGTCCCGCGACGGATCAACTTTTTTGGATCAACTTTTGAGACAACTTTCTTTTTATCAACTTCTGGTTAAATATATTACTATTTGTATTATGGGTATCGGCTTGGTATTGGATAAGACTGTATCTGTAGTGCGTCTGGGACGGCGTTTCTGTCCGATCCCATGCGTATCAACCTTATCATAAATATAGCAATACATACATAATCTTATCGCTACTGTTAGATTGTTATTTTGCTTTTGGCTAATAGTCTGGTATCTTTCGAGCGCCCGAACTCGAGGTTTTCGCAGATCCCATGCGTAGAAATCGTATCCATAAATTTAGCAGTACAAATGTACTTCTATCGCTAGTGTTAGGTTGGTATTGCGCATCGAGTTGGTGTCCTGGCACTTCCTGGAGGTCATTCGCACAATTCCCATCAACCAACGACGACCTACCATTTCGTCGAAGGTTTGTTGTGGTGGTAAGATTGAATGGCTTAACTACAGTGCGATCAAAAGGTTCGTCCTTCTTGATCAAGTGATATTTGATTATTGAGGCTTACAGTTCGCGGCTAGGTGCATGTGACCTATATTACTAGCCCCTGTGTGTACTACATGCAAGTTTACCAGCAATTTTCTTAGCATGAGAGAGTTACACTGCATTTTGTACCACAAAAGCCTGTCAATCCAGATTTTTTTTCTATATATGCACGGTGTTAGAGCATCTGCACTGATCAACAAAATTGTTGAGTGTTGGCCGTGGGTCCGCGGGGACTTTGGTGGAGTTTTCGTTGGTGGTGTTTTGTAGGGCACTGGTGTGGCTGGCGTCGAAATGGGTATTACCGGTACTAAAATCTCAGCAAAACCGTAGAACCGTAGACTTTGTCGTTTTGTTTGCCCGAAAAAAACAAAGCCGGTGGGGTTGCTCTTAGTTGCATATTTCCTCGATAGATAACAAAAAGCATCGGACATATTTCGGACAAGTGCTATATTTACTCGACATGGGTTAGAGAGATTTGTTTGGACTACGCTGGTTTATATTTGTTATTGGACCGTACGTCAATCGCCTCCCACTCCAACAAAAATCATGTGAAGAAATATGCCGCCGGGGAGAAAACCTATGAAGGATATATGTAGAGCGGTGTCGATAAAGACGAAGACGGATAAGCTAAAAGCGTGACATCGGAACGTTTCAGTTTGGGGGCTTAAGCGTCGCCATAAGTACATCTGAATGATAGGGTGGCCTTACCCCCCCCCCCCCCCATTCACCAAAACATGCTCAGCATCTTACGGGCTTTGGCGCATGTATGCTATAAATAGGACACAAACTATACCAATCATTTAACTATTCAAAATGTTTGCACCTAATCTACTCAAAACCCCTCATAAATGACATATATGCTAAGCGCAAAAAAAATTATGTGAAAAATGTGTACGGTGAATAGGGGGGGTAATAGCCTGGAGAGACAAGTACTCAGACAAAAACCTTTTAGAGATATCTCTTAAAGATAAAGATACCCACTTGTATCGGCAGCCGTAAGCGGCTAAAAGGTGCGGGAAGACCGCCCCAGATACATCCTTTTGAAAATCAGCTCTGCACTACTAAGATCAGTTCATGCATGCTGAGGGTGCTGTCGCCAACAGCAATGTACTAACTTTTTGCCGGACGTTTCCCGATTTCCCCGCTTTAAGTGAGGGTAACCAAGCCGTCACCGTGTGCAAACTGGAGAATAAGTACAAGAACGAAAGTAAAACGATACCCAACACCGAATCCGCAACGGCGGCGCTCGTGTCAGCTCAAGTGGTGATAAGTTTTTATCTCGTGGCGATACACCGGCTTCTAGCACCGGCAAAAGCAACGGAAACGTTGCTGGCGACCGCTCGGTGACCGTCATGAGCGGTAACCACACCGGTCGGGCTCGTGTGAGCTCGAGTGGTGGTGAAAATGTTTCTCGTGGCGATATAAGCTATGGTCCGTCGAATCTCGTTTTTACTATTGATAGCGACGAGAAAACTGGTATGGTATCGAACAACCCTAACCGACAATGGAGAGCTCATAGATGTTCACGTTCCTACACACTGCAAAGTATTTTGAACTCAAGAAAACCAGCGGGGTTTGTGGATACCCTCGACCAAGACAATATGAAGTCATGCCAGCACTACAGTATGTAACAGACAACATCGTCGACTATTTTCCTCTCCCTTTGGCTTCGTTCAGCAAAGTATTTTATCTTCCCGAGCTCACTGTTCCGCGAGTGGTGTACTATTATAATTCCTCGAAGTTAGAGGACAGCTGTGGCTCTTTATTAAAGTGAGTATATTGGTAGATTTGCTAGATTGGACAAAATATTCCTATATATATTACGACCCGGATGATCGTAGGACTTTCTAGGGTCTCCTTTTCCGAAATTAGACGTCGATCTAGGGTCCACGAACGTTCATCTAGGGTCCACTTTGCCGAAAATAACCTAAATTCGGATTTTCGTGGTAGTAATTTCGGTACCCCGATTTGGTGACATATTACTTATCTGAAGAAAACCAACGATTTTTGTCTATTGACAACTTATAAATTTTAAACTTATATATATAATTATACAAGGTAATAGAAGTTTTGAGAGATATAAAGTTAAATCGGCTACAGCACCTGAAATTTGGGGACCCTAGGTTTTCATCAGTGGGGAATTTATTCATACCACTTATACGTGCCAGAGATAGACCTAAGTGCGTGGAAATTAAAAAGTGACACCATTGCTAGTATGCAGCCAATATAAAGCCTGCGGAGCTGAAAATTTAGGAGGGTGCGTTTTTAACCATACCGAGTTCAATTGTAGCATCCAAATATATTTTTAAATAATATTTTAAGACAATCGGAGCCATTTGTGGTATAATATACATGGAGTTGATGAATCTAAAGGACAAATTGAAGTGTATAAATAATGTGTGCTAAGTAGAAAATATCTGGTGGGTTGTTACATACGAGGTGGAAAGAGGATAATCCAATAGGGGACTGAAGGAAGGTGTTAGTTTAGTGGGGTTGATTGATATGCAAACTAGTTGTGTGGTGTACCGAAACGTGGTGTGTGGTGTTGGATTGAAGTGGTTGGTTTGAGGATATAATGCTGTAGAGAGGCTATTAAGTTAGAGGATAGGACTGGAATTCGTGTTGGAAAGTGCATTTTAAGTTGGAGAGAAGATCAAATTGGGTTGGTTGATATGTAAGTTGGTGTGGGGTGTGGAAATGAGGTGCGTGTAGAATGTTCGATGTGTTTGGTTTGGTGGATGTGAGGTAGGAAGTGGACATTAAGGTTGGGGGAGGGGCATTGACGTAGATGGTGGTAGTGGTTGGAA